TGGCGCTGCATTTACTGGGGTGGTAGACTGGTAGTAAACACCAAAAACACTCAAATTTGACAGTTAAGCTCATATTATTAGAAGGGCGGAAAAGAATTCCTTGGGGAAGCTGCAAAATACCATTTCTGTTTAAAATTAAACTTTTCTCCGCAGTCACAAATTGATCCGGTACAGATGCAGCAAAATAATGCATAGTAATGCATAAGAACGCATAATAATGCATAAGAAAAGGCAAAAGCAAACCAAATGCTAATAAGTAGTCGTAAGCCAATATTCATCCGTGCTCAGCTTGTACCGTACATCCTCATCAGCGTTAACATGACCGAGGACATGTAGGTACTGGCATCTACACGGCTGGGCCACTCTGTTCCGCTTTCAGAAGGCGGTTTCGGATTCGGAGTCTTGGGAAGCTAGTGCCCCGGCCTTTCTGGCCCCGGCTAGGGGCCGGTTTATATTTCGAAGCACCCATTATTAACTAATAAGTCTAATTTCGATATCTGAACACATTAAGTTCGAACCAGGCGTCTGCTGGCGGTGCGAGGCTGTGTTGCTCAGTGGAAAGAATTACCAAAACAAGACCTCCTAACTACTGACTCGCGAAAAATTCGGAAAGCAGGGCACAAGGTAATTGTTAAAAGCATCGAAAAGGGAGAGGCGACATTCCACTCTAACATCTCAGGTGAAGCACGGTTGCGAGTGCGAAGGACAACAGAGCCTAGCTGGGAGCAATCTAGGAGCACTCCCGGCTACTTCTCCCGGTAATTGTTTCACTGATTCCGCTTTCAGACTTGCTGCCGGGTTTCGTCTCGGAACAAAGATAATTTATTACAGTCCACATCGCTGTATGTTACAACGATACTTTCAAGCAATCCAGATCAAAATGCTTATTCACAACTCGCCGCTATGAGGGATCTAACGACTGTTCTGGTATGAAAAAAGGTCACAAATCAACTAAGCATGATTACTTACGTTTACCAGAAACGAGAAACACCAGTTGTCTGTGTGGCTGGATCGCAGGCCCAATGTAATTGGGGTCGTACCTTACGAAGAACGAATAGTTAAATCAGGTTTGGAAACCGAACGGGCAGCTTCATGATCATGCGCGAACACAAGGGCCATATCGCCCATCGCACTGATGTATGGACACGCGGGAGCAGCAGCAGTGCAGGCTGCCCAAAGTAAAGCTGAGAAATAGTACCAAACAGGACTGAAGAGCAAGTCTACCACTACTTCCGTTGTGTAGTTATAGCCCACGCGTTGAAGATACGGTACAGTTGAATTTGGCTAACCATAAAAAAAAGAAAGTATGTACTTACGAGAAACATACACAATCATATCATTCTGTATTTAATCACAACGTATTTTAAATAATCTCACAAGTTTATTACACTCTTACGTGCACCCTTTTTTTAGGATGCGAATGATTTTTCATGCATTACAATGTATTGACCCTTATACGGGCATTTAACTTACAGTTGATTTTACTGATTCCTGTGCCGGTTGATGTGGATACATAAGGTGACCATGACCTATGGCAAGTGCTTGCTGCGATCAGTATTCGTCATCACAGCAATGACCTTCCGGTCGTTCAGTGTTGTTGTATCATCACTTTCCAACTTTTGCGTGATTTGTATTTTTCTGGTTCTAAGTACCGGTACAACCGTCACGACCCTACCTTGACAGAAGTTTAGGGGCGTACCTCAAAATTTCCGGGAATACAGTAGACTCTTACTCTTTATCGCCAATCTGCATAATCAGTCCGCGCTGTTGAATGAATGTTTCTACCCGGTACATACAGTAACTGTACTTGTCAGCTTCGAAGTTCGTTTATTACTAGGTGTAGTATTATGGTGGACTTGCCAAAAAAGGATCGGATCTTTTTTTTATATTAGGTTATCTTTATTCTTTTAGATTGGGTTACGGTATCTTTATTACTAATAATTTTGCTTACTGTCTGCGCAGGCGATCCAGGACTAGACTGCTGGTTCTGTACCACCGACAACACTAATACCAATACAGAACCAGACTTGTCAGAGCTTGCCACAAATCGAGCCATTTTCAGTGCTTGCGGACCTGGAATCTTAACAACGAGCGCATTACGGAGCTGTCCACTCTATGACTTACTACTGTGGAACCTTATTACTGTGGAATTTTCTACTACCCTAACAAGAAAAATAAATATAACATAAGATACCGATTTCCAGACGCTGCGTTCAGATTTTTTCTTCTCGTGGCTATCCCGTCTTTACAGCTGCACAACCTCTGTTCTGTCATATTCGGGAAGACGATGCGGGTTTAACATACACAAGTGTACGCTATTCCTGCATCTGCAGCGGGTCTTATATTGCAATACTTTCTCTCTAACAGCAACTGGCACTGCCGTCAGCAACGCGGATCTAACAAACAATGAGGTATATCATGCATAAGTGTGCTCAACAATTTATCGGTGTTTCTCAGTAAGTTTGAATTGACACCTACATATAAACAATTTTGCTTTATGGATAATTTCTATCCAGAGCTCATATCCATCAACTGCTTGCCTGATTAGTATCGCCATTTTTTATTTTGCTTTTCTACCCGGTTGCGTGTCTTCTTAAAAGCGAATGAAAATTTACTGGTGTCTTAGTCTGGAGTCGCTTTCAGTCATATTATTATTACGGTCGTCATGCTAAACTTTAGAATCGAGTCCCTTTCGTACATTCCGAATGCCTTATAACGTCTTTCGCAAAACATGTACCTGCCGTGCCAAGTAGCTTTTGCAAATGCCTTCGCAATACCTTACGAAATGCCTTTCGTACCTTCTTACGCTTGGTGCAGAAAACAATTTTTTACAAAATGATCAAGTCAAAAATTGCCACTAAACAGTAATTTTCTATCTGAATTTTGTCCTCATTTTACCTCATTATATTTATTATTGATAAGTAGATCCCAACGATCGATCGAAAGTATATATGACGTGGCGGTAACACTTTTATGTACAGAAGAGCCCAGTACCAACTGGATCTTCCTTCTCACCAAACAATGTTATTATGCCAGGCAGTGTGGCAGGCAGTGTATCAGGCAGTGCGGATAACCCGGCTCTACAATCAGTTACTGCCCCTGCATGGTAATGAAGAATCTGGAGATGGAGTGGCGGCTAGTGGACAAGGCCTTGCCTCAGTCAGCAAAGGTGGGGCGACAAATGAGAGCAGTAATGCTGCGGCTGGATCAAAAGGTAAGCACGTTTCGATGTGATCTGTTATGCTCACACAAAGTCACATGTAAACATCGTGACCTTTCGCAGAGAGTGGTCCAAACATGCTCATTACAATCTCCGCTGTTGTTGTTGCGGTACGTATGTTACCGTTGTGCGACAGATCTTGGTTTGCACTGCATTTATGAATTTAACGGGCCATTTTGCTGCTAATCGGAGGTATCGTGCTCTATAAACACAACCATCATAACAGATGACGTCGTCCGGAAGACGAAGAAGAATATTAAAATGAAAAACAATCACAGAGATAACCTTCTAAGGTTGTACAAACATCTGGTTGGACCCATTCCTGCATTTTTGTGCGTGTACCGGTGTATAAAATGGTAATAAGAAGCACATGCCCAGTTTTTACGGAACGTTACATGAAATGATGATAACGGCTCCAGAAGTTTTGATTTTAGCTTAGAAACCATTTGATGAGTCACTCACTGTTGGTCGCTCACTTTTGGTGTGAAATACATAACACGTAGAGTGGAGAAGCTACTACTAGGTTGAACTACCAGCATTCTTTTACATCCTTGGAAGGCCACTGTGTGAAGGTGGTTCGTTTTCAGATCAGATGAGCTGTTTTGATTCTACTCGTACTCAGTGGCCCCATATTTTCGCTCGAATCTCCTGTACAGTTTACATAATATTATTAGTACAATTGTACATACAGAGTGCGTGCCGTAAAGCTCTCCGAAGCTTGCAGTCCGATTTGCCGTGTCTTGTTTTATATCAACCGTTTGAACAAGCTGTTGGTTTACTGAAATTAGGTGGATGTTAACAAGATCACTAGGTCGAGCCGAGCGATAGTCGCTGGGAACTGAGCGCATCTCAAATACTACTGAGAAATAATGTTGGCCAATGGTTTTGAATGTGCGCATCAGTTAAATTCCGTCTGCTATACGGTGCGAAAATGCTGGTTGTGTGTAATTGGGCATGTGTTTTACTACACGGTTTGTGTCCACCCACTGTCAGTCTCAGCAAGTTTTTGGTAACGTTCTCGCACCATAAAGCCTAAAAACTTCTCAGTTTAATAGTGGTCCCAAAACCAAAAAGAAAAATGCGGTCAAATTTCCGGAAAATGCCAGTGTTTACCTGAACATCTCTTGGTGATGAGATGTGCAGTGATAAGACATGTTTTTATAGTAATGTTATAACAAACATGGGTGCGATTGATGGCCATGGCCGTGATTTAAATCAAACAAATATTTTGTGCACAACTTCTGTCGAATGCAGCATAGTACATTCCATGCAAATCTGCCGTACTGATAAACCAGAGACGACGGGAAATACGGCTGTACGAGTGCCAATGAAAAGCTACATTCATCTGTAAATTCCAGGAGTCCATCGCGACTGAGCCTGTCGAGGAGGGTAAAAGCAGTCCAGAAAAATAAAGTTTACAACATGCAGTTTTGTTCAACACTCACGACATTACTTTGCTTCAGACGCGCATCAAGCGGAAGCTTGTGGAGCTGCCTTTACTAAACCGCATATTGCAGTGCCGGTGTAGCACGTTGCGTAGCAAAAACTAACTGGTAAGCAACACATTGCAGTATACTTCTGAGAAAAAGCAGTGAAATGAACATGTTTTGCTTCAAGACCAGGCGGTGTATGCAGTGTAGCATATACGGTGTAATCTCGCACGTATCCATATTGTTAAAAGTACAAACCGTGCTTTGAGATTAAAATATTAACAATGCATTTTATACGTAAGCTACGTAACTACTTACTAGTACTAAATTACAATACGTACCTGTTTGCAGCCAGTTACATTAAAGGCTACAGGTATGTTTTAATCTCTGAATTTTACCACGATATACCTTCTTTTTAATTTTTGGTTTGGATGGTGATGATTATTCATACTGTGTCCAATGGCCCTTTCTCAAGCACTAAAATTACGGTTATTTCTACTTATACCGGTGGTGGTGGATGTGAATAGGCAAGGTAACCGTATGTCATATTAAATGCTCACTGCTCAAGGTTAGTAATCGTTATCACAATTACAGTCACAATAGTTACTGTACTTTACGACCATTTGGTCGTTCAGTGTTGCCGGCGGGCGGTGGCGGTACTTATTAGCAGCTCTTGCACGATCAAATAACGTTCGGCGGTTTTCAGTGCGATTAAGTGAGTTTACGAATAAACCCAGGAACATTCCGAGAATAAACTCTCGCCGATATGCGTAGTCAGTCAAGAGCCAAAGTCAAACGAATTAGTTAAAATAATTGCACCCTCCGACCTCCATGCTCGTTTATGTGTGTTTTCTGGCATTTCCTCTGTCTGAATTCGGTCGATAACAGTTGCGGTAAGGAAGCGGTTTTACTTTACCCGCTAATTTTCCAAACAGGCGCTTCAGGACTAGACTGCTGGTTCTGCACGACTGACAACACTAACAACGAGCCGGAGCTGTCAAAGCTTGCCAACAATTCCACCATTTTTAATGCCTGTGAACCTGGAACCTTACCCAGCACCGCAGTAGAGCATTGTCCACTCGATGACCTTCGTTACCCTTTCATGTGTGGAATATTCTACTATCCGGACATGAGAAACAAGAATAACAAAATACCGATTTCCCGACGCTGCATTCAAAAGACTTATTCTGCCACTCCCGCCTTTACAGCTGCACAACCGTTATTCTGTTACACTTGGTTGAATGCTGGCCCGGAGGGCACACGCTACTCCTGTATCTGCAGCGGGGATTACTGCAATAATTTCCCTCTAGCAGCGATCGGAATCGCCGTTGACAACACAAATTTATCAGATTCTCAGGTATTACGATTTTTTTAAATTCGTGGCCACTTTAAAACACCGTTATCATTCTTTGCCAGCTGCATATTAGCAACCGACAGCCGATTAGCCGGCTGTGCAGTTATAACGACCCACTGAAAGAAAAATACCTTTCGACTTGGCGCCACAGTAAACGACAAAGTCTCAAATCGTACGGTTACGCACGGACTACGGTTTCACCCGACGATTCTACGGCTACCGTACTGTTACGGCATGAATAACCGAAGTGACCGCACCATACACGGTTTACCCTATTTAAACTGTTTTCGGCTTACGGTTACTCACGGAAAATTCTTGACCTTGGTCGCTTTTTATATAGTCCCTTCGGTTTGCACCTACCAAAAAGCGTTCAAATTCCCAAATAAAATTAAGAAAAGTCGGAACTGGCGCAACGGTTCCATTGTTCTCGCTCAGGGATAATAATTGTGCGCCCCTTCCTCTTACCTACGAGCATGCGATGACCCGGATTAAACATTATAAAAAGATACAGTACTCACTCGCTCATGACTGTACAGTGTACAGATAGAAGTTCAGTACTGCAATACTGTAACGAGAGTAATCGAATGACCGCCTTGTTTACAGTGTTGTTGGTTTTCCTTACTGTTCATTGGTTGTTGTTCTCACCGTGTAACTGAGTGATTCATCCTTCTTTTTCTCTACACTTTTACCGGGTAAATGTCTAAGAGAATGGAACACACTTTCATTTTGAGAATCCTCTGAATGGATGCTTGCCACGCTTGCCTAGCTTGTAACCCGCTTGTCCTGCTTGTACGCTTGTTAATTAAATGCCTGAAAACGACGTTGCTTTGTTTGACTCCTCGGGATGATGCACCCATCATCCCGCTCGTCATTGTCACTGTAAAACCACTTCCGATTCACTGCTGAGCTTACGCCCGGCAGTGCCGACATTTCCATCAACAGCCGACACAACATCGTGGTACGGTCAACACGCCAACCCACTAGAACGCCGGCACAACCGCCCGCGTTACATGGCGCTCCTGGGTTAAAACCAGCCCGGAAGCTTCACATCGCAACCATTCCCACCATCCCCACTCGCTCCACCGACTCTCCTTGTAGCCGGATCAAGGCAGCCAAGCGCCTGAATTGCCCGGCCCACAGACGCACTCCAAAGAGGAGCGTTCGCCCATTCCATACCGGACCGGAAATCCCGTCCTACCTGCAGCATTACAAGATTCCACGACTGCAGTTAGGTGAGTAACGATAATATTATTCTGTTATGTCGAGGTTTCTCTTTCTCTACTGTATCTTAACTGAATGCAAGTACTGCACTTACATACGCACCAATTACCAGTCGTTTTCTTTCTGTGCAAGCACTGCAATCTACGTGCGTAATTAATTACAGTTCATCTTGATTAACCGTGTAATGGCGACTTGACTGGCGCAGATAGCCACATAGGTAGTACACCTTCGCTGTTTTCTCTGCCAGAGCATCTCACTCCAGTAGTTTTTCGAGAACGTTATTGAATTTGCCGGCACGGCACCACAGTTTGGTTCTCTGTAATCTGTCCCTTACACTACGTCTGTCACATTTGCTTTGTCTTGCAACTTTCACATTCCAGTAGTCTATCGTTTTGGCGCCGATTTGCACTCAGATCAAACCCATTAGCTGTCACGCTCCGCGTACGCAATGGAATCTTTAAAGCAAGACCTTAATACTGCATTCACTCGGATTGCAGTACGTGACATTTGTCGAAATCTCAATGTGCAAATCTCTGCAAAAGACACCAAGGCCAAAATGATAAACGCGCTCGCTGCACATATGTTTGTAAACCACATTACTGTGGATCAGCTCCAGCGCTCCCGGTCTCCGTCTGCTGATGAGTCAGCTGCGCCGGCTGTGAACACTGTACAGAGCAACGCCGCATCGGCCACACGTTTGCACACTCAGAGAGACAGCCTACAAGCACAGGCGACTGCAGCGCGTACTGAAGGCGCTCAATGCAGTTCCAGACCGCACGTCTCACAGTACCCTTCACATATTCCAGATTTCGATCTGGACACAGTCGACGCAAGTACAGGCAACTTCCGAGACATCCGATCACTATATCGCCGCATAGGTGAATCGCTGCCAGAACACTTGCTTGAGGATCTCGACAATTTGTTGAACCTCTCGCATGCTGAATCAGTCAGCCAGTTCCGTCAGCAAGCAGGGCGCACACAAGCCGGTACACACAGACTTTCCCGCGCAGCATCGCCCGCTATTGTACATGGTGGGCCTAATGCACGCATTCGTTCACCAGACGTCCAAGTGCACGAGCGGTATACAGCACAACCATCCGCTCACACTGATGAACCGGCAGCACACAACGCCTTCGCACAGACAGGACGCACCGATCAGAACAATCTTGTCGATATCTTGCGCAGTTTGCGACTGGACAACAATTCCAAGTTGAATGTCAAAGACTTTAAAATTGAGATTTTTAATAATAAGCCGGAATATACAATCACGGCCTTTTTTTCAGCAGTTTGAACGGGCAGCAGACACTCTTAGCTGGGACAACGACCGTAAAGTTAAAATGCTACCCAACTATCTCGGTGAAGCACCACGCCGTTACTTTGAAGGTTTATGGCCTGTTAACAAATCATACTCGTATGATCAGTGGAAATCAGTTTTAGTTGAGCGCTTTCTACCAGAAGATTACGAAATGATTAAACGACTTGAGTTATCGAAAAAAGTTTTCAAGAAAGGCATGGACATCAACCAGTTTTTGGACGAAATGCAAATACTTTTTCAGGACATTGATGCACTCATGCCTGAAAAGTATAAAATCGCGGAAATAAATCGTGCGTTCTCTGATGTCCCTGAGTACCGAAAGTTTCTGGCTATCACAAAAACCAGCACGGTTAGTGATATCCGATCCGTACTTACGAAACTCGCTGTTGTAGATCGCCCTGACGCTAGCGGGTCTGAATCCAACCCGATCGAAGTTAAACATTACAGTGAACGTGGTACACCGCAGCAGTACAGCACTACCCAGCGCTCCCGTTCACCCGGTCCCTACCGATCGCGTAGTCCGCCCTTTTATCGGGGCAGTGCAGAGCGTCCTAGTCAGTATGGTGACCGTAGCCGCTATCGCCAATCAAGCAGCGATCGCCCGGTTGACCGCGACAGGCGCCGGTCTGATGACTCTCGTGACCGTTTCCGCTCGCGCAGCCGTGATCACACTGATACACGTTATCGTCACCACGCATACAGCGCCACCTCTGACCGATACCGCTCGGGTAGCCGCAGTCGGGATGACGCCCGGTACAGTACACCCGGCCGCACCGGCTATCGTTCACCAAGCGCCGATCGCTTTGGTCAGCGTGGGCGAAACTCCGATCCCCGCCCGCCGTATGGTGATCGATATGCACGTGAGCACCGCGATGCACGATCAGACCGCCCCAGTGGTCGCGAGCGCCGGTCATCCCGTGATGACCCGAAGCGCATACCGCCCAAGTTTATTGACTTCGACAGTTACCGGTTGGACAACGGCAAGATCTTTTGCCCGAAATGTCATGATTTTGCTCATTCGTACAAAGAGTGCCCAAAGGCTGCTGCCGACGATAAGTTTCGCATAGAACGTATCTGCCCCCAAGATGTCAAGAGCAAAGTACAGCGCGATTACGATGACTATGTGCAGTATCGCCTTTCGAAAGAGGGCAATGCGTTCTGGGCTACCGCTCAGGGAAAAGAATGAGGCCTTACGATGTCGGAGGTCCGTACGGCCGTAGCTATCAACCTCCCAAATTTTACTCGCAAGCTGAAATTCACACCTTTGACGTACAAATGCACACAGATACAATACCTATGCTGCCCAGCACGGTCAGCCCGTACGCCGGCCTCCCAATGCCTCAAACTGTCAGTCCAGCTTACATACTCATGAATATCAATGGGCACAAGTTGAAAGTACTAATTGACACTGGTGCCGGTACTAGCATAATGTCTGAACCCGTCGCGGCGCGTCTAAAGCTACAGTTCCGGAGGTTTGTAAAAGGTGCACCCGAATTACAATTCGCGACCATCTCTGATCGATTTACCGCACGTGAATCGTATTTCGCCGAAATCACAATTAGTCTTAGCGATCGCAAAATCAGACACTTAATCTTTATCGTTTGTGATATACCGTACGATATGATCATTTTGGGTAATGATTTCCTTAAAGAACATGACATATGGATAAGCAGCCGCAACGGTGTATTGTGTTTCGAAAACGTTTCGCCAACTCGTAAAGTACACAAGTTGCTGTCCCGCGAGCCTATAATATCAGACGTACAGGATATGATGGTGGCTGATACACTAATCCCGCGCACGCGTTTTGTTCAGCAGCACCGTTTAGACGTCTGTAAAGAACGAACTGCTGACACAACATTAAACCGCCCACTTCCCACACTTGTCGAGCTGCCGCGTTCACGGCCATCATCGCCGCTGGCATCTCTGTCTGGTTGTACCGCGCAGTCAATAGCACACAGCACTGCGCCAGGTACTGTACTGTCCAGCATGCCAACAGGGTCACTTCCGCCCTCAGCCGTCCCTCTACTCGTCGACAGTACAGTACAAACATGCAATACTGTGCAGTGCAGATCGGCCAGCACACAAACAGACTTCATCCTGGAACCCCTTTCCGTTACTGAGTGTGAACGAGCACCGGTCACACATTCACACATACCCTTATACAAAATGCAGATTCCCTCCATTCTCTGTCCTGCAGGCTCGGTAACGCAGCACCAACCGATATGCTTCCGGTTGATAACAATTACAGTACCGAAGTCTGGTCGACAGCCAGTGCACCCACTGCACCGGACACTGCTATACAGTCCCTATTAATAACATTTATATGGAAAGACAGTTTTATATGTTTCGGATGAGTGATTCACAAAAAACCGCATCCGATACACAGGTTTGCATGTCGGTTCATGCAAATCGCTTTCAGCGCTGACTGATAACGCCTGGATAGTTATAATTTTATCTCGTTCAGCATGAATATTGTCGTGATTCGGCAAATTTCATTCGAAAAATACTAAAATAATTTTAGCTAGCAAATTCACCTTAAGCTTCTACAGCTTCCCATAAACTTACAAGATTAATTAATCTTGTTGAAGATGTACGAGCATCATTTGCACGAGTTAATGTGTATACGTAGAAGCTAAGTCAATTGCGATACTTCGACCCTATTACTAAAAAAATTTGTATTACACCCTGAAAGATTGGGCATTCTTGTTTTTTATGCGTAGTAATCCGTAATTGATTACGGAATGTGCGCTTAACACTGTAATTATGCATAAGCGCAAATCACCTTATTTTTTTCCCTGCATGCTAGCCAGAAGCTTAGCCAAAGATGTAATTATAATATATTTTATTGCATTCCAAAAAACTCCCGGTAGTAATGGTAGCGCCAAATTAAGTATTACTTAAATTAATCTCCTTCAGACTCAGAGAGAGAGAGAGAGACAGAGTGCGCACAATAACAGCGATATCGCTAGCTGATTTATTTTTGTAGCAGCTAAATTATTAAAATTTACAGAGTATACTTACTTTGTAAATTGTAACAAGGCACTGTAAGTAATAATTATTACGTAATAAGGCACTGTAAGTGTGACAGTCGGCAGATGAAATTTTTCATTAGCGCCGCGAAATGCTAATCGATAACGTTAATTACTGAACATTGTACTACTTTGTACTTCTTATAATTATGCATCCATTGAAACGGTCCGCTTTTGTATGCAGTACTTCAAACTAACACAATCAATCCAACAGAAATGCCTGATTATCTGATAGTTTGCCGGTGGTAAAGCTAAATTCATCTATATTCATCTACACAATAAACCTCTCTATAATATAACAACATATACATTGTTCATATTATACATAAAGATAAAAGAACACCGCGCAAGTTGTAATTCATTTATTTTATTATTTAGGCATGTTTCTACTTGTACTGTATATTCATTAATCGTTATGGTCAATCAACAGAAGACATTCAACGGTTCATAGCTGAAAACGCAATGTCATAGCAAAGGGGCACGTACGCGTACATCACTGATGTCAAAAAAAGTCTCTTATCAGGATTCACACAGAGTGACATCCCAACGGCTGCGTGTATCATACAGTTCCATTGCGGGTGCAGCACTTGTTAGTTGTTAGTGAATGCGCTCGACAAAACTTGATGTTTCAGTCGAGCGCAATCTTCGTACCGCGCTGCACCAACACGGAAATTCTTGATTTCCCTTTGTTTTCCAATGCTACTAATTATCCGGCAGGCGGCAAGGAATTTAACTGATGGTATTTATTGGGATGCATGTAAACTGACAGCATCCGTGTCTATCCTTGACTCTTTCAGGCAAAAATTATTTACACCGCCTGGCCAGTGCAGCAGTACGTATCTTATTACAAATTAATACCTATTTCTTTGTTTTGGGAAGTAGCAATTGCGAATCGTTGTACTAAAAACTGCGCACAATGTACCGGTATTCTCTAACTGCATGACAATCGAACTGGATGCTCAGTGCTATCAAACGAAATTGGTGTGGATGGTTGGGTGACATATAGAAACTGGCAGTTGTCCACCGAGGAGGAAAAATGCATTTTTCAGAAAAGATATGCAAAGCGGGATTACTGACATGTTCGTTGCCAACTTGCCGGTATAATTTCGAAAACTTTTCCATACACTCATCCCCAACAACTACTGAATCTAAACCGTCAGTAAATTCATGTTGATTAAATACGAAAAATGGCTACGTACACAAAACGGTCTTCAAATAACTAATTAGTATTCCAATACAAAGTACAGAAATTTAGGAGACAGACGCAAAGAGTTTCAAGAGAAAAAAGCAGTATTTTTACCTAGATATTTTTGCCGGGTTACGACAGAATAATTCCAGGACAAATTTTGTCTTTTTCAAGACAAAAAAACACTGATTTAAGGGTGATTGTGATCCATACGTTTTCCATCTGAGTAAACGTCTAAATCAATGTACCGATATTACTATGATTCATATGTTGCTTATTGATGGGGAGTCAGTCAATGTTCAGCCGCCACCTCCGGACGCAGAATGCGAGTATTACGGCACCGCAAGTACCACATCAACTCCCCTCTCGTCGTGCGTTGACCCCGCAGCACATGCACTATGCTGCTTATGTCCAGTTGTCGCACCAGTCAACGCTGCTCGCTATGTTCAGCCGTCCACGCTGCTGTCGCATGCAGCCTCTCCGTTCGCAGCCACTCCGACAGAATCGTCGACCGCAACCAGCGAGCACCGCACGTTGCCCGTCCGTTCGGCGTCCTCCTTGACGGCTGATCAGCACACCCCGTCGATGCCCCAGCAGCTGCCTGTTGATCCCCTACCGTTTTCCTCTCAGTACGAGTCTGACACACTCCCAGTCTGTCCCCCGGCGTTTCCCAGCACACCCATATCCGACGTAGCGCCTGTGACATGGTACCGTTCTGGTATACGGCTACAGTCTACAACTGTCTTACCCCCTAAGCACGGCACCGTTCTCAATGTCACCGCACCCGACTCGTACAGTGGCGACGTTATGATCACCGGTAACAAAACGCTGCTGACGAATTCTCTAGTAGCCGTCCCTAATTCACTGACAACCGCTCGCGATGGTTGCCTGTCAGTCATGATTACAAACTTTTCTGATAAGCCAGTACGGCTCAAGAAAGGTGTGATAGTCGGATACATGGAACCTGTCGATACCATTATAGAAGTACCTGTACACAATGTGGAAACCGCGCAGATGACCGATGCCGATCGTACAGAGCTGAACAGTCACATCCGCGCAATGAAGTTTAGCAACCGTTTAAGTACCGAACAGCGCAACACTCTTGTTCGAATGCTCGTAAAATATCACCGCATATTTCCAAACAAAAATCGTCCCCTCGGTGAATGTGGCAAAGTGCAACACGAGATCGATACCGGCCATCATCAGCCGATAAAGAAATTACCGTATCGTACATCTTATGCACAACGCATACAGATACAAACTCAGATACAAGAAATGCTCGATCAGAATATCATCCGCCCCTCAACTTCGCCTTGGGCGTGTCCTGTCGTATTAGTCCGTCGAAAAGACCCTCAGGCTAGTGCCAGATTTTGCTGCGACTTCCGTGCACTCAACGCTATCACCGGCCGACCCATGTGGCCACTGCCACGGGTGGACGATGCTATTTCGTGTTTTGGGACGTCAAAATTCTTTTCCAGTCTTGACTTTAACTCGGGATTCTGGCAAATACCCCTTGCCGACAACGCCATACCTAAGGCGTCGTTCGTCACCCAAGACGGGCAGTACGAATTCCTTCGTATGCCGTTCGGGTTGAACGGAGCTCCCGCCACCTTCCAGCGCGCTATGGACAGCGTCCTAGCACACCTCAAATGGCAAGGTGTAATATGTTATATTGATGACGTACTTGTGGGTGGAGAAACTTTTGAGGCTCACTGCAAACTGCTTGAGCAAGTACTGCACGCAGTCAGCTCCGCTGGCTTTACGATCTCTCCCAAGAAATGTGAGTTCGGGTTTAACGAAATTAAATTCTTAGGGCACATAATCGGCGCGTCAGGAATAAAACCCGATCCCGCAAAGGTCAGCGCAGTCGCAAATTTTCCCACGCCTAAAACGGCTCGCGACATCAAATCGTTTGTTGGCGCTCTAGGATATTACCGTCAATTTATTCATAATTTTTCGACTGTCTCTGCCCCGTTAATTAAGCTTACGCGAAAAGATGTGCCGTTTAAATGGAAATCTGAACAACAAGTATCGTTTGATGCACTCAAACGTTGTCTCGTCACTGCACCGCTTTTAAAACCTTTCGATCACCGTCTGAAAACGCAAATTAAGACTGACGCCTCCGGCGTCGGTGTCGGTGCCATCCTAGAACAGGAGCATGCCGACGGATGGCATGTTGTGGCGTATGCAAGCAAAATGCTTGACAAACACCAAATGAACTACCCTACCTCCGAAAAAGAGCTGTACGCAATTGTGTTCGCTATCAAGAAGTTCAAACATTACTTGGCTGGTCAGCACTTTGTCGTCATAAGTGACCATGCAGCACTACAGTATCTGTTAAACTTAAAAGAGCCACAAGGTCGCCTAAACCGCTGGGCCTTGTTACTGCAAGAGTATGATTTCAAGATACAGTACCGCAAGGGTAGACTGCATCAGGACGCCGACCTGCTTAGCCGCAACCCTTTCGAGCCGACAAGCACTGTCGACGACTGCGATATCCCGTTGTATAGTGTTCAGCCGCTCAGTAGTCAACAGTACTTGTTTGAACAGCAGAATGCAGATGAATTTTGCAGTCACATAAAGAAACTGCTGTCTAACACTGAGTACTACGCAGCCGCACGCCGCAATACTCGTAAGATGGCACATAACTTCCGTATTGTCGCCGGTATACTGTACAAGTTGCGGTTGAGAAAAGGAAAGCAGGCACTGCTAATTTGTTTACCGCGTAGCATGCGTGCCGAAGTACTCTATACATGTCACGATGCCCCATTCAGTGCTCACTGTGCATTCGCCCGCACCTGGCATTCTGTAGCACACCGTTATTACTGGCCCAATATGTTTCATTATGTCAAAAACTATTGCGAAGCATGCGAGCAATGCCAACGACGTCATTATGCTAACGTCCCTGCTTCCGGTTACCTAGAGCAGACGAAACAATATGACCTGTTACAGTCGTGGTCCATTGACCATCTCGGCCCCTTTCACCAATCTCCCCAAGGCAACGCGCACATTATCGTTGCAGTCGAAAACGTTTCCCGTTATGTCGTTACGCAAGCCGTTAAGACTACCGGAAAAGATGAAACCGCTCAGTTCATCATAAACCGCATTATTCTACCGTTTGGTCCACCTACGCACTTCACTTGCGATCGTGGTTCTGCATACACCAGCAAAGTTATTGAGAAAATTGCACAAATTCTGGATGTTAAAATGCACTTTACGACAGCGCATCATCCGCAGTCCAATGCACTGGCAGAGCGCATGATGCGTTTCCTCGCTGAGAAACTAACGATGTACGTTAATAAGGAGCAAAATAACTGGGAAAACTATCTCCCTTACATTACGTTTGCGTACAACACTACGAAGCACAGTACAACATTAGTCGAACCGTATTTCCTTATGTATGGAGTTAAACCCCGGCTCCTTGTTGATTCAATATACGCTAACGTTAGTGCCCAGCAAGAAACCAATACGACTCTACGCGAGTACATACAAGAAATGCGTACGAAATGGCAGCACGCCGTAGAATTTGCAAAAGTTTTGACCAACATCGCTCACGATCGCAATTCCCAGCATTACGATGCGCATAAGCAAGATATATGCTTTAAACCTGGTGATGCAGTTTACGTAAAAGATGAAGCCAGAGAAGTAGGACGAACTGAGAAGTTAGCTGATAAATATAAAGGTCCATACACAGTCATTGACGTAAACTCGGATGGTAACATCGAAATTAAGTGCGATAATCCCGGCACTCGAAAAAAACTCGTTGACACAGTACATGCTTCTAAGTTGAAGTCCTATAAAACATACGATCCCGATGTGCAATCTAGCCGGGAAGAGTACCTTAAGAGACTGAGACCGCGTAAATAACATGCACTGTTATTGTACTCGTATGTACTATATATATGTAGGTAATTATACTAGTATAGTTCTTGCTATGCACTAGCATTGGATGTCGTTTATTCTTATCAATCCAAAATAGTCGTTATCTTATTGTAGCAATGGACACTGACGCAAATGCCCAGGCTGAACAAGCAGCATCAGAGCCAGCACGGCAAAGTACTTCTACTGACTCGTCGCACCCACATCATGAAGAAGCTACTGATAATGAACGAGACGTTCTTCAAATGGATGGCTATGACGACGGTAGTTTTGATGCGCCTGAAGACCATCACACGCCTTTACCAACCGACGAGCTCGCACATGAGCTGCACACAGTCGCTCCACCACCACGTCGTGTTGTGTTGGAAGACGAAGACGTCGCGCATACAGAAGATGACACCGCGGACTACCACGGTCAATCCATGCAGTTCACTTCCGCCAACCGCAGTAAGCACCGTTTCCGTAATGGGCAACAGCAGCACGCACAGCGCCCTTCACACAGTAATATTGTTCAGCGCCAGCCGCCGAACGCTGCCGCGTCGCACGCGCCATCCCGCCCCGCTAAAGGCACACCCGCCAGACCACCACCAGATAATATCCGGTATTTCTATACCGGCCCCCGTCAGCGCGCCGATGACCCACAGAGTCAATTTGACAATCCTTACATCGGACAGCACGTCAAAACGTCAGACTACAATATACACATTAGAAATCTTAATCATGCCATTAGTACTGGTCAGTATGCTCGACCGCCTCGCACACAGGCCGAGCACAATATGCAAGTCGCTGAGCGCCGCCTCTTGGAAAGCACTTCCTCTTTTCTGACAAGTTTACGCGACAACGTTAATAATCTGAATGACAACAAGTACTGTTCGTTTCCTGTGCCCATGTGTACCGTCTTGAGACCCCACTATTTCCAATCTTGGCGTTTTGACAAGTTCAGCAGATCACCGTGGATCAAATACCCTTCTGACGACAACACATGGCGATACGAGCACCGCACAGGCTTTGTGTACCGCTATGATCGTAACAACAATCGTTTCGTACAAACCGAACAGTCTCCGCGTTACTTTAACCCTTATCGTTACTTCCCCATCGATCTCCCTTTCTGGCCAAGTGAAATCATGTGGGATGGTACGTATTCTCCTGAAGGCCGCAACGATGCACTCGATATGTGGCACGCGTATGACGACAACAGAGCACGCAAACTGAATGTACCCATTTGCAATCAAGTACTGCCATTTGTGGAACTACCGGACGTCGCTCTTGGTCAGCATATGAACCGAGATGTTGCATCAATCCTGGACAAGCGAGGAATTCCTAACTACAGCGAATCGGACATCTACCGGATGCCTCAGCCTACCGTGAGGGACCCAAATCAGCGGATCCGTGAGTTGGAGGACAAGCTGGCCTACTACGAAAGTCTCCATTAACCGGACCTTCTGCTCCCGCTGCCATCATCACCTTTAATAGTACACACCGTACCGTGGCGCCGCACCAGTCCCTTTCCCCTCCGGACACGCCATGCAAGCACAACCAGTATTTAACCGCATTTAACCATTTTCATTTTCCTTCTTAAATTTCCTTTCTTTTGTATTGTCTTGATGAGACAGGTATATCTCATCGCTACCGTGAGGGATGTAACGAGAGTAATCGAATGACCGCCTTGTTTACAGTGTTGTTGGTTTTCCTTACTGTTCATTGGTTGTTGTTCTCACCGTGTAACTGAGTGATTCATCCTTCTTTTTCTCTACACTTTTACCGGGTAAATGTCTAAGAGAATGGAACACACTTTCATTTTGAGAATCCTCTGAATGGATGCTTGCCACGCTTGCCTAGCTTGTAACCCGCTTGTCCTGCTTGTACGCTTGTTAATTAAATGCCTGAAAACGACGTTGCTTTGTTTGACTCCTCGGGATGATGCACCCATCATCCCGCTCGTCATTGTCACTGTAAAACCACTTCCGATTCACTGCTGAGCTTACGCCCGGCAGTGCCGACATTTCCATCAACAGCCGACACAACATCGTGGTACGGTCAACACGCCAACCCACTAGAACGCCGGCACAACCGCCCGCGTTACAATACTTACTCGGCAGCTGTGCAGCGGGCTAAAAAAATTTAATCATAACGGTGTTATAAAGCGACTGCGAACTAAAAAATCGTTGTACATTACGTACGTATACACCGTACCCATTTCTTAATGAAACCCAAACTGATTGCAATTATTTTGTGCAGTGGGTAAGTACAGTACCTACTTATTGGCTGCGCTATTTAACTTATTAGTTATTACCCAGTCGAAAATTCTTCTCAACAGAATACGTATGTAATGTACTCTACTTACTTATGACCTTATCTAATCACATTATTTTGTGTCCCACTGTGCAGTCGTTTTCGGTCCTACCGTCACGAAAGGATCTGTAATCGAATAGCTACTGTAAATACTGTACATTCCTTGAACGATCTCAACCATCCGGAGGCTGATATGGCGGTAAAGCCTTTTTGTACAGAGAAAACCAATACCAGCTGGATCTTCTCTATCGCCAAACAATGTCGCTGTGCCAGGAAGTGCGGGTAGCGCATCAGGCAGCACAGGCAGCGCAACGGGCACTGCAGGCAACACGGCTTTGCAATCCGTTGCTGGTAACAAGGAATCTGGAGACAGAGTGGCGGCTAGTGGACAAAGCCCCACCTCAGCCGGCAAAGGTGGTTCGACAAAAGGGAGCAGCAATGCTGCAACTGGATCAAAAGGCAGGTCATTTAATGTTATCTGTCACACTAACACAATGTCACATACAAACACTATGTATGACCTTTCGCAGAGGGTGGGCCAAACATGACTGTTATTATCGCCGCTGTTGTTGTTGCGGTATGTTACAGTTATGCTACGATGATTCTGGTTTACACTGACTTCAATTTTATGACTTTAACAGGCCATTTTGCTGCTAATCGGAGGTATCGTGCTCTATAAACACAACCATCATCATAGACGACGTCGTCCGGAAGACGAGGATGAGGATGAGGATGACGAGCAGTCGCAGAGATGACGAAAAGGTTGTGGATGAAATTTAGTTGGGCCCCGAATCTTTATGTGTGAACCGGTGCACGATATCGGTAATACTAGTAAAACGCACAACCCGATAGTACCCACTGAGCGTTATGCTTCTAGAAATACGAGTACTTAGTTTAACCACCAGGAAAGGAATCGGTAGTGAGGGTATAGGTGTGATCATTTCGAAGTAAGCTTTTGCGTTCTATTTCGGCAGCATGGCAGTTATAACTGTTAATAGGTTGGTCTTGCAATACATACGCAGTTTTGTTCGAATGTTATTGTCCTCTAAAGTGAAAGATTAATGAATTACTGGTGATAATGAACTGTTTGCTTATTTTGCATGCTTATAAGTCAGTATAAGACGACTGTGAACAGGTGTGTAAAGGCGGGACGCTCCGCGCTCCTGAGTAGCTATTCGCTGTTTCTGGAGATTTCCACACCGCACATTGCTGCGCTGTTTTGACGGATCTGCAGCACAGTTGCACTGCACTGGCTGTAGAATCCTTCCTAGTTAGTCTGGTGTTGCTGCGCCACGGTGCGCATTAGATTCGGCAATAAAGCCTCATCCGGGTTCACGCTGTTCGCTCTCGAGGCTACGCGTGGCGCCCATACGGCCCCGCGTTATAGGTGATTGTGTAATAATTATTATTAGCTTTTCTCTGTTTTGCATCGCTTCTGTTTGCTTGATTTCAAATCTCCACAAAATTCTTGTTCAAAATAGCCAAAGATTACTTTCACGGGTGTATTAAAATTTGCGAGTTATGTACTCGGAGGATTTTGGAATGAACGACCACATAATGTTTTTTCCAACTGCCTTAACGATACTCGTGTCGGTGCAGCTGCATTCCATTGCACTAAAGATATATATCGAATCGAATCGATATCGAATTTGCAGACGACTGTTACACCAATTCAGTCCGCAGACGACTGTTACACCAATCACTTCCAAAACGAGCATTTTGAAAATTGTCAGTAGGCTGAACAATTAAAAACAAAAGTTCGTTCACAATTCATCTGTCTAGTCAGTTCATATAAAGGCGCTTCGGGCTTCCGTTGTGCGATTGCGATAGCATGAAAGGTACTGCGTTAATCGTTGTCGCCCGGTGCGCAGGGGAAGCATGGAATCCCTATTCGGCGTCACGGCAGTTCTCGAGCCGGTCTCCGAGGGACGTCTTGGCGTCGTGAAGTGCACCAAACAGCAGAGTTTCGCCACAGCGATTTTATAATCCTTGTTCATGAGTATAATAACCATCTGCAGACATCGAATCGATACAGCATGCTTGTATAATGCAAATATATTACCATAATTATAAGAAACCCGTGCTTTATGGCTATAATCAACTTTTTAGAAATAATTTCTGCAGTAATTAACGGTGTTCCTAGCTCTGTTATGGTAAGTTTAGCCGATTTACGAAGTACAGGCTTTTCTAGCAGTATTTTTGATTATATACCCTTACTGGACTAACAGCATACGCGCACAGCCAGCAAAATCGCGACCACAACAGCACATCGGGATTTCCGTAATATATTTCAGGAAAGAACGGTAACAGCGTTGAACTGGGTAAAGCCGCAACGGTATACGACACGAAGGTGGCAAACAACATTTTGGCGACCATAATTCTGCGTTTTAGCCTCTTACTTTCCATCGGCGATATGGCCACTTTCGAAAGGTCACAATAGCGGCGATGCCACAAGAGAGCGCACTTGAGGCGCAGAAAGATGATGGCATACACAATACCAACCAACGTCAGCGGAATGTGGACACCAACGGCGATAGCACAAGTTAACGAGCGGACGTCTTCGGCAGTGCCGACTTCGCAGGTTCCAATCGAGGACAGAAGATAACGACCGTTTTGGTCACCGAATCCATTTAGGAACTCCGAGTTTTCATAATCCATTTTCGTGATATTGAGAATTCGCAAATCGGTGCCGGTAAGGTTGTATAAGAAGCTGCCACCCTTGTGAGAATTTGACGTTGTCGAACCGCTACACAAAAATCCGATGATCCAGCTGCTAAGCGCCAGTAAAACTACAGTTTTCTGTGACATAATCTTGGGATATTGATGCGGGTAAACGGTGGCGACAAAGCGATTAGCCGCCAGGAATAATAAAGACCAATGTCCAGCAAATAAGGTGCAGGCAAAGAGAAAGGTCATAGAATCACAGCTAGCAAACAAGGGCGTCCCAAAAAAGTGCATTGACAGTACTTTGACGGCCACAATGGGATATTGTAAACCGCATGTCAGGACTTCTTGAATTAAATGGTTAATGATGAGAATTCCGGTTCCTTTACGCAGTTTAGAACTTTTCAAAATCGCTGCTAAAATAGCTATAAATAACGTTGTGCCGATAATACATACTGTAAAGACGGAGATGAACCACGTGACCACAAGAATGGAGGATACTTCCACAACGTTGTAGCGCACATCGATGCGAGAGGTACGGTTGGGCATGTCGATCCTATGATAAAATTTTCACCAATACCATTAAACTGTATTGTGATTCTGCTTTGCGCAGGATCTTCAGGATATCCTTCTCGGTTATCCCATCAAATACTTAATCGATAAATGCGTTTTAATTTAGGAAGCACACAAAAGTAGCTACCAGTAAATATCCTTGGTGCTGATGTAATCAGCAGCGCATCGATTTATGAAACATAAAAGCATAGATAATACAGCAACACAATAGGCTTTTCAAACGGCAATCCAGATTAGTCGGTGACCTTTATAACTGATCGAGCAACAAATTCAGTATTTCATAGTTCGGTTGAAACTGAAAATTGTCAGCGTTAATGTGGTGGAATGCCATGTAACTGACAATTCCATGGGCACAAGATGTGAATCCGGTCCCACAGAAATGTTTTTGCTTATTGCAGCGAAAATGGTGAACCTGTTGTTTGCACAGTCCTTGGATAAGCAGGAGTGCTGGTGTGGGACCTTATAACGATCCCCAGTGTAATAATCTTTCGAATGGGATAAGCGCATTGGCATTTAGCATTCTGTATTACCCGGATTCGCGCTTACATGAATAGGCGCAGTTATGTGGTTTTCAGCTTTTCTAGTAGCCAACTTGGTCCAACACTCTCGTTTACTTTAGTATTGCAATTAAGTACGTAGTGTTTAAGCAGGCTAGTTACAGAGGCTACAAAATTCTGAGCATTTCCATGTGTACTGCTGATGGATTTCCACTTATAGAAATTTTGCATAATTAAAATGTCGTTTAACTTAACGAAGCAGTATTATTGGCCCTTTAATAGTTGCAAACCTCACTACAATGTACCGGTAGAGATATCGATATTGTCGTGTCTTCATAGGTGGTCATTGGTGTTCTGGAGCGCGAAACCATGACCATGACTGTTCAATGCCACCACTATTTTACCATATAATATAATGTTAACTACGATGTTATTTCATAGCTCTAACTAAGAAATAATCAAATTAATACTGCAGTGAAGAAATGCCATCGCTCTAAAAATAAAACCGGCACTATAGCTAGGCGGACAGACTTAAAGGCCGGTTAAATGCTCTAATGTGGAAAGTATTGCAATGGCAACTTCTAAGCTGCCCCTAGTGGGTTGGGTTAATCCACCCGTACCACGATAAAACGAGGTTCGATGGTTCGTCGGTAATTACCCAGATCTTAAGTAAATCACAATCTTACGTAACGCGCAAAAATCAGGAACATCATCATCAATTTAATCAGAATCAGAGCAAGTGCAAAAGCAAGGGCAAGAGCAAGAACATGTGGGAAAGTCAACCGTCTGCCGGTCGAGGCAGCGTGAGCACGTCTACTGATTTCACATCCAGAAAAGTCAGAACATCTCAGAATTCTTCACAACCGATAACATGGATTCACAATTCTACTGAGATAGGCGGTACATCTGTTTCCGGTTGAGTTGTTACCAATGACAATCTGTAGAACATGATTCTACGGCTACATCCCTCACAGTGGCGATAAGATATACGTGTCTTATCAAGATTCAAAGAAAAACGTAACGAAACGAATAAGGAAACAGGAAATTAGATCTACTATTAGTAAGGTGCTAGTCGTGGGGAATCGAAGGAGGGTTGGTGCTCCAGATGGAAAGTTGCTGCTCCCACGTGTTATTGAGTTACTTCTTCAACACTTCCGGGTATGTAATTCAGCGGTGCGGATGGCGGTACTGCTGTAGTCCATGCTGGCTTGGGCATTCCTGTCAGTGTTGTCCACGTTGGTGCTGGGGATAGGATGGCAGTGCGTTCTGGGGTCCCTCACAGTGGACTTTTGGGTGTAGTTAATGTTGCATTAGTGGCAGCTCCTGCAGGATTTACTGATGGTTTCCCTCACAGTTGACGTTGCAATTTCGTGAACTTCGTGTGCATGGTTGATGCAAGTACTTCCTTCCGGTGGTGGTAAGGTTACTAGTTAAACGGTACGAATGCGTACTTGTACTCGTAGTTTAAAATGCGGAAATCCAAAGAACTGATATTCTAAGTCGGCAACAAATATTGCGATCAGTTGGGAATACTCGTAGGTGTAGTGCAGTGCAAACTGCAAAATAGCGTAAGCAGTGTTACTTTTAGGAACGATCTTCCCGTCAGAGGTAAAATTTGTTACTATTAGTTGAATCCAATTTGGTTGGCGGTAGTTATTGTCGGTCCATCGGTTGCATTCAAAACATCCATGTCCGGTGGTTTCCAAGTTACTTTGGTTCGCAAACAACACTTCTAGTTAATGTAACATCCTGTGTGCATGTAGTCGGAGGAAGCGAAATGATTACCGGTGTGGTGTTCACTTAGGTTACTATGTAAGTACTCGTCTGCATTTGCGGTACTATGTACTCATCTGAGGTACCCGTTTATCGTACGTGTGATAGTCGTCGTGCTGTAGCACGACGTAACCACTTTGCACTGTCTTACTATATAGTGCATTATTTTCGTACTTTGCACTATTTTTACTGTAACAGTGTTATCCTTTGTTAATTCCACTGTGTGTACTGTATAGTGCATTGATTTAGTACTTTACACCATCAATTAACTCTATAGTGTTCTTCGTTCTTTGCTGTACACTGTGTACTCTAGCAGTGTTGTTATTTTTGTGCTTTGAACTGCGTTACTTATTTGTAGTGCGATTCTTTTATAACTCTGTACTACGTTGCTGGCGAATGGCACTTTCACCATTATTACTGATACTGGTATTTTCACCATGGTTAATGTTAATACTTTCATGTATAATTACTGTACTCATGTTACTGCTGACCGTTGGTTGTCATCGCGACCACAAGTCGAAGGAGAGCGTGATGAATAAGCTGTCTCCGTTGTAGACAATGCCGGTTGTTTACGCTTCCGTTTCTTCTTTTGCTTCCGGTTACTTTCTGCAGTACTAATTCCTTCCACTGTATTTGAAACTTCCCTGGCGCCGTTACTTGCTGTGGCGGCTGCGTTACTGTTATCACCGTTAGTAAGAGGCGCCGTGCTTACCATTTCACTGCTTAATGTATTGGGCAGAAGGGGATCTGCAGATACTTTAGAAGTTCCAACCTGTGTGCTGTCTCCAGAAGACTTATTACTTGTACTGCTTGTAGGCGATGTAGTCCGTTTAGGTTTTAGAAAACTGCTGTTCGGCGTGTGCGGTGCTAATAGCGGTTTCTTCATGTCAAACTCTTTTACTGGCAATACTGTACGATTAACAGTAGGAAAAGGTTTACCATTCATGAAAGCGGTGCCCAGCATAATAAAGTTACTTGGTAAATTGGGCAAAACATAAAATGTATGAAAATACTTTTGTGTAGCAAACCGAAATCTGATTACTATTGCATAAGCACCAGCTACTTTGATGTTCTTTCTCAAAAGTCCAATGTTGATTGCAAAATCAATAACAGTGTTTTGCTGTTTATAAACAGAACCGTTCATTTTTAATTCTTTAACAAGACTTTCACTTATGACACTGAAAGTGGAACTGCTGGCTACTTTGGCACTGATTTCTTTTCCGTTTATTTCAATAACAGTGTTTGTCGTATTACTAATAGGATGAAGGTGTAAACTAAATGACAATTTTTCTTTAGCCGGATACTTTACATCACTGATAACAGCACTGGCTGCTTCCGAAGAAAACGTAATGTGAGAGATTTTCGGAAATACAATGTCATCCTCGTATACTCAGGTAACGTTGTACAGGCGTAGAAAATCAGCATCCAGAATTACTTTATATTCCTTGTTTGCTATTTTTAAAGATCCACTGTCGGGAATCATAAAAAATCGATGGTAAAATGCTCTGTCATTTAACAGAAATTTAGTGGTCACTGCTGGACACTTACTTATTATTTCTCTATTGCCGGTGAAGTCAGTCAGATCCAGTTTGCATTTGGTGTTAAAAACTGAAAACGCTAAACCTGAATCTACTACCGCTGTTTCCGTAATCAAAACTATGCTGCTCGTTAGTACTGGCGATGGTACTAAAATATTTACTGTTGATGACGGTACTTGTTGATACTTTGAAATGCTGTTCATCATAGTTATTATTTACGTTGTTATTTTCACTAGAATCATCAGCATTTGCCAAATATTTCGTAAGATTTGATGGAGGTTTATAATATTCGCCATAAATTACTTTGTAGTCTTTACCAGTAAATGGCTTCATTCTATTTCCTCGAGGCGTTGACCAAAAGGAAATTTCTTTGCCTTTACGATTAATATACGAGTAATATCGGTTAGCAAATAAATACTCGTAATACTCTCGCTGTACACGTTCCAAGACATCTTTCGGACATATCTGCGCAATTTTATACAAATGTCGAGGTTTAAAACGTGTGCACTCGTTAAATGAATGTGAAAAGTGCAAACAATGCGGACAAAATAACTTTCCGTTTTCGAATCTATAGCTGTCAAATGCTATTCTTTCTTTAGGAATTTTAAGTTTACTTGCTGCTGTGCGATACTTTTTGTATTTTAAATACTGTGGGTAAGGATTCGCTCTAAATTCAGTATGCAGATTACCGTTGTCATCGATATTGAATGAACTCAAATACTCATAATTATTGCGCTTATTAATACTCCGTATATTTACTATTGCCGGTGGTGCACTTGGCTGTGTATGTGCTGCATTCGACTCTGCCTGCTCAGTGGCCAGCTGGCTGACCAAGTTTTCATGCATTACATGCTCAGCTTTTGACTCGTTCAGCTTGTCATATATTTCGGGAATACGCACTTCGTTCCTGCCTATTCCTGTCTGCGGAATAGAAGTACTGTCTGCATCCTGTGCTGACTTCAGCACAGGCCGTCGTTTCTTACGCGGCATGAGCGACGCTGTGAGTGTACTCTGGCTATCGCTATCACTGTTCGGAACTACGCATATCTATCTGTATACTGTTCTGGTCTACGCTGGCAGCGGACAACAGGTCGTCTATGTCCAGAGAGAAATACTTCGTAGTAACAGGACAAGGGAGAGACTGCGGATACTGTATAGACCTGGCTCGGAAACTCTTGGAGCGAAACGGATAATGGGTCTCAAGAATGTAAAGTGTTCAGTCTGATCGCTATAAGCAACCAAGAAAATTTTACTGCTAATGTTTCCCGAGCGCTTTTACTATGTACAAACTTAATGTAGGTCAGTCTCCTTATATTGTAGCACTCTAAATTATATTTCAGCACCAAAAATAATCTTCCGTTAAATTTACTTTTTTTTTGCAACTTTTTCCCATGCAAATTATGACAAAACAATCGGTAAATTAGTTGTAAATTTATCTGTACTTTATTACGAAACGTTAGCTGTATCGCCTCAAAAGGAAGGCAAAACAATAATTTACTGGTAATGCTAATACAATTCAAAGTGAGTTTAATGATCGAAATTCGTTTATTATTAACTCACTAAAATAACTGGACTGTCCGCGGTGGTGTCCGGTCGTTGGACTTCCGATGGACTGATTTAGGAGGAAATATGCCGGCTGGATACTTGTCCGAGGTTGATGTTGCGCAGAAGCCGGTTGTGTATTCTTCAAATTAGGTGCCGGTTATTGTGGTGGAAGTGTGGTTAGCAAGGTGGAAGAGGTACTGTTAATAAACCACAGCTAGATGGCAGAAGTATTGCTAGTTTTAGCGGATCCGGAAAGGGCGTTCGTTGGAATTCACTGGGTTAGATGGTCAGGACACCCAGGAGCGCCATGCAATGACAACTTCTAAGCTGCCCCTAGTGGGTTGGGTTAATCCACCCGTACCACGATAAAACGAGGTTCGATGGTTCGTCGGTAATTACCCAGATCTTAAGTAAATCACAATCTTACGTAACGCGCAAATTCAGGAACATCATCATCAATTTAATCAGAATCAGAGCAAGTGCAAGAGCAAGGGCAAGAGCAAGAACATGTGGGAAAGTCAACCGTCTGCCGGTCGAGGCAGCGTGAGCACGTCTACTGATTTCACATCCAGAAAAGTCAGAACATCTCAGAATTCTTCACAACCGATAACATGGATTCACAATTCTACTGAGATAGGCGGTGCTTCTGTTTCCGGTTGAGTTGTTACCAATGACAACCTGTAGAACATGATTCTACGGCTACAGTATTATGGGGGTTCCCTTTCATCGAAAGCATATCAATGCTTCCCGGACTGTGTTCCAGGCACTTAATCGAGGCAAAGTAAAAGTCACTTGAATTTGTTGGAAATATAGCACCGTCACGGTCAAATACATGCGACATCGGTTTGCGCCGAGGTGACTCCTTTGCCACACAGCACTTGACACTGTCGACGAAATTTTGGACTGGATAGGAAATAGACAAAAAATGTGATGGAGTAGTTGCTTAACTGAAGCAGGTCCACAAACCAGCTGACATGGCTCACTTCCTCATTGGTCAATGACAAGCTGCAGTATGGCGGCCGACTGGCCATTTTCAAGCATTCCAGGATGACATGCGGCAGCTGTGTCAGTGTGTACACGGTCAGACTGGCCAATACAAGGATGTTCGCGTTGCGCGTAGACGAGCGCTTGTTCACTGTTACCGTAACATTGGTGGATGTTTGATGCTTCCAGAGGACAATTATGAGAGCGGTGTTGAGGATGAGAAGCAACAGCCATTTAGCGAAAGACATTCCTGTCTGCAACAACGGCAAAATTTGTGACTGAACCACAACCGTTCGATTAAATTAGTTTTATAAAAGATAAACATTGCAAATACATTGGATTACGGGAACAAACGGAGAGTCTTTAGTACAGAATCCGTACACTGCGCTTACGTACCTGGGCGGTGATTTGCAGGTTGTACCAGCGGCTTAGAGACGGCGTTAGTGAATCCTGATAGCTCAGCGTTGAATCGTAGAAGTTCGTGTAATAGTAGTAGTAGGTGACCAGATGGGATAAGGAGAACAGGACCGCCAGGACCAGAATGCAGCATTCTTTTGCCAGTGTTTTCCGCCATGCATCGGCATCCGTTTGCCTCAGGGCAGCGGACAGCGGACGTGCCGTGACCAGCAATCGCTCAACGGAAAATATGACAAATGTCCTATCAGTGCAGAAAGCAATTTCGTACCAATGACTGATGTTCGTGCGGAAACATTGGAAGCGATAGTTTTTTTATGGTTCTTATGGAAGGAATACCGTATCAAGTATCTGTATAAGATGAATATCGCCGATGTTCACATATGTACTTCTAAACGTTTAACTGCGAAGTAAATGGGAGATCAAAAGGAGTTAGGCTTTCGGAAAATTAGAAATGCAAGCACAAATTACACGTAAATGCAATGTTATAACTTATATGATTGTTAGTGCAGAACAATACTTAATGTATGCTGCCTTACTTACCAGTCAACGACTTCTTTTGCTGTTCTGTACCAAAAACTTCCGAATCCTCTGTAAGCAGCAAGTACATCGACACTGGAATTACCGCCCAAGATAGAAGTGTTTGCTGCATTTACAAGATTTTCCGCTATGGCTGTGACATAATCAGGGAACAAGGACCACCTGTAAATAATGCATACATAAATAATAATATCTTTTTGGAATCGAATACTCGACGAATTCGTAGTGCACTTAGAATTTTAAAATAATGCTAGCAATATTTTCGTTCATCACTTTAAACCTGCATCTTAGCATAACAGATACGGGGCATAATCTTCTTGAGAATAATTAATATGAAATTATCATAGTGTACGAAAGTACCAGTCAAAGCTCAGTCCCGTTTATGACATATCAACCTAACCGTAGAGTATGCGCTTATTAGCAATCAATGATTATGTTAACGTAACGAGGTATCTGTGTGATCTGCTTTTGCGAAGCAACTTATGCAGATCACACGTCACGCACAGTATGCAGAGGTCCCCAAATCCGACACAGACAATATATACCGAAGTCGAAGTCAGACGACTTGTGTGATCTCTCAACTGTGCCGCAATTATCACAACACTTCCTGCGGTACCGCATAGTACAAGAAGAGGATAAACCACGAAATATCCATAAAGACCGGGACTGGAGTCGGCTGTTTCAATGGATCCCGTTCCGTTTTCATCCAAGCCCAACGCTCTATTCCAGGAACATTCACTAACAATCACGCTGCCGTTCCCCGCCATTTGTCAAAACATCAGTTGATGGAAGCTGTGGTGTAATTTCAAAATGCGAAACTGTTCGGCTGGCACGCCTGGTGACAGTTGACAAGCAATATGATGATGCTCGAAATAATGAGAAAAAAGGGCATTTGCGGTCGAACAAACCGTTTTGCTTTAAATTACGGAACGCTGTAGGAAGTAGGTAGAAAATGCGTCGGCTCGATTTACTGAAGAGCAGGTAGAATATCGCATAAAACTGAACGGTATATACCGGTATGCGGTCTGTAAACTGTTAATTCGTCTGCACTTGCAGGCATCTAATTTTGTCTACAAGGCTTATTTAATGGGTTTGAAAATGACTTATGAGGAATGACTAGTACAAATTACACTTAATGATATCATAAATACTGTCAAAAATGACGTTCATATGCAGCATTATTGCTTGCGGATGCTTTTTCGAGAAAGTCAACCGGTTTGTAACTACTTTCTGGCACTTGCGTCAATCGAGTCACCAACAACGTGCGCTATACGTCGTTTATCACAGCTTCCGCACGACCATTCTGAGCCATGGAGGTCACTGGTCAAGTTGTAAGGTGAAAATATTTTACCGAACAAATAGAGTAGCCCGGTACTGAGAACCGTAGACGGAGGGAATAAATTAAATAAAATTTTCCTGTCATGATTCTGTTGTTCGTTGGACCGGCATTGTATCACAAAACTCTACCACGCGCAGCAAATATCTACATACTTCAGTAAAAGGCGCACGGGATTACTGATGACACGTAAATTTTTCCGCCAGCGATAGTCGCTAAATATTATACTGTACAATCGGAAAATATGGTACCCCTTCTAGAACAATTAAAGCAACGGAGAAGTGGACGCAGGGTGTTGGTAAGAAACCTATGCAGCTACCGTATCTGTGGAAGTTCGAGGACTTCTGAACTACTAATTTTTATAAAACGTCATTTCCCGGTTAACCCTCAAACATTCACGCACTCATATTGAGGACTAATATTACTTGTATGTTGTCGCCGTTTTGCTCACTATACGAGTATTCGTATGTCCTGCGGCAACGATGACAATACACATCAAGCTTTAACTTCCATGACGTATAAAAGTTGCCGGATATGTACAATACAGTTATAACAAACTAAAATTCTTACCCAAGCACTGAGGTAATTTTTATTTTTTCCACAGTGCAGGACCATAAATACAAATATGTCAAGCGGTACCTCGAGAGAATCTTTCCGCTTTGGAAATCCTGACTAAACGCAGTGGTACTGCATTAAAGTCTGCAAAGCGACCATCTCGATGTGAAACTAATGATATAATGCATTTCGACGCAGCATGACATTTGTGTCGCGAATCAAGTTCTACAGTTCGGCATTTATTGTACACAGATATTTACTAGTCACTTATGATTTATCGAGATGGGGTTCACTGTTCAGCATATATTTTTTCTTCTAGGACCTCCCGTAACTCGCAGAAAACGCAGTTATAAAGGTATAAAGGTGATTTTTATTACGTTCACCGCTCCGCAAAAATATAGCGCCAATATGTTTAGAATGCTTTGCAATAAATCAGTAGTGCACCACCTAAAATGTTTTCGTTGTTTTACAAATCGGTTTTCTGTCTGCGTAAGACATAAAGTCTTTTTTTAGATACCGAGTGCAGTTTGTGTTATTTTGACATGATTTATTAAACTGCACCATATGTATTAAAGTAACAGAACATATACAGTAGGATGTAAAAGCGTTGACTTAGAACTTCGAAATCCATAAACAATGGCTTTTATCACACGATGCTAAAATTTACAAAATCGGCGCTCATTTACGGGGCTTCTGCAGTGACCAGTGCGTCCAACACCGATTGCTGATACGTTCGCAGCCACTCAATATTGGCTTTGATTTTGGTTATTGCCGACTCGAAGGCCAGCTTTTCCTCAATATTTGGTCCGAGGCTGGCATAGAAAGCTTCGACCTGGAAAATGTTTTATTGTAAGTACGTATCGGTTGGGAAATTTATGACGAAACTGTACTGACATAAAATCTGCAGAAACGTGATAATTACTTGTGTGAAAGACCTAACCATGGAAAAATATATACTAGCCATGACCTAACGATTGGCTTACCTCTGCGAGCTGTGCTGGTGTGTCGAACTTGGTGCAGACACTAGTGACCATATCGTTCCTCGACAAACTAATAAAATTAAACGCATGGTCAAGGCTAATGTATAGACAGCACGCTGATTTTAAACCCAGCCTTTATTTGTCAGTGTTTACCTTTTAGAGAAGGCATTCCAGTTTTCTCTCAAGAATTTCCAGGCAGTTTCTGTTCCCAGGAAAAATTTAACCAAATACCGGAATACGTATGCCTGATCTTGTGAACGAATGATGGTTGTGTCCAAAGATAAATTCAATAATCTGTAAATCAGACGGCGTATCCCGTATTTGGTTATTTCGACGACGCCAAATGTACCACGAGAAAATATTAATAGATGGATTATTTGACCCATGTTCGGTCCTTGATATTCTATCGCAAATCAGTTAGCTGTAGAAGTAAAAGGTGCTTTCTTACTTTTCACAGAGAATAATAGCAGTTGAAGCAAGAAGCAAGCAGGCGTTTTAATAGTGACCTTTATCGCTTTTTAGTTTTTAGAATGATCTTTACCGTTCAATCATCGCTTGCTGCCGACTGCAGGCCAATCCGCGCAGCACGGCCAACTTGACATTATGCACTTCGGCAGCACGGTACTGTTGCAGCATAAAATCGAAATCCGTATCGTTGGTAGCGTTGTTGCGCATACCGTAGCAGAAAACTTGATCGCGCAAATGGGGATCCACTCTGCACAGCCCACGATCTCAGTTAATGTACAGAGTAATACGAATAAATCCGGTTGCACAGAGAATCGGTTCTTACGGTTTGTTAGCGGGATCGGCCTGCCATTTGACAAACTCCTGTCTTGCATGCTCCTCACACCCTTGATGTTCGTAGTAGCACGACTGCTCCACAAATAAACGATTTAGCATTCTAAAAACAAAATAGACACGTTTGCCGATCAAAACCTAAGAAATCCGAAAGGCTGTTTTTTAAGAGAATCTTTTTAGTTGTGGAGTAACTGTAAGCGGTTTGCCGAATCGAAGCTAGTAGAATTTTGCTGATCTACATCATTATTCCGCTTGCGTGGAAGAAAGGAATAGAATAAATCAATTTTAATTAACGGAAAGCTCTTTTGTAACATCACGTACAGTTCTTGGTAGTCTTCGTGCTCTTCATCACGCCACACAGTGCTGGTATTCCAGAAGTCAGCGCTATAATGATGCTGAAAGAGAGCCGATGTGTAGTTTTTGAATGCCTCCTGCGTGCCCATCATTATGTCCAGATACTGTAGATTATCCAAAGCAGCGTACCACGGTGCATACGCATTTTCTCGTTGCATATAAGACGATAAAATCTTAAAGGGCACGGTGTAATTTAAAGCACCCTTCCTGAAAAGCGTCGACAGCTGAATTCTTGAATCCTGTCACAATATGCGTTCGCTACGAAGATTTTGCAATAAATTGTACCTGGCGAGGTTAAAACTGTCGTCAATCAACTGGGTGCGACTGTATACGCTGATGACCTAATCAACGTAGAGCGGTAAGTGATGATAATGATTATCGCGCCTATTTTGTTTTTACACATGTTCGTTTGCATAACTTTACCTGATGGTTGGTTTTCAACTGCTCCGTCAGCTTATCCCAGTTGTCGCTGTCGTAGTTAACTCGGTAATAACCATAGTGCTCCACATTGGCCAAGATCCAGCTGATATTCTCACCGGTTAAGGTGTGTTCAGCTATAAGAAAATTCTTGTAAGGAATAGCATTTGATTTATACGTATCAGCAACAAGTTTTACCGGACATAGTATGCCCAATACGCGTCTTGGTTTGCTCAAAACTTTTCTGTGCTAAGGAACTCACACGCCCTTGACCTTTAGCTTAATGCAGAATTTCAAACAGATTTTTACTACTGGTGAACTACTAAAGACACTAACATAAAAAAACAACTACGTAAACGAAGTAATCTGGAATAAATAATTGTTGAGGTTGCTTGCGAAAAATCATTAAATTTTTACAGTTTTCTCGTTTGTGTCGCTCGTACCGGTTTTGTTTTCCAGCCAGAGCTTAGGTCGAATCAACTGAACCCGATTCTCCTCGGTAATAGCATCCAAGCTGGTCACATAGCTGATCGGCACATGCCATATCTGCCGGGTGGCATTCTCCGAACTGTTACCCAACAAGAAGCGCTCCTGACTGAGGGACAACGTATTGCCATTGCGCCGAATAGTAACCAAGGGGAAACCGCTGGTGGTGATCCACTTGTCGAAGCGCTCGGTAATGTTAGCAAAATGTGGTTTACCAACTAAATGGTCAGTCAGAGCGCGCAATAAATCCGGATAAGTGGTGATGCTGTCGTTTCTCATACGGTGGAGATACGATTTCAAGGCAGCATAAAGATCACTGGTGCCCATTACACCTTCCATCATACGAATAACCGCTCCGCCCTGATGTAAGTAAAATACCATTTATTAAACAGCAGGTCATAAGTTCATGTTTAGTTAAACTTGCTTAGAATTCATTTGCAATTTATTTAGCAAAATACTGGCTATTAATTTTATGGATGTACCTTTTGATAGGTAATGCGACCGAACATGTCGGAAATCTCAGCCTGCGTGTTGACTTCACGGAACAGTGGAATGGAAGATTCGTAAGAATCGGTGTCGTACGCGACTCGTGTGTCTGTCGCAGTGAAGAGTGTTGGCTATAAATGAAGTGAAAAGTCTTATTTAACCAGCGCAGAAGGACGTTATGGCGCAAAGAACTTACGATATTCCATTCCGGTTTGGCATGATGAGTTAGCGGATATTCCATAAACGTGGCAAAGCCTTCGTTGAGGAAACTCTCCGACCACCATGAGCAGGTTACTGCGTTACCAAACCACTGAAACAAGTAATCGTTCAATTTTACAGTTACCTCTTTTCGTGGCAACAACTACGTAGTTTCTTTTAAAGTTGTATGCTGCATTACCAGTTCCTGTTTGTCTGGTATCAGTTATTAGCGTTTTCTGCCACAGATCACCATTTGATGACTAAAAATTGTCGTGTGGTTTAAATGTTTTGCCAATGTTGGTTGTCTGCAATTTTGTGACCTTAGTGTGTTTACTACTGTAATTCACAACCTGCTCAACAACTACTGTAATTCGGGGTTGTACTGGAGAATTCATACTTAACACAGTTAAAACTCTTCAGTATTTGTGCGCTACAACAATAAGCAATTCCCTATGTAATTGTATTTACAGTGCAGCATGATAAGGCGTAATTCCCCGACTGATTAGACAGTCAACCACAGTTAAATATTTAGCGCCGGCTGTCTGCAATAACCGTTTTTCCTGTAAAGGTTTGCTTACCATGTGAGCCAGTTCGTGGGCCACAATGCGGACAATCTGCTTCTTATCTTCTGCTGATGTAATGCCCACACGATGCAGCATGTACACTTCACGGTAAATGATCAAACCCCAGTTTTCCATAGCACCGGCTACAAGAGAATGTGACATTTATTTCAGTTTTGAGGAATTTCTGTAATAAACCGTGGTAAAATTACCATCGAAATCCGGAACGGCAGCCATATCTAAAAACAAAAGTTCAACAGGCGTGTTTTGCCAAAAACACACATTACCAGATTAAGCATTTACAAACAGGGTTGCCCTCTTACCAAGTTTGGAGTTGTAGTCCTTATACGGCATATCGAAGAGATCGCGTCCAACAAATGTGGTCATATTGACACCGGTGCGCAGAGCTAAGCTGGCATCTTCTATTGCATCCGGCCGTGAAATAACGCCAAACTACGATATACTTTGTGTTTAAATGAAAATAAAATAATCTTTTAATACAGATATGTTATTTTTTCGAAAGTTTTTTGTTCAAACTAGTTGACCGGAGGTGGTACGCGTATCTTTAAGTTGAAGATGTACTTAAGTAGACACCATATTAAAAACTTGTTTGTCCAGAAAATTGGCTCACATCAACGCCATCCTCCATGGCAGTGTTGTTTCGTGCGAAATCACTGACAATAAACGCCAACAGGTACGTTGGCATTCTGACAGTCCGTTCAAAGGTCGTCTCGGTCCAGCCGTCCACCAGATGCGTGGTGTTGGTAATGCGACGCACACTGTACGTTCCGGTGTGTCGGCTGTCATGCTTAATGGTGATGTCGAAGGTGGCGCGGAACGACGGTTCATCGAAACATGGGAACGCTCGACGTGCTTTGTACGGTTGGAACTGGGTAGTTGCCAACCACCTAAACATATTAAAAGATTAAACCCTTAACAGACAGTTATTTCGGACCGACGATAGGTTTCTTGGTTAAATAAAAATTTATTACTAATTATATTTTTTGGAAAACATCATGCGCTTTATTGAGAATCACAAACATACTCGCTATATACGAGTATATATACTGTAGTATAATTCATTTTTTACCAATTACAATAAGCATTTTTTAAACCATAAACAGGACCCGAACAGATAAACCATTTGCTGTTAAGTAACTATAATAATTATTCTATCTGTTTGTTCGATAGGCTTCAAAATATTTAGCTGCTATAATGTTTATTCTTTTTTCTCGCACTGACCGCTTTTCGCCGTTGATCTCGTAGAAGCTGCGATAGAATCCCTGATTTTCTCCGACAATTTGCCCTTCATATTCCATCATGAGCGTATATTTTCCGCCACGAACCAGCCGCTCATCGGCACGCATAATAACCAAATGCCGCACGGGATCATAGACAATCTGCCGCTGCAGCGGCACCGTGTGGGTGGCATTCTGCAGGTGTTTAACGCGGATATCTATATCCCAGCTGTGCAGCACGAGGAGATCCGTCTCGGCGACACACTCAAACTCCACGCTGACCGTGCCCCGCGTGGTGAACGCATTGGGCCGGTCGGCTTCGGCATCCGTGTAGGGCAGGAAGACCTGCAGATTGAGATCGTAATGGCTGGGAATGAGATCGCTGGGCAGACGGTAATTGGGCCAGATTGTCTGCGGCGGAGATGTGGGCGGGACTATCACGGGAGTGGAGGCGTTTATCCCTGTCGCATAAAAAAAATTGACGTACAGGAACGATTTACTGCGATATACTTCATATATCAGTATACCAAATACAAAACGAGATTTAGATTTATCATTCAATAACACTTAATTCAACTTTTAAAACGATGGTTGTTAAACGGTTTTATATTGTGTATATGTCTCTTTTCCAGTTTTCAGTTGTATGTACATTAGCAGATATTTTTTCTTGCTTAGTTTATTAGATTTTTAATATATAGTCTTTAATAATTCTATATTTAACAGCTTTTTCACTCGCTGCTTGCTTATAGAATACAATTACGTAAAGTTAATTTAAACAGGTGGAGATAAGATTTAAACAGGTGGAGTTAATTTAAACAGGTACATTTTGTAATCAAAGTTACGCAAGGAAATTAGTGCCAATACATTTCTTGAAAATGTAATCACGCAGAGCAACAAAATTATTTTTGAAATGTCTTGACATTATTATGTACTTACGGTTTATTTGGTTTTGAAGATCAAGAATATCCTCATTCTGCTGTACAAAAAACACCGACAACACGATAATCACAGCAACCGCACTGACTAATACCAGCGTCAACAAGAAAAGGGCAAACGGACTGCAGCGGACACCGCGACGTCGCTTGGTGGACTCGCTGCTGTCCACTTCTAAGGTGAAGTTGGCCTTTGGCATTTTGATGTGTTATTCCCAAAATGCCAGGCGAGCGGCGGAACAAAATTGGACAACTATTGTGACAGAACGCAAAATGGTTATTGATTCTTATTAGTGTAACGATACTTGAAAATGCTGCGATATGTTTTGAACAATTGCACTTTGATAACATAATTACACGGTGGAATACGTGCGAGTCACGCAGAATTTACCGGTGTTGTCTTATCAGTCAAAGATGAACAGACGAACCCATCTTCAACAGCAGTACCTAATTACTGATTATCTTAACATTTTACCGCGTGGCTGCTTATCTGCTTTCCTTAAAATATATCGCTTGTCCGGCATTATGTATCGGATCTATTATTAAATTTTCAATTGGTTTTATCGCATTGCTTTGAAGCTTGATTGTTCCCAAGCATGTAGTGTACGTAGGATGGTTTTTTATCGTTGAAATATGACGCAAAATTATGCCGAATTATCGATAATATTACAGTAACTCTGCATAACGCGTATGAGGTCATAAGTCAGTAATACAGGCCACCGTAATGTGTATTGTACAGTGTTGTACTTGTAGCACAACGTATTCATATACCTAGGTAATTATTTTATCCGGCGTTCTCGTGAAAATCGTTTTCCGGATGTATGAAAGCAACTCCTCCCAGTACGTACTTCAAGGGCCACAAGTCACATCTTGAACTTTTTAGCTCAATAAAATGATAATTTTTCTTTATTTTACAGCGGAGTGTGCAAAAAATAATGTTATGACGTATAAGAAGTTTGTAGGCACCTCACACAAGTTCTATAATGGTGGAGGTCAATTACATTTGGGTAAGCGTTACGCGTCAAGTAACGGGAAAACGCGTAAAAAATGTGACGTAACAGCGCTTAACCAAGCAAACATTCTGATTCGCAGTCACAAAATCTGGGATGGGTTTTCAGCTTACTTGTCCGCGTAAGCGTTGCGCTTCGACGTCGAAGCGCAACCAATACCCAAACTCCGAGTAACTCGTAACTCTCCTGCACAGATTAACAAAATTTGTGTGTGTTTGGACCAAAAGTAAATCCAACGACCCAGAGTAACAATCGAAAACTCATAATTAACTTTTTTGACGTAATACCACATTTACCACATTACAGCATTAAAAATGAGTTTTTCAGTTCCACTACGGTGTTCAATTTCTTTCTTGGCACGGAAGCGTACTCGACTCACGATTGGACGATTGTTTTTCTGCTGAGTCATGGCTGATTTTTTACGCGGTTCTCCATTACCCGTCGCGCAACAGTTACCCAAATGTAATTGACCTCCACCAATATGTCACTACGGTCAGCACGTCCGGGTAACATTAACACCGTTTACATAAAAGAACGCATTACAACCATTGCAGTAATTATTGCAGCATGTAGCCCGGCGATTGCGGGGGCAAGTGGCTTGCGAACACGGTTCTACGTAGCACTGATTGGGATATGTCCCCGGCGGACAGCGGCTCTCGGACGGGCAACTCGGATTGGTCGGGACGTTTGGGTCACGGGAATAGCAGCGGTCCGTAACGTCGCGACCGTTGAAATTCCACACGGCGGTGCAGTCACATGCCGCTGTACACCGAGCGCTGGGGAAGTTGAGACAGTAGGTAGCCCTCGGATTGCATGGATCGCTGGAGCATCGCGGCGACCACGGACACGTCCCTGCAAGTATTCCGATGAATCTCACATAAGTTTATTTAACAAATACGAAGATAGTCAGGTATTTCACTTCGGAAATTATTCGGCTTGCGTTTTGATTTGTTTTGCTTTATGTGACGTTGTGGGAAAACATTTTCTTCTTGTGGCCTTTATATTTACAACGGCCTTCAACAAGAGTTGTGCGCGATACTGTAATACATATATTAGAAGAACTGAGGATTTTCGTACCTGAGAAGCTTCCGGTAGCGGATTTCCGGCACTGCACAGGGTCAGAAATTAAAATCAGTGTCCACGCTAACGCCGTAAATGTACATGTGTGTGCTCCGAACATTGTGTTAAAAGTACTCGAAATTCTAAAGTGTCGATATGTTAATATGCTTCCCAAAAGCCTAAAAAATAACCTGCATTAACTAGTGTCATACAAAGTATTAAATAGTGCTTCTATGCGTTTATATACCGTCGCGAGGAAGTACTGATGTTTGCAGCGAGTGACTTTATCTCCTTAAGGGCAGGTAAAACCTGTGCTGTTCGACAGCATATACAGATAATGCTTGGAAAAAACCAGATGTCGTGATGATTTATTGTCTAAGGAATTAATTTTAATCAATCGAAACGAGTCAATAATTATTTTACTGTCGATACGCTATGCTGATCCGCATATTTTAACTTTTCAATTCCGAAAAAGCAGTATGACGCATGTCTCTCATTACGTGGAACTGCGAATGTTACTCCTTGCATTACATATTGAATCTTCAAGGGTGCAAAACGTGGCTTTCTCCAGTTGCATGCTGTTTTCTGATGTTACGTCTGGGAATTCTGAAAAGTTTTGAGCATAGATGTTAAATACAAAGCTTATTAAGAAACTGGAAATGAGTAAACTTACCGAGTACATAGCGCCCAAACGTAAATCATTAGTCATTCAAATTTTTTCAGTTTCGTCATTACCCGGCATTAATTTTGTACTATAGACGTGATCGGCATACTTAATTAAAAAGTACAAAGCTTTTGCAAGAATATCTTTTGGTGTAGTGGATTATGAAGTTTCTGTGCAGTAATTCGTTACCACGTACACTGGTTGCAGCTGAAGTTGCAAAATATGAAAACGCAAACTTAGGAATGATTTATAGGGCAGATTAGAAATAGCAGAATTTTGAAACTTTTGCCTACTTGTGCTTACTTAAGGGTGACTAATACAATACATTTGTATCTGTACAATATTAATGTCGCCATAGTACATTTGACGTTACATTAAAAAGTGATCGTTTTTGAAAAAATGCTCTGAGTGTGCACGTGTAGCATATGCGATGCGTATTGTCCTACACCAGTGTATGTTGCTGGTACCGGCAACATAATTACGCTTTGAAATAATATTCTCAATATACAGTACAAAAGGATGCCTGGATCTGACAGCCCTCGAGCAATAACAGCGCTAACAGAAAGCCGGGATATTAAAGCAACAGAACTGAATACAGACACCTTAGGACGACTTAAAGCGCCCGGGGTCCGGATATTATCGAACAACTTGGGTACACACGTGCAAAAACCACTAAAGTAAAAAACATGATTACCATCGTCACTTATACTGCACATCCACCGGTCCGCAACATAGATGTTAAAAATGGTGGCGTTGTGCATTCTCCTCCTGTTCACCGGCATCGTCCAACTCGTCCACACTCTCCCGGCTCCCAATGTACAGTACGGCCGCAGCGATGGGAAGAAGGGGTCATCAGTCCCAAAATCCTGCTGATCACCATGTTTGATAAGGAAGCTGATATCTGGCTGAAATCGGACTACAAAATAACCGCGGTGAATGTGACCATGCCAGGATTAGCGTCGCGCTATCCCGCGGTCAACTGCGATGCCGCCGGGAATATCTGTCACATCACCACCGACGAAGGGGAGATCAACGCCGCCCTCACCCTTACCGCGCTAGTGGATTCAACGTTTTTTGACTTCAAAAAGACGTATTTTTTCATTACCGGCATTGCCGGCATCAACCCGGATGTGGCGTCACTGGGATCGGCGACCTTTGCCAAATACGCCGTGCAAGTGGATTTGAACTATGAATTTTTTCATGGAGATTATCCTGCGGACTGGCCGGTGGGGTACGTACCCCTGGGCGCCAAGAAACCCAACGTGATGCCGGTGTGGTTCTACGGTACCGAATTGTACGAGTTAAACGAGGCGTTACGGGACCGTGCAGTGGCCGCTGCGGCCACAGCCAAACTGACCGATCACGACAGTATTAAAAAGTACCGTCAGCAGTGGCGGCAGCGGGTGGCCCAGCAGCCGCCCGGGGTGGTGAAGTGCGACACTGCCACCGCGAATATTTATTGGAAGGGAAAAGTGCTGGGGGATTATTTCGCCAATTATACGACAATTGTTACCGAGGGGCGGGGCCGGTACTGTACCACACAGCAGGAGGACAATGCGTCGCTGGGAGCGTTGATTCGGGGAGCGGCGCGTGGGGTGCTGGATTTCGGGAGGATTATCATCTTGCGAACGGGAGCGGATTTTGATCGGCCGGCGCCGGGGATGACGGCCGTTGAGCAGTTGCTGGGCGAACGAGGTTCGCATGGCGGCTCCATGGCGCTGACCAATATGTTGTTGGCTGGGAAGCCGGTGGTGGATGATATTATCAGGAACTGGGATAAGGTGTTTGCAAGGGGAATAACTGCCAAGAACTACTTGGGTGATGTGTTTAATACGCTTAATGACCCTAAACCAGGTAACGTGGCGCGCAGTAAATTGCTCTATTGATTACTGAATAAGAAAAAATATAGTAAAGCTTTCGAAATTAATTAAAAAATTAAATAGATTGAAAGACTAATTTAAACCACGGTTATGTATTGGAAAATTCGCTTGTTGTAAACAAAGTACTGTAACCTACCGGCATCGTTTTGCATTGCAGATTCGAAATTCATAAAGGGATACGAAGGCTAACAAATCGACGGAACTGGATACCAAAATGCTCAACAAACTCCAATTACACAACTGGGAATTGTTGATGGGTAGCTGCATGCAGCTTTCTCAAGGAACATTTACCGAATGCACGCATTTTAAATTTTCTCCTTTGGACTCTGTCGTATAATTTAGTTTAAAGATTTACGTACCCCGAACCTTAACCTTGTCCGAAAACTTGCCATAGCTCGATGTGTTTAATTTTGAAGTGTACGGTTGTAGCGGTAATGCAGGCTTTTTCGATGAGGTGAAAGTGAGTCGTACCGTGAAACAGATGGAACACCAATAATAATTATTTTATGACCACATTTATTGCTTTAATTTTGCAGAGTGCCGGTATCAGTAAAATAATTGAAACACTATGACAACGCCCAATTTGCGGCAGCCACTAAATTTTGGAATTATTTTCGAACTGCGCAGTATTACGAATTGTTTTCGGTAGTCACTCTATTCTTTTATTCAGATATTTGTTAATTTTTTCAGTCTCCAGAAGTTTATTTATGGTCAGTGATAAAATCTTATGATCGTAAATTCCCCCTTTTGTCCGTATGAGATACACAGCTTAATCTAGCATTTATGGGCTGCAGTCATATATCCATGCACATACTTATATGTGCGAACTTTTAAGCACAGCATCCTCCACTGCCGCGTATCTATACGATATATTACTACAAAGTAAATTAATTAAAAAGTCTGACTGCATGGTGCAGGCGTTTTCTGTGCGCCTGAAACCGAATTTGCGATCATATCGAATATGCATTACACTTCATTTGCGAGTACATACCTATTACACACAAAATCACCCGAAAAACATTGTAAATGTGAGCGGAAGTGGGTGAATCAGGCGGGTATATTCGTGGAAGCTGCTACGTGAGCGTGGTTTACTGTAATTGGTAATTAACGTGCATGCGCTAATGCACGTCATATATTTTGATATGATCAGAAATCTGGACGGTATACTGTATACTCCGATATAAAAACCTTGCGAGCACCACTTATTTGATAATTTATGACAAATGTACCGTTAATTTCAGATCTCATTACGTGACGTGTGTTTATAAAAATATATATCAAAATATACATTATTTCATTTATATGCAATTTCTAACGTAATTTTTATATTCGCGGATCGAGAACTTATAAACAATATGCCTACATTACGCGTAGAAGAAGCACTTTTTCCGTTATTATTCCTCGCCGCAACACTGGCCGGCTTCGCGCTGGCCGACAACGGTATCGCCTGGAACGGCAACAACTGGGCACTGGGCTGTGATTTCAGCGGGCGTGATCTGAGCCACGCCCGCATGGCGGGCGAACAATGCGGCGGACACTGTGCCAACACGCCGGGTTGTACGCATTTTGTATGGAATAACCACGAAAGCGGTACGTGCTGGTTAAAGTACGGTGAGGTGGCGAAGTCGTGGGCCTTCAAGACGGGAGATAATTCCATGACCTGCGGAGTGACTGCTAAAGATGGATGTGATGCGCGGTGTAATTGTGGCGGATTTTACGTCAATGGGCAATGTGTGTGTTATTACTGTAAAGGGCGAAGATGAACTGGCGGAGCTGCCTTAAATTATTGTGATTAACACATGTTAACGTACCATGTTATTAACACTAATGGTACGTTAACATGTTGTAGTTATTGGGCAGTATTATCTTGTGCAGAATATCTGCTGCCATTTTTATCACTGACTTTATGTAAGCTGCACATTTCTGCTGTCAGATTCAGGCGCCGATTTCTTTGTTACGGTATCATTCGCTTTCTTCCGCCATATATAGCAACTACGTAAATAAGATGCAACAAACGTTACGGTTTTCGTCGTCGCGAGTCGAACCACACTAAAATTATCCATAGTTTTCATAATATCGCATTATCAGGTTTGCACATATGTCACCTACGGCGCGTTTCGTACGCCTAAGCAAAAAAGCCGAACGCTATGTTTTGTAACTTTTGTTACTATATTCACCGTTAGTAAGGTCATGTGGTTGCGACTGTGGCGGTCAGTGCAGTCATCGACGTAACGGCACGATGTGCTCTGCATACTTATGCCTATGACCGGACCGGCACAGTAGACATCTAAACAGTGGACACACGCAGACATACTGCAGCCGCGGGTGTCACCGGTCATCTGAATCTGTGCAGAGCTCCTGTTTGGCATCGGAAAATTTTGACCATGCCTACGCCCATGCACACCAGACTTCCTGTTTGTGACGACGGATACCCTAGAACAGTATACCAGGTTTAGTTTTGGTAGCAAATTTGTTATATCTAAAAAATCCACCCCTTGAAAACAATAAAATATGAGTGGAAGGAAGTCTAAGAACCAGCCGCGGGCGCATCCGTAGAAGCCGGTACATGAGCGCGGACTATTATAACCATCATTAACCAGTGGCAAAGTGCGTACGCGATCAGAAATCAGAGTGGACGAAAAATCTACGAATATGCTGCGAACGTAGTTATTAAACTGGCCAGCACTAAATAAACAGCTCGTTCAGCATTAACACTTTACAGCTTAAATTTTCAAATTTGCAGTATCTGTACAGATACATGTGTATCTGTATCTGACACTGTCATCGCCTGGAACGGCAACAACTTCGGCTGGACGGCTGGACCGGTAACTGGGCACTGGGTTGTGATTTTAATGGCGGGCATGATCGGCGTAATCTGAGTCACGCCCGTATGGAGGAAATTGTGCCAACACGACGGGTTGTACGCATTTCGTGTGGAATAGACAGGAAGGCGGTACGTGCGGTTGAAGTATGGTGAGGGGAAGAAATCGGAGGCCTGCAAGACGTGGGATAATTCGATGTCCTGTGGCGTGATATCGCTAAGGATGCGTGTGATGAGCAATGTGATTGCGGGGGATCGTACGACAACGGACGATGCGTGTGTAACTGGTGTGAGAGGCGGAATGGAATGTGTAATTGGCGAATGTTTCAAGTAATTTTCTGCCCTTATTAGGTGTTTGCTTTACCATGTTGAATTACTACATATGATGCATTTCACCACATTATTGATACATTACATTGATACATATGGTATTATAACTGTATGCATACTATTTATTGCCATTTTTCGTCACTGTTTTCGTTTCTCGTATTATACCAGAAACGAAAATAATGACGATACATTACATTGTACAGCCCACTAAAAATGTGTACGAGTTGTATACATTTTCACTGGCCCGGTTGTTTGTTTTGGTATGATTCGTCTTTCTGACATAATAATACGAGGACGTAGATTAACATATTAACAGAACGTAGAATGAGAGCTAGGCGTTATTTTGTACGCCGTGATAATTTTCTCGCATGCTGAAATATGTCGCCACTTTGTATGGATTTTGCAAAAAAATTAATACATTGTAGGCATCTACAGATACATGTACAGTACACTACTCGTAGGTTACCGATACCGATAAATGCCATTGTGCCGATGTACCCTAGGTATTGTCAGCATTATCCTTCGACCAGTTTAACGTCACCGATTAGCTTTTTGTTTATTTGCTCCAAAGGAGAATTGTAGAAACATGCACTGTTGACATTTTAAAAAACAATAATGTTCTACTCGACTTGCAAATACCGCAAAAAATTACAGAAACCGTCATTTCTTTTATACTACCCTAGCTCTTTACAGTGGCTATATGCTGAGTAGGCATATTGGTGCTGCACGTGCATCTAATCTATGCCCCTGCACTGACTGCACCATCGCAAAAAAATCCGTTGAAAAGTAGTTAAACAAATATCCTGCTTGTAAGAACTACACAGCACATCCCTGGATGGGCTTTAAGATGTCCCAACAAATACAGCTGCTGCTTCAGCAAATGCAAAAAGACTAAAGTTTTTATTTACAGGAATACCGGTCCATCTGTCAATCTTCTTGTCAAATCGTTTGCTTCTCGTACTTGCTACACGGATTGTAAATTCACCGGCTTATGTAAGATGTACTACATGTGTATAATGTGCTACATGCATGTACTTACATGCTATGCAGTTTGATAAAACTAAACTCGCATGGCCGAGTCGTTATAGTTGCGAAAAAGTATTACTTCCGGGCATTCTGTCAACCGCATCCTGTATTGGTCCAGCGTGTGAGTAATTTGCCCGGGAGGTCAGGCTGCCCATATGGACCATCTTGACGCTGGTCTGATTAATTATAATTTAATTATATTTTATAATTAATGGATCGCATTATGATCTGATGGCTGCTTAACGAAAACCGCTCACGGCCAATTTTATATAATCACACCGGGTATATATCCACAACGCCAACCGAAACCCGGCATTTTTCCATCCGATCACTACGGGTTTATCGTCAAACCCGGCATTTTTTGCTTAGTATCACATTCAGCAAAAAATGCGGGCGGTGTTCGCGGTATTGGTTGTATTGGGATGCCTGGCCACGGTATTGTCGGCACCGGCGCCGGCCCGTCGACCCGCCGTAAAATACGGTCGCAGTGACGGGAAAAAGGACGTCCTGGCGCCCAAAGTGATGATTGTCACCATGTTCTCCCCGGAAACCAACGTCTGGTTGGCGTCCAAGTACAAGCTGACCGCCATCAACGTCACCGTCCTGGGCTTCTCCTCGCGCTTCCCCGCCGTCGGCTGCAACGCCGCCGGCTCCGTCTGCGTGATGACCACCGACGAGGGCGAGATCAACGCCGCCAGTACCCTGTCAGCGTTGACCTTTTCCCCCTTCTTCAACCTGAAGAAGACGTACTTTTTCATCACCGGCATTGCCGGCATCAACCCCAAGCTGGGCTCCATTGGATCGGTGACCTTTGCGCGATACGCCATCCAGGTGGATCTCTTCCATGAGTTCGACGCCCGCGAACTGCCGAAAGACTGGCCGAACGGGTTTGTGGCGCTGGGCGCCCGGTACCCGAATGAGTACCCGGGGAAATTCTATGGAACGGAGGTGTATGAGTTGAACGAGGCGTTGCTGGATAAACTGTTCACCGTGGCGTCCAAGGCCAAGCTGCAGGATAGCCCGACCGCCCGCGGGTACCGTGCCAACTACAAAACCCGCCCGGCCATCCAGCCGCCCATGTTTGTCAAATGCGACACGGCGACGAGCGATATATACTGGGGCGGGACCCCCTTGGCCGAGACCTTCGACAATTTCACCCGCGTTGTCACAAACGGCACCGGCCGGTACTGCACCACCCAGCAGGAGGATAACGGGACGCTGGGCGCCCTCCTGCGGGCGGCCATGGCAGGGTTGGTGGATTTCGGGCGAATTATCATCATGCGCACCGCGTCGGATTTCGACCGGCCGCAACCGGGCGGCAATTCCGTGGATCTGTATTTGCATAAGCATCATTCCGGCGGATACGAACTGTCCATTGCCAATCTGGTGAACGCCGGCGGTCCAGTGGTGGACGAGATCACCAAGAACTGGGATAAAGTGTACGCCAACGGGATTAAAGCCAAGAATTTCCTCGGGGATGTGTGGAATGACCTCAGCAGTGAGGTCAAGGCCACCTGGGGACCGTCCGCACCGGAATCGAAGCTCCGGCGGAAACGGGCGCTCGCCGTAAAATTCGCCAGAAAATAATATGGTAGAAGGATGTATTTGCCGGTGAGAAAAGTCGTAAAATTGTCGATTATTTTTGCAGTTAATTAATTCATTGAGTTGTTCTGCCGCATTCTGTGAGAACCGGTTCTGCAGATTTTATTACTTATAATTCCGATAGAATGCATTGCCAGTGATTGATTAATTTCACAAATTTTGGCACAATAATTACGTCTTCGCCGATTTACTATGGCATTTTTTTCTGTATAAAATTTAAAATTTCTCCGGAAGGATTCACAGTGTCAAAACCAAATAAACCGTCGCAGTGGCACAATCAAAGGTGTGAACTAACTGGTATAAAGCCAGTCTTAAAGGTCAACAGATTAATAAACAAAAGCTATTTCTTTTGCGCTTTGTTGCTCTTCTTCTTGCCTTTCGGTGCGTTGTTAACGCCCAGCTCATCTTCCAATAACAGCCGGCGTTTCTTATTTATGGGCATTTTCGCATACCACGCCTGTTTAAAAAGGAAATGTGAATCCAACAATGCAATACATAAAAGTGGTAAATTCCAGACAAAAAATTATACATTCATACCGATTTGTCAATTTTTAGGGTGCCTCACAAATTATTACTTTTGGCAAATGATTTTTGACCATGGATTTTAGCAGTATGCTACAAGTACTCGAACATAACATTAACAACAATTTAGCGGCAATTTTGTCAACACTCTGTACTCCCAGATTCCATCAGGCAGAAAATGTATTGAGCCAAAACTCACAAAAGCCTTGCATAAACTTTTCCAGCAATAGCCGCAATTAAAGAAAATTTCGAAAATAAAAAAATTATAAAATAAAACAGTAACAACAGTAGTAAATATTCAGTGAAAAGAAATACCAGTTCGCCAATTTAGAAAAGATTCAAGGTGCAATCCACGACTTTAAATCTGGATATGATATATATAATATACGTTTCAAATGTATATGAAACGTGCAAAAAAGAGTAAATTTTGTCTTAACTTCGAGCACAAAAAATACTCCCAAACTGATACTGTATTACAGTGAGTTCAATAATCTTCATAAAGTAGAAAAACATCTACATTACCTCAAACTGCTCCAACGGCTTTCCCGCAAACAGTCTGGCTTGTGCGCACAAGGGAATAAAACGGTCAACTGTGACGGAGTGCGGATTGAAACGGCGCTCCTGATCGCCGGAAGCGAATCCGCCCGCCGGTGTCATCCAGCTGATGACAGATTTCGCCAGCGAGACGAGCTGTGTGGTGGAGAAATACTCGCTGATTTTGGCCACGGTCGGCAGCAGATGCGGATCCAGGGATAAATAGTTATAGCCCGTTTCCTGGGCCAGAGTGCGATTGAGGATTTCTAAAAGATAAACATGCAAAGCCGCAAGTACAATTAATTGCATTTTGCAGTATCTTTGGATTTATTTTAGGAAAGCACAGTCTTTTTTTAAAAACCAACAAAGAACGTATTTTGCAATGAAACGGTAGTGTACTGGCTGCATAGCAGTAGATCCATGCCAAATCCAAATTAACCGGAACGACAATACTTTAGGATAAATATTTTTAGATTTTATTTAACAAAACTATTATATTGATACATTCTGATAATGTGTGCTGCTGCATATACCAACGCGGGCGTGAAAATCCGGGAGCGGAACAGGGACTATTTTATTGAACACGGAATTCGCGGCTTTCACTTCGCAATCCGAAGGGCTGCTGCTCAGTCCCAGAATCAAAATGCGCTCTTTCAGTGGCAGCTTTTTCATTGTCTTCAGCAATTCTTTTTTCAGTGCTGCAAATAGCAAACCGAAATCTGTAAGTGCAATTGCGTTGCGTCTGAATTTTTATTGGTGCTGATATCCGGCGGAAATAAGCATATGTAGTTATGTACTGCAGTAAATAAGCGGTATTTCCACCCGACCGTAAACCGAAGGCATCGTAGTATCATGGCTGCAAACAAATGCGGAGTGGCGAATTGATATGTGCTTTCCGAATAAAACCTCATTTCATGAATCTTTAAATAATTGCTTATAATTTTTTTGCAAAAGCATAAGACAGTCTTCATTAAACAGCGCGCAGTAAACAACCGCACGGAAACTACCTTAACCAAAACAAGCGGAAGCTTTCTCCAGTGAAAAAAAGCAACAAATTATATGGAAAAAATTATTTTATATCCAGGTAATATTTCGTGGTTACCACGGACAATTTGCTACCGAACACTTTCTTACACCTTTATATTCCAGCTTGAACTGCTTGGGTCCCTTTTCCCCACCAAATACTCCGCCCACTCAATACACAACACGGATGGCTGGAACAATTTGGCCATCTTGAAGATCAGATGCACCAGCATCACGATCCCGGGTTTGCCGCGATACCGACTCTTAATATAACTCAGATCCAGATTAAACCGGCAAGCACCCAGCGCCGTACACACCGCCCGTGACAGCAGATGCTTGCCGTTATGCGGCGGTCCCACCAGCAAGAGCGACTTCACCACCGGCATCCGTTCCCGCACCGCGCTCTCCGCCGTGTTGAGGATACAGTAGTGGCGCAGAATGTTGCGGATCTCGGCGGCCTGGGGCATCAGGGGCTGGTCAAAGTCGTAGTGGTTGGTGCGCAGTTCTTGGCCGATGTAACGGGCGCTCCCGTAGTAGTCGGTGAAGGAGGCCGGCATGGTGGGCACCATGATGCCCTGCATCGCCAGCTCCTCGACGATGGACTCGGTGGTACGGTTGGGGGTGAGGTCTTTCTCTTTCTTTTCCTTCTTACCCTTTTGCCTTTCTTTCCTGTATGAAAACATCCGCGGTTATAATTTTCCGAGTGTGCTGCCAATGTATCATTCCACGCTATGTTGACCTCTCTCCGAATTAAGACAATTAATTAAATTAAAAATTAAATTAAAAAGATAAAATTAAAAAAATTAAACAAAAATTACTTAAGTTAAATCGATGCAAAAAGGTCTAAAGACGTTACCGTATGGAACATTTACACAACGGGCAGTCTGCATCTGTATATGACCAATAATTTCAAGTACATACGACTTCCAAATGCAGAAGAAATTTTAACCAAAACAAAAAGTCTTCGTTTTGCGTTCAGCGTACATATACTTTGCACATTCTGCTGTGATCAATATCTCATATAATGTCCATTATGTCAACATACCTTTTTTCTTCTTTTTCGGTTTTTGCCCGTCAATGGCTAACTTAAGATAATCCAATTCAGTGCGCATATTTTTATCCACTTCCAGTCGGATTTCATTTTTAAGTTCCACCCGCTTGTCAGCCTTTACAATGTCGGTATCGAATTCCTGGTTAGCGTTGTTGTCGTCCGAGCGACGCTCCCAAAAATCATGGAACACCACCATGGACTCGGTGAGATCTTTAATGAAAGCCGACTGGGCAATCATCGGCGTCCAGCCTTCGTCTTCCTCGCCTGGCATCGTATAAAAATCATGCTGAGGCAATTAATAAATATTCAGTGAAAAGCTAAATTTCTAGCAGCAACTACAAAAGCCAATGGAAGACTAATTTAAACGGTAGAAATTACTACAGATTATATAGAACCAGTAGCACAGATTATTCTAAGTAAAACATTTTTAATAAATAACAGTTCTAAATCAATAAACGTTTTAGAATAATTTAAAGCCCTACTGACCTTTGCCCTTTCCCTTGCCCTTCTTATTATCTTTTCCTTTCTTTTCCTCTGGCTTTTTCTTCTCCTTCTTCGCGTCCTTTCCGTCTTTTTTTTCTCTTTACCACCCTTTCCCTTCCCCTTCTTCCCACCGCCTTCGGCCGCCAGTCTGGCCTCTTCCAGCGCCGCTGCTTCGGCTTCTTCGCGTTGTCGGCGCAGCTTATCTAATTCCATGGCTAACTGCTGGGGATTCTTCTTCACGAACAGCGACGCCGAGCCACCTTCTTCTTCCGTCGGATAATCCGGAAATGAACCGGTAGCATCACGATATTCCAGAAACCACTGACGAATTTGTAATTCCATATTGCTAACTATACCTGCAAAACATAAGGAATTTGTAAGGTACAGTTCACTGTAAAGTCCAAGTCATCATCCAAAGCATTCAATTTTAATATAATTTCGGTTTTCCCGAAAACGGTTGGGCAAACCGAAATTTTGGCATCTCCAAAAAGCTAAACGGTTGTTCCTGATTCCGCTAATTATAGATTGTGATCAACCTTTAAGAAAAATTTTCGCTAGAACTCAAACTGAAGACATAGAGACTGAAACCTAGTTTTAAGTAAAGGTGCACCACAAAACGCCACAAACAAACAATTTTAAAAAAATCTAAAATCACTTTCTCACTTTTCAAATTAATATTGCTACAATCGTAGTTCGAAGGCACAACTGTGCGCCGGGTGTTCAGTGCGAAACTTAAAACTGGAACACATTTACAAATTAGCCTTAACATTTAATAGTAGAAGAGATATGTTTTAATACTCATATGTATTTTGCTTATCAAAAAATATTCAAACATATTACAACGTTTAACCCACCAAAGTCAGCTACCAGAAGGAGTGCGAATATCAACTTGAAAATTAGCACTTCTTAACCAAATAATTCAATCAAGAAAAACTGATTTTTTGAGAATTTTTGTGACCATAGGTCAAGCAGGGCGATAGCCTGCCAAACTGACAGGGATGGGCATCCTGCCATTTGGCAGGTAACACGCGGAAATTTATAAATAATTATGGGAGGGTCGCACTGGGGCAGGCAAACACCTCAACGAAAGGCCTTGAAAAACTCTTCAATTACCAAACAGTGTTGTGGTCATCGAGTTGACCAGTGGTCAGTAATAATAAAAATTGTTAAAAAAACTGGATTTTTGGGCCGCCGCTTGTTAATACAGATACAGTGTTCATGCTTTTCCGTAAAAAAACGATATAAAACTATCCTCAGTTGGATAAAAACAACAAATGCATCCTTACAAGCGCATATGCGGTGTTTGTCGCTTATGTCCGCGTTATACTGCATGTTGACTAATCTTCGTTGTTGCCGCTTACTGTTTTAGCCGACTTTTGGTAACTTTTTAGTGAATAGAGGTTATAGAGGGTACTCTACAAACTGTCTCAACCATCACTAAGCAATTCATAAGCCGGTAGCCACATCGATAACTACCCGCACGGCATCACCAACGTCCTACAGTATACGGTATATGCCGCACCGGCACTGAAAATCTATACCCGCATAGTCATTTCCGCAATTATCCGTTGTAGCTGGGTAACTCAATAAAGCCTATTCGTGACTGAACGCAGAAATGCTGTACAATTTCAAAACGGCTAGGTATCTGAACAACATCCATGAAATACGTTTACATATCAGTTCAAATCTTATTATTTCTTCTAACCCTGGAGTACGCATAGTGTGCTTTATAATCGTTTCTCGAATCTAAATCTGAATTTTAACATTGTACTGCAAAGCTTTGGTGCCAGCAAACGGAAACCCTTTTTGGTCCATAATTCGCGTTAGTTCTTGTTTTTTGCAGTTTATTTCGTGAATAATTTTTCAAATATTCCCCCCAAAAAAAGCAATTTTTGAAAATTTTCGAGCTTACTGACCACTGGTCATTTCTATGACCATCGAAATAACAGCATTTGTAGCACTTATTTTGCTCGATTTTTTGATTGCATGTGTGGCTTTCCATTAAAGCTTTGAGATTTTATATCGAGTTAATAATTTTATTGTTAAAATAGCACCATGCCCATCCCTGTCAAACTTGGCAGGTAATTTTAAAATCACTGTGCTTGTCCGCTGTCCAGTTATTTTTCATGTCATTTAATGATTTTGCAATAAGAGCCGCTAAGTTGGCCCGAATAATTTATCTTGGAATTATCTAACGCTGGGAGGCTCCAGGAGCAACCAAGACCTTCGCGAACCCAAAATTCCGGATTTTGGTCACCTTTGGTCACCTGGTGCATGCCCAGGCCACATTGTATTTGACAGTGCGATTTTTTAAAATGATGCTCAACATCTCTACTGTGAAATAAAACTAAAGAATGTGAGCTATCTGGGTTACGGGCTCTTGAAGAAAAAGAGTTCCCCACCCTGCCATTTGACAGGGATGGTCGGGAACGGGTTAAAACGACGAAAACTCTACCTGGCCCTTCAGTGTCGCGAAGCTGCTCTTTTATAATGGACAACTGTTTCTGATAGTGAGCCTCATTCTTGCGCTGCAGCAGCCGGCGTGACTCAGCAATTTCCTCTACTTTATCGCCGATACCACTGCGATCCACCAAATCCGGTCCGATAATGTTCAAAATCTCCAGCTCCTTGCGGCGGTATTTCTTCGTCAACTGGCGGATTTTAGTAGCTTTCCAAAACTACCAGAGAAGCTCACTAAGTTACCCACAAAACAGTGCTCAAAAAACGACAAAATCAGGGGAAAAACGAGCCAGAAGATGCATTATTCCGTTATAACAGTAAAAGAAACCTATTTTTACCGAAATTTTATAATTATGCGCTCCATAAAATTTGTTTCAAAAAACGGTACGAAACTATATTAAAAATTTACTTTAGTTACTCATATTAAAGGCATGATTAAATTTCAAGAACCTGAAGCAGTATATAGGTTTTTATTTTTTAACCGTTATACTACGAAGTCATCATACAAACTGCATTTCCTGAAGCCCGGAAGTCGAACATTTTATTTTGACTAGTCTATAATCCTTACTGGTTTAAGCTTGCCAAGCTTTGCTGTTTGAAGAGAGCGGTGCTTTCGATTCAACAAAAGCGAAAGCAGACACATGAAAAGTGTTCGTCTGATAATAAACAAACAAAAAAATATCAGGAACTTACTAGAATAGCAAAGTCTGGTTAGTTACTGATTACGTACACACTACATATTAAATAATAATAAAAAAATAAATAATAACAGAGTATAAAATTGTGGAAAATCATCTAAAACAAAGCGGCAATGTTTACGTCCTGGTTCTCACCATTTGAATTCGCAGTGCTGCATCCTTCTGTTGCTGTGTGAAATGTTCCGGCAGCCGGCGATTCTCGTCGCTGATCCGCGCCTCGTCTTTCTTGGCGCGTATCTTCTCCGCCACCGTCAGCCAGGCCTGTCGCGATCGCTCCAGCTGCAGTAGAATACCGGCCGCATCTGCAGCCGGAAACTCCGCTGCCCGGGCGCCCCGCTTCCGGACCAAGATGCTCTCGCGTTTCTCCTGGAATTTCCGCAGTAAAGCTTCCCGTTCCTGCAGGACTTCATGGCGGTCGTGAATTAAATAACGTGGCACGGGAATGTCCAAATCCATCATGGTGTAACCCAGCTCCTGGGCGTAAGTGTACAGGAACTGGAAGTCCGATTGCTCCAGGTTGACCATTTCGAATTTCAGCTCCTGCAGACGACCAATTAATGATCCTGAATAAGGAAGCAGAAATACGTCAGATATGTACATTGCAGGGTACAACAATGTGTTTCGGAATGGGCTGCAATGATCAGCTGAAGCATTGCTATTGCTAATAAAAACGATTTTAGCAGAAAATACTTCAATATGCGCTATCAAAAATACAGCACAACGTGTCCAAATGTAGTGTAAGGGTTAAGACAAAAATACAAAAAACTGCAATACCCGAAGAGCAGAAAAATCCAGATATAACAGGTAGAAGTATACATATTATTTTTTCTTTCAAAATTCAGAAAGCAATTTCGTGTAACGCCGCACCCTATACTGTAATTATACAAAAAGAATTCGAAGGTTTTGCATAACAACATTTAGAGAGTTTAATCATATCGGAAGGTAAACCTAGGGTGCAGAATTTATGCAAAATTTATTTTTATGTAATCGTATTATTTATGTGAATAGGTATTTGCACACAAATTTCTATTGCTAAAAAACAAACATTACTGAAAAAGAACGACTGAAGAATACCAAAAACGTGTACTCTGGCCTCTGACTATCCAGTAAATTTTGGGTCAATGCACTTTTACGCATCTTAAAAAACGTTAAATTATTTCTTTTATCAATACTTGCTTTGCGAGTAAAACGCATTAAAAATACCATGAAAATTGGCTTCATGTTTTGCTTTTCTTGACATCACCAAAGAAACCGAATAAAACATACGTAACAGATCTAATTAAGCGGACTTAATGGAGTAATTACCAACAACTTGGCGGAGAAACTGGCGCTTTTGTGGATGCACAATCTGATCCAGACATGTTTCGAATTTGCGAAAAATCTGGATGTAGCGCAGATATAGTCCGGCCAGCACCTCGAAGATCAACCGAGGCTCCTGTGGGTAAACCGCAAACATTTAGCGCTGCGCAATCCACCCTTACCAACATTATTCCGTAACCTACGTGGACGCGGCGGACAGCACACCTCTTTCTTCATACGCTGGTAGAGATCCGCCAAATCTTCGCTTAGCAAAGCATCCAGCTCCAGATGGGCCTGCCGCCATATCTCCCGATAATACCTGCAAAACAGCACAGGAATATGTAATATTATTTAAAAAAAACCAATATGATATTTTTATTTGATTTTGTGCAATACTACTTCCCAAAAAATGGACTCACACGTGAGACATCCTCTTGATTTAGCGGCGATAACGAGCGGATGAACTGCCAAATTGTCACCGGATCAACTTGTAAATATCTCGCACCAACGATGTAAGTACTCAATAATTTCCGTAGTACATTAAAAATATGGATGGAATCATAATGTATACTGTAATTACGGTGCAATCATTGCAAAACACACCAGAACCGGATGTTCGGCTTACGTATTTTGTTAACATTTTTCGGATTGTACGAGCACTGTTTCTATGGAGAAAATACAAGATGTGACTAGTCACTACACCAACAACATACAATAATAACGACCGGTCGAAATGCGCATTCAGTTTCGTTTTTAATCTTTGTTGTTCGCTTCGAAGCTCACAAATTAATGCAACAGACATTACACTAGTGCAAATAGCACATTACACTGATTACAGGAATGAGAATCGTAGTCACTTGTCCGAAAAAATTAATTATATTCACGAAATGTCAGCTAAAATTTAGAAGCAGGCGGATTAACTTCCGCTAGAAGTAATTTGAATTTTTAGTAATAATTCATAATTTAATACATTTAAAATCACAATGAACAAATACAAACCACAAAAGTAATAATTCTCACAAGATTACAAGAATTAAAAAACTCGAGTGGTATTTCATTTAAACATGGCCAGACTAGCCTTAACCTTCTCCATTTCGCTTAGGAAGGCGTAGAATTTAGGAATGGTCATTTCCACTTGTACGGTTTGCGAGGAATTTGCCGAGGAATCTGCGGCGGATCCAGATGATGTTGGAATTCCCGTTTCCACGTTCATCTTCACTTGCACGAAGGTCTGTCCGACTTGCGCCGCTTCACTGGATGATGTGGTCACACCGATACGCCATTCTAATTAAATCATGAGGGATAGTTATGGTTCGCAATAATAATTGTGACTCAAACCAGTCAAGTGAAACGTATGAGAAGCAAAATTAACGCACCAACATCCTTCAATCCATTGAAAACAATAGGCGATTGACTGGGCTTCGACTGCACTTCAGGCATGTTTCAGATAAACCAAGGCAATGAACGTAAATCACAGCTGAGCCGAGATCTTAGATGCAGTAAAATCGTGTACGTCAAGAAAAGCAAGTTAAGCAACAAAAGAAAGAAACGATAACTAAAAACACTCAAAAAAAATTAAAATGGAAGCTATTTTCGCTCTCGTGAACGGTGAAAATCGAAAAAGAAATCTGCCTCCTTGTTTTTCGTCGGTGGATCCCAGTCCATGTAATCCCAACTGTTGGAAATGGTACTGCTCTAAGCACGCATTAGCGCCAAATTCCATTGCTGCACTGGAAATGGTACGACTGTTTGGCTACGTCTACGATTTCCTCAATCACTCAGTGCACTGCCAGAACTCGCAAAATTGTTTCACAGTTTTAAGTGGTTCCCGACCGGTTCTTTGCATTAATTACGCTAGAATCAGTGGTTTCTCTTTCTTTCTCTGAGCAATTGATTGTTTTATCTTTGAAGCATGGCTCCTCATCAAGATGGCACCAGGCAGGGTGATGAAAGTCCCGTGCAAATGGTCCAGCTGACTCCGCTGGTGCGTAGACAGCCGTCATCAGTGCCTGCTTCAGGTGGATTTTTACCCGCATTTATTACGATTTTAGGTCGTACTGCAAATCATCAAGCAGTGTGAGGAACAGCGAACCCTTGGGGAACATGCGGAGGGATTTCTTTGCGGCTTGCTCGAGGAAGGAGGAAACTAGAATTGACATATGCGTATCCGTCTCTCAAAGGCGAAGGAAATGAACAAGAAGCGGAAGGTATTAACAGAATCTGGATCCATTTTGTTTAACTATTGTTTTTTCCTAAATTTTGTAGATAAATAAAAATTTTTGAGACGCAAAGGTCGACTTACCACGATTTCACTATAACAACTTCAAGCTGAGCACCAAACCCTGGTTGCCTAGTTGTTTGTGATTCACTATCTACACTAGCAGCCACTGAGGACCTACAAACGTGGAAGTCAAGCAGTGCCCTGTATTGCCTGCTTTATCCGCGGCATGTTGTACGTGTACAGAGATATGCCAGTGCACCACATCATGATTGCGCAATAAAATTCGTGACGGTGAAGATTTGACGCTGGCCCATAGACACATATGCTATAACTCAAATTTTCAAAAATTCATAACTTTGTTAATTTTCGCGTTAATGTTTTTTGAATATGCTTTAAAAATACAGAATAATATATACTAGTAGGCATAACAAATGTTTTTTCGATTTTATTTTAGGGTTGCGCACTATGTGCCTACGTAATTAGCATGGCTGTCTATGGAGAAGTCATTTAATTTGATTTAAAGATTTCTCGTAGGCGGCTATGTTAACCACGTATGCTCTCAGTGCCAAACCTTAAGACGGAAACAGAAAAAAAATCGTTTTGCCTAATAGTAGATATTATTCTATATTTTTAAAGCATACTCACAAAACATTAACGCGAAAATTAACAAAGTTATGAATTTTGAAAATTTAAGTTATAGCATATGTGTCTATGGGCCAGCGTCAAATCTTCACCGTCACGAATTTTATTGCGCAATCATGATGTGGTGCACTGGCATATCTCTGTACACGTTGTACAGGGAACTCAAATGTACAACATGCCGCGGATGTACAACATGTACAACATGTCAAATGTACAACTTGCCGCGGTTTTATTGCCGATTAATTTTTTGTGAAGTGCAAAGGCAGCTCAGCAGCAACAGTCAGAAAGAAGCTTTTACCGTTTACGCCATTCAGAAATGAGTGCATTGAACGTTTGCGGCACAACTGAAGAGTAAAGCTCTGGTTTGTCTGAAAAATTCTCCCAGATGAAGTACGAGTTCGTATTGATCGAAGATTCAAAGCTCAATTAATGTTCTTGCTGTTTCTAAGTTTCAATCGAAATCCGTGTTTAATCAGTATTTTTTGCAGATTACAGTGAAGAAATGACCAGGCGTTTGCGTCAAGTGAATGTTGATAACTTGGTTGTTGGATGGTACAAGAGCGCTGTATTTGGATCTTTTTAAATCGGGATGTCTTCGAATCTCAGCATTCATATCAGTCAGCTGTCGAGGAATCAGTTGTGTTAATTTATGGTAAGACCGGACGATTGAAAAGCGAAGAATCGGTTTTTGATTAATCATTTCCACTCCACAGATCCGGTGCGCACTGCACAAGGATTATTAACCCTAAAAGCTTACCGCTTGGGCGCTGAAGTGATGCGAGTGGTTAAAAAAGACGGCCTGGAATTTTCCATGGATAGGTAAATAATCTTAAGTACAGTAAACAATCTTAAGTACAGTAAACAGTACTAGTAAACAGTACAGTACAATAATCTTAAGTACAGTAAACAGTACTGCAGATTGTTCAAGTATAGCTGAAAAATTAGCTTTTAAATAGTTAACATTTATTTATTTACTGTGTTTTCAGAGTTGACATTAATTTAGAACTCTCGGCTTTTAATGTTTCGCAGAACATTTTTATTTCTGACTTCGCTATTTCTGCTAGTGGAATTTATACGAATACTCTACTTTCCAATTTTTAACATATGTAAATAGACAATATATCCATCCTTATTTTTCGGTACGAGTACGTTTCTTCGGATTTTTTCGTCATGGCCATGTCATATGGATTAACATGTCAGCATGTTTCCTTATATAGTGTGCGCCGATCGAAGCTGACTGTGGATAGTTTATTTGAGGAGATCCCGATTCAGATAAAGAATAGCCATTTTGTTAACGCAGCGCTTAGTGAACTGGACTTAATCGCTCCTTCTCCAAACAAGCGTCCTTTCTTGGATCTTTCCACAAAGTATGCAGTTTTATCCCTACGAGCACGGAAAATTTACATGACGGTTGAATTTTCCATTTTTCTGTAGTGTTCTTTTGGAGAAGAACGTCAGCCTGCTGCTGGAAAGTGTCGATAAGCTGCTACAGGAAAATCAGAAATTAAGCCTGCACCAAAAACGCACACTGCGAATGGAGCAGGACCGGCGGCGAATTATTGCACGCAAGGTAGACTTTATAGTGTGATCAGTGATTTACTCCCTTAATTGCTTGCTTTGCACATGCCACAATCCCTGCAGTTTTCGTCATAGGCAGTTTAGTAAATCGGGCATTTTTCATTAGGTCGGTGCGAAATCTTTTACCGTGGTGTTTGTTTTTTTGTAGAATCAACAGCGACTAGCCAAAGGTGAGCAGCCGTTGACGGAAGACGAAATCAATCAAATGTTCCGCTCCCTGCCGGAGCCGCCGCGTGCCGACATCGTCCTGGCATCGGCCCAAGTGGGGCAGTACTGCGAGCGCATTGGACAGTTCTCATCGCAGAGTCTGAGCAAGATGCAGATTGCCGAAGCTCTGCAGGGCAAACTCAAGGACAGCTCCGCCGCTTTCTTATCGGCTCTCCATAAAGAAGCGCAGCCGCAGTAGAAATGATACGCGAACTGGATATTCCGAGTCCGATTGGTTGTAATTGTTTGATGTTTCGTAATATTTATTAGTTCTTTTTATGCAGCACTTAGAATGTATCATCGTGTACCAGATTTCATGTTATCTGAATGATAAAAATAAAGAAATTACAGTTACTGTGTATTAAAATTTAAGTGAAAAGATAATAAGTCCGTCAAGTTACACCGAAAAGATAGTTAAGTTGGTCACCTTACGGGTAGCGAGTGGTGCTGTCATCTCCGTTTAAGTAATAATTCAGGGTAGCAGTAACACCGCGTAAGCAGTGTTTACACAGTGCACATGCATTCGACCTGGATCGGGGAAAATTTTAAATTCACGAAAATTACGTAATGTTTTATTTAAACTGGTTCGATCGATTTTTTACCGACAAGTTTGAGCGTAGTGCATATGAATACGCGGCTTCATATGCACTACGGTTTGAGCGGGCCGTAGCGGCAGGAAGAAAGAATTAAGTGCCAGAGAGTTGTGAGCTAGACAGCTTACCATACTTAGTGAGTCAAACGAGTAGTGATTCACTAGTGAAACGACCAGACCGGACCACGTGACCAGAGCACTTTTCAATGCTGAACCACTTTTGTGCCGTTCGGCTTCTCACAAACTTCCGCTTTCCAGAACATTTTCTGCAAGTTGCAGCAAGTTTATTTGTATTCAGCTGGTTCGGTGTGTACAGAGATATGCCAGTGCACCACATCATGATTGCGCAATAAAATTCGTGACGGTGAAGATTTGACGCTGGCCCATAGACACATATGCTATAACTCAAATTTTCAAAATTCATAACTTTGTTAATTTTCGCGTTAATGTTTTGAATATGCTTTAAAAATACAGAATAATATATACTAGTAGGCATAACAAATGTTTTTTCGATTTTATTTTAGGGTTGCGCACTATGTGCCTACGTAATTAGCATGGCTGTCTATGGAGAAGTCATTTAATTTGATTTAAAGATTTCTCGTAGGCGGCTATGTTAACCACGTATGCTCTCAGTGCCAAACCTTAAGACGGAAACAGAAAAAAAATCGTTTTGCCTAATAGTAGATATTATTCTATATTTTTAAAGCATACTCACAAAACATTAACGCGAAAATTAACAAAGTTATGAATTTTTGAAAATTTAAGTTATAGCATATGTGTCTATGGGCCAGCGTCAAATCTTCACCGTCACGAATTTTATTGCGCAATCATGATGTGGTGCACTGGCATATCTCTGTACACGTTCGGTCTCTACTGAGTCTACTCTACTCAACTCATCTGCTGTATTCTGTTTTTTTTTCGTGACGAACTTGCTGTGACATGATACTTGGCAGTGGTATGCCGTGCTGGTGATACTCGCCAGAATCATTTTGTTTTACTCGTAAAGACGATTATCGGGAAAACAGAGAAAACTGAAACCTGAGAAGGCCCAATAACCTGTTTATGTAACCGTGCAGAGTACCGTCTGCAAAGCACTGTCAATGGCTCCTCACTCGCACCATCACGAGCAGCCCGTGGTGAATGGCGCCGAGGACTCCGAAGATGACATTGAATCCATTGTGTCTGGCACGCCCAGTCCCGACCGGGAAGTAATGACGGTAGAGCGTTTGCACAAACTGCACTTCCCGCCTATCCATCCCTCCGGTCCTTGGCGGCGTGCTTTCAACTTCCAGCGCAACGAGGCCGTCTTCTACCAGCTCGATGATTTCGCGCCCGGCCTGCCGGTGGTAACCCGTTGTCTACGACTAAAGGATCTGCCCAACGTGGGCGTCCAACCGGAGATGTATCTGCGGGAAATCAAGGAGGGCCCTCTGCATCCCTTGTGGATCCCTTATTTCCTGGATGAAGGCTGGTTCGTGCGCGGCTGGAAGGACATCAATACACTGGCGGATTTCCTCGAGTACGGCGATATGCCCAAGGTGCGGGAACAGGAGGAGGCCTGGGAGTCGCTCATGGAAGCGGAGGATGGGAGTTGGATTGGTAAGGAGAACTGAGAAATTAGTCGTTGGGGTTTTCGTTATGGGTTTTTGGTGTGTTCCTTTGGTGATGGCTTTGTACGTTTTTTTGTGTTGATAGGTGGGTGATTTTCTACGTTTAGTTTTTTGCATTTAGTTGGCTGCATATCGTTTTATGTTCACAACAGAGCTGTTGTTAAAGTTACTGTAATGACACTGCATTCCAGTGATTTCGACTTGGAATTATCAGTTAACGCTGATAATTCTAGTTTAATTCATACTTCTTAACTGCTTGCTTTTTAGAAATTTTTTTACTCCCTAAATTTAGCTCTTTTTCTCCCTCGGGCGAGAGCGGGGACAGCTTGAGGCAATGAAATGCCTTGTAATAGTTTGGATCTGTCAAATTCCGTTTTGTCCATAAGTGTTTGAAAACGATGCATTTCTGACGCTTCAGTTCAGGATCTTTCAAATTTGAGTTCTGTAATGGGTACAATTTATTTCGCTGACAGTTATGAACTCTGATTGGTTTTTGGCTTTGGTAAACCGTTACCTACGAGTAGTAGTAAATCCTTTTCTAAATGATTTTAAAATTGATTTCTTAATTAATTTAATTCATTTTGTTAATTTTGTAATGTAATGACTTATTTAATTTTGTAATGACTTCTTTTTTAATGACTTTGTTTTGTTAGAGTTAGTACTCGTGCCTGAAGAAGTAATTTTGTAGAACGCCCCGAGCCGCCGCCTGGACCGCCCAATCCCGCTCTCGAAATTCCAGTCGTTGATGGCCCTCCGAACGCAGCTGGTCCGGTACATATGGATGCACCGTCCGTGGATGGCGATCAGGACGGAGCATCGTCGTCAGCGGAAGTGGGAACCATCCAAGTGCCGACCCCCCGCACCGCCCGGCCGCCGTCCCTCGCTTCCCTCCTGGGCCCTAAAAAGATCCCCGCGCACATGTCAGTTCGGGGGCGCCGTGCCCGATCGGACACCACGGCCGTGTTGAATCTCGCAACACTGACTGAAGAGATCGCAGCACGGACTAGAGAGACCACAGCGCGCCCGTTGAATCCCCAGGTGCCATCCACTTTGTGCCTCGCGGATGCCAGCGTTGGCACGGACAACCCCGAGGTGGTTCCCGATCAGTCGATGGAGAATGTGGAGGCTCCCGTCGCAGTTAGCGCACCGATGTCGGCGGATGATAGCGCGGTTGTGGAGATGGAGCAGCCTGCCGTTTCTGTGATGGAGCCAACTGATGCACCGGTATCGCTGGATGAAAACGCAGTCGGAGAGGCGGAGCAGGCCGCTTCTTCCACCGCGGAAGAGCAGATCGGTGCATCAGTATCGGCAGATTCTAGCATGGCCGTTGACGAGGAGGAACCTGCTGTTGTCCTTTCCCGAAATTCCGTTGAGAATTTTGTGTGCAGCCGATGCGGTAAAAAATTTGCCGGGGCCCGTTATCTTAAACGTCACAATAATTATGGAAAGTGTAGCCGATTGGCCAAGAATGCGGCTGCAGCCGGGATGAGCGCTCCCGTTAACGGAGCCGAGACCCCGACACCGGAGGCGGCGCCTGTCGAAAAGGCTCGAAGCGAAGAAGAACTGGCTCTGGTTCGCGACCATCGCGAGTTGGGTGAGTGAAGCTTGTTTTCTTTAAAACTACTTACTAGTAATTAATGGATACGTACTGGATGTTGCTGTTGTGAATGTAATGCCGTAATATTGCTATTTATTATGACATTTTTTCCGTGTATTTGAGGAAAAATTTTAACATGTCAAAATTTGAGTTGAATTTTGCAAAAAACAAATGGTATTCAGATTATTTTAAGAAACAGAAAAATCCACCGTGTGTTACTGTTGATTCGAAGATTACTGATCGGGAATTTGTATGCCGTCGGCTCTGTGCAGGTTTTGTTCATGTAACAGGTCTGTGTACGTCCAAATTTTAAACATGCTTCCAGCTGGCAGCACAGAGCCGCATCTGAAGACTGATGGTGAACAGTTGAGCATTAACAGGGAAAGCGCTGAAGGACTATGTTAATACCTGCATTATCAGCTAGATTTTGCGCAGCTAAAAACGGACAAGCTGTCGCTGGCCTACGAACTTGTTAGGTCTACAAAATTTGCACTTTAATCCAACTGCAAAATTTTTAAAAAGTTAGATCTTATTACTGCATTTGGTATCAGGCCCACTGAGTCATCGTTTGTTTTTGTGTGGAAATGCAGTGTTTGGCGTAATTGTTTGTAGTGCCCTAAAATTTTTGTGGTCCATGTTGTCTTAAACTGAATAGAAGTGTAAATAGTTTCTACTGTATTTCAGAGCGCAGCATATAACGGCGCATCTGTAGGGGAGTTGTCGGATGTGGCCATGGATTCCCAGTTGGGACTCGCTTTGGCGCCAGGCGGAGTAGGTGGGTTGCTGGATTATTTGGATTCCGCGCCAGTTTGTCCTCTTAAGCGAAAGGAAAGTAGCCAGGAAATCGAACCAGTTGGCGCTCCAGCAGGTATGCCTTCGTGGGGATTATGATTGATGATCGAATAATTTTATTGCATTTTATTTCTCGTATTAATTTTGACTTATTCTCTGTTTCCATTTTGTTGCGTATACTGATCCGAAAGTGGTTTATTTTTATGATGTTTCACCATAGTGTTCTGCTCAGTCATCTCTTAATCACCAGCAAACTGATTTCACTCAGATTATTTTTCTCCAGATTCCTTGAACACTGTGCATACTAACAACAAGCTGGCTAAAAGGAAGAGGGTCAATTCAGCGGCGTCTAAGAAGCGTAAATCGGAAGGTCGTATCGAATCCTCTGTCAGCGGTAGTAGTGTAGCTGGGCCGGAACCCTTGGCACTTACGATGGAAGATGGGACAGCCTTGGTACGCGACATTTCGCCGGAACTCCAGGCACCAACGCCGCGACCCTCTTCGGCATCGTTGGCCGGTGGCGGATGTAAATAAAAATGCCTGTTTTTATCTGTTCAGCACTTGTATTGTACAGTCGAATCGTGACATATGCGACCAAAACTTGAAGTATTTATTCTCTTTATCTGGCGCGGTAATAAATTATAGCGTTATGGATTTCAGAAAAACTAGGAAGTGAAGAATTTATTGTTGTATTTGATGCTAAATGGTAATTTGGCTTTTTTTGGTACAGCGGGTCTGGATGGGGCTGTGATAAAGTCGGCTAATAGCCGGAAACCCAGACGACGACGCCGGGTTTCGAAAAAGAACAGGTTCACCAAGCGAGTGATTCGTGGTGCGGCTCAAGTGATCACTTTGCTGCCCTCAACTACCGACGGTCTTCTGAAAAGTATTATTTCTTTTCGACTTTTGTTAGGCTTGATGTCATTTTTGACTTTTGCACAGAGGTTCCAGGTCCAGGAGAGGAAAATATAAGAGAGCTCCGAAAGCCACTCCGAAAGCCACTCCGAAAGCCGCTCCGAAGCAGGTAGAAAATTAATTGTTTTTATTTATTTGTAAATAAAATAAATTGTTTTTATTTGTTTGTTTTATTTGTTTATTTATTTGTTTATTTCAACGATGGCCACTGAATTTTAATATTGAACAAAATTGATATATTGTTATTAATTTCAGAATGGTGCTGGGCCCAGAAAAGGACGATTGTCTGGAGTTGGAGGTAACGGAGAAGCTAAAAAATCTTGGAGTTTGATTTGAGCGCTTTGTTTCTACTGAAACGTTGCCCTAAGAAAACCGTGGAAAAATCTTTGTTAGTGTGGAAGATTTTTTCCGTAATTATACGTTTGCTGCGGTTGTTGTAGTGGAGCCTTTCACGGTGGAACCATTAAATGTGAAAGATGGGCCGAAGAAGAAGTATAAATCACGCAAGCGAGTGCGCGCCCCAACCGGCATCAGGGATGTGATTGAAGCAGCGGAGGTTGAGAAGCAGAAGAATCCGCGCAAAAGCGAGGAAAGGTAGTAGCGGAGGAGCCGTCTGGTGAGTGAATTCGGGATGTAATGAACTCACTATACTTACTTGTGTTTCTGCTACGGGCTACGTGTGATATTCTTAAATATTTTGCTAATGATGCGTACGGTGCAGCTAGTATAACAAACATGGGATTAAAGGGAAAGCATTAAGCGTGAAAAATCACTCCAGAAAATTCGGTAGTACGCTAACATTCTAGTCGAAATGTCGGGACATACTAGCCGGTATGGGCACAATTAATTGGCGACTTATTTTTAGCGGGGACGGCGGGGGTGGGTGAAAGGTCGTTTCCGTGTCCGGAATGTAAGGAAGTGTTTAGCGCTGATCACATACGGCAGGAGCACGTGAATAATCACCACGGATCAACGATGGCCGCCGTCCTGGCCGAGCGGGATCCCGGAAAGGCACTCTTGTGCCGTATTTGCAATAAATTCATTGCCAGTCCCAGGCTGAAGAAGCACGCGGCTGATTGTATCATGAAGAAGGTGGCCTCCAAAATTAACGCTTACAAGAAGAAATGAGCCGAGTGAAGAACGAACGAACGTAATTTTATTTTGGCTTAACACCGTCAGATTTTTCCTCTTTACCAACTTATTGGTTGGGACATCATCCTGTTTTGCACTCCCTAGTTTCTTTAGGAAGATTTAGGAACGAGGAGGTTTTTCAAAAGATAGCCCGGTTAAATGTTTTAGTTTATGGTTTCTGTAATTATTCTCTTTATGCTAATTTCGTTATTTATTTCCCGATCATCGATGATAGCGGGCATAGTTCTGCAGTCAGCTTTTCTTTGTGGACGGTTAATTCGGTTACCATATGTTTGTGTTATTTATTATTTTAGGATTTTGTTTGGCTTTTTTGTTTCCTTGTACTATCGGTTCTTTCGTTTTCTTCCGTAATTTCTCTCGTCCAGTATTTCAGAAACTTTTTGTTCCTAAGCTTTCTTTCTTTTTAATTACTGAGCTTTTTAATTTCTCTGAATGTTGTTTATACTATTCGAAAAATTTTCTTTTCCGCTGGGCGAAGAGCGCCTCTGTTGCGCAATCTTGTGATTAATGCTCACTTGCCTGAACTTCCGTCTCCTTTTTCTTGATCTTCTCTCGTTCTTCAAGCTTGGAATGTCTTGTTTGTGTTTCTCTATGCATGATGGTTACCGACTGTTTTCTGTCTTTTGCAGACAAGCGGTAAACAGCGCGCAATGTTCAAGAAGGAATGGGTGAAGCTGAATCTGTTGAAAAAATGACTGCAGTTTGCAATTGTGGATTCTTCATATTGAGTTGGAATGGATTCTTCATATTGAGTTGGAATGGACGAGTGGTTTTTTGGCTGCGTTGGATATCATTTTCCTGGCTTTCTTTGATTTTTGTTCCTCGCACATCGCGGCACATGTATAAATGGAATTGTTTTATTTTTGTTAATTGTGTTATCGTCGCACCGGGTACTGGATAAAGAGGCGTCCTGCAGAGTGGCTCAATGGTTCTAACTTCTGTGTTGCGGGACGAAGCGGATTTATCGCTGAATCTAAAATCTGATAGTACAGTATAATAGAAGATTTTGTCTGTTAGAATATTATCTCTCTAACAATTTTGTCGATATATGTTGGGATTAAGCACAGTTTTTGCTGCAGTTGATTGTACCGTTTTTTATCGCAAACAATTGTTTTCATTCTGTTGCAAAACTAATAAATAAAGATGGAACAGGACAAATTAGACCACACGTGAGCGGTTTGGGAGTAAAGTGCTGTACAGTGTATTATTATACGATGTGAAATTTTCGATGTGATAACTGTGGAAGAAAACTCGTACAGAACTTCTAGATCGCTGCTGTAAAATTTGATTTTATTATTTTTTAATTTTGCAACTTCAGTATTGCGTCTAACTCGTACATGTGCAGTAACATAACCAACTAGAAGCAGCCATCAACAGCAAGGCGCCCTTCCGGTAATTTTGTTTTACAATTTGAAACGCCAGAATAATAAAAATAAGAAGATCCTGGGTCGATTTGCTATTTGATCAACTTCGCTCTTCAGCGCAAAACTTTTGGGAAAGTGTTCAGTTCTACTCCCAGTAAGCAATGATCGTTCTGGAAATGGTACTGTAGCCGCCCGCACAAGTTGCTCCATTGGCAGATCCGGCCGCTGCCTTCTCCCTGCACACACTGCGCTGAACAGCGAGCAATGTGAGGCCAAATATCCGTATACCTCACTCTGTGGGGCAACTTGTGCGGGCGGCTACAGTAAACTCAGATCTTTCGTGATCGCAGAGGGGCTTTCTTTTAGATATCGATATTAATTTTATCGATAAATCTCCGCAATCTTGCTAAAATTAATTATATTAGCCCTAGCAAATTGGAAATTAAAATTGGAAATAATACCGTATGCTGTAGAAATTATTTTAGTGTTAGAAATACACAGGGCCGTAGCGAGGTCCGTGGGATGGGGTAGGCGCAATTTGGCTGCGCCATTTGCGCCCGCTTCGAAGATCAGTCTGAGCCCACTGTGCCCATAAATTTCGCAGCCTGCGCCCGTTACGCCCGTATAAAAACAGGCCGGGCTTTAATACTTAATTAATATAAATAGTTTAATTATTATGGTTCTTGATCGCCGTACGTCAGACCAAGGCACATCCGGCCAAAGTCCAATCTGCGCCACGGGCGCACGGCCAGTTGCGCCCGCTGCGCCTTTTGAAAAAATCCAGAAATTTTGCGCCGGTGCGCCTGTGCGCCAGTTTCGGGCGCAAATATTATTCAAAAGTTGGCCGAGGAGGGGTAGGCGCGCGCCAGTGCGCCTATACCCTCACTACGGCCCTGGAAATACATAATAATCGCACCGGTCGCACGTAGTTTTTTACTTTTTCCTCAAAAGTCAAAGTAAACTTTTTCCTCAAAAGTCAAAAGTAAAAATGAATAAGAAAGTCGTTTCACTAACAAAATGCGAAAAGAAGTACGAACTGTACAGTAAGGCACTCAATAAATGGAAGCCTGGAATTGGTAATCACACCTCGAATGACGTATCTGTCCCGTGACTGATTTTGCTGCGTTTCCGTGACCTGTCAGCGAGCATTGGCGGCTTTATTCATGTTTGCTACCGTTTGTTGTTCGTTCACGACACCGTTCGATTTTTGGCTGTTTTTTTACTAGTTTGCATGCTTTTTAAAAATTTTGCTATTCGGCCTTAATAAACCTTTTTCTCAGTGTTCTAATTATGCAGTAAACGTTAATTGTGGATGTACGCTTTGTAACTGGAAACGACGCGCGTGACTTTCACGTGCGCATAATGTATTCGCAGAACAGCGATGGCCGCGACTCCGGCCTGTCGTCCTGCAGCGACGATACGCCCGTCCTGACCCTGCGCGATCTCTTCGACGAGCGGCGGGCCCGGGGCGAAAATCTCAAGGGCGAATGCGATGTCTACGAGCCGGACATGATGGGGAAGCCCTCCCCCCAGTGGACCATGACATTCGATCTGGCCAAAGGCTGTGCCGTCTTCTCCAAGGTGGACGAGTGCTGGGGCATGCGCGGCGTGCCGCCGCATGTGGCTCTGTGTATCCGGCTGTGCGAGATGGTGGTGGACGGGACGGTGATGATCATCCCCACGCTGTACCACTGCGAAGTGTCCCAGCATCCGCTGAACGAATGGTGGACGATGCAGGCCATCGGGAAGCGCAGTGTCACGGGATGGGTGGATATACTGCTGCTCAAGCAGTTCCTGGAGACGTGCCTTATCGAGAAAGTGAAGCAGATTGAGGACGAACTGGGCGGCCCGGTTATGCTGGGCGTGGACGGCAAGGAAGACGGTGAGTGCGCGGCTGTGCAACACCGATCGAAGTAGCTGATAGATTGTGTCTGTGTGTATTGCGAATGTAGTCAATCAAAATTTTAAAATTAAAGAATACTGTTGAATTACTGAGTTGTTTATCTAGATGTTTATGTGCTGCACTTTTGCGTAATAAGTACACAAACCAGTTTTTATTTGGAATTTTTGTAGGTGGTAACCGTGGTATCCCTTCCTAACTGGCAATTCATAGGTGTTTAAATTTTCAAAATTACAATAACCATCAAGAATTGTGTGTATTTTGTTTATTATTGATTTCGGGTGCAATCAAGGAAGGTTAAATTACAAAATAAATTTTAAAATTTGTTAATATAAAGTTATTGGTTTATCAACTGCGTCAGTGGAAAGCTACCTAGTAATTTGTGAACCCTGATGTGGCACTGCATTTGCACTTTCGTACGACCGTGATCCTTCGTTACAATGTTTTCATGGTTTTGTTTACGATTAGCAGAATTATCTTTGGAAGACGAGGAAGAGCAAAAAGCGGCACCAGTCGGACTTGCAGTACAAGTACAGCATGTGACGCTCCCGGTTGAAAAGGAGCCTGTTTTACCGGCGGAAGTTGGGGCCGGTGCAGGTGAATGAATGCCTTGATTTCAGTTCGAATTGCTGAGTTTCAGTGTGCACAACACAGTGATCGATTACACAGGCGATTGGCAGAATTTGCTATATCGTAATTTATTATATCATACGAGTAATTGTCTAAATTAATATTAGAGTTTGCCTATCTGACAGGCTTGTTAATATATTTGGTTGCTTCCAGACTTCCAGTTACATTTTTTGTAGATTCTCCGCGAGGCCTGGCCAAATGCCGGTTTTGTGACCTGGAGCGACGACCGGACAAATTGCCGGCCCATGAAAAATACTGTATGCGCAAGAGGAAAATGGAAAATCGCCGCGAATTTGCCTGGACGGTGGGCAAGCGGGCTTAATTCATGCACAGCGGTTAACGTTTCTTGTTTACGCGCTATTGAGCGTTATTCTTCTGTTCTGCTTGGTCTCTAAAATTTCTAAACTTGACAGTTTCGATTCTTCAGTTTTTCTTGAGAATTTTCAGTGTAAATATCGGTACAACGTGATAGATTTTCTCCTTTTTCTTGTGTTTTATACTTATGGTTAGTCAAGAGATTTTGCCTTGGTTTGGAGTGTACGGTTTTGTAGTCCAGAATTGTGTACCATTCGGATACTTTGAGACTTGTGAAACTATGGTGGAAAGATTATGTTGCAGTCGAATTAAAAGCAAAATTGGGAAGAAATGTGCAGAAAAATCTTGGTTTGTTTGCGATCGTTACACGGAAATAAGTACAGTACTGGCGCATAAGTCTGATTGATGTTGACTGTTGGTTGTTCAGCCAATAACTACGAAAACGCATACTTCACCATCGGTATTTTTTGATTTGCTTTTGAATAAACTCATTAAAACAAACAATTTTTGACATCTCGATTGCCGTATTGATTTTTATCCAGGGATTGCTGGTGAAAAGTGGGAACTTATTAAACTGTAATACCGTAACACGGCATCGACGTCAAATCGTTATCCTACCGTAAAAACCGGAAGGCACATCGGCACGCTACGCCATCGCTTGCGAATTACGAAATCACTTTTAAGTTTTAAGTATCACTAATCACTTTCCAAAAAAGTTAATTTTTGACTTCGGACTTAGTTTGAGGTTTCAAATTTTCATACTGTCGTTTAGTCTTCAAGATTTTATGATTTATCGCACTTCAGTACGGGTGCGTCCTTTTGCAGAGCGATTCTTAACACGACATTCTCAAATCTGCGTTTCTTTTTTTGCTTCGGTGGGATCTTTTACTGAGTTTTTGGTCAGCACTTTGTGGTTCGTACATGTTTGCCACTTTGTGAGTTTGCTTCCTGATTCCTTGGACTTTGACAGTTGACAGTGTGGACTGTGGAGTTTCTGGCCTGTACGCTCATTTCCTTGATCTGACTCGAGCACCATTTGAGCCTCTGCATATCGCGCGGATACCATGGCTGACGGGGACGACGTGAAAGCGGTCAAAATCGAGGATCCCGCGACGGAATCCCCGAGTGATAAACGGCTGAAGGAGCTCCGCCAGACCTTCCATCCCATGTTCGAGCCCTCCCTGACGATCTCTGATCAGCGCGGAGCCCACGAAGTGACGTTCCAGTTCCGCCACGAGGACCATACCCTATGCAATCCCCTGCGCGAGGTGCTCAATCAGCACCCGGGAGTGCTTCATGTCGGTAAGGATCCAGCTGGAAACAGGACGATGTTGTTGCGAATATTGTCCTAATAGCACTTTTTCAATCGAAGTGTTGGTGTCTATGACTTATAGACTATGAGCTGCGAAATTCGCTGTATGCTTGGTCTATTTTTTAATACAGCGCGTGCAGTTTGTTCAAGTCGACATATTATTTATCACTGGATACTGTTAACTGTTCTGCATGCAGCAGCAGTTTTTCATTTTTTGAATATTGTTTTCTTATTTATAATATGATTTCCACATTAATACCCGTTTTCATAATCTTTTCGGTTATATAATTACCTGTTCATCTTTTATTAATGATTGTTTATAAAATGATAAGTTCGTATTTTTATTTCTGTGCCTATTACTGCTTACATTTTCGGTTTTGTAAAATTTCGATGCATGTACAAGTACGTACGTAGTTTGTTATATATTTGATTTTCAGTGTGCCGTGCCGTATGTGTTTGTTTCGCGTCTTTTGAATCTCCAGTATGTTTTTGCTTTGTTTTTTTGCTTTGTTTTTGCTTTTTTGTCACGCTTGATTTGTTTCACTTTCGTACAATACTTGGTTTTTCGATAATTAGTAAAATTACGATATGCTTGAACCGTGAATTATCATTCACGGTTCAAGCATATCGTAATTTTACTAATTACTGATTGAACAGTTCAGCAAACAGCAACAGTTCAGATGGACTGTTGGTGTTTGTTAATCTTTATTCGCCAGATAATTTTCTTTCGAATATGTATGGTGGTTGTTTGGATTTGGGGATGACGTGGTCTGTTGCGGGAAATGTTGCGAGCCGCTGCAGGGATCGGCTGTCTTTTGCGCACTTGCATTCTTCGTAGCCAATTATGTTCTGCAGTTCCACTTCCACAGATTTATTGATTTTACAGTGAAGTTTATGCGCAAAAACCACAAAACGTATACCCCAAAGCAAGCAGGAAATGTGATCCAACTTAATTATATTTTTGGAAAGATGTGATTGTTCGTAAATCACCGTAGACCGCGGATAGAAAGTGTATTTGTAAGGAAATACATGATTGACTACCGAGAAAAATCGCTACTCTGTTCCAACGAAAAAACGTGCAGAGTTCACGTTACATACGGTTCCGCTGGAGGCTTCGAGTACTATTAACTTTATCGTAGATTCGTAGTAATCTTTATTTCTATCAATTCGTTAGTGGATTAGTCCAGATTAGACTATATGGCTTCGTTTTTCTGTTGTAAATTCTGTTCTACCGGTTTTTAGTTAGCATTATCTTTTTAATTGCTTTTACTCGTATTTCCGGTAAACCGCACACTGTCAAGTTTCGTGGTATCTTATTTCTTCTTAAGAACAGATGTACAGTATGGCGTGTGAAGTGTGTACTGACTGTAGTTTAATTTGCGAAAATATATTTTATAAGTATTGAATTTCATTATTTGGGCTGCTCGTTTTTTTTTATGAAAATGCTACTTCCGCAAAGGTTTGCTTCTTCATAACTTTTGATTGCATGCGCAAAATTCCGAAAGTCGTTCGGATTACGAGGCTTGGTTTCGGACACTGAATTACAACGGTCAACTCATCACCACTGTCATGTTCTGCTAATACTATTGAAGAGTTTTAATTGTAAGGTACAGCAATTTGCTATCAGGATCATTCGTGCTGTGTACGTATGATTATTATACACTGTACCTGCACATTAATTTGATCGGTGAAATGCAGCAAAAAGCAAACAGCGTATTACGAGTATATATACCTGTCGGTGGTAGAATGTTTGACGTTATATTATATGGAATATTTACAATATCAGCCATTAGGCGTGTTGTTAGTGACTGGAGCCTAATTATTAAGACCATAGATTTATTTGTTGCTGTTTTTATAGGTTACACCATTCCCCATCCGTCGGAGCACGTGGTGGACTTCATCCTGCACGTTAAAGAAGGTTACACGTGTGCGGAAGTGATGCGCGATGGATTCAACGTCCTTATGAATATTTTTGACACCATGGGGCGGCGATTTGCGGAAGCGGTGTACAAATATAAAACGGAGAACGGCATTCCGCTGGACAGCGAGGATATAGTTCCAGAACAAAATTTATAGTCTTCTAATCTCGCATAACGTTTGTATTATTCAGGAAGCACGAGTATAGTGATGGATCTTTGTTACGATAATGAGGTTGCTGTTGATGTTTTTATTGATTGTTTAACTTTGTCGACTTCCGCTGATGGGTGAAAATGGTTAAACACATGAGATGAATACTACGGGAAAGCGTTTCCGCTGTTGATTTTAATTTCATTTACTTTTTCCATCAACTTATTTTATTAACTTAAAATGTTTCGTTAGGTGTTAACATTGGCTGATAATTTTTTATATTAGGCACCCTTAAATTTTATTGATAATTTCTTTATAATTTTCGTTGTAATTATAAATATTTTCCTGCGTAGAAAAATGGTTAGGCGCAGTTACGGATTTACGCCAATCTACTAGATTCAGTTTTATTGCGCGGTTTTCTCTTCAAAGCGTCTTACCTGCGTGAGGTTTTCCGGGGATTTGTACGGTTTGAGAAATCAATGGAATTAGCAGACACCTCTGCGCCAGCGCCGCGATCTCGTTTGTAAAAGGAGTAGGACGTAGTCCTGTAGATAATCACAGCGGATATCCTGTGCCTGCCTTTCTATCTCTCGGATGGCAGTCATGGCACTGTTATTTCCGTGGATAATTAAATCCTTGGGATACCTTGACTGCTGGACGTTGTGGCGTCGCAGTGTACAATCTCTACCGTGTGCTGTGCGTGTGTGTTTATGTACAAAGCCGGATAAGAGCCAACAAATTGGGATTATATTTGTATTTCCTTCCCCGTTACCACCGCGTGCCCGGGCCAGTCGATACCGACTTGGAATACAGTTAATTCTAACCTTAAATTAATTTTGTCGTTGACCTTAAATTAATTTTGTCGTGATTGGTTTCTTAGCGTAGCAAGTAGAAACCTTTTTCTAATAAAAAATCGCGAATGTAAGATAACGGAATAAATGTGTATGAAGTGCACGAATTTCTCCTAAATAAACGAAAAACTGGAACAGTACGGGCATGCGCATCCCAGTGTACCTACATGCTGCGCTGAGGCAGAATTAACTTGGAAAAATTGACACATCGAGTTAGTGAATACCCCAGGAAAAACGCCGCCCCAGTCAATGAAATTAAATGTATGAAAATAATTATTGGTATTAGTTATTATGATTTGCGTATTTAAAGTAGAGATAGTTCAATAGGCAAGAACATCGGTAGCGCAGAGTACAGTTGTACAAGTACATCCTGCCATACCTGGTAGTGCTGGTTTAGCGCTTATTGCGTTTGACCGTTCGCACATGTCAAGCACGGACAAAAAAATCAATATTTTGGGTAGTCGCAGGGAAGGTCAGCTGCCCATCACATTGGAAGATCGAGGGGTTTAACGTGCGCAAGCGCAGTTACTTTACAGGCCTATCATTGCCGCCCGTGAAAACACACTCTAAAACGCTAAAAACTCTAACAAGCACAACATCAGCTCACATGAAAAATAATGAATAATTATTATAATGTGTACAAAAAGGTGTTTAAGAATACAATACGCAAAGGTAGTGGAGCTACCGAGAGTACAGACATACTACCAAAAGTTCATAAGTAACATGAACATGCTTTTCTTTGTTGCCAACGCGAATGGCGTGACTTGAGAAAATCGCAGTAAAAGCGACTGCGCCTGTGCAAAACATGCCGGTCAGCAATTTTCCAGAATGCCGGTCGTGCTTCTGGAAGCTTCCGTACAGTGCCAGTTGGGCAATTTCCCGATTATTACAAATTCTCGGTGAACGGGCCCGGCTCCACAATGACGCGCGCCGATAAACACTAGCTATCCAGCCCCATGATTAACAAGCTGTTTAGCCGGGGAGAGAAGAGACCTATAGGTCATCATTAGAGCGTACATACACCGCGGTGCAGGCAGCGCGCGCGGTGTCATAATCATTTGATTGATTGAGCAGCCTGATTATTATTGTTTATCAACAATATGTGAGTCAGGACACTGGCTGCCATTCATGCGCCGATTGTAGTCGGGGAATGTGGTGGATTGTGACGTGGACCGTTTAGCAGATGGCTGTGCGGAGGTGTGGAGGTGAAAAATGACGCGAGATGTTCCAGAAAACGCAATCGCTGTGATCGCGCGCGTTCCCGCCACGTACGTATGCGCTGCAACATCCGAAGGAGATATCCGTTTCATCCCCCAACTGCCAAATACCACCACCGGCAAAACATGGATAAATGTTTGTAATGGTGGATACCCGGGGAACGGGCCTTCCTGTTCTAAAGGTCACCGTCAAAATATCGGATTTCTTTACAGTAAAGTGTTTTGCAGTCAAGATAAGTAAAACTATCAAAAAATGCGTTTCCATGCTCAGTTGTATGGGAATTAAAGGTCACGGACTTTTGCAGCTGCAGATGTAGTAACGCAGTTAAACCGGTGTCAAATCTGGGCTTTGTGGATTAATATATTTTTGGATCGGCTTGCCATACACGAATTTCTGCAACCGAAAGTTTCTTACCAGAATGCAATTAAAATTTTTATCATTATGTAAATTCCTTTACTGCGGAGTAAAAGAAAAATTGCTCTTTATAATTGACTCGAAATATACGCATCACTCTGTTCAATATCGCATATAAATATCGAAGGTGTGCCGCAATATTTCACTGCGCACCGGATTTCTTCATGCATGGCTGAAAAGGCAACAAATTGCAGATCCGGGATTCAAATTAGGAAAGCATTAACCGGCACAAGATATTTGATTTATCTCCGGCCCACCACAAAGCAGACAGGCATGGGTATCATGTAATTGTCAGACCGGGTCATGTAAAATATGTAGGCGATCATTTTAACGCTGTGTATGTACGGTCCCTGTGTGATTTAATCTGATATGCGACTTATTGAATTTTGTGCAAGATGCGTGCAGGGGAAGATAAGCCGGGTCGCAGTGAATATGTTAGAGCAGGAGAACGTCCTGGCAGCCGGCGTGCGCTGGCAGAGCCGTACCGTTTAGCAGGCATCCATCACTTCATGGCTTGGTGCGTCTTGCAAGGTGTAATTAATCGGCAATAGGTAATCTGTTGTTGATGTCAGATGAGCATATTAACCTGATTCCCAGTGGTCCTTCCTGTTTGGAGGGGTCGGCTCCTGAACGTGTTGCGTTGAACAATCGATTGCCAGGCCGTGCAGAGCCGGCGCTTCTGCCTGCCTGTTGTAACACCACATCCCTCCCAATGTAAGACAAATGCTCCAAGGAAGGATGCAGCTGCTCTCTATCACTTTCTAGAAAAATGCCGGCGCGCGACCGCAGTGTGGTGCAGCGTCGCTCCATGTATATATAAAAATCCAGCGTGATCTTGACGCGAAACTGACATGATTTTTCGGTGTTGTGATGTTGATACTATATAACGGGATATTGTGATGTTATGATTGGATTGTGTGCTAATGTATTCAACCCCACGGAGCGCCGATCAAGAAACCAACAAGGAAGCTGCAGCCGGTAGTGCCGCCGCCGGTGTACGTGGTGCTACCGTTGAAAAATCCGCTTCCTCTACTGCACATCAGCGTCCCCGTCAACGCCATCCAACGGGCAAGAAGGGACATTACCAGACGCCGACTGAGGATGCTGTCACGGCTGGCGCCCGCTGTCGGACACCGGCATCCACCTCAGCGCAGTCGCATGAATACCCTGCTGTTGAGACCAAGCGATCAGCTCGGTAGGTGAGCGAACACATAACAAATTTGTTAAGTCGGGTATCATTTTTAATTAATTCTTTAAATTTTACTCGCCCCTTCTGCATGTCATGTTCGTATTCCGTCCACAGATACTTTGACATTCCACATAATTCAACTGGAAAACTTTCTTGAAAATTTTCTTGGAAAGGTATAACCTTTAATATCAAGTATAGATAGGTAAGTACTTGTGCGATACGGTTTCACTATAATAATATTAAACCGAAAACAAAACTTAAATATTGCTTACATCAATTTTTCTGCAAAATACGGATGTCAATAAGTTAACTGCAACGGTAAATGAGAGGTTAACGTTCTGATACGCGGAAGTGAAAAGAGATAAACGACATTTCCAGATAAAATTCAAATCATATTTTAAGAAATTAAATAAAACTTCCATCTAATTTCATAAATTATAAAAGTAACTGTTTTCATCTAGAACACACTGCATTCAGATGTTATCTTGTAAATATGTATAGTGGCAATGGACGAGCAAAATCCAAGAAGCAATGATTTATTACGCAGATTACGATGATATTGTTTGTTTGTGGTGAACAGGCACCGTGTAAACATGTGGTGTAAACTATGAGTCACCTACAATGATTATTGTGCGATCACCTTTTGGGTTCAGCCCTCCTTTTCTTTTGTAATAGCGATTTGATTTCCATATCGCTATTATTTGTGTTTAACAAGAGCTGAAGAGAAGGCAGCTGTTCAACTACCTACATTATTAATATCAGAGCATATCATATCGGTGGCGTCCCGGATAATTTCCAGAAATCTTTCTAAATGTCGCCAAAGTTAATGTAAATCAATGTCTTTAGCAGGGAAAAATTTCAAATAATGACAGCAGTACCTTCAATATCCTCTAACTGGCTCTGACATTAATCCCATCGGTTGCGTTCATAGTTCACTTTACCGTTACAATATTTATATTACCGATACACGCAGTGCGTGTACAGGCACTGCAAGCACGCACCGTGATCATGTTGGAAATTTGCAGTCTTCTTACGCAACATAATTCCTACGCAATGCTCGGATTACTTAGGTAGTTTTAATACGGTCATACTGCAGGCAGTAAATTAACTGCCTCAGTAACGCATGCAAATCGGTAACGCGGTTTCGATCCACCTTAACCTTTCACTGTGATGTACTTTGCGCTGCACTTTATACAGTTTATTTTTACAGTTTATTTTACTTGCTTCGAATTATGCTAAGACGTAAAAACCTTTCTTTGCTGTACAGAATCAGCCACAGCGAGATAGAGAAACGCCGTCGTAATAAACTTAACTCCTTCATCTACGAACTGGCCACACTCCTGCCGAAACGCGATGGACTGTATCAGTCCAAGAAGCTGGACAAGCTATCTATACTACGCCTCAGCGTACACCATGTGCGCAATATGACACTGAAATCAACGCCCCCGGCCACCGGTGCACTACAGCCGATGCCTGACACCATCCTGACGGATCACATGGAGGAATTCGCGCGAATCCTCATGGAAGCCGAGGATTATCTGACCTTTGTTATTGACGGACTGAATGACACATTTCTCTACATGTCACCGTCGGCAGCCGGTGCGCTGGAAATCACCCAAGTACGGTTATCATCCAGCAGTAAACACTAAGCAGACTGTTTGCCATAAGCGCTCATAACGCCACCGAAGCGAAATTGGTTTGGCATTGGTGTTTCTGTTAACCATTCACTGAGCATTTGTAATCCAGTGCGGAAGCGAAGCGCCAATGTACAGTAATACTTACGTTAGCAGGAAGAACAGAACTCGTACTGTGAATCTGTTTAATGACGAAATGGTATCCTATCTCCCAGAACTCCCGAACTGGTTTGTCCCAGCTATTAAATTCGTCCCAGCTAGCTAGTTTTATGAACGTGCTTAAGTCAAAAAAACGGTTTTCTCTAAGTACAGTTGCATCTGTATAAAACGTAGAATTTTAAGAAGTAAAGACTACGCAACATACGTACTATAAAAAAGCGGCTTTGTTATCTTTGTATGCAGGCGACAAGTCAGCTTAGAACCGATTCACTCGTTACGTAAGAAACTGAATACGGGATATACAGCGGACAGCCTTTGGGAGCGCGCTATCACTGCGTCGTAAATTGTAAATGGCGTTTATTGCATGTATCTGAAAAGTGAAAATGTCTGTTGAATGCAGGCTGAAACGCATAATCTCCCCATCGCCTACACCGTCCACCCGGACGACATCCCCATTCTTCACCAGCAATTCCATATATCCCATCATCCCGAGAATCCTTCTCCGAAACCCGTAGCCTTTCTCTGTCGCTTAAAAACCCGCACTCTTCTCGATCACGGTCTGGCCAAATTCGACATTAAAACCCACAAGAGCTACCTGGCCGTCATGTGTCACGGATTACTCAAGCATTATTCGGAAATTGCTCATGCCTTTCGAATGCCCTCCAATCAGCCCGACCATCAAGTGCTCGTTGTCGTCGGTGTGATACAGAAGGCTACCGACAGCAGCGCCACGACATCCGTGTGTCGTCTGTCACCGCATGGTCGCTTTCTCCACATGGATGACAGTCTGCCGCAATGGCTGGGCTATACGACAGAAGCGTGCATGGGCACGTCGGTGTATCAGTATTGTCATCCGCTAGATGTCGACCAGGTAGCCAAAGGACACCGCTGGGTGCTGACTCATGCCGAAGAGGCCATGATCCCGATGCGGTTCGTCGGGCGCCATGGACAGTGCGTGAGGGTGGTCGGAATTTGGCGCGCCGTCAGGAGGCACTTTGACAATGCAGTGGAGGGCATCGATGTCTCATGTACAATGCAGTATTAATGGTTGGTGTCCGGCGTTCGTGGCCAGAAGGACCAATTTCACCGCTGGAGCTCTCTTTATGTGTGTGCATACCAAAACCAGGAAATCTCTATGTTGTTTTTTTGAAAGCTATTTTTTGATAATTCTGTGAATTGGGGAGTTTGCCCCAGATTGTACGAATATTGTTATCTATTGTACGAATAGAGAAATTGAGTTAATTAGAATGATACTTGCCTACTTGGTTTGCTGTACTCGTGAATGTGGACATAACAGCTTTCAGAGCATGTCAAATACCGATTCAGCTCTTTGTAGTTTGTATTGCTCCAACAGACGCTGACAAGGGAGGCACAGTTAACGCTAATAAGCCGACTGCTTCCCTTTTGTTTTGGTTTTCCCGTATAAAATCTGGGCACCTTTAATAAAGATCACGTCTGTAAAGGGCACATACGCTTTTTGATAAATTTTTTGTGTGTTGGGCGGTCGCTGACGCTAACAGTGATCCAGTACTTCATGCGAGGTGTATAGTTAAGGGTTTATTCCTTATACAACTTGCTTCCGGGATTATTGGATCACTGCTAAGAATATTGATATTGATCAACAATTCAAATATGGTTACCTGTGTTAACAGAACAGTGAAGGCGGTTTAGTCCGCCATTGTCTCGAACGTCTTCGAGATTTCCGCTACAGGCAAGACTCCGTACGTATGTAAATGATTTAGTAATAATATTGTTAAGCCTTGAGATTTAAGCATAATGGAAATTACTGAATGCTTTGAGTTAAAAATGTTAAGCAATTCAATGACAAAAAAATCTGCTTTCATTTTGTCGATGTCAATTAATCACGTGAACACGAGGCTCACCCCAGCAATAATGAAGATCTCAGTGCGCTTTCTTTATTTGTATACGGTCCGGCAAGAACCTTTAATAACCAATTTTTTTGGCTTTTACATTTCGCAATGAAATCCCATGTGTCTAGTGGCCGGACACGGTCGTATCAACCGATATGACCGCGCCATGAGTGTCGGTTACTTCACGTTTGACACCCAATGCTTGCGAATAAATACTGCGTGGGCATAGCTAACAAAGAATGGAAGTCTATAAAATAGCATTCTCAAAGTCTTGTCACTGGCCAAAAAATTTGCCAGCAAACAGTGATATTTGTCCAAAATTATCAAATTATCAAAATTAAAAGTTAAAAGATGCAAAACACTTGATTCGGCTGCTTACTGCTTCTTCTGTAAGCATTTGCCTTTGTATTAATCGTAAGAAACGACCGTGAAAGGACTGCAAAGCCGACCTAGGAAGTAGCATAAAGTAGTACTTACATTGATGTACCTAGGAAGTAGTACAAATGTACTCACGATCGTCATATAGACATAATATGTATTTAGTTATAATACATCAATAAATTTATGTGTTTTCCATCTGTATTCTCCTCTGCCAGTTGTTACGGTGAATTTTTACAACATGTCGGCTGATAACCTATGGAGACGTTAAGGGAAACTGCCGCTGGTTCACGCTTTTTATAAAGGTGATTTACTAAAGTGAAACGGTAGCTGATTATAAACTCGATTTCTATTAGCACCGTGTTCTGTAAATTATGTTGTTAGCCGTAAGTCCCGTAACCCTGCTGCGAGTCTCCACTCGGAACCGATATACACTGCTCTTATTGAGAAAATCCCCACACTTTTGAGAATACAAACAAATCCTTTCCTGGAATGCTTTCGCGATATCATAAATGAATTTCGCAACAGCAGATTGATAAAATACGGTAAGAATAAATAAAACTGCATTGTTCACAGATGCACTTTAAGTTAATGTCATATTTTCTCTGTACAATGCGTTTTGCGGATACTGCGATGTGCATGTTAACCTTCAGTCAACCTTATCGATAACTCGCATTTCTTGACACTGGAAGTAAGTTAATGTTACATTTGTTATTTTACTACATTTTTTCACGGTTACTGGCTGATTTTCCCCCTTCAAGAAAAAAGAATACAGACTGTACTGAATACCCTTTACGCTATCCCGTACAACGTGGCTATGCGATTTTTGCCACTTTCCGTTTTCCTCCGCATCATTCCTTTTGATGGTCAAGGACATTCCAAAGATCCGCGAGACAGTGTAGTTGCAGTCGAAGTGCGGATCCCAGTAACCCCATACACTAACGCTAATATTTTTAGACAGGTAGTCATGAGTCTAATGATTAATTCTAGATAATGACATAGTGACAAACGTAATGAATAAGAACGTATGACGGTTGGGCACCAATATCGTGGGCACAATTGTAACCGTACCTTGACATTTATGTGCCGGCAGCTGATTTTCACAAGTTATGAATGCAATACGTTCCACAGAAGAAAGAACAGTTAAGTGAATTAAATAACAGTTAAGTGAATGGAAGTGCCGTTAACTGATATTATCTATGCTTGGCCTGTAACTTTGCATGAATTTTGCCTGTAAACCAAAGAAAAGAAACTTTTTGACAGTACTAATTAGTAGTAGTGCATACCTCCACACGTTGTGTAGTGCATACCTCCAAGCTTTTTCCAGTATTCCATTTGCCACGATTGTTACTGTGGTCAACACGTGAATGTATTATACAGTTGCAAAGTACATACAGTGTATTGTACATGCAGTCCCCCAACTTCGGAAACCGGCGTACTTATATATTGTTCGCTCGCTTGATGGGAAGAAGAAATCACATTACGTATAGTGAGCAACGCAATGACTGCAAACATTACGGCTTCTTTCAACGAGTGCTCCTGGAATGTAGCTTTGGGCCTGGATGCCAATTTAACGGATTCGGGTACAACGGCGACGAACAATCCCAGTCTGTATGTGTATTTTGTGTGCTATCCAGTGTTGTTGGCCTGTTGCACGGCAGGTAGCCCGTTGATCATGGCTGCACGATTGCATGATTCGGAAAGCCGCAAATCATCGACAACGGTTTACATGGTGTGCTCGGCATTGGGAAATCTTTGCATTCTGTAAGCGTACTGCATTATTTTGTGTTACAGTTATACCTGTTGAAAGGATACATGACGAGTAATATATGGTAATTATTATGCTTTTCTAATACGCTTTCATTCCGCAGCTGGTCAATATTGCCGGATTATATAACAGCAACCGTAAGCTTTGGTGCGAATGTTGAGAACGGCTCGGATCAGGCCAATGATTCTTACGCAAACTTTTACACAGCGTATAAAGGCTTCGCAGCGTTTTTAAATGAGACTGCTACGCAGTTCGCAGACTGGTAAGTATGGTTTCCAGTTTTCCACATTTTCGGAGGCATGTATGCAGTATATGCTTGTGCTTTGAAAAGTTTTTTAAAGAAAAGTTTATTGAAAGACCGCTGAATGTTGATGTACCTACTCCTTGCTACCTGGTATTGATAGGTTTCGGTTTAGGTTTTCTTGCATGCTCAAGTACTGGTGGCGCACTTGTTACTGCTCTTTCAGATAATCTTTGCTAGTGACCGTATAAAAACGTTGACAAATTAGAAAAATTTTCTGTTTCTCTTATAATTTTACTTGGTTGGACTAGCCGTGCTCATGATCTTGAAATTTTCTCTTTTAACTTCAGGACGCTGATAATATTTGCCGTTGAACGGTTATTAGTTGCGTTACGACCTTTATCCAATGCATTGACCAGAACCGTTACAGCAACATGGCGACGTGCCATCCTGAAAGAGTGCGCTATTTTAAGTTTGTCGATAATGTTTTCCGTATCCAATTTGTGCACCTACTACTACTATTACATTTCTGGGAACCGGACGCTGATACTGCAAGACGACTTACCACCACCTTTGAAAACCTGGTACCAGCTGCAAGAAGACGCCGAGGTAATCACTGCACAATACTCGGTACTTTCGTAATAAACAGCTGCACGATGACAAATCAGTTAGATAATATGGATTAAAACTGTATTTTGCAGATGGGAATGTGGTACGCTAAATGGCTGACAATGCTGATACTGGACATTTCTCTAATTGTGGTCTTGTGGCGACACCGAACAGCCTTTCGAAAATCCGTCATTAAGCGCAGCAAGACTTGCGGCACACGCACTGCGAATGCCACGGTCCTCGGCAGTCTACTGCTGTACATGGTGACACAGTTGCCCTATGTCCTGCTGTCGTGTCTGAAAATAGCCAGTCGTCCTCCATACTGCTCTTATCCAATGACGTATGAACAAGAAAGCCGGGCCCGACCAATCGTATACATCGTCCAGTGGAGCAACTATTCGGTGACCTTTCTCGTATATTATTCAGCCAGTTTGACGTTTCGCAAGCAGTGTAGAGCTTTATGCAAAACAATAAGCCATCCTGCACGGCAAGCGCACCAAACTTTAACCAGGATAATCACGGTAACGAAGAGTGCAGAGTCATCAACGCTAAAAAGCGCTAAAAGTGTGACGTTTAACACAGCCGGAAATAAGGGTATTTCAGCGCCGGAAGCGTTCGAATTTCATAACGAAATGAAAGATTAAACGCTGTTTTTTTTTATTGCAATTTGTGGTAGTGTTTTATGTAGACAGTCAAGCAAGAATACTTAACAAACCATTAAAAATATGATGGAGAATGTATTGTTTTTCATCAGTGGATAGTATAACTGTTTTTCTCATTTGTTTTTGCCAGAACTGTGTCCGGCTTTCAACGTTGAAGCAAATGTTTTCACAAAAATGGAGAAAATGGAATCAAAACGGAAGAAAGCTGTGACCGCGATAAAATTACCATATCGCAAAACAAAGTTCGACGTTTCAGAAATTATTTCATGATTACAAACCACTGGTGAAACTTTCGCATCATAATTTATCATTAATGTGTTTGGTGACACTTAATTATTTAATGCCACCGGAAAGGATAAGACATACGAGTAACAAAGATGACCTATGCTCTATAATACAAAAAAAAATTTCCGAACCTTTATCATCAGGTTATTTTAGTCAACTGATTTTGTGCAACTGACTTTTGGTTTCATCGAGCTAGAGTTCTATGGTCTCTTGTTATCTTGTTACTCTTAAATACTTGCGAGTAACTCGAACTGTACAGTCTGTATAGCATTAATTTTGTTTTTATATTCGTATAATAATTCTGACAATTCTGTGCTTAGTTCCAGAGTAACACGGAAAAAATATAACCATTTCTGCGGAACACGCCCATATTGGCTTAGAAAAAACAATACAGCAGCAAGCAGATGCCACATATATTCTATAACTGTACCTCCAAGGGTACTAACACATGTCCATAAAAAATCTGCGCACCATGTATGTAGTTTATTTAGCGGTATTTTCCTCGTCGGAATTGTCCGCGGTTTGGAGATAAAGAGATTCACAGGATGCCGGTTGGGGCTGTGTCGTGGGTATGGATAACGTCTGCGTTTTGGTCATCGCCGCGTACGGACCGTTACGATGGACTTTGCGCGCCGGCAGCGTCGAGTGCATCTTAAGGGACTCGGAGGTGCGCTCCATCTCGGAGATGCGCCGGATTCGCTCGGAAAGACGACTACCGGTGCGGCCCAGCGGCGAATTGGACAGGTACAACCGCATACGGCACACCTCAGACCGCACGTCAGCGTTGGCGAAACACAGTAATAGCGCCGCGATAAAGCCCTGCAAAATTATGAACGTGTATGCAAAATGTAGTATTTAAACGCGGTTAATATCCAAGGGACAAGTTTATACATGTATGTACATGCAGGTATTAGGTAACCAAATTACTAGTCAAAAGCAGCCTAGTTTAATAGTACGGTTTTATATATTTATGCCATAATTATTATTAGTATGTTTAATAAATATTGTATATTGCATGTCGTATAGTGTATGGCATAAAATTTGTAAAATATTTCTTAAAGTAAAGAAAGATAGTGCTGTTGTGGTGATTGGGGACAATGCGTCCTGACATTTGACATAATAATATGCAAAACATTTGCTCATGCACCTTATCAAGGTATTAACAGTATCAAATTTTTAATAAGTACTCCACTGATCAATGTAAATATTTATAAGATGTAGCGTATTTATGACCTGGGATGACGTGAAGGCCAGATCGATCATCAGAAGCACCACATCCAAGTAGATATTCATATTAACTTCTTCAATCACCAATAAAATAAAAAAGTGTATCCCGTAAACGGCCAACAAAACCAGCGTTGATTTGGCCAATCGGCGATACTTTAGCCGTCCGGATGCTGTATTGGCCTGCTGCTCCCTGAGCGTTGTTTGGGTGCGGAATTTAATGAATATCAACCGCGTGATATTGATAAAAAATATGAAGTTCATCTACGAAGGGTATATCGCTTAAAATAATAAATAAAAATCAAATTTGATAGGCTTACTATAATTGTTGCTGTTATTGGACCGCGTAATATCCAGAATAATCCGGAATATCGCGCGTTGTTTACTTTCCAACAGCTAAGGCAAAAAAATGAAAATTAGCAGAATATCACCTTTATTCATCCGGATAATGGTAGCCTGACGAAAAACTTTTGTACTGTAATTAATATTTGTGTAAATCAGTTCGCATTATGAACACTTGCACATAAATGTTGTTGTAACCTGGAAGTTGTAACCATATTACAGAAACTTTCAAAACTTTCAAAAACATCACAGTTGATAAAGATGGGTCGACGTAAGCGAATCCACCGACATTGAAGCCGTTGAGAAATGCGAATCGCAAAAATTGTGCAATCAATAAAATAAAATATTTTTGGCAGAAAAAAAGCAAAAAAGCTGAATCCGCTACTGTTGAAAAATCTGTACTTAGTATGTAAAATGTACACTTGCTTACTTACAAGCAGTTATCGTATTCGAGACGCAGCCCTGCCCACAATCCGACAAAAAACACTGGCGGCAGCCAACCGCCGGCAATATGGAACCAGATCATTTTAGAGTGGTCGGTGAAGACGCTGAAGGATATCACGTTATTCAAGTATAAACCCTCGATGAAAATCCAGAAATAATTGGCCATAATGGCGTAATGGAAAAAGGCTGTCTGCCAACGGCAAGCGATGTCCTGCCAACGGTCACAGCTGTTAATAAAGCTACGTCGTACTTGTGCAACAGTTACAGCTACGCAAAGGCCAACACGTTACAAGTACGTGGCTGATCAGTACGGTATACCGAACTTTAAGAAATAACTGGATGAAACACGATACGGAAAAACCGTATTGTGACAAGTTGAGCCACCTACGTTTGCTTGCATGTTGGCGACGTCAGTGTGGTGTACCGCGTGACCTCCTTCGTAGTCATCCAAGATAGGGTTGCGACTGCTGATTGTGGCCAGGGCGTGGATGGCGAAGGCGACGAAGAGATTGATATGCAATGTGTTACGCGGACAATACAGGCGCCTAATGGTAAGACAAAACAATTTTTAATTGGCTGTGCGCTTTGAGTTGTAACTACCGTGCTATAATCTTCTAGAGCCAGCGGTGCTTATCAGTATTGTACTACGTTGTAGTAAATGCTGCATATGCGAACCTCTGCTAACAGTGTTATGATATTCGCCACACAGTAAGTCATCGTCAATTTTTTTACTGGATTTTTAACTGGCATACATATCTGATTATCTGTACATGCTGACCTTAAATACGTACATATTGCATATTTTCTTATTTCGTCTATTTTCCTTGTTCGATGATAAGTAATAATTATTAAAATGCACCAAAGTTACGTTTAGTGAAGAAACCGATGCTCTTTACTGCATTATATTTTGTGAGATGCGCAGTAGTGCGCACTAACACACACAAAATACCATAGGTATCTTGCTCACAATCAGCATATTGTAGCGATAGAATTTGTACGAACGATAAGACCGCCCAGTTATGATTCATTCCATCGCGTTATGAATTTGTGTCCACTTTACCGGCTAGTTTCCTTTCTCATGAATTTCTAGAATTCAGTCTTGACACTCGCTTGCTACAGCTTGCATCTACTTGATTGTTCCTCTTGTTGAAACTCTTGCTTACAACCTTGCTGCGTTCTTGATTCCCTTGTCATTAAACATGCCTTGAGTTACGTTGTTGCGTTTGACCGCTTGGGATGAACTAGCGTCATCCCAGTCGGAGCCACCTGTGTAATTGCGTTACATCTGTAAGAGCGTCCTCGGCCAGCATCGTTGCCGGTCGTGCCACCTTTCACACCAACAGCCGTTTAATCGTGGTAAAGGCCTTTACCACGATTGTAAGCAAGAGTTTCAACAAGAGGAACAATCAAGTAGATGCAAGCTGTAGCAAGCGAGTGTCAAGACTGAATTCTAGAAATTCATGAGAAAGGAAACTAGCCGGTAAAGTGGACACAAATTCATAACGCGATGGAATGAATCGTAACTGGGCGGTCTTATCGTTCGTACAAATACTATCGCTACAATATTCACCATGACAGCAATTTGCCGGTCAGCAGAAACTATAAAATACTTACTTGACGGAGATGAGTATAGAAATGGCGAGTACCAGGGAAACGAGGGACACGGAATAGCCGATCACTGACAATGTGCTCATATAGGGAGCCATAATCTGCAACCGCACACTGTCGCATTTAAAATTTAAAAAAATTACATATCGCGAGCGGAATGTGATGTTCTTCCGCGTACGTCACATTTGGTAGCGACAATTTATATAGTGGGGCATGCGCCATACGGAGAGAATTGCCGTGTTTGACCTACAGTGTACAGGGCGTGCCTTTCTGGGGTCCACGTCGATGTGTTGTATCCCAGTGTTGCGTTTAAACTCAGTTCACACTCATCCGGTTCCCTCGCGGGCATCGTCATATTCAGGGGCTTTTTGCAGGGGCCATAATCCGCCCACTGGCGGCCATCCGGTCGCATCCACCACGTACCGATGCTTGTGCAATTCCGGGATGCAAATTCTGTACCAGTTAATAAAAAAAGCTAATTAATAAGTAATTAACGAAGTCAACGTTGACTGGATAAAAAAGCTAACTGTAATGTACCAGCAAAAATTAACGTTAACTATAGTCTAATAAAACGTTAACTATTAAAGTTTAACTATATACGTATACACACAAATGCGGCTATTTGCATTCATTTTGTACTATCGGCTATACTCGTACTTTTTTATTGTAATTCAAAGATGTGTACCCCGGGTTTGCCGTCCCGATTGTGGAAAAAGCAATAACGTATACTTAAGTATATGTGTACTACTATACAGCTATCCTTAATAAGTACTGGTAAAATTTGCATATAACTATAGGGCCTCAGTTATGGACGACTTTATTGTGCACCTCGCCAGTATTTAAGGTGCAAAGTCTTTCTGCTTTGGTGATCCATCCCATCGTGATTACAGAGCCGAAGCATTTAACTAAGTTTGTTGGGATTTTTTGCTGAGCTTTTTCTCTCATCTTTAAGAGTGCACTCTCCGCCTCATCGGCAGGCGGAATGCAATTCCCAGGGTAAGTGCAGGTGTTGGGAGTAATTTGTAATCATATATATGAGCGCGCTGCCCTTTTCCCACCCTTTGCCTTGTTGTCAGCTGGTGCGCACACGGGCCGAGTGTTGCATCGCGGATGAGATTTATTATTATGACCGGGCCATTAGCGTCAACACTGGGATGGATTAAATGGCTGGTATTTGGTTGCTGCGTTCGCCATCGTCGCAACCTAGACCCGAGTGTAATTCCCGGGGTTTAAATGAACTGTGGAGACGATGCAGCATACGGTTCCCACGTATGCCGATTGTGTGCGGGTAATCACGAATGGCCTTCCCCTTCCTACTCAGTAGACGCGCGGGAATAATCGTTGACATGCGATAGATATTTGCACTGCCTTGTGGCCGCGCCGGAGACTAGGCCGGCTTTGTTGGCTGGTTTGCCCTTTCTGTGTCCTTCATTGCTTTCTTCCGTATCCCATGTTTGGGATGATTATACGGTGTGAATGATTAGGTTCTCGTGAACGTTGTGAAAATTTTGGATGGTGTTATCACGAACTGCGAGAATAATGAGACAGGAATAAACGGTTCAAGGATACTGTGATATATCGTAGACTACAGTCTCAGGTATTGCTTTTATTACAATAAAAGCGGTTAGCATTGCAAACTTGCAGCTTCTGAATATATATATACTTTAATATATAAAATTTTCAAATTATTTAAACGCAACCTTTTTGCATTTTTATCTTTTGCAGTTAGGTATTTTATTTATTTTGTTTGGGCAGAAATTGCATTCGCGTATACTACGTACATGGTATACTATATCATAATACATGGTATATGCAATAAAGCAACACAATTTTGTATTTTAAGATTATAAGGCTTCGGTACTTATTTTTGCTCCGGATTAGTGTTTTCTGTCAAAATTTAAAAATCGAAACCCAGTAACTAAACTCTAAACTTAAATTAATTTTAGAGCGTTCGTTTAAAACTTATTGGACGTTAATACGAAAACGAAATTAGCGCAAGCCTGTTTAACACATTCAGTTTAGAAACACTCGGACTACATGCCTAAAACGAAAAGTGAATTTTATTAGTTGTAAACGACATGTACAATGATGGAAGCCATTTCACGAGCGAATTCAATCTGTTAAGATCCATATCTACCGTTTGAAACGATAGCGCATCCATTGATTGATAAAGGTCATTACCGTCAGCCTATTATCTCTATGCAAATTTGTCATCTCGCGGAAGCAATGCGCGCGCGTATCCCGCGTGTAATATCCGCATTCTGAGCCAAACACAACCCGACAAGCAGCGATATCGTTGATTAACCGTATGGAAGAGCGATCATGAGGCCAGTGTTGCTGTTGTCTAAATGTCCCGGGAGAATGCCGGGTGATGATTACGCAGCTGAAAGACGAAGCTACGTTTTTATATCCCAAAAACAGCTAATTCATATTATTATCGTCTGCTTGGTTTGTCCCTGTGTGCATTACAAGTTTCCGGTCTTTGCGAGCCGGGAAAAGAGTGCTCGAATCTCCCTCGTCCCATATACAGCGCAATACCGGCACACACATTCACCGTATATGTGTATTGTACATGCGGGTTATTCATAATTAATGTGCATCAGCTGGTCGATGCTGGACATTAAGGCTCACTTTTCCCGCGTTTATATGGATGCTGTTGAATTGATTGGCGGGAAGTGTACGACAGTTTTTTTTATGGGCTACTGAATGAACAACGTTTTAGCAATGGGCACGAGAGGGTTTTTTCTGTAGTACAAAGTAATTTGTTCCAGCATGAACGAGTACTTTTGACTGCCTTTATGTGTTTCCGCGTGTTTCTGCAGCGAAACAGCGCGGGATGGGAAATAAAGAGGCACTTATTCAACTAGAAATTCAGGCAATATTTATGGTGGATTTGACTACATGCACTCATGCATGAACAGTTAATTATATGCAGCAGTGAAACTGTTAGAAGATTATCAACATTCAATGCGGCTGTTTTTTATTATAGATTTAACATAATACCAAGATCCTTGATAATACTTAACTACACAGATACGCTGCTCGTTTATATACAAATATTTACTAAAAAATTTCGTTACTAGAAGTTTTCGTTACTTTAGTCGCTCTTTAATTATAACAGATTTCCCACAAAAAATATCAATGCTTAATTAATAATATCCCGCATGAGCAAAATCTCCGTTAGGGTTAAGAGAAAAGTTATTTTCTACACACAAATATATTGCTCAAATTTAAACGGACCGAATTGGCGTTTTCGAGATATCTATGTAAATTAGACATTTATAATGATTAGATGATTTCTGCATTGGCATTCATAAATTTTAAAGCCCCCCAATGGCACGGATTACGTAAGTACGACAAAACAAAATTAAAATTTAATTAAGACGAAACGCATTGGCCATATATACGTGACGGTGTACAATATATAGAAGTATGGTCAATGCGTTTCGTCTTCTTATCGTTAATACACCCATGCTGAAAACTGCCCCAGCGCACCAGCGGTGCGGTGAAGTGTAATCAACAGCTGAATACAGATTAGTTGCTGACAATAAGTGTGTCATAATCAGCGCTATTTTGATATCTATAATTGACTATAAACATGTACCTTTTCTTTTTTGTTTTCCTGCGATAGTTTCGAATTTAGATACCTTATATTTACACCTTATAGAGTATCGTTATTCGCTTGTCCGGGGTGCAGTGAACCATTTTGATTCGCCATGTATTGTGTGCTTATGCTTCTAGTGACTAATACCCCGATTACAACCATACGCATAGAGTATGTCGACAACAAAGAAAATAATAGCGGTAATTCATTAAAAGTTTTACAAAAGTATGCAGTTAATTTATAGCTAAGGTGCGCTACTTAATAAAGCGGTGGTGGTTAACTCTGTCAGTTACCGCTTAATTCTACCGATATAGATATAGTGGTTTAAAGCAATACTGTGGCTAAATTACTTAATTAAAATGACGAACTTACCGGCAGGATCAAAATTGTGGAAATAATCCGGACACCGAATCCACGCCGTTGCATTGGCCGGCTTTTCGGCGCATAAAACCAAAGTGCACTATTAGGTTAGGTATTTCAATGATATACGCGTGTTGTGTATTGTACTCGTAATAAGGAATAATTATACTCCCGAGACTTATTAAACATTTAATAATTAATTTTCGCATACGCTGCATATTTAATAGCCACGCAAGTGTGTACTCGGTACGTATACGTATCGATTTCCTCTGTGCAGATCAATATGACTGTCCACCACTTTTACACTCAAAGCCTCAAACTAAATCAAACGTTATACTCGTATATGCTTGCTTGTGCCGAAGTTCACAGCTTAATTAGGGACTTGAATAAACAATTCTTGACTTGATTTGTCAAAATGAAATAAATAACAAGTTTCATAAATTCAAAAAGTTTGGTGCAGAAAACTTAGAATCTGCAGCATTAATAACTGATACAAGCAGGAAATATGTTACGTAACGGATGCCAAGAAATTACCGTGGGTGGCCAGCAGGAGATGCCGTCCCATAAATGTTCACAATGCAGGACACCACGACGGATAAAATCCAAATAAATATCGTCAAACGCGCTGGACGCGTCGCAGGCTTGTGCTCTGGCCAAGAGTAGCTCCTCTTGATGGCCCTTGTCCTGGACATTGGTCGGACTACTGGCGTTCCCCGTGCTCATCGTCATATCAGCGGCAAAAATTATGCGAGATCATAAAATTACCGGTGCGTGTTTCCGGCGCCACAACAAACCCGTATTAAAAAATCCAGAAATCTGTGGCGCATCTGCGCCCCGACAGCGGAAAAATATACCGGAATATACTAAGTATATCTTACGACGCGGTGTCGCTATAGGCGAGACAATCAGCACACTCACTGACACACACAGTGCAGAGAGACCGATAACCGCACAGCCGGTCAATTGTTCTGCCCAATTATTATTGTCGGCAAATCGGTATACACGACGCGCATATCACCAGAGAGAGCCTATGAATAAACGATTAAATACAGAACGACAAATAAACAAATCCCGGCGTCGTGCTACGACCGTGTGTGCGATAAGAGTGTTGGCAACCAAGATAGCTTAGAAGTCCCAGTGTAATATATACAACGTGGTGCGGTGTAGCCGGGTATTAAACGACAACTGATGCCCTAAATGCAACAGGGTAATTTGGGGATTATGAAACACAGGGACTGGAGGATGTCTCGAGTACGGCGGAGATTAAAAGTGCTGCAGCCCTATCATCGGGAGGAAAATGGGAATCCAGTGGGATGTGCGCCACGTCATATTCACAGCTTATAGCACGCCTAACCGGCATGTAAGCCGGTGCCGAGTTTAATCAGAGTGTATGGCCGGCTGTGTGGATGCACTCCACAGGTATAGTGTAATGCGATAACGCGCGTGCATCCAATCAAACATTTACGCAACTCAGCCTAAAAATCCTCCGACTTCTTTCAATTATCCATAAATCGGCTTTGGAATTTTCTTTGAATAAACGAGCGATTCTCTCCGAGATCGCATTAAACTTTAAATATAATTCTGAAACAGGTAGGCGCAATGAAATTTAAGCTAATTAAGTAAAACAGAATTCAGGAAAATTAACGTGTGGTATGGCTAATTGACCTACATCCAGTTAAGGTTGGCTGGATGCTATTATTTGTATTTATTTATTACACAAGATGTTTATAGTAAAGTTCAAATAAAATGACCGAAGTATCGGTGTCGTGTAACGAACGCAATACGATCCCTTAGGTAAGTAATTACTCGGTACCCTAAAGCCACGCCCCGTTTAATTCTCGTCTTCCTTGAAGGTACAAGTGGAGACCGCAGGGATAGCATTTTTTACCAAGAAACTGAGTGATGATGGTAATCAAGGGTATCCGGAGTTAGCGGGACGCAAACGCAGCTGCCAATGGCTCCTTGATGGCCACCTTGATTGAATAAGTGGCCGTGTGTTGGGTGGATACATGGCATCATCGAGAATGCGGGACTTCCGGCGGGGTAATCGATACATTTCCCAGTGATATAAAAATATACAAAGAAAAATAAACAGCTTAGCTCGGCGGTATTATATTGTAGACTGCCTAGAATGTTTATGCCGGTTTCTGTATAATTGGTGCCTTTTATCGCCAGACGACAAAAAGGAAAGGTTTGTTCAGGCGGATATTAAAGTCGTTGTGTACTGTACAGTGAATGCGGTGCCTATTGGGATGTCTCGCGAGGTTGTTTGACCTTTTGAAGAATTAGTTTTCGGACTGCCCATATTCACAGTATGCCTCGTGGAACAGAATACAGATTTTATCGCCTATATTTGTATTTGTTTGTGGCGGTGATTGCGTAACACACAAATATGATAAATTAATAAAATTTGTCGTAATAGATAATGTCTATTTCGTGTGCATGGATGAGCAATAATATTTATTACCGTAAGAGCTTTCACGCCGCATTCCCACATTCATCGCAGAGAAAAGCCGGAGTTGAAAGGTCTTGGTGTTGTGTACACAAGCACTTATCAGCCATACACCAGTACCGGCAAAGTACCGCGTTTTCAAGTATCACCACTTGTGCACGCACTTTTTCTACCATCATTGACACTGCGGTTAGAAAAACTATTTGGCCATGAAATTTCTGCTGATTGCCGGAATCGGGAGCGGGGAAAAAACGCCGCACCCGGCAAATGACGGGCTAAACATGCACTCCTGTTTTTACTGCCCGCGTTTTCCTGTGTATGCTGCAGTGTGCAATTATACCGCGCGTGTTGCGTCCCGTAGCCGATGCCAGAGATGCGGGCGTAGGTGTTTAGCCGGTGGGAATTAAAGTTTATTACGTTTGGCCGATGGGGATAAGATGTGATAGACTTTCTCTCTGGCTCTTTCGGTCGCACTCGCTGTATGCTGCATATGTGCCCGTCCTTGCACCACATGCGTCACATATGGACAGAGACAGACTTGGTGCATGCGCTGGGATTTCTTAAGCGGATAGCAGCCAGTGCTGACGCTGCCGTTGGAGTGTTCGTCGACATTTGCTGGGCGAATGGCAATTGTGTGCCGGTTCGACGAAATGTATGATCACACTGGTAGGGCCTGAGTGGCCACACTGGGGAAAAGGGAATGTGTTTGTTCGGCTGTGTTCAACGGCCGCGCTGACCTTGTACACGTGTTCCTTTTTCACCTGAAATGGGCGCTTGCTTATTGATAATCATACCTGCAATGAGTAATAGAGGAGACAAACATCCCCATCCATGGTAGTTTCATCTATGCGTTAATAACACCCGATTTCGTTTGGTTTTTCGGGGTCTTCTAATTTTTCCTTCCCTAGCGTAATTAGTTGATAGCGAGATGAGGTTTCCTATATCTTTATGCCGGACATGCATATAGCGGCCCCACTATGTTCCAAATTGCTTTAGTTTTCCCAGGCTCACCGCGACCCTTTCGACCTCCGGCAAATCATACACTAGTTACACAGAGCGAAAAAAATTCAGTTATTAAGTGGTCAAGGATTTTAAATATAAATACAAGTAAATATTAGGTACTGTGCGGCATATCCAGTGATTCCGTTCCTTTGAATTAAACATGCAGCTGAACGAACAAGAAAACGTAAACCACATAATTTGATTCGCGCTCTAAAAAGCGTGTGAGAAGCAGCACTATGCTGTACAATTTTTTAAAGACAAACCTAACTGCAAAACAGAAATACTTGCTGTGCTATACCGAGTTTCTAATAAGTATTGTTCACTTATATATACGCTTTTGGATTTTAACAAGTTTTCTGTTTCGTTTCAAAAGAGATTCCATGAGCATATTATAGAGATTAGAGATTCCCACATGAGTATTCTGTTATTTGTTATTAGTTACAGAATTTGTTATTAATCGCACACATATCGTACAATAGTGTAAAAATCAGCTGATAATGAGCTCTTACAGTACTCATACAACTGCTCTCGCATACTACTCTGCACAAGTTCTGCTAAATAATCACGAATCGTTTTAAAAGAAATAAACTGGTAGGAAATGCAACAGTATGAGAAACAATAGTGGTTGAATGACGTCTGAATGCCGGCAGCGAATTTGCACCGTTTTCTTCAACTTTTTTAAACAAATGTCGAGTTGCTGACTGGTACAGACAGTGCGCGTACTGTAATAAATTTTCTTTATTGTCTTCAGTGGCTTCACAAATTTTGTGATTGCGCATAAAGAATCCACGGACGTGTACAGTGAATGTTTTTGCAAACATGCACCAATCCGCAGTCACGTTTTCCTCATACTATTGCTGCGAGCGGTTAGCTGCATTTTCTTTTGTTAATCATGTCTAGTTTTTTGGATGACACCTGAGCACATCAAGCAGTTCCGCAGACATCGAACAGCCGGAAATTCATTACAAAATCACGCAACAGACAACAACAATAAGCCCAATGGTCGATAATAGCACGTACCTGGTTACCGAGTGTACATGGAATCGTGCACTGGGACTGGATGAGAATGGGACAGGAGCAGGCGAAACCGTAACAACCAATCCCAGTCTGTACGTGTATTTTGTATTTTACCCGTTGCTGTTGGCATGCTGCACAATAGGAAGCAGCCTGACTATCGTTGCACGATTGAACGATCCGGATAGCCGCAAGACGTCCACTACGGTGTATATGGTGTGTTCGGCCTTCGGAAATCTATGCATTTTGTAAGTGCTCTTACTATAATTACTGCTGTACACCTAATACTTACTGGAAAATACGGTATGTATTTGACTAAATCTGCTTTTCACGCAATATCAGATTGCTGTTGAAGGTGGTCAATCTTCCCCGATTATCTTGTTACCGTATTTTTGAACGGTGCAAATGCGGGAAACGATTCCGATCAAAGTTATAATTCCTTCACAAATGGATACCTCGCATACAGAGGAGTCTGTACGTTCTGGAACGAAACTGCAACGCAGTTTGTGGACTGGTAGGTTCAGAATGTGCGCCGAAAGGCGTGAATTAATGACGCACTTCTGCGAGACTGATGTCCCTAGAAAATACGAGTACGGCTACGGGGTCTGTAGTCTGTACAGACTGTACTTATCAGTAGTCCTTACAAGCGGAAATGCGTAAGCGCTAAAAGTGTACATACGATACAGTGTGTAAAGGTGCACTTCTTGGCAGGATTTATATATTAAAATTTTCCCGCACACTTTACAGAACTATTTGTAATATCACGTGTTGTATTTGCGGGAGGTAATGTGTATTACTGTACTCGTACAATCGGCTTCTACTTGTTGCTGCCATTCGTAACTACTCATTCTTATTTACTGCGGTTCATTGTAGTTACAATTAATTCGTTTTAGGACGCTGATAATATTTGCGCTGGAACGGCTCCTGTTTGCGTTGCGACCTTTATCACGTACACTAACCAGAGCTGTTAAGGCAACATGGCGGCGAGCAGTTTTAAAGGAGTGTATCATTTTAGTCTTAGCCATCCTGTTTTCTTTATGCTATTTGTGCACATACTACTACTATTATGTCACCAGCGACCAAAAGCTATCGCTACAGGATAGCTTGACGCCATTTCTGAGGAGCTGGTACAATTTACAAATCGACGCAGAGGTATGAGACAATTTTTGTTAAATACTTGTACAGTTTTCATGTTTGTCTACGGGTGTAACAAAGAAAATTTCGCATTTTGTAGATGGGAATGTGGTTCGCTAAATGGTTAATGCTGCTTATGCTCGATACGACGCTCCTTGTGGTCTTGTGGAAGCATCGGACCTTAGTTAGGGCGTCAGTCGCATGCACGAAAAGCTGTGCCACCCGCAACGCTAATGCCACTGTCATCGCCAGTTTGTTGTTGTACATGGTAACGCAGTTGCCGTATGCTTTGCTGACGTGCCTCAAAATCGCCAGCCGTCCTCCATACTGCTCATACCCAATGACCAACGAGCAAGAAAGCCACGCTCGTCCGATAATAAACATTATCCAGTGGACTAACTACTCAGTGCCTTTTTTCGTCTACTACGTTGCCAGCCTGACCTTTCGTAAGCAATGTAAAGCTTTATACAAGAAAATAAGCCATCCTGCGCGAAAAGCTCGCGGAACTCTGAACAGGATTCTGACGGTTACGACTACAACCAGCCTGGAATCGATCAGGTTGAGGAAAACAGAAACTCTGGGTTCGAATCTATCGGGAGAGAATTGTACTTCAAGCGCTGCGAAAGCAGAAAATATTTAAGACTTGGTGGCTTCTTTTCTAGTTTTAACGTTATTCTCCTCATTAGCTTAATGTGTTCTTATACTGTACTTAGTCAAATGCCACCGCATGTTTTATACTTGGAAACTGCGTAGGGTCAATGTACACACTTTGCAATTAAAGTACTATGCACTCACAGAGTAAATACTCTTAATTACTCGGTAGAAATTGTCAGGCGTACGAGCCTGCGCGTGGTGCGTACGGTCCACACAGGACGTACTTGCACTCACTTGCATGCCGTTATCGCCTCTCTCGCCGTACGTACGTGTGCTGCTGCACTGCACTCATCCGCTGAAGCGGATATACGCGGCGCACACACTGGTGACTGAGCTATACTTGCTCTCTCGTCCCTCTCTCGCAGTATGACTCAGCGTTCATACGCTCGCGTTGGGTTGAGCCCAGTCTGCGCATCACACAGCTGATACGATGGCCTGCAGCACGCACGTGGTTGCCGCCAGTAATTCTGGTCACGCCATGAAGACGCTCAAGAACCACTTTTTAGCACACACTTGCTAGATTTGGCTATCGACGCCTTTGTTCTTGCATTCCTTCTATTACGCAGCATGGTTCCCTTTATTTGTCAATAAAGCATCACTCGTGATCTCCTCGCCAGAGTCTGTTACAAAATTGTAAAATTTGCTAACTTTAAGATACAGATTTAGATATCATGAAAAACATTAAGGCAAAAACGGTTGAATTAATGACAAAATATTTATGCGCTCGGCGCATAAGAGACCGCAGGTGAATCTGAATTTGTAGCATTGTATGATCGAAAGGTTGCAGCAAACACAGAGTGTTGTGCGCCATGCATTATTACAAAGCTTTTGGTTGCAGTGCAAAAGACGAATACTTTTAGCTAGATTGCACAATAGTGCTGATCAGACCTGGCTAAACATTTGGCAGATGTTTTTGCTGAAGTAGGGCACAACGCTCTCTTGCGCGCCCGTGAAAGATAACGCGAGTTAGTCACCACAACATTCTCAAGCCGAAAGCTAACGGCTGTGCTCATTGGTCCGCTACGTGATCCACAGATGAATTACAAAACGCAGCTTCGAAGCTGCGTTTTCTATTCTATACACATTCACCTCCGTTGTCGTGCATAGCCAACCGAGCTTTACACAGTGGTCACCGGTACAACCCGTAACATACGATAGTAAATATTAAAGCATTCTGATTGCTGATTCGCTAATAAAATGTGGTCAAGTATTAATCCGCATTAATAAGCCTCAATTAGATTTAAAAGTTGTTATTAGTAATAGACTATTAGTGATTGTTAATTTAGTAATTACGATTAGTAATTAAAGTAATTAATATGGGTGATTACAATTATCAATGCACATTTGTAATATTGTGCAGGCTGCGTTACTGTAATTAAGTCTAATTACATTGATTAATAACGCGTATTAATTAGCCAAGTTACATTGAGAAAATGGAATACATTCTTCAGTTAAGTTGTAAATTATTGCATTATTTAATGACACCTCAAGCATGCGGATTAAAACGCGCCTGCGGCCCTGCTGTACAAGTCGTTTGTGTGCACGCAGCACGATTCATTTAACAGTCAGTGCTTGCGTTTTCTCTGGTGATCCATTGCTTATTACTGGTCCAACGCATTTGTGTTTTTTGCTGTGTGTCATCCATCGGTGACGCATTCTGCTTTCACATTTTATTTCGCAATATCTTTCTCGAGAAAATTAGCTAGGATTGATCGGGCCTAGTATAAACACACTGTATCTGTGAGTCGTGTATAGGTAGCAGTTTTTACTTATCATATTGCCTGCTTTTATCTGGTGGTCCACCACTTATCATTTGTCACAGACCCAAAGCATATTTATTTTTTGCTAAAATTAATGTCTTAATGTATAACGTACACAATATTCGCACTTTCAGACGCACAATCTTTCTTTCTAATCTTTGGATAAGATTGACAGAGCCTGGATATAGGTTGGTACTCGTAGCACTTGGAATCCGGTCTAATACGGGGCCACTGTCTTTCATCGAGTTATAATATTATCTCTTTTTATGACTACTCTGTGGGGGCTCAGTTTTACATATTTTAATTTCGCCAGAGAAACGATATCGAATTTGATTTAATTAGTGTGTGAATTAAAATTTGGAAGGAAAACGCTTTATTTAGTCAAATCCAGTCATTTTAGTCAAACAATTTCTGCAGCAAGAGCAAGTCTGGGTCTCTGATGCTCACAAATAACGAATCACTAGTCAGCGGCTGTGTCTGGGATCGAGCGCTCGATTCAATTGAATTTGGGATAGGACAGAATGAGACCACCGATAATAGTCCCAGTCTTTACGTGTATCTTGCCATCTACCCGCTGCTCTTGGCCTGCTGTACGGTAGGGAGTATCTTGATCATTGTTGCACGGCTGAATGATCTGGAGAGCCGGGCAACGTCCACTACAGTTTATATGGTGTGTTCGGCTTTCGGAAATTTGTGCATTCTGTAAGTGCTGATGGGTAAGGAGTATAAAAAATGATACTACTGTACTTTCTGGTATGTATGTACTCGTACCATACCGTGCCAACTGACATCTGTTACATATTTCGCAAATGCCTACCAGCATTCGGAGCGTTCCCTTTCTGTAATTTCTTAGAGCGTCTTTGTTTTATAATCGGCAGAAAAAAACCAGCTAATGTTTTGTTATTAAAGATGGTCATTGTTGCCGGATTATGTGCAGATCGCACAGGGACACGCTGTGTACGGTGGAAGTCACCCTCGACCAGATAGAAGAAACGATTCGCTCACAACAGCATACAACGGCTTTGGTCAACTTTGGAACGAAACCGCTATCCAGTTTGCCGACTGGTAGGTAAACAGGGTCTCTGTAGATACTCCAGATTCAGATTCTGCAGGTCCAGAACATCCAGATCGTGCATTTTGCGAGCAATTTTAGTGGCTTTAGGCCAATATATGGCTCGTTTTCGACACCATGGGATTTTTCTATGTTTTGAGATAATCGATAGCGCACTCGATTTGTGAACCCGTTTTTAAGTGCACCAACACCTAAAAACAAATTTAATACAAATCTGTAGTGGCAAGCTTAAATTAAGCCACACGTAGCACTAGTAATACAGAGGATGTTATTACTAACAGCGGTACGAGGTGCCGCCTAGGCTTCGTTTCAGAAACGTTTATGTGGGATTTCCAATGGTTTAGTTATGCTCACTGTAAATTTTGGTACTTTTTCAGGACTGTAATATCATTTGCCGGTGAACTGCTGCTGTCTGTATTGCGACGACAATCCAATACCCTTTCTATAACAGTTAATCGGCTAAAATGGCGGCGAGCACTCCTATACGAAGGTGAGAGGGACTTACGCCCTCGTCCCAGCAGGCTCAGATCGCAGTGCAGTGGCTTTCACGCTTAGATCGTATACCTGATCGCAGGTATTACGATCCGCCCTTTCGCTATCTTCCGCCAACGGCATCGCGCCGTACCTTTTCGGCGATTGCGTGAGGCTTACGTAGCGGCGTATGGTAGAGCAGCGTTAGCGCAGGTATATTGTGAGCTATAGATTGTCAGTTGGTGATTATGAGTTTTGGTGAGATGTTATGTTTTCGGTTTTATGATAAAAAGTCCCTTTTTATCCTTGTCTCGCTCCCGTTTCCGGTAGATCGGCACTAGAGAGTCTCCCACGCAGAGAGGAGGACTCTCAGATGGTAGCAGTCTAAGATCCGTGGTTACCTGTTTTCTGAGTTACTTTTCAGATCTATCGGACAGCACCGTTTTCCCGTTTGCCATCAGGAGGACGCGGAAACTCGGCGCACACCCTACACCCCGTATCCCGTAGAGCCAGCATTGGACTACAGGGATAGCAGCGTATCAGCGTGCCCAGCGACTTCGCGGTGGAGATTTGGACTTGCTTCTGGATCTCTTCGTCTGTGCACCTTTTCAAGTGTTTCCTGCGTAGAAGTTTCGGATCCTAAGGATCGTCAGGCTCATTCTCGTTCGGAAAAGGGTAAGTGATTGTGGCGTATATGGTTTTCGAGGCTTATCGTTGCATTATGTTGATTTAACGCTGTATGTGATATTAGGCTTATTTTCTCGCTAATTTTACAGTATAATTAGGCTGAATTTCTTTGAGAAATTAGGCTCAGTTTTTAAAGGTTTGTAACCTTCGAGATTCAGGCTTTTCTTCCGCATACTTTTGCATAACTCTCAAGCGCATTAACCTCTGTCCAGGCTTGTTTTTCCGTGATCTTACAGATAGCAGACGCTACAGACAATAGGCGCAGTTCGGTTACCTACCTGGGTAATTGCAAGCTGAATAGAATTCCTTAGATTTCTCTCGCAGATTAGGCTTTTGTGAGTTTTAAATGCAGAATTAATATCTCCGCTTTAAACTGTTTACCTATAGTAAACGTTTATCGTTTAATGCCAAGTATTACGAAATTTCTTTCCTTGAAATTGACTACGCTTATGATAATACGATGGAAACTATAAAAGCTTTTCTTTCTCCGCGTAGTATTGTGAAAAAACCAGAACAGCAAGCTGAAGATTTGCAAGCTAAAATGCTCAAAACCTAAACAGTCCGCGAAAACTAAAGGTGCACCTGTTGCCGCTAAATCAACAGCTGCACCGACGCATAATGTAAACACACGGCTTAATCAGCGTACTCGAGCTCATAACCCGCAGCTACCGCAAATACCGCAATCGTCAGCAAAAGAACCACAGCCGGTTGCTACTCTCCCGGCAGAAAAAGCTTTCGCGCGCAGTAGCAAAATGCAGCGTTCACCATCGCTTATTAATGCCGCTTCACAGGTCGATAACGCTCCAGAACAGGAGGAAAGTAGGCCGCATTCGCAGCTTAGCGGTGTATCCCAGTTTGACAGTATTCCGCTTTCAAGTGACAGTCGTCATTCTCATTCAGACTCTGATATGTCGTTATCGGAAAATGCGCTTACTTTTATTGAAAAAGATCAAGGCTTATTGGCTGATCAAGAATTGCTTAATTTTGATGTTGATGAAACGCTTAGCGGTAATAACGCTATTAATCAGCAGACACCGCCTGCTGATAACAGCCAGCCTAATACAGCTAATTTTCATACTCCAGGCGAATTAAATGACGCTCAGAATGAAATCATCAATTTACGCCGCGTTAATTCATCGCTTGAGAAAAAGCTCATACATACTGTACATGAAGCGAAAAATGAAATTGCGCAATTGCGACAGTTTATAACTGAAGCAGTTGAAGCCCGCGATACGGCTCAAAGTCAAGCTGCTGATTTATTGCAACAGCGTAATGAGGCTTTCACTGTAATCGCGACAAAGGAAGAATTTGAGAAAAAAGCGCATAATTATATACGCGATTTAAAAAGGCGAATTGCTGATCACGATGATGTGGTTAAGCAATACAAGGAAGTTAAGCAAGAGCTGTATGAAAAGCTACAAATTACAGAGCATATGGCACAGGAATATAAGGCTAAATTAATTACATGCGAAGGCGAATTAAATAAGGCACTTGAACGTCAACGCAAATTGTTGGAAGAGCAAAGCTTAAATGTGACTACTGTACGAAAGGCTAATGAAACCGCTGATTATTACAAAGAACAATCAACCCGTTTAGAAGGCGCTTGTGTTAATTTAGAAGCTAGGCTGGAATTGGCAGAAAAGGCGAATCAAGATCAGCATTATGAACTGCAGGCGCTCAGGGCTCAACACAGTCATCCTGTCGCTACAAAGGCTATCAGTATTCAGACTGATAATATGTTTCCAGCTATCCAGGCTTTCATCCCGCCCGCACCACCCTCACGTTCTTTTCCGATGATGCGCGATAATGGCAACATGCCATCGGCTCAGTGCAGTGTACTTCCGGGATTGTCTGGCAGTGCACCTGCACCGGCTATCACTGTATCAGATCTTACGCAAGCTTTAAAGGCAAATAAAAAGTCACCAGATTTTAAAGCAAAATTCAAAGGCGATAAGAACGAAGTTGAAGGCTTTTTGGAATTATTTGATCTTAACGCTAAATATGGTCATTGGGATGAAGACGAAAAGGTCAGCCGCTTCTTTAACGCTTTAGAAGGCGATGCAGCTTCATGGTTCAAGGTCGCGATTGTAGGCCCGAATAAACCACAAACTTTCTCCCAGTGGAGATCGGCTTTTCTGGATCGGTATTCCGATCCAGAAAAGGGCTACAATGCGCTTAACGAGTTGTCAAGCCGCAAAATCAAAGTCGGTAAAGAAACGCTTGACGAGTATTATCAGGCTATGATCGCTTTACGCGCTCGTGCAGGCGTGACAGACGACGCTCATTTTTTGACGTATCTGATGAAAGGCTTAGATTCGCATCACACTTTAAGGCAAAATATGATTATTATGAAGCCAGCTACACCGGCAGAATTTTTGAAAAATGCGCGATACCTTGAAGCTACTTATAAAGATGATGAGGATTTCGCTTATGGCAATCAAGCCCAGGCATCACAAGCTAAACCGCTTTCTTATGCACAAGCAGCAGCTAATAATGGAAATAAAGCTAATAATTTTAAGCGCAATAAGCAATTCAAACCGCACTTCAATAAAGGCAATATTCAGCAGAATAATAACGCGACTAACCCTCCCACGCTCAAGCGCCGGCAAATAATAATAATCAGGTACAAAATAATACAGCTTATAATACGGCTAATCAAAGTGTACGCCGTCCAGGCATCGCTTACTGCGCAAACTGTGATGTCGAAGGTCATTCACGTCAAGCTTGCAGATATGAAGGCATTCCTCAAAAGCAAAATCCAGTGTGGTGCAAGTTTCACTGGCCCACCACAGGTGAAAGGCGTACTTTGAAAGAATTCACAGAATGGAAAGCTAATCGCAGTAATACCAGCAGTCCTTCAGGCAGGACTACAGGCGCATCGACCCCTTCTGGTGGTCCCAGCTTAGGCGGTCCTTCGCCGGCCCGGCAGCGTACTCCGTCCGGTGCCAGCGTTAATTTACAGTTTGATACGGCTTCAGAATACAGTGAAGGCGAAACCTCAGCGTTAAACAGCTCTTCCAGCGAATCTTTAAACGATTAAGGGGCGCATACTCCGGCTATGCAACCCCCTTCCCACCGTCTCCGCCGGATAAGGTTGAGAAGGAATGCATAATTCAAAGCGCGGGAATATATGGCTACATAATACGCAATTGTACATGTAATCTCTCACAAGCTCATACAGATAAGCAAAATTTCCGCGTAAATTATAATGAACCATTTAAGGCAAAAATGCTTAATCACGACGCTTATGTAAATAATATTCCGGTAAAAATTGTAATTGATACAGGCGCTGAAACAAGCTTTATATCTGAACAGTTTTGTAAGAAAAATAATTTAAGCACGCTTCCTATTAAAAGCCTTTTCATATACGCGGTATTGGCGGTGTGTGCGCATTTTGTGTTACACACTACTGCAACGCTTCAATAACAATTAGTAATTGTACGCTTAATCATTCTATGTTTGTAAAGCCCGCACGAGATGGTATTCATGTTTTATTAGGCCAGGACTTTTTAAGTCAGGCTAATTATGAAGTTAAGGCGAATAAAATAATTAATTTTCATGTATTACAGGAAAAGCTTGTAAATTGTAATGTAACTAGTCTGGGCGAAGTGCAGTCGGCCGCTGCAGTTCCGCCGTCACAGGCTTTTTCCGCTACAAATTTTACGGGTGTACCTGTATCAAATATGCGCGCATCACGTAAAACGCCTTCTGCAGAGGCTCATGTCGAAAATGTTGTTTATAAGAACCATACTCGTACAGCACAAGCTAAAAATGCAAAAACACAAGCTGCAATGACGCCTTTTCCCATACCAGTGGCACCTACGGTAGCCACTGGTGAAGGCAAAAATAAATCATCCGCTTCTAATTCTAAGCTTTTCCCCGTACCAGTGGCACCTAGCGATGCCACTGGTACGTCTACCGCTAAAAAGTCGCGCAAACAAATGCATCGTGAGACAGCAGCGTTAATGGAGTACAAGAATTATGTTTCTACCTTAATGAATACTTTAAAAAAGTTTAAGGAATTAATGGCTGAACTCAATCAGGCTTATAATGATGCTGTTAAAATCGATAACATTGAAGCTATTAAAAAGGCGAGCCAAGAACGCGCTGATGCTGAACTTGATTTGGTAAGGCGATTAGAAATCTATGAAGAATGGCGACAGGCTATTAATAAAGCGATTAAGCTACATTACGGTAAATCTGCACGCGGAATGAATAAACCAATATGCGACTACGCAGAATCGATAGGCGAAGCAAGGCGATACCTGAAAGAAGTTTATGCGAAAATTAAAACTAAGGAAAAACTACAAGTAACCACTCGTAGACCGCCTATGAATATTGTTAAAGTAGTGCGATTTCATGAAACGCTTGAATTTCCTACTGTATCAGTACGCTATTTTACAAAAGATGATGAGCTGCCGCCGCTGCGGCATAATCCACATTCAGCTCCTAAACGCTCTTGTTTACCGCTAAATAAGCCATTAAAAAAGCCGTATAATTTACCGCTTTGGGAAAACAATTCGGCTAAAGAAGAACAAGTATGGGCAGATTTTGACCGCGTTAATAAAAGCTTTACAGAAAATGCAGATAAAATTCGAAAGCAATTGCAAAAATCAGCTAAAGTGCGTGTATGTATTGCAGATCAAGAAACAAAAGCTACGCAAACAGAAGGCGCTAATTATCTCATTGTAGAAACACCAGAAGGCGATATCCCGCTTGTAACTAACAGCGAGAACTATTTCGAAGATCAAGGTGAAATAACTGAATTATTTCAGTCAATAGGCGACAAGCTTAATGAAAACGAATTATTCGCTAATAACCCGCTTAAAAATGAAGAATTATCAGCTGAAGAGCAACCATTTGCAAATAAGCCAGAATGCGAAGAAATTAGCGAAAAAGATAAAGAAAGATTCAGGCTCAAAATGGTGAAAGTGTATGCAGCTGATAACTACACAATTGTACCTGGAACATCTTGGGTGTCGGCTTATGCACACAAAAAAGCTAATTTGCGTACACCGCAATTTATATTTTCACCTAATCCAGCTTTATACAGCGAAGGTAGATTACTACCACTTCAGGGCTTAGTCGAACCAAAAAATTTTCAGTTTGATATTTGCGTGTCTAATTATTCCGCTCATAAGCGTACAATAAAGAAAGGTACATGGTTAGGCGTTATCGAAACGTATGAAGAAGTTGAGCCAGATAAAACCGCTTTAACCGCTACTGCAGCTAATTATACGCCAGAAGAAGAAGCTGAAATTTGGGAAGCAATACGCGAATTTAAAATATCGGCTGACTTATCAGAAGCTGATCGTAAGCGCATCGATAACCTATTGTTTGAATTCGCTGACCTGTTGCCAACAAAATCGCGACCGTTTGGCAATGTAGATGCCTCGATAAAGCATACAATAGACACAGGCGATGCACCGGCGATAAAATCTCTACCGCACCGCACAAGTTGGCGCGGTAGACAGCTTATCCAAGATCATGTGGAGGAAATGTTAAAGCTTGGCATCATTAGGCCATCGACCTCTAACTGGAGTTTTCCAGTTGTCTTGGCTTCAAAGAAAAATCCTGACGGCTCAATCGGTACACGCTTTTGCGTTAATTATATACGCTTAAATAACATCACAAAAAAGAATAACTATCCGCTTCCTAAGCCAGATGAACTTCTGGATACGGCTTCTGGTAATAAGCTTTATTGCAGCTTTGATTGCGAAAAAGGCTTTTGGCAGATCCCTATGGATCCTGCTAGCATCGAAAAAACAGCTTTTGTCACACCAGACGGCCTGTTCGAATTTCTTCGAATGCCGTTTGGCGTGTGCATGGCCCCGCGACTTTTCAAGCCGCAATGGACCGTACGCTTTCAAAGCTCCGTAAATTAGGAATATTCGCTTATTTAGACGATTTAATCGTCGCAGCTAAAAATATGGAAGAATTATTGTTTAAATTACGGCTTTTATTTGAAGCTTTACGCGCATCAGGCTTTACGCTAAAACCGGCTAAATGTCATATCGCTAAACCAGTTCTTCATTTTTTGGGACATGTAATATCAGAATCAGGCATCCATACCGATCCCGAAAAAATTACAGCTATTAAAAATTTCCCACAGCCTAAAACAGAAAAGCAATTACGCTCATTTTTAGGCTTAGCGAATTATTATCGCAAATTTGTACAAAATTATGCCCCGATTACTGAAAATCTTTACGCGCTTCTTAAAAATGTTAACGATATTACCGACTGGAATGAGGCTTGTGATAAGGAATTTGAGGCTATTAAAACAGCGCTAATAAATGCTCCAGTCTTGGCGAAATTCGATCCAGAAAACCTACGCTAATAGAATGTGACGCTAGTACAATAGGGATCGGCGCCATATTAAGCCAAGATGGTCATCCTGTTGCTTACGCGAGCCGCTTATTAACTTCAGCTGAACGTAAATACGCGCCTACTGAACTTGAATGTTTAGCAGTTGTTTACGCTGTCCGTAAATTCCGCTATTACATAGATTATATGCCGTTCACCGTAAAAACCGATCATCAGGCGTTAGTCAATTTACTGCGCTCAACCTCGAATCGCGAAGGGATGAATCCCAGGCTTGTACGATGGGCTTTACAATTAGGCGCGTACGATATGACTATCGTATATAGGCCAGGAAAGTACGCTCATAATGCAGATGCATTAAGCCGCGCACCTGTCGACCCGGCTGTACCGGAAGAGGATTTTGACATCCATTTCAGTACACCTACAGTACGCGTAATCAGCATACCAGAAGCGCCAAACAGCTCTGTACGCGATGCAGAAGAACAAAATTATATTTTTCTGCGTAACGAACAGCTTAGTGATCCGGCGTTAGAGAAAATCATATTGGCCATAGAAGACGCTGATAAATCACAATATCCGCTTCAACGTCCCGCTAATTTCGAACTATGGAATAATGTGTTATACCGTACAGGCGAAATTAATGATCGGCATACAAGGCGTTTTGTCGTACCAAAACATTGGCGTTATGATATTCTCAAAGCTATGCACGACTCACCAGCCGGCGGTCACCTTGGCCGCGAAAAGACGCTATCGCACATTTGTGTACGCTATTATTGGGACGACATGTTTCGCGAGATTAAACGCTATTGTCGTCGTTGCTTAAAATGTCAGCTTCGTAAAGTACCGCGAAAACCGCTCCCAGGAAAGCTACAACAAATTGAAATAGGCGAACCATGGTTCCGGTTACAGCTTGATTTTAAAGGCCCGTTAAAGCTAAGTAACAATAAAAATAAATACATAATTGTGGCTATTGACCAGCTTACTAAATTCGTAATTGCAAAGGCTGTACCTGACGACTCTGCTAGAGTTGCCGCTGATTTTCTGCTTAATGAAGTCATACTTCCATACGGCGCACCGCATGAAATAAATACAGATCGCGGTACACACTTTATGTGTAGTACAATAGAGACTGTATCTAAGCTTACTAAATTCGATCACCATTTTGGAACCGCTTATCATCCTGTAGGAAGAGGCTTAATAGAAAGGCAAATGCAGTGGATAGGTGACTGTTTATCAATTTTCGCTCAAAAACATACCGCTGAGAAATGGGATGAATTTTTGCCTTATGTTGTTGCCGCTTATAATCGTACAAAGCATAAAACCACAAGACAATCACCGTATTATATGCTTTTTGGCCGCGAACAAACGCTTCCAGGCGATACGATCACAAAAACAAATCTGCCAGAAAATTACGCTGATATCGAAGATTATTTAGATAGTCTTCAATGGCGATTAAAAGAGGCGCATGAAATCGCTCGTTCTCTTGCTAGCGACGACTTCCTTAAAAAAGCTGAACGCTTTAATAAGCGCCGCGTTGAACCTGATTTTTGCACTGGCGATTATGTAATGTTACGCTTACCTATTCCTAAAACAGGCAGCGAAACGCTTAAAGATAAATACGAAGGCCCATTCGAAATAATGGAATTTTCGTATCCTAATACAGTTATTATTAGGCGCTTACGCGATCGCAAAGAGGAGCAAATTGTTAACGTAGAACGGCTTAAACATTATCATCCAGAAGATGACCAGCTTAAACCGCGATTAATATTTAAATTTCCACCTAAAAATAAGCAGCTTGATAATGAAAGTGAAATAACCCCGCTTACATCTGTTGATAATAGTACGAGTACATCTGCTAATAACAGCGTCAATAACACTCAGCAAGACCACGCTCAGCTACAGGCTAATAATCTGCAAAATAGTACTGTAGATTTACCGCTTAACTCTGATAATAATAATTCCGGCGAAATTAACGCTGAACAGAATGCAAAAAAGCGAAGAACGCGTAAACATCCGCCTAATGACTTGTTATCTAAACAGCTTGATGAATTCTTTGATGGCGAAGATCCAAAGTTACAGGAGACGCTTAATAAATCACGCTATCCTAAGCGAACACGCAAACGTCGTTTTACACTGTGATTTACGCAAATAGTCGCTTAATTACAGTTAACAAACGATATCTTAGATGGTAGCTACAAGCTTATAATTGAATGCTAAATAAGGCTAAATTAATACAGGTAATTATGCAGTAGTTACGGCTTAAAATGTTTATTTCGCATTACCGTCTCAGATGGTAGCTAAAATGAACTGTAATACAGCTTTTAAACCGCATAATGTTGGTTGAATTATGCTTAAAATTATCATGCTAATAATTCCGCTTTTATCTTGTTCTGCAGAATATCGCGTAAGAACATGGCGTTCTCCGGCTTATACAATCCCGACAGCTGTTTTCCTTGCAAGATCAACTTAAACAACCGCGTATGTGTCGGCTGCCTTATGAAAGGACGAGCGGAAATCGAAGATCGCGTCTACGCGTTGTACTCGGAGGCAGTATGCGGAAACTCAGAGGCTTTACTCGGCTTGAAGCATATGGGTCTGTGGAATTATGCGATGAATAACCAGCAATACCACCGCGGGATCGCTCAGGCTATTCAGCATTTCAAGGCGAAAAACGAACCCGGCTGGCAAATGGTTGAAGCGATCGCGATTCCGTCTATCCAGTCAACTCCATCTACCGCGAATAAAGCGCTTCTTCCTCATCCGCCTAATGAATTACGCCGCGCACAGTTGAAGTACGCTGACGAAACCGAAGAGAACATCAGCGACTGGAAATCTGTCCCGCTTAAGCCGTCGTTCCAGAAAGCTTCTTCTGACGACTGGACGCGAAATGCAGATCGCCCATTGGGAACAGTACGTATTGAAAATAAACCGCGTATTGATCAAACGCTTGTTCTTTTAAAAACACAACCGGCTAATTATAACTCTGAACGCTTAAATTTGCAGAACACGGCTAACCACAGTCAAAGCGATGACCAGCGTCAGCGAGGCGATCAGCGTCAGTTCACCGAATATCGCCAGCCTACAGATCAGCGTGCAGATCGGCGTTCAGAACAGCGAACTACTCAGCAGAATACGCGCACTGGACAGTCTTCCGCTACCAGATGGGAGCCATTCCCTCAGCGTATGAACGCTATGGACCAGGCTGAAAGGATTTTTAAGCATCTCGGCTTATCCAATGCAGCTAAGACGCATGGAAGTCTAGCGATCACCTGTGAAATGTTCGTTAACCGCTTATACGCGTTTATGGATGAAGTTAATATGGAGAAAGCGATGCAGGATGTGAATTATTACACGGATAAGCCTAAACCTGAAGACACACAGCTGATGTATAACGCTTTTCGCGCGAATGGTATGGAATCAGCTCTCAGCTTGGATACATTCTCCAACAAAATTAACACCATCGACTATGAACGGCTGAGCCAGTTTAAGTATTTCGGCAAAACTTCCCATTTGGCGCACCTTTTCCAGTTTATCTCCGCGAAAGCTAATCCAGCTCTGATGTTGTATGCCGCGAAATGTACCGTGCATCTGATGGACATCTACCGCGATTTGAAGGCTCGCCGAAAGGCTAATTTTAATGACCCAGCGATTAAGGCTCAGTACGATGAATTGTTTCGCTTGATGTTTGCCGCCATGTGTGGACATGCTTACAGCCATTCCCAGTTGGAAAAGCGAATGAAAATGAAAGAAAATGCTGACCATCCGCTGAAGACAGTAATTACCGCGCTTGGACCGCTCACCAATGAGCAACTGCAGCTTGAAATGTTGGAAAGTGCACGCGCACGCGGGATGGCAAATAAGGCTACAAAAGGCTTAGCGACCTTGGTTGAGAAGCCCCAGGACGCTTATCAGTACTGGACTTCAATCCTGCGACAGCGTATGGAGACTAAGGCTTCCAAGATCACTCTTGGCAAACGCTCCCTGACGTCTCCGGAAGGCTCATCCGGATCCCCACATTTGCCACCAGGCGAACCGCTGGTTAAGCGTATGTACGTGTCTACGGATGAAGCAGCTAATGAAGCGACACTGGTGGATAAGCTGGGTAATTTGAATTTTACCGCTTCCCATATGCGTGATATCGAAAATGGAGGCGAAACTGATCAGAAAGCTGAAGGCGAAAAACTGGCTACAGATATCAAAACGGAAGGCGATAAAACTCCGAACGCTTTAAACGCTGATATCACTGATGATGAGACGAGCGAGAAGGATAAATCGGATTAAAGGCGAAAATTCATGGGATTAAGGACGAATTCATGTGGATCATCCTTGGAATGGATTAACCTTCATTTTCCTGTTTTGCTCACCCGGAATGACCAAAGTAACATGTTATGTTTTTATCTAATCTCCCATTTCGATGGATCTTAACTTTATCAATAATTGTTTAGAATTTTCCTTTTTTATTGTACGGTGAATGATATACTTGCGCTAACTTTGCGATAAAATTGTCCGCTTAATTGCAGCATTCGTAAACGTATGAAGCTTCGCGTAACCCGCTTATTGTCTTTATTTTTGCGAATTTAGGTAAACGCTTATAGTGACTTCGGTCAGCTGCAGGCTTATACGCAGTGAAGAGACCATGCAGTCACGGGAATCCATTTCCGCGCTTCGGTCTTGCGGCTGTATCGCGAGGCTGCGGCGTGATGCAGATTCTCCCACTTGCACACTCATGCATATCGCTGGTATCGGCACCGGGGGTGCCAGGCTCTCGGAGGACCTCGAGTCCCCACCAGTGGCATGAGAGGGACTTACGCCCTCGTCCCAGCAGGCTCAGATCGCAGTGCAGTGGCTTTCACGCTTAGATCGTATACCTGATCGCAGGTATTACGATCCGCCCTTTCGCTATCTTCCGCCAACGGCATCGCGCCGTACCTTTTCGGCGATTGCGTGAGGCTTACGTAGCGGCGTATGGTAGAGCAGCGTTAGCGCAGGTATATTGTGAGCTATAGATTGTCAGTTGGTGATTATGAGTTTTGGTGAGATGTTATGTTTTCGGTTTTATGATAAAAAGTCCCTTTTTATCCTTGTCTCGCTCCCGTTTCCGGTAGATCGGCACTAGAGAGTCTCCCACGCAGAGAGGAGGACTCTCAGAAAGGCGTGATTCTGCTCCTGTCAGCCCTATTTTGCTTATCCTATTTGTGCACATATTACTACTACTATGTCACCGGGAACACGACGCTGAGACTACCAGATGCTCTAACTCCACCTTTGAAAACCTGGTATTTTCTACAAATCCATGCAGAGGTACGAACGATAACTGGTACAAATTCTCACTGCTTTACTAAGATTCGTTGCTAGTAATTATACTCCTAAGAAATCTTGTGCAAAACTTTGAAGATGGCAATGCTGTTTGTCAAGTGGCTGGCACTGGTCGCGATCGATGCGACTCTTCTCATCATTTTATGGAAGCATCGGATTACGGTTAGCGGATCCATCACGCTCTGTAGGACCTCTTCTACCGAGGAAGCCAGAGCTACCGCTTTGGCTACTTTACTTCTGTACACAGTGACACAGTTGCCGTATGCCTTGCTGACATGTCTCAAAATTGCCAGCCCTTTACCGTACTGCACCTACACATTGACCAACGAACAAGAAAGCCAAGCCGCACCCATAGTGTGTATCATCCGGTGGACGTACTATTCGGTGACCTTTTTTGTCTGTTATGTTACGAGTTCGACATTCCGGGGGAAATGCAAAGCCATGTTCTAAGTTACAGTTAATCCTGCATCGAGCCGCGAGGAATCTTAAAAGTAGAGCGAACTGACACGAAGAGTCTGAATCTGTCTGGACTCTGGAGACACGTACAGTCGGTATCTTGAATCTGCAGCTTGATCACTTTAGCAGTTAGCGATAGCAGGCCACGGCATATCCTGGCACAGCAAACCTTTAATGCAAAGTTTCGTCCATTTTCCCTTCGTCGGTAAACAATAAATGCGGTTTTGAACTAATTTAAAGAAAATAAATTTTTTTCTACGTAGTACGTAGAATCGAACGTATTTTCTCTCTTAAAACATTCGAATTTACTGCTTCATGTTTGCGCTTACCGAAATGAGTAGTTTGCAGACAGCAGCATAAGTTTCGTGTTTCCGATTGTTAATCGGACTATTCCAAAATATCCAATTGGCTAAACAAAATAAATAAAACTTAATAAAAATATCGCAGGACGAATATTAAAACTCAATCATAATAAAAAATCGTGCAAGTGACCCCCGATACTGCAGTAAGATCTGAAGCATGTTTGTATGTAATGAGGGGATTTCACAATTAATGCAACTCCCGGAAACGCTCCGCCAAATGCAGCCAGCAATCGCTTCTGGCGCGCAGATTGCTGCATAATTAATAATGTTAGGCTCACGAGATATATCACAATAGCAACAAACACAAACACAACAATAGCAAGACAATAAACAAGACAAGACACAAACACAATAATAGCAACAAACACAAACACAATAAGATCCGGGAAGTGACGTTTGTTGCTTGTACTCGTATGTGACCAGCTGTGAATACGCTGCCGCCAAGACTACGAGTGTAATTCGTAGTGTAATTCAGTGTCGGTATAAACCGGTTGGGTTTTTTATCAGCTTGCCTTTGACGGGCAGCCTCCAGCAAAAACAATTCATGTGGACGTCATTTGACTAGAAAATCGCTGCTGCTTTGTACCGGAAGTATAAATGTCCATGTTAGACGTGTGTTTGGTATTTTGTTAATCCATTCTCTTTGATTTTTTCTGAGTTAAAATATGTTGATAAGCAACTAAAAAGGTGTAAAATATTTTGAACCACCACGTTCAAATTTTGCTACACCTTGGGCAGTGCAATCGGAGAGAAATATAATGGCACTAAACGGTAGTCTAGTGGCTAGTTCTTGGAATAGAGCGTTAGGCTTGGATAAAAACGGAACAGGACCGAGCGAAACTGCAGAAACCAATCCCGGGCTAAATGCGTATTTTGTGATCTACCCGGTTCTTTTGTTATGTTGCACGGTGGGAAGCGCTCTGATAATTGCAGCACAGTTGAGAGATCACAAAAGTCGTCTAACTTCGACGTCGGTGTATATCGTCTGCATTGGATTTGGGAATCTGTGCATATTGTGAGTCGAATGCAATTTGCTATTAGTTTTACTTTCACAATTTTTGAATGCTCCCGGAAAAGTAACGAAAAGAACTGAATTGGCTTACAATTATTACGATATTTAATTTGTGGTCATAGTACCTACAAGAAACAGCCTCGGCTTCGCCTCCGCGTTTCTTGTGATTCACGGCCACTTTATTTGATTTCGATTGAATATTTACTTATTAGTATAGTATCACATCTATATTTCGTGGCAATACGATCGGTACATCGCAATAGCGCAAAAACATGAGTTTTATGTAATAATTACAGATTCTCTCAGATCAGTATTAAATCTCTCCACTGGATCCATGGTTCTCTGAACTCCAGCCTGATGCTTCTAAGTATTGGCAGCTCGGTCACCCGCTCACCTTGCGGGCTCCGTACACGGGACATTACCGGTATCTCGGTCACCCGGTCACCTAATGAGCTCTGTCCACTAGAAAGGAGTGATATCTCGGTAACTAGCTCACCTAGTGGGTTCTGTGCACAGAACAGTAGTGGTAGCTCGGTCACTCGTTCACCTGGCGGACTGTCTGCACTGGACTGTTGTGGTAGCTCGGCCAATCGTTACACTGGACAGCAGCGCTAGCTCGGTCACTCGTTCACCTAACGGGCTCTGTGCATTGGACAGTAGTGGTAGCTCGGTCACTCGTTCACCTAACGGGCTCTGTGCATTGGACAGTAATGGTAGCTCGGTCACTCGTTCACCTAACGGGCTCTGTGCATTGGACAGTAATGGTAGCTCGGTCACTCGTTCACCTAACGGGCTCTGTGCATTGGACAGTAGTGGTAGCTCGGTCACTCGTTCACCTAACGGGCTCTGTGCATTGGACAGTAATGGTAGCTCGGTCACTCGTTCACCTAACGGGCTCTGTGCATTGGACAGTAGTGGTAGCTCGGTCACTCGTTCACCTAACGGGCTCTGTGCATTGGACAGTAGTGGTAGCTCGATCACTCGTTCACCTAACGGGCTCTGTGCATTGGACAGTAGTGGTAGCTCGATCACTCGGTCACCTAACGGGCTCTGTGCATTGGACAGTAGTGGTAGCTCGGTCACTTGTTCACCTAACGGGTTCCGTACACTGGAAAGCAGCGCTAGCTTGGTCATAGAAGCTAGCTAGCGTTAGCGTTAGCTTAGAAGAAGCAGGTGCGGCTTCGCCTCCGCGTTTCTTGTAATCCAGGGCCCGAATCAATGAATAGCTCGGTTACAAATTCACGTAGCGTTTTGAGCACTAGATAGTGCTGGTAGCTCGGTCACTCGCTATGTCAATTAGCGATTTTGCTCAATAGACAACAGTGGTAGCTCGGTAACTCACGCACTCAATTAGCGATTTCGCTCGCTGGTGAGTGAGGGTATCTCGGCCACTCACTCACCTTAAAACAATAAATGCGGCTCTTTGCTTTTAGCAATTGTTTAGAAGAGTGGTCCTGCCAAAATCAAACAGCCCGATGTTCGTGTGGTTTAGACCAACCATTATATTACAAATGTGCCGACAACGAAAATCGATAGGCTAACTTGTGATTACTTAATTTTGTGGTAGGTGCTGTACGAAAATAAGTTCAATTTATTCCGTTTAATTTGCGTAATTAATAATTTATGTTGCGTATTGTATCCAGGCAAGATTTTTCAAAGTTTCAAGGTCACCTTGAAACTGGGGGGATCGTTTGCGGCATCGTGCCGGCACGATTCTGATCGGACGTATTCAAAAACAAAAGTCATGTGACGCAGTTCTGGACCATGGCCGATGTAACTGTGGTGTCAGATTTTTTCAGAAGTTTTTGGTAGAGAGATCTCCAGGCTGTGGGGAGGCCGCGCGTAATATTGATCATTTTCTTAATGTTAATAGAAAACTCGCCACAGAATTGGCATATTAGAGTATTAAGTACATTCCTACATAAAAAGTATCGGATACAATGAAAATAATTCAGGTTATTTACACATGAAATGTTTGCAACTCAGATATAAGATTTCCTAATGGGTTTCTAAGCCGCTAATTTAGAGCCACAAGGTAACTGTTTCGGCATTTTGTCGTCAATGTAACGCATTATTTTGCAGGTGGTCAATAATGCCGGATTATCTTACAACGCTAGCCGACAATTATGCAAATACAGCCAATATTTCGGCTATAGACGGCAGTGTCGCCGATGACACACTTGTTGCGTACAAAGGATTTGGGGCGTTTTGGCAAGAAACCGCAAAAGAGTTCGTCGACTGGTGGGTTTATTTTCCGTACTGACCAATGCGAAAATTAAGTAATCTTTATTGCCCTGGCAGGACGGTTGTCGTATTCTCCATTGAACGTTTACTGGTTGCGGTACGTCCGTTGTCGGCTGCCCTAGCACGAACCGATGCTATTGCTTGGCGGAGAACACTGGCAAAAGAAGGTTGCATCTTCATCCTGGCCATGCTGTTTTCCTTGTCCTACCTGGTGACCTACTACTACTTTTACGCGTACTTCCGCGATTCTACACTGAACTACCAGGACTCGCTGACGCCCTCTTTAAGACGCTGGTACCATTGGCAGATCGGTGCCGAGGTACGTGCGCCGTACGACACATTTCTAAAAATATTACTTTTTATGAAACACATAGCAATATTTCAGAATGAAGTACGGTTTTAAGAAATACTTACCTTTACAAGAGAAAATACATACTTACAAATAAGCAGGAAAAGTGCATATTTTTTAGTACGAATAAATTATAGTACTCTGTACGTATTTTATCTTGCTAGGTACGCAAGTTATATTTCCAGGCAACTGTAAATACCAAAATAATTTATTTGCATTATTATAATAAATTTTCCGGTTGTCACAGACGGTGCTCTGTTTTGCGAAATGGATACTGCTTCTAATCTTTGACAGCGCTCTTGTGGTCGTTCTCTGGAAACATCGAGTAGCCATTAATGTCTCCGTGAAGATGAGCAAGCGGTGTTCGACGCGCAATGCCAACATCATCGTCCTGGCCAGTCTGACCGTATACACGTTGACGCAGCTACCGTATGTCATCCTGGAATGCCTAAAGATGGCCAGCCGGGAGCCATTTAACAGCTTGTCGTTGACCAATGAGCAATTGTCCCATGCCGGTTTGTTTGTGGGCATTCTGCAATGGAGTAATTATTCCGTGACATTTTTCGTCTACTTCCTGTCCAGTCCGAAATTTCGCCGGCAATGCCGCGTGCTGTGGGGCAGCGTAGCCGACCCGGCGCTGGAAGCCAAGAACTCACTGTCGCGATTATTCACGGTAAAATCAATGGCTTCCATTGTGTCCAAGAGCCTGAGCAACATCCCATCATGAAAAATGTACACCAAAAAATGTTACGTACTATGTATTTTACTGCTCAAATACGGGTAGCTTTTGAATGTAGGATCAGCAACCGGCAATTTTAGAATAAACTTACGAAAACTTTAAAAAATAACACTGGTGCAGTATTTCCGAATAAGAGGATCTTTACAACTTAGTAAATGCTTCATCCTCTGGCTTCTAAAAGCTGCGTTATCAACGTTTAATTCTGAGAATTTCCATGTTTATAGTTTATAGTAATAACAATTTCACTTCTTCTGGAGCGATAAGAAGGGATGTACAGAATACATTTCGATTTGTGCCAGCAGTTAGCAGTATCAGCTTCATTCGTGCATGGCTTCGTTTATGAATTTTCTTGATTGTTTTTCGACTTTGATTAAATCACATTTCGTTTTGCTCCATATTGTAAACCAATGTTTTAATCATTTGAAGCAATGATTAATTTTGATGTGACGATGAATTTGACGTGGAAAATCGAAGCCCGTAGGCTCATTGCAGCTGTGGCTAACCGTATAACAAATTCTGCTTGTTGTACTTATATGCTGTACAGTAGTTCATAACTGTGCTCTGTCACGTAAAAACAAGCGATGTGCATTGACTGAATGAGTCACACAAAATGGTGTCCGTGGGCACAATGACGCCAGCGAAAAGTCGTTCAAAGGAACTGGGAAGTTGGAATTTATGCTGCAGTGCAGTTAATGAGATTTTTCAACACTGACCGGCTATCTCGCACAGATTACTGTATTAACAAAACTTCTTTTCTTTAAAATTGGTGATTGTGCAACAGCTCAAAAGCGAAGCGTAAAAATGCTTGCAAAAGTTTCAGTGTTGCTCCTAACTTCCTACTCTAGGTATATCTTACAGCCATGAAATACGGTGATGAAGGAATATTTGGAAAGTTGCCCAAACGCTTTTGAAGGGAAATGGCAACCGGTTATAATTAATATAATTTATGTACTTCAGTTTTCCTGAGTTCGTTAAGTACTTGTTGAATGTCTTGTTAATTATCATTGCTTGTTGAATATTCCCACAAAACGCCCCAATCGGTCCCACCGGCTTCCAGCACAGCTATGGTTTAGCGTATTTCTGACTCGATGCATATGAGCCAATCTGAATTTTGAGTAATGCGCTTCTGCAGTGAGGGTAATCGGTTGGGTTGACGATTTGAATTTGAAGCTTATAAATTATGCAGCAAAAACTATAAATTAAGATTTACTGCTGAAAAAGTCTAAATATTAATAACTGGTCTGCGATCGGCACACAATTGCAAGCGTTTCACACGCCCGCAGGGCAATCGTGAAAAGCGAAGAAGCATATGGTAACATACCAAGGTCACGTGGAGAACGCGTATATGCCGAGACGGAATCTCGCGCTTACAACTACTATCGGACTCAACTGTCTGCTTAAATCCAAACTCTATCTCTTGACTTTTTTCACACTGACCCCATTCGGAAAAGTATAGGGTGCTCGTGATGATAGATGAAGAGCGATGGTATAACTAATATAACCTGTATTTGCAAAATAATATATCTGCATGCAAAATGCCGGACAATAAAAGTTGTGATTGGAGCGACGCTGTGGGTATAGACATCAACGGAACGGGAGTGAATGAAAATGTTGACAATAATTCGACCATCTATGTATACTTGGTACTTTATCCGTTTTTGTTGCTGCTCTGTACTGTGGGAAGTATTTTCATTATTGCTGCTCGATTAAAAGATGAGACTAGTCGCAAAACATCAACCTCGGTTTATATGATTTGTTCCGCATTTGGATGCTTGTGCATATTGTAAGTATGCAGGAAAACATAATTATAAGAATGACGTGTGCAGGAAAAAACTGTTAGACTGGTGAAAAAATCTGATTTGAACAAAAAAAGAAAAACATAATATTGAAAAACGTAATTGTTCTATCAGAAGAATTTACAATGAAACAGCTGCTCCAGCGTATTATTGTACAATCGTGTATAATTACCGTATTAACAAGCAGGTATATGAAATCTCTTTATCCATCCCACCGGTGGGTACCGGGCTGGTCCACATATTTTTTGTTGCCTTTTAAAGTGGTTACAACTTGCATTTGTAAAGATAAAGAACAGCATATTATACGTAAATCGAAAAATCTACGAAAAAAGACACAAGAGGCAAAATAAAAAATTCTGTTTAAATTACCACAATGGAAGTGAAACGTCTTTATTTTCAGAGGTTTACATAATTATGCTACGAGTGTAGCTGTTTATCTGGAAATTGGATTTATATAATTATGCTTTGTCAAAACATATTTTCTAATGCTAAAATTACGGCTGTAGGTGGTCCACATTACCGGAATACCTCACTCAAGTGATACTAAACGAATACCGAAATGGTACCAACTTTTCCGACGAAGTGGAAAATGTGATCGACCTGGCTTTGAATTATAAGGGATTTGGAGTTTTCTGGAACGAAGCGGCTATTGAATTCGTGGACTGGTATGCATGTATTAATAATAATGCTGATCTCTTTTAATTTTTTTATTATTCATTGTAGACATAAAATACAAAATTATTGTACATCATGAGCAAGGTGTTTAATGTCGCCCCCAGGCGTCTCTTTCGAACAACTTGTTCTCGTAGTCCGCTTACTGATCTGTTAAGCCAAGGTAGATCTGATTTGCGAATTGCGTATCAAAAGCTCAGAAATCTTGCTAAAGTTAAATTTTGTTTATGGAGCTTGACACTATTGTTTTATTGAGAAATGTTTAATTGCGCAAAAATTTGAGTATTTTCTTTCAACAATTCAAATTTAGTATTTTCTTTCTTTTCTTTGAGTATATTGAATTTAAATCTGGAATAAATAAAATATTTAGACGTAATACTAATATTACTGTGATTATATTACTGTTATTGTTACCGTGATTACTGTCACTATGAACCTGTAACGTCTGCTAAAATTCGGTGCTTTTATAGGACACTGATCGTGTTTTCAGTTGAACGTCTGTTGGTGACGACACAATCGTTATCCGTTGCGCGCGCTATGACAGATTCCTCTGCTTGGCGGCGCACGTTGCTGATCGAAGGCGTCCTGTTAATCCTGGCAGTATTATTTGCGGTATCGTATCTGCCGACGTATTACTACTGGCTGCCGTACTCCTCCAATTCCACCGAAGCCATGCAGGAAATTCTACCGCTGCCATTAGGAAGATGGCTTACGCTGCAGGGAACAGCCGAAGTTCGTGACCTTTTTTATACCAGTACTAAAACATAACTATTTGAACATGATTATTATTTTAACCATGTACAAATAGTTTTAGTATGGGTATTTACCGGCTTCGTTTGGTTAACTTTAAACTGTCTATGAAATTTCGCAGATGGGAATGTGGATCGCCAAATGGTTGCTACTGCTCATTCTCGACATAGCGTTGCTGTGTGTGGTAATTCGACATCGGCGCAATATAAAGACTACGATGATGTGCAGTATTAAGGAATCGTCGACGCGCACCTCGAATCTTATCCTGATGGCCAGTGTGGCCCTTTACATGGTCACCCAGTTGCCGAATGTTATCCTGCAGTGCATGCGCATCGCCAGTCGTCCTCCATTCTGTACACTGCATTTAACCAATACCCACGAGAGCCGTGCCAGGCCCATCGTCAGTATTCTCCATTTGAGTAATTACTCTGTCTCTTTCTTTGTCCTCTATGCGTCCAGCTCGAAGTTTCGGGAACAATGCCGCATGCTGCATACAAGAGTCGCTCGGACGATCCGGATGACCAATAGTAAAATTTTTACGAGTATGGAGACGCTCCGTTTAGCAGACAGTCCTAATCGCTCGCCAAGAAATTCAGCGGATAATTTAAAAGCAAACAGGGTTGTGGAGCGGTTTATATAGAAAAGCGAATGCCCGACGTTTTACTACATGTCCATATCCAAAGTTCCTTACCGATCTCATGCTGAAATAAAAGGCCAATATGGACCAGCTGCTGCACCTCGTGGACTATAATCGCAAGTAGCAGCTGATGGATTCCATCCTTTGGTTTATTTAAAATAAATCAAACTTTCTTGTTGTTCCTACTTAAGCAATCGTTTTAATTAGGTTAGTTCAATTTTGATTCTCTGTCGTACCCTATCAGTTGGTGGCTCCATGTTCACAAGAAACACATTTAGGTTCATGCAACATACAGTCTGTAGTTGTACTGAAACAGGAAACATTCAACTGGAAATACTAAATTTATAAAAAATTAATATGTTGTTGATTTGCCTTCCATTCCGGTCGCGACAAACTGGAGCTCAAGTGTTACCGTTTTGGTGTTGGTTGGTTTAGGATTTTCTGGGCATGCTATGCTGCAATGAGTTGAATGGCATTGCGGAATCCAGCTCCCGCATAGTCAGGCCATTTTAAATCAATAAAATTAATACGGAATCGCTCGTTCTCTCGGTGAAAGTAGAGTTGCAATTTTCTCCACAAGATATTCTGTAATCTTGCCGGGATAAAATGAGAAATTCAAAGGGTAAATAAATTATGGTGTTATGCATTCAATGCAGTTAGCCGCCGGCTTCCATTTCCGGGGAGCCCATACCGGTTATATGGCATTTGGTAATGTGATAATGATGTTCTACTTCCGTTTTAGTTAAAAGAGCGCTTTCATTACTATCCCACACTTACGAATTCCTTCTCTATACGGTTTGCACAGAAGAAGCATACAAATCTGCAAATTTTCAAAATTCATGACTATTTTTTTGCGGAGAATACTGGTCACCATACCACATACACAACAGCTTATACGTAATAATAAACAAATCCCTGGTACTTACCGGCGTGCCAGCGTATGCCATGAAATACAACGTCCTCAGCCACAGTTGAGCCGGCGGATTTTGCTGGTACCAACGGTCAAAGTAAGTCGGAATGAGAATCCTCGGTATAAAGCACACAATATACCACACGGACGACAAGAACATTATCCGCGCCATTACCAACCGTTTCTTGTACTGGTTAACGGACGGTACAGACCGCGGCTGCTCCTCATTCGGCGCAATGGTCCGTTGGGCTAGACAGCCTCGCATCCCAATGACCCCGGCTAAAACTGCGTACAGCATCAGCACACAGAACGCCGGCAGGACGCCGATAAATGCCACGAGGAACTGGTGCTGCCGCCGGCTGACCGCTGAGCGTCCCCGCAAACCACACAATCCCCACGGCTGAACATGATAGAACTCCATGGACCACGGATCAATAACGGGTACGGTGACGGCCGTGGTTACTATCCAGTTTAACAGACAAGTCGCCACGGCGACCGTTGTTTTCGACAAATAGCGCGCGTAAACGTGAGGGCAGATGATCGCCATAATGCGGTTGACGCAGAGGAGCAGCGTGGCATAATTGCCTCCGAAGATGCACAGCATGTTGATTACGAACATGGTGCGGCAGCCTTTGAGGGAGAGCTGCAAGGTAACAAATGTGTCAGTTACGATAAAAATGGGATGTAGGATGCCGGTCATGAAGAGCTCAATGGCGAGGAGGTGTAACGCCTGGAGGTGTGATCGCTTGCGTCGGATATCTGGCTGGACGATGATAGATAAAGCTATAAGGATGGTTACCAGAGCTTCGAAAAAGGAAACAGTCAAATTCACATAAAACCAGGCAGATAAGGTGCTACGGTAGGCGATCCGGGCGGGAAAGGGACTGTCAGATTCGTTTTGATTGCTATTCAGAGTGGTATTCATAGTGGTCAAAAACTCAAAGACGCGAGTAAATTCTCAACAGGTTCGTTATTTACAGTTTACGATAAAAAGCTGCACAGTCTTACATCCAATATTTCCAGCTAGGTAATCTGTTTGCAACCGGCTTTAAAGCTCGCATACAAAGTGCACACATTCTGCAGGAATGATGTTTCTTGATCATGTTAAAAAAAAAGTTGGGCTTTAGTTTTGCGCGCTGTGCCATAGGCTATCAAAACCACCAAAGGTCTGCCATAATACTGACACAGATTGCACCAAAAACGTCTGCTTTGTATATAATAGGCACTGGAAATGACCGCGTTAAATCGGAATGTTGAAACCGCTCAAATATTGGCAAATTCTAAATTCTATGGTACATTTAGAAAATTAATGGAAGAAAATCTGCATATTCATTAAGCTAAGTGGTGGTGGTCCAGCATGTACCCAAACAGGCTAATCCATGCTGTTGGCTTGGGAGCGAGATGTAATTAATATAGGATGTTACATTTTAATTAATGTGGTATGTCTCAAATAACAGTTGGATAACCATGGGATCTCCAGTGAGTCTTCTCTTGTGAATATGCCGCCTATTAATTTGTATACACGAGTACGTATGGAATTCCTGTCTTACACTCCGACTGTACATGTGATATCTAGTTGTCAATTTTTCGCGGAATACACTGCATTGATTGTAACGAAAAAGCCTAAGCCAACAGAGGAAAATGAATTACGTAATTCACTGATTGCATGCACTGTACAATACACGGTATGGTAAGCCTAAATCAAGTACGTGGGCGCAACATTCGAATGAAAGCCTAAAGCCGCCAGCAATCAAAATGTGGGGTACGAAGTATCCAGTGCCCTTAGTAATTATTAGGTATATCTGAATTCTAAGTTACGGTAGGTAATAAATTTTCCATTTCTGTGACTTTAATTAATGATTTTGAGTATCTGAAACGATAGCTCGGAAATTCCCAGTTCAAAGTCTAGAGCAGAAGTTCTATAAAATATTGATCAAGTTTCATCGAATCCCGAAAAAGACTGCATTGTATCGTTCCAGTGTTCTGGATCTTAGTTTGTTAATGTAACCGAATTTATAAATTTTTTTCTGTAGTTATCATAATATCCTTTTAGACAAATTAAAGCATTAGCAGTTTGGAGACCGTAGTAAACTTTAGTAGTTTTACACAGCCTACCGACTCTGTATGTTATATTCCATTATATTTTTATTCCATAATATTTTTATTTCGTAAAATGTGCATATCCCAATTGTTTTTGACCGTTTATATTAATTTTAATACTCCCAGTTAGACAGATTGACAAACTGTGATGTATCAGGCGTAGCGGCGTTGTAATACTTCAGAAATCAAGCAATTTCAATGTAACAGTTCACTAGGCACAAATTTGTGTTTCTTTCGTAATAGTGTTCGAAAACCAAAAACACTTTTCGGTTAGGAAAGACTGTATGAGACCGTCCGTCGTTCTTTGGGATTGTAATAATCGTAAACCACAATACTCTGGTCTTTAATGTCCGCTACCTTATAAATTCGGTACATAGTTATTTTGAAGCACGTTGGAGATTCTTCCAGCTGCAAAGCAAAAATAAGATTTGTAACTTCAACACAATGGTGATCAAGCTAGATACGAAACCGTGCCTAACAAGTAAAGATTTTGTCCACCCACCTGATCAAAGTACAGATTTAACTTGGTTTCCTTGTTTTCTATTTCGGTTTTGCGTAGAGTGCGAACACTCTTGACTAGTTTTCGAATTTCATCTTCATCAAACTGATAACCGGAAAGCGTATTTATTTCAATGACCGCCATGCTACTCTTGCCTTCACGAACGTATCTGCAAGAAAAGACATTAGTTTTGTGGATATAAAATTGAAAAAGCGCCTTACCTGCTACAAATAGACATGCGTAGATCGGCGTTAGAAGTCGTCTTGGTAACATCAAGGTCAAATGCAACATCTTCAGCCGGTTTGGCGACGTAATATGTCCAGCTTAAGTACGTTATCGCCAATCCTCTGCCTTGCGCTTTTAAAGTAACCGATTTTGGTTTATTTTGCAGCTCCACGGTCTGCAGGACAACCGAGGAATCTGGGGTAAGCGACACGTTCTTTTTATTTTGGTCGTAGTTAATGTCGATTTGCATGGATGGCGGATTAATGAATGCTTTGGCAAATTCCGCTAAAGCGGTTAGCCCGACAACGGTATCCTGTAACATACAATCGTATCCTGTAAACTGAACTTGTTAACGAACATAAAGAATTGATGACATTTCATAGTTGCTAATACATTAGAAGACAAATGCAACTCACAGATATTTAACTAATTAGATTGTTTATTGTTAAACTGCACTTTTAACAACTGGCTGTCCTCGTTACAATAGTAATCTTGTTGTCACCTGTGGACAGCATCTCATGGTTTTTGTGCTTGTTAATTGAACATGTATGGTGGAAGCTGCAGTTATCTACGTATAAAGGTCACTTTGCGTGCATCGCCTTTTGGTTTCGTACCTGTGTCGATACAAATCCACCTTCAGCGTTTTGCTTGGAGATTAACCAAGAGACAATGGGCAGAGAGGATGCGAACTTGTTATTAGCCAAGAACGCCAGGAGTGCATACGCCGTAGCTTCAACATCTTTGGCGTTTGTCGGATAGGAATGTTCAACGTCAGCCCCTTGATCGGAAAGAGACGCGACAGTCGCCCAGTAGGCGGCAGAAGTGTTTTTGATCATTTTCTGCTCGAGTAAATCCAGAGCTAACGCGCTTTTACCGCTCTTTGTTTTTGCCAGAGCGTATGCCGTGATAGCCAAAGTGTACGAATCGTTGGTCAGTGTTGGTAGCCTGGATTCCAAGAAAGCAGTAGCGTTGTCTTTCGAAGCCGCCAACTGATTCGTTGAATCGTTACCAGACTCTTGATATTGTAGAATCGATAAGAGAGTAAATGCCGTCAAAGCTACTCCCGCAGAAGCCCCACCTTGATGCTGTTTGTCTATGACCTTCCCTTTTTCCTCGAACGAACCGCCTTCCTTTTGCTGATGGATTAAAAAGCGTACCGCTGATTGTACAACATCGTCTTCGATGATGGGCACAAATTCCGTTGCTTCGGAAAATACTCGAGCAACATAAGCGGTGAGCCATGTCGAGCCAATCGGATCAGCTTTTCCCCAAGCACTGTAGGAATTATCAGTGTGACGGTAGGTTAATTCTCGTTGATATCCCAGCTGCATATTGGATACCAGTTTTGATCTCTGAGTTTCGGAAAGCTGATTCAGCTGTTTCAAGTATTTCGCAACAACCAAGTTCGGTGTGGTTATGGCCATGTTTTGTTCACCGCATCCGGTTGGCAGTCGGATCAGTTTGTCCAGGTTATTCATAGCAGCACCCAAAATATCGCCGACCACTTTGATTTCTACTTTATCTGACCCGGCGACTTTCCCAGCCGGATCCGAAGGCAGCGTCAGTGGCAGCTCCAGATTGGACGATTGACGGAGGTCAACAAAAACTGGTCGACTGTAATACTGCTTCACGCCTTCCGGTTTAACCGGAAGCGTTTTTTCCAGCTGATCCGCAGCGAATGCTGACCGAGCAGTCACTTTCAGCCTCAAATCGCCAATTTGTTGAGGGATTACGTTGAATGTGGCGGTCACTCCGTCGCCCGGTTTGGCAGTTATATTCTGTTTCAGCTCACTGGTTGTGTTGTCAGGATTACGGATCTGCAGCTGGACTGTAACTTCCTGTTGCTGTGACATGTAATTGAATACGAGGACTTCTGCCGTTAGGTTTTCATAGCGCACGATACTGAACGGGAGGTTGAGCACCACAAAAAAGGGTTGGAATACTTTGAGCTGCAGAAAATTTCCTCCATCAGTTAAGCATTTGACAGTACTAGTTACCTTGTCGTTTTGACGTAATAGTATCACAAGTACAACTACGCACCTTTGCCGGAATTTGGGTCAGCCCAAGCCCGCTTGTATTACTCAGACTGAAAGCTGTTATTTTCCAAGTGGTTACTGCATCTGGTACTTTGGATTGTATTTCTGCCGTACCATCCGCACTGCGAAATTTCAACAAGTTTCAGTTCTTAATGAAACCTTTTATTTCGTGCAAAGATTCCGGTTCCGTAAAAACAATGCGGTTAAGGTAACTTCAGTATTTTAATTTCCACCCTGTAATCATGGAATTATTCGCATGAACATACTTGGATGTTGCCGTTTCGAAAAGGAAACTCTGTCGAAAATCTTTTCGGTTTTTTGCTGGAGGTTGCAGGTTATTTGCAGAATCCTCATTTTTGGTAAACGATGATGGAAACCTTCCGGGAGATGCCCCACCAACAAAGTCTTCTACCAAAAGTGCAGTTAATAGTTTTCTGTGCTTACTATGAAAACGACTCTAGTCGTTTGATTAACTCACCAAACAAAGCATTGCTAAACATGGCCGAATAATAAATTTCTGGTCCTTCTCTTGATGAGGGGAAAACGTTGTTCGTCAAGATGAACAGATCAGATTCAGAGGGATTTTTCTAGTAGAACCAAGCGAGCGTGTTAGCTACACATTTCGGACAAAATGACAGAACCTTTACCTTGAAAATGTCGTCTACGGAATACGTATCTGATTGCTCTGGCTTGGGTTTTACGTTTCCAACGGCTTTATTTATCTGAAAGCACGATTTAATTCCGTAAGAAAACTGACAGCGGCAAATTTCTGCTGAGACCGTAAAACAAGTAATACCTACTAAATTTTGGTAACATGATATAGTTACAACGAACGGCGCCTTTCAACTTTTCAACTTTCAAATGCATACTCTTCGTTCTGTAATGCGGGTTACAAAGCTAAAGAGATGACATGTATCTACCTCTTCTGTTGAAATATCGTTGCCGGTTTTCAGCAACAGCAGACTTTCATCCACAGCCAAAAAGGCGACAAATGACGAAGGACTAGTCTTGGCTTTGAACACTGCCTCCTCATTGGGCTGAACGTACCCTAATCCGCTTTTGGCTTCGGCAGAGATATTGACCTGCACATTTACAATACCGTTAATTGGTTAAATTACCTTTAAGGCCTTTGGTGTCCCACCTCGTTTATGGTCGTCAGAGAGGATACAGATATGATAAAGATGTTCCCAACGAATTCACCGTCATCACGGACGTAATAAGCTATAAGACGCCCATTCGAACCAAAGAAATCCGAAAGCGGCACAGAAATCGATATAGATCGGCCCGGTTCTGAAGTTGAATTGGTCCACAGGAAACTAACGTTCGAGGTGGACTGCAGCTGAAAGTGGTCAGAAGACTTGTTGTAAAGCACATTGCCTGCTGTTCGAAAGTCTTAATAATATTATTAGCAACAAAAACGGACAATCAATCACAATATTAATAAAATCTTACGATAAGTTGTATTGTTTCGTTTGTTCTGGTTGTCATGTTGACTCCAAAAGTGACTGTTTTTCCCTTTCTCATATCAGGCGTTAGTGGCTTGATATCCAGAAAACTGCCGCTTGGAGATTCTCTTCCCATTGTCGTAAATGTTGTGCTGTCGTCCATATATTTTACTTTAACCTCAATTCGACGAGTATCATTTGTGATTGGAACTATCACATCGACAAGGCCATTTGGGGGAACTGGCAAAGTGAGAACTTCGTTGTACGGCTGATCGTCAGACCGTGGACGATTTAACTACGAGAAAAGATGCACAGTTTTCAGCGTGGGTGGATGTAAAGTAAGTACAGTGTAGGACAGAAAGGTCACTGCTTCGCGTTTACGTATAAGGCGCGAACAAAAGCTTTTCTGCTCGAATCCGAAGCTGGCGACTTCTGCGCACTAGATGTGCTGTTGCGCTCTGCGTATTGATTACTTGTTAACCTTCTGAACCGCCGACCAACTGGCCGATTTGTCTTACATCGTGCGCTAGCTAAATGTTGATAATTTATAATACTTACTAAAATAATTTAAAAGAATTTCTAATAATTTATACCCGTCTGAGTTTGGTATGAATCACGCGCGTGCCGCCCATCAAGTCCATACTGTTTGCCAGATCTAGCGAGCTGAAATTGCTGCGCAGATATATGCGCTTTGCTCGATGCTTATCCCGTTTGTCGTACAGTGTGTAACCGATTTTAATCGGCTTTGTGCTGGGAGAAAGCGGACGTCCATCGAGATCGCTGACCCGTGCACGGAAAGCATAGGGAAATCCCGGTATAAATGTGCCGGCATTGTCCAGTATTTCTACTTTGTACGCTCTTGTACGGATCGGAATGCTTGCGGTGACCACCTTGGATTGTCCAGTCAGTGTTTCCGTGAAATTAACACTGACCATTAGTTTGTCGTCGGAGTCGTAATCACCATAAGCATGAACGGCGTTAGTAATATTTAGAGTAACGACTGATCGTCCATTAAAATCCTGTGGAAGAGAAGTCTCACTGTTGTATTAATACAGATTATTTTTAGATTATTAACGTTTGGGCAAAATCGGTTTACCAAAATGTATGTTCTTAAAATAAACTCTTTAAGTTCTTCCATTACTCAACCGAAACTCTCTATCAGTACATAATGTTTCAGAGCAACAAAACTAACGTCCTCTTACGTTCACCGAAATATTCCTTCCAGTTGTTTTTTCGTAATATAGCCAGCTGCGCTTCCATACTGCATCGAGTTGACCTTTTACGGGCTCGCCAAAGGTATAACTGCAACAAGTTTAGAAGACTTTCAATAACCACCGGCTGACCGTTCAAAAGGGTGTTCAAGCGGATCTTGTTAATAATATTGCAGGACTGAAATGTATGTATAATCCCACATTGCATTCTTGCACTGTCTGAATATTTAGACAAGTAGACTTCCGCAACATATCAGCAAATGCAAAACCCAACTATTCCAACGTGAATTACAACTATGGGAAGCATTTAAAAATCTAACGTACTTGGCTTCGATGGAGAAGGTCAGCACCGTATCCGATGGTGTCACATACGTCGGAAGCGAAAGTATTTTAACATCGAATCTGGGCAAAACTGATAAAGATGAAACAGCTGATAGAGAAGATTAATAAAGTTAGGTGATGTGATTGCAAAACGCAGTTTACCGTATTCATCAACCGAAAACTGCTTCTTTCCAATAACGTTTTGGGAAACTGACGTGCGCGCTTCGATTGTCCACGAGCCCAATAGCGGTTCGGAGGAGAGCAGTAGATCTCCAGAAAAATATCCTGTCACTGTAAAGTGTAAACGCTTCGTGTTAAATTAAATAGGCAGTATAAGTTTAGAATATGCCGCGATGCATGGGTCATGGTAACGCATTACCAGCGGTGTCAGAAATATTGCTGTATTGCTTAACAATGTTGTTTTGGGGATCCTGCATAATAAATTTTACAGTTAATTCAGATCAAGCTGTTGAAACAGCTATCAAACTGTTGTCCCGCAGGGCACTGTTACCTACCAGTATCTGCACGGTTAAAGGTATTCGAACGGGGTGCAGTTGCCGATTGACAGTGACGATTCGGAAGCCTACCGTGTCTTTGGCTTTGTACAACGGCTGGTCGGTTTGAATAAAAGCTAACGGCTTGTCGTCCACTGGCGCCGGTTGGCGGACGCCGATTGACCACTCGTAAGATCGATAGAAAGTATCGGTCGAATCTGACCCGTTAATCGAAAGTCCTAAACGGTTTCCTGTATCTGGATACTGTGATAAATCAGGGATCTATCAAGGAAAAGACCGAAAACATCCAAGATTGCAGCGGTAATATCTTTATGTAATTATGTAATAACATGTTAATCAGCGCAATACGCTTGCGATGTTGATTCTGTTTTTTTGAACCGGCATATCTACTAACTAAGTTAAGAATGTCTACAATTTGTACTCACGTCAATTTCCAAACGTGTTAGTTGATTCAGTTTTAAGGTGAATGATTTGGGGAACATAAATTGGCCCGGATAGGAACCATTTCCCCATGCCCACTTGGGTGACTCGTAGGGACGAACCGTGACATCCACTTTAACGTCAGAAGTGGCATTTTCACACAGTATGGAAATTGGAAACGTGGTATTTGACTGTACACTTTTCGGACCAATAATCGTATAACGGATATAAGCATTTCCGTAGCCAGAACATATTGCCAATGTTAACAAAATTGTGCGATGCATTTTTTCCGTTTAACCCAAGAAAAACTGTCCACCGCGTTACGCGGATGTGTTACATATGAGACAAAAAACAGGTGCAGCCTGATGATTAACGACTTCTCGTTTTATTATTTGCACACAGGCCAAAACAGAGGTCTAAAAATTCGTTTTATAAGTCATTATTAACGTTCTCATGCATTTATACATTTACTTCGAGTTATGCCTTCGAGATACAAAGCTCGGAGAAATCACTGATTTATACAAGATGACTATCTAACAGATCAGGAAAACCGGTACCAATAATTGGTTTAGAACATTAGACGGAACTAGTTAATGCGCACGTGTCGACTTGTTGCTGTCTTTTGAAGAACAAAGCATCAGTTTCGGACTATCTGCTTTTGCATTTGGAACTCGTAAAACGCTTATTATTACGCATTCTCTATACGCAAGTGCAATCCACTACCAGCGGGATGCTAATATTAATATAAGCATACATGAAAACGGGCAACTACGAGTGAAAATTTCTGCTTAATGAAATATTTTGTTGAATTTTGAATCCGGATGCCCAACAATTTTGCTTATTGTAAAAGACATCTATCTGTACAGTAAAAAACATCTGTAATTGTTTTGTGAAACGATGGCGAAATTTCGCAGCTACCTGGAGCGCTGAAGTTCAACGCTTCAGGTCCCATCATAAGAATTGTAATAACAATGTTCGTGGGGATTCAGAGCTATTACGTAGATACATGTGGATGTACAATACTTCAGCATTATTGCATTCACTGCTCACCGTGCAGATACAATATTTCTACTGTTTGCATGAATTGTGCACACAGAGAGTACGAATAAGTATAAATAAATATACGTATAAATACGAGGGTACGTATAAATGATAGAAGTATACCGTACTACTGTACATAAACGTATTGTACATGTATATAGCGTATTGCTCCTAAAGCTTCTCCACGTTGACCCATAATCCGTTTTTTGCACGCAGCAGACCGATGGTTTCGAAAGTTAGTGGTTCCTAATAAACAGAGCCAGACTTGATAACCATCTGGCAATCAACGCAGTACTGTGGCGTTCGTCTCACCTCTGTGCGGGAAGATCGTTCAAATCGGAATTTGGGCAGGGTAGATGCCATCATCACTTTAATATCAAAATAAGCAAAGCCTAAATAATCAAAATGCTCGATGATGCCACTACTCGTATATGCGACGCTTAATATACCGCTACATTAGTATTTACAAATTACAGCGAATGCACATATTTCGATTGGCAGGAAGGCAGCAAACATGAAGGAGCAGTACTTCTTGAAGTATAGCATTTACTGCTAACTAGCGCCAAACACTTACGCATTCCGATACAGTTGCGCGGACCTTGGCCAAACGCTTGGAAGCTATATGGCATGATACGGTGCTTATTTTTAGCAAGGAACCTGCGATAACCATAGCACGGTTAGCACCTTAAATTTCAGTTCCCCGTTATGAATCTTCACGTTAGCGTTGGCACATTTCATAGTCTAAAGAAGATAGTTGTATTTCTTTTATACGAGCATGATTGCTTAGACTGAGAAGGTATAAATCGTGTTATCTCAAACTGTGGCTAACCTATCGGGATTAAACTGCTCGGGATCCGGCCAATATGCGGGATCGTGGTGTATGGCATAAATCGGAATGGCCACAATGTCTCCTTTTTCAACGGTCACTCCGTTGTAAGTCCAGGTTGTATTGCACTGTCGCTCCGTGCGCACTGCCGGTGGATACATACGCAGTGTCTCATTAACGCAGCAGTCCAAATACTCCATCTGGCTTAAGTGGTCATAAGTGACCGTGTCACTATCCCCAACTACTTCCAAGATCTCTTGACGAAGCCGTTCCTGAATTCCGGGATGCACTGCCAAAGAGTGTGTTAAGAATGCCAACGTGGACGCTGTGGTTTCGTAACCAGCCATGAGAAATATAACCGACTGGGCGACTAATTCCTGCAAAAACAGCTTCTGCGTACGCTTCGCATGGCATTTCAGGTACGCATTCCTGAGATCTACCTCGATTGTTATTTTATAGTTTGTCGACTGTTCCGGTTGACCTTGGGACAGGTGATTGGAAGAGGTGTCGGTTAAATCGGTGTCCAGAGAGGTCTTTATGGTGTTTGAGAACTCATTGCCGCCTTCTACGGAATTGAGCATGAGTTGCAGAAAGTCTTTTCTAGACTGATCCTTTAAATACAAGCACAGCAGAATTTATAAGACACTGTTCGGTACAGCAGTGGTTTACGGACTTCGATTGTGCGCGTATGTACTCGTAATTCGTAAATAGTTAATACCAACTTTTGTTTCCAGGCGCATTCGAATAATTTCCTTAATACTGTCGACGAAGTAGTCGGTGCTGGCCTTATTGCTAGTTTGCATGCCCAGTTTTTCGGCTAGTGGCAAAAGTCTGGGGAAATAAACTGCAAGACGAATACAGTTTGGAATAAGCAGGTGGTACCGTGGGCGTTTTGGTCGTGGCTTACAAGCGATATAGACCAATAGATTCATCTTGGTTGCAAAGGCGTTCCTCACATGCCGCATGAATGTGCTGTTGGGATCCTGAGAATTCACTTTTGTGGCAAAAAAGGTCGACGTTATAATGTCGAGCGTAGCGGGCAGATACAATCTGCAAACAGTAAAAGTTATAAAGGAACGGAAAGGTCATGATAACGTACCTGCGGGCTTCGATTTCCGCGCCTTTTTCGGCGATGGTGTTTATGCTCTCGCATAAGGTTTCACAACATTCATGCAGAAGAGCGGTCATCTACATTTAGAAAAATACGGTATATTTGCTGATCGAAATCTTTTGTCTGTAATAGTAAACGAATACCAGACGGAGTTTTCCTGATGTGAATGTCGGTGCCACAACACTGCGAACATCCTGTATGATACGAGAATCAAGCAACGAAAAATGTATTTTATTGTAATGTGCTCGTACGTACTTTCCAGTGCTGATCTTTGAGCTTGGTAAGTGCTAGATTAAGTACGGATTTGTTTCCTCGTTGAAAACCCTGCAACCTTTTTAAGTCTGTATTCTGTGTAGTTTATGTATGTATTTACTCGCATTTAAAAAGAAATGGCAGTATGGGAACTCGGCAAACACTCACTCTTCGGTTAACAAAATGGGTAAAATCCTTGACCATAATGGATTTCAGCATTTCTGTGATGGAATAATGTACTGTAGTGGCTCGCACATCTTGTACCACAGAGTTAGTGTACGGGAAAAATGTGCATCCAACATACACACTCTAACCGGGCAAAACGCACGATTCGCAGTTGGCGTGCATGGATAAATTTCTGATGTTTCTCAACATCTGGTCTGGAGAACCTTCTTGATTATTAAAAAATTAGAGCTCTAATAATTATTAACTAAATTTATGCTCAAAAGCAGCCATTAACTTAAATCTTTGCTGTCAGCTCGAATTCAAACACTGATTTGTTGTGGTTTTTGGGGTGCCCCTGCAGGGTGAGGGGTACGTTCAGCGTCAACATTCTGCAGCTACAGAACAGTTCGAGTTCTCAGATACGGAGCTTGTTTTCTAAGGTGAATTACAATTTTAAAGAAAATGTTTGATTGACTGGACAGATTCAGAAGGAGAGTTCATCTTGAAGTCAAATCAAGCATTATTTCGTAGGCGTGCATTTTGCCCGGTTAGAGTGTGTATATTGGGTGCACATTTTTCCCGTACACCAACTCTGTGGTACAAGATGTGCGAGCCACTACAGTATCACAAACATATATTAAGTATAAGTTTGCGTAGTTGTATAGCATTAGACATTCCGCGACACAGCACATACCAAGATCCGATATGACAATAACTGGCATTGATCCTTCAAACACCCTGTACCGAGGCGTTTGTTAGCATAGCACACTATGGGCATCGCTCCAAGAGACAATAAATTAAAATAACATAACGCGAGATAACAGTAGCTATCTGTAGTCGCATCCATATAGAACATTCGTTATTTTCGCTTACATTCGACGGGAACGTTAGTGTTCGTGGTTCAACATAATAATTCTTGATTCTATACAGTATATTCAATTGTGCGTTCACCCGAAAACATTGCCAAATTTCCGGATGCATTTTTCATCAAACCTTGCTGGACCAATCTACACGAAAACTTCAGTAAGGTTATCATGAGGTTCAGACGAACGCGAGATTACATCTACAACCGGTAATACGGACCTTCGTCAACTCAGCGAAGCTGCTGGATAACGGATACTGGAACGGTCCCGGTACACCTTTTCTCCGCCAATAAGAATTCTTGTAAATAACATCGCTGTCCGGAAATGAAAAAACGCGCTTACTTGAGGTAGTTCGTCACCTGCTCAAGAAAAAATAACGAAATCTTAAAGTCTATCAAACTACTTACAACAACATGTAGGTTACAAATAGCACTAAGATTGACAATACGAGCTCTAGAATCATTCTTTATGGTGAATTGAGAACAACAACAGAAGAGTATCTTTACGAAACGGTCTTCCTTACTAACAAAAGTCATAATAGTTTCCGAAAAATCAATCGAGGTGGCACTAACAGCTGATAGCTCTAGCTGATAGGAATAATGGCACTGATAGCTCTAGGCTAAGGGCTCTAGATCAAGGCCTCGTACAGGTAACTGATTGTATATCTGGTGTGCAATAAAATGGTAAAGAGTTCAGATATCAAACGAAGAGATACTGAAACTGGGCACTGTCAATTATCAATAGTATTAGAGTACTAATAATGGCTGAGTCAATTCATTATCGTACAGCTTGCAGCGATTTTTACCGGGCACCGACAATTTATTGGTATGGATGGGAAACTGGGAATTACTTATGGAAGTTTGGTATACTTTGTGTTAGTCCGTCTTACTTGACCCCGGTTGAGGTTTGCATGACCACACCGGTCTGCAATGGCTAATCATAAACGTAATTAAATATTTTACAGATACATAAGTGGTCTAATGATGGGAATAAGTCTGGAATTAAATTAATTTATTTAAATTTAAACGGATCAATTAAAAAAGGCCGCTGCCATCACACAATGATAAATCTATTCATTAATAACATGGTAATATCAGTATAGCAACGTCTTAAAAAGTGTGTCCATTCAGGAACATAAGGTGCAGTACAGCGCATGGTACTTCAATTACTGAAACTGCAAGATATCGCCAAGTAGGTATCACAATTTTGCACTCCTTCCATTTGTAAAATTCCATATACGTATATTTATTGATACAAGAAGCCGATTGGGTCCTAAAACAGATTGTACGACACGGTTCGTCGCTCTTTAGGATTGTAGTAATCGTATACGACTATGCTCTGATCTTTGATGTCCTTCACTTTGTACGTTCTGTACAGCGTTAGCTTGAAACACGTTGGTGACTGTTCCAGCTGCAAAATTGGCAAAACCTTTAAGCGAAGAATTGAGATGACGTAACCAATCCTAATCTGAAAACAAATACCTGATCAAAATAAAGATTTAATTTTGTTTCCTTATCCGAGACTTCCGTTTTTCGTAGCGTGGAGACAGTTTTGACGAGCTTCCGAATCTCATCTTCGTCGAATTGGTAACCGGAAAGAGCGTTAACCTCGATAACTGCCATGCCGCTGCTGCCTTCACGAATATATCTGCAACAAAAGCCGTTAAATCAATGCAATTACAAAACCGATGCTGGTTATATATTATCGAATTATTCGCGTAATTTCTGAAAAGTTTTGGTACACTTCTACTGTGAGCGTTGGTAGGCCTATGCCGTTGAAATTACCTGCTGCAGATGCCCATACGCAAATCGGTTGCCGAGGCTGCCCTTGTTACATTAAGGTCAAACGCGATATCTTCAGCTGGTTTGGCGACATGGTAGGTCCAGCTCAAGTAAGCAATGGCAACCCCTCTGCCTTGGGCTCTCAGATTGATACTTCTGGGTTTCTTTCCCAGTTCAATATTGTGCAGAACAACTGCGGTTTCCGGAATGAGCGACACGGTCTGCTTATTGCGATCGTAGTTAATGTCAATTTGCATCGATGGAGAACTGATGAAGGCTTTGGCAAATTCTGCCAGTCCGGTCAAACCCACTACGGTATCCTGCCAAACAAAGATGCTCGTAAACAACTCACAGCAAATACTGAGATTTTAACTGGCTGCAAAAATCTGCGGAATGCGAGGACTTTTTCATTGTTTTATAGTATTTGTCAGCAAAAGATTTCGTTTATGAATTATGAATATAGATATCATCGGCCGACAGCTTCCAACCTTGTTAAGCAATGCAGCAAAACTTCAAGCTTCTTACCGCGGTTGAAACGAAGCCACCTTCGGAATTTTGTTTCGATATCAACCAGGAAACGATGGGCAATGCCATTGAGAATTTATTATTGGCCAAAAATGCTAGCAACGCGTAAGCGGTAGTTTCGATATCTTTGGCATTTGTCGGATATGAATGTTCCACATCAGCTCCTTGATCTGAGAGAGAAGCCACTGTCGTCCAATAAGCAACGGAAGCGTTGGTAACCATTCTCTGCTCTAGCAAAGCCACAGCTGGAGAGCTTTTAACGCTGCCCGCCTTTGCCAGTGCATAAGCAGTAATAGCCAACGAGTAAGCGTCATTACTCAAAGTCTGGAGTTTCGATTCCAAGAAAATGGTAGCATTTCTGATGGACGCATTAGTCTGCGCCCAGGATTCTGTGCTAGCGTTTCGGTACTGCAGAAGTGATAAAAGAGTAAATGAAGTCAAGGCGGTTCCTGCTGAGGCACCCCCTTGATGCTGTTTGTCAATGACCTTTCCTTTTTCCTCAAACGAACCGTCCTCTTTCTGCAGATTTATCAAAAAACGCACACCTGATTTGATAACATTTTCCTCGATGCTCGGCACAAATTCCGTTGCTTCGGAAAACACTCGCACGACATATGCGGTGAGCCATGTTGAGCCGATAGGATCAAAGTTGCCCCATGCACTGTACGAACCGTCAGTGTGCCGGAAAGTTAACTCCTGTTGATATCCCAGCTGCATATTGGATACCAGTTTTAATCTCTGAGTTTCGGAAAGCTGATTCAGCTGTTTCAAATATTTCGCAACAACCAAGTTCGGTGTCGTTGTGGCCATGTTCTGCTCGCCGCATCCGGTTGGCAGTCGGATTAATTTGTCCAGGTTATTCATAGCTGCACCCAAAATATCGCCGACCACGCGAACTTCCACTTTATCCGACCCGACAACTTTTCCAACCGGATCTACAGGCAGTCTCACCACCAAATCAAGATTCGATGACTGGCGAAGGTCAATGAAAACGGGGTAACTGTAGTACTGCCTTACGCCTTCTGGTTTGACAGTCAATGTTTTCTCCAACTGATCGGCAGCCAGAGCACACTGGACAGTCACCTTCAGATCCAAATCACCGATTTGCTGAGGAATGATGTTAAATGCCGCGGTTATGCCGTCATTTGGTTTGGCTGCAACAATCTTTCGTAGAATGTGGGTTGAATTATCAGGATTGCGGATTTCGAGTTTAACTTTCACATCTTGCTCCTGAGACATGTAGTTGAAAATCAGGATTTCGGCGGTTAGGTTTTCATACCGGACTATACTGAATGGAAGATTGAGCACAGCAAAAAATGGTTGGAAAACCTTAAGCTGCACAAAAATATTGAGTTAACGGTGGCCAAAAAGAAATATTTAGTTGAACTTGTGAATATAAAGTACGTATTTACTCGTACTTACTCTAGTCGGAACCGAAGTTAATCCCAATCCAGTGGCGTTGTTTATACTGAAAGCCGTTACTTTCCATGTGGTTATCGAATCAGGGACTTTGGACTGTATTAATGCAAATCCGTCCGAGCTAAAAATATTGTTCTTATTACAGGCTTAGTGACTCAAAATATGCCGTGTTCGACCTGCTGACCTTTTCGTGTTTCGGTTAGAAAACAACGGCCTACAATTACTGTAGTTTGCAAACTTACTTCGACACCGCGGTTTCAAAAAGAAAGCTCTGCCGAAAGTTGTTACGGTTTTGGGTAGGACTTTGTAATTTGTCGGTAGGATTTTTATCTCTGGGATGTGTCGTCCGATCAAAAGATTCCGCCGACGCTGACGGTTGTTGGTTATGCCGATGCCTACCGCTTATTCTGTTGGCCCTTTGCATGTCATCATAATCACCAGCAATTAGAGTGTCATCCGCATAATCCCCGATGGCCTCACTGAACATCGGAGCGCCACTGAGAATACGGGCCTGCCGATAATGGGACGGATTAGAGGCAGAGCTGAAATACATGGGCATTTCGTCCGAAGAAGGCAGCTCGTAATTGGTCAACACAAACTGTTCGGTATACGCTTTCTACGAAAAAAAGTATGGAATATTAGTACAGTTTGTATAGCACACGATAGTCCACGTCGAAGGGAAGGAAATTTATTTGTACCTTAAAATAGTCTTTCACAGAGTACAGATCGGACAAAGGGATTGCTGATACTTTTCTGTCAGTCGCAGCGTTGATCTACATTGGCGCAAGAATACAGTAGATCAGAATATATGGGCAAATCATGGCTTATTAAACCTCATTTTATGAGCACAGAGCGGCTGACACTCAAAGCAGAAAAGATAGCAAAATTAAATTCTTACATGTTAAAATATTTTTTAAAAGCTTTCGTGCAAGTGTGTTAACTTTTTTACTGTCATTGAGCGATTACTAACTGACCGGTGAGGTACAAAAGCTTTACGCAAACCGATCGACCGTACTAATTTAATGCAGTTTATATGTCCAGTTTAAAAATTTTTTCTGCTCTCCAGATGCAAGACGCAATGCAAGTTATATGTGCAATCCAGATTTGCAAGCATACCTCCCCATAGGAAAGGTCGTTTCCGGTTTTCAGCAAAAGCAGACTTTCATCCATGGCCAAAAAGGCAACAAACGATGAAGGAGATGTTTTAGCTTTCAAAACAACTTTTTGACCGGGATGTACATGCTCCAACCCGTTCGTAGCGTCCACAGACACAACCACCTGGACAAGCTCTGTTAATGATTTTGCAAGATACATAACGCTCGATTATTATACGCCTGTACTTACATCATTTTTGGCCGGAGATCGCGTGAGGGTTAAAGGAAGAATATTGCCGACGATTTCATCATCGCTTCTGATATAATAAACCGTGAGACGTACATCAAAGCCCATCGCTTCGAGAAATTGCACAGATATTGTGACGTAAGAACCAGCTGCCGATGTCGAATTACTCCACAGGAAGCTATCGTTCGAGTTGGATTGAACCTGAAAAAAATATAAAATTGGTAATTAGCATAAAGCTTAGAACAAAAATTTTCATAAAGCAAAGGATCGATCTATCTAAACTTCGTTTTATGAACTGCTTATATGCAGAATCACAATTTGCTCTGCGTGAAAAAAACGTTTGATTATAAGTAATTCCAACAATACAAAGTACATGATTGTATTCAATGGAAAAACAGTTAAAAGGGCAAAAGGTCATGACTGGCTATACCGTACAATGAAATGGATGGTTTCGTCTGTTCTGGTTGTCGTGTTAATTCCAAAAGATGTCATATCTCCCATATGCAAATCCCCTGATAACGGCTCGATCTCCAAGAAGCTGCTGCTCGGGGATTCTTTTCCCTTGACGGTGTATCTCTTTTGATCGTCCAGGTACTTTACGTTTAACTCAATTCGGCGGGCGTACCTTGTTGTGGGGATACTGACGTCAACGATGCCGTTAGCAGGAATGCCAAGTTGCAGGATCTCTCCCGACTGCTACCGATAATAATTAGAGTTTCGTGAAACTGAGAGCTAGCTTTAGTAATTAAATACCGGTCGGCGCTCCGGGTACTCCAGTGTAAAATAGTCCTCATCGTTTTCGTCCAAGTTGTAGTCGTTAAATCTCATACTCTTAACTACAACTCGGTTTCCCCAACTAGCGCGTTTGTCATAAAACGAGTAGTCGATAGTTATCTTTTTTCTCGTTAGTGGAAGTGGACGTCCGTCTAGATCGCTAACACGAGCACGAAACCGGTAAGGTAGACCGGGCGTAAACTTATCGGCGTTGCCCAGCAGCTCCACTTTGTACGCTATGTTGCTGACGGAAACGTAGCCGATGGTAATCTTTGATTGTCCGGTTAGCGCTTCCGTAAAATTTACTTTGATCTCTAGTTTGTCGTCAGCACTGTAATCTACATCGCGGCTAACCGCAGATCTAATTGGCAGGCTAACAGATGATCGCCCATTGAAGTCCTGAATATTACGGACATTCGAACATTATTTTACGAAACCCACCTTATAATTTAAAATGTGTTGCACCGATTTGCAAAACGCATCGAGATTGATCAAAAACGTTTTTATGAGTATTTGCATACCGCAGTTATTGTGTTTCCATTATTCTCTTGGTCTTCGTTATTGCGAACCATTTTCCAAGTGGCTTTCAGTGTGCCTTTTACAGGCTCACCAAATGTGTAGCTGCAACAGAATGCTTTATTAATAAAGATGATTTTAATTTAAAAATGCACTTTAGAAGTTTTAATTCGATCTTACTTTGCCTCCACAAGGAACCTCAGTTCAGAGTCAATAGGCGTCACATATCGTGGAAGTGACAAGATCTTTATATCAAATCTTGGCAGAACTATACAGATACGCATCGATCACGATCATCAACCGGACAGTAAGCAATGGGTCAAAATTCGTGACGACATTATGCAGTAAATAAGTTCAGCCGTACCGTACTCCTCAACGAAAAACTGTTTTCTTCCGACGAGATTCTGCGAACCATAACTGCGCGCTTCGATCGTCCAGGCGCCCAGTATTGGCTCCGACGACAGCAAGTGATCTCCGGCAAAATATCCTGCCCCGCAAAAAGCGTGCATTACTGCTCCAGATATTGCGCATAAACCATTGCTATATAGAAACATTACTCTGTAATTAAAGGTCATTACCGTCATGTCCAGTCACATTGGCGTACAGCTTGACAATATTGTTCTGCGGGTCCTGAAGAAAGCGAACATTTCCAAAACACTGCACGTTAACGACACTGACGTGCGGCTCACTGCCGTTAGCAATTCAGACCAACGCTGGACTTCTTGTACTTGTGTAACGTTAAGCAATTCTGTATCTGTTGATCAAAGCGGTGAAATAAAACGAACAAACACAGGTAGTGCCGGCGCTCATTAACTTCAAAATGCGATTGGGCAGTTTTTACACATCGGAATTGTAAAAGGTACTTTCACAGCACCAGAGCTGTCTGCAGTGAATACACTTACGCACCAATATTCGCACGTTGAGCGGAATTCGATTTGGCAGAAGTTTCTGATCCACGGTGACGATACGGAAACGGACCGTGTCTTTTGCTTTGTACAAGGGCTGGTCAGTTTGTACGAAAGCGTAGTGTTTGTCGATTTTGTCAGGCTGTTCACGAACCGAAATTACCCGCTGTTCGTAAATCTGACTATAAGCGTGAACGGGATCCGATCCATGGATCAACAGCACCAGCCTATCTCCTGTTTTTGGAAATTTGGATAAGTCCGGAATCTGAAGACGTAATTGATACATGGGTCATATCGTTAGGATGATTGTTATAGATCGCTGGAAAATTTAATATGGCTCGTAATGAAAACTTAATTCATTGTAGCTTTTACAATTAACTGTTAATTCTCTTATTCGACGTAAAAATTTGTTTTAATTAACTAAAAATACCTGCGCTAGTGTATATGTAATTGCTAAAATGCGTAGACTAAAGTAAGGAGAGCTGCTGGATGGCGCAGCTGCAATAAATAAGTAATCTGAATATTATACGATCTAACATATTCAGTCGGTGCTGTCTTGGATCGTTCACCTCTATTTCCAGTTTGCTTAGTTCGTCGGATTTGAGTACAAGAGACTGGGTCCAAGTGAACTTATCGATTTGGGGAGTTTTGTCCCATCCAATAAGGGGCCTATTGTCTGGGTTGTCTGGTAAAAGAGATACATCCATTTTGACGTCCCCGGTTGTACTCCGACAAAGGATAGAAAGGGGAAATGTTGAGTTGGACTGCAAGCTCTGTGGTCCAATAATGATGTATTTGTAACTAGTGGAGGCATGCCCGTAGCCGGTACGGAATGCGAGCAATGTTAACAGAATCACCAACTGCGTCATCTTTCTTGCTGGTCCAAACGGGAGTTTCGTCGTGATAGCGAAGCCAGAAAATTATGCAAATAAACGGATAACACTGACCGTTCCACCTTGGTTGTCCTACCGGTAAAATTGGTTGGCGAATAATTTACACCAAATCTTAGAACCTTAAGGTCATTGAGTACATAGTTAAAATTAAATATTCAATTACGAGTCACGCGAAAACATTCCTTCAAAACGTTCAGCCGCACCAAACGCTGCTGAAAATGTCCACAAAAATTGCGACAAGCCGTTTATAAGGAAGTGTAAAGGGAAGTTGCTGTGACATGTACAATACGTTATGTCCGGTCCCGACACATTCGAAAACGGCAGTAGTAGAAACGGCAGTAGTTTTACGGCACTAGCCCGTGTACGATAGTACGTAATATTATTGTGCTGTACAGTAAAAAAAGAGCATTGGGGGAGCCACTGAGCAGAACATATAAAACACTATGAGTAATATTATGCCAATGTTTCCGAATACCGGCATTCCACTAGATCATGATTCCGGACCGCCGATCAATCCGCGTATTATACAAAAGCAATTTTGAATACGTCATTTGTATTTGTAATGCATAGAAAGTACTATTATGTTTGTGACGTCGTTTGTGTCCTTCAACTCTAATACTGAGGTTGCATCGATTACATAGACATACAATGTTTTTGAAAAAAAAGTAGAAATCGGGCTGTCAATCTGCGGTTCAAAATTAAATCAATAAACCGCGGGAAAAAATGAGCAGAACCACTGCGCATCATATCGTTAGCGCTGAATTCAGTTAGATAAGCGCTTGTTTGCGCTGTATATGTTAAACCAAAGCATCCGCTTTAATTTGTCATATAATACACTGTACGTAGGTCTGCCAACCACAGCTTGCTGAAAGCGCAGGTCAAACGACAGTTCAACCTGGCCTTAATAATTGTCTTCGTCGACTGGAAGTTTTGTGCAACGATGTCCACTTGGTCTACTTTCATGGTGTAAGCCAAAGCACACGATTGGTAATTAACTTTTTCTGCCCAATGGTGCTTTTGTTTTAATGATGCTTGACCAACTTCATGAGGTGAGAGAACAAAAGGAACATAGTAAGCCAGGTGCGCCAGATTTACTTGGGATGTGAGAGGAGGCAGTGCTACATATCTCATTGATCAGCCCAATTGACCCGGATCAAGCCCAACTGACCCGTATAATATGAGAGCACCGTCTTGCGGTATGCTCGCCTGCGCTACGTCTTCTCCTCTGCTTCGTTGTCTTGCATGTACGGTATGTCGTTTTGTTGAGCAAGGGAATCATTGGGCGGTCTTCTCAACTTCCCAATGCTTTGTCTACAGCATAACATACTCGTATATCGCTGAAAATTTATCAGTTGCATACGAATAGCATACATACTGTTTGGTACCGTACAAGGCCTGATTCTCTCAAAGCTTTCGTTCACGCAGCAGGACAGTGTGACCCTTTGAATGTGCATGTCCCAAAAGGATGGTGATTCACACCCTCCCAGTTTTGGACTTCCGGTTGCACTGAGTGGGTTATAAGCAATCGCATCAAAAACTAGACCTCTTTTTAGTCACATAGTCAAAAGGTTTTGTTGAGAAGTTATATTTTTGAAATTTGTTTGTACTTAATTTAATTAGGTCACTTCTGGTGTGAGTAACCGTGCTATAGACGAAGTGATAAAAAACGATAGAATAGAAAAAAGGGCTAGGACTTCACTTCTGTCTTCCGCGCTTTTTTGCGGCCTTTTGTTGTTAACCAAACACTCAAAGTTGACTAATCATCAGAATAACTGGGTATCAATCAATCTGTGTGCCAGGAATATTTCATTTTTGTCTGCATATATTTGGCTAGGTGGACGGAATGAAAACAGTTCGGCGCTTCTGATAGGTATCGGACAGTAGCGGCTTACCGGCCCATTCGACTGAATTTCAAAATTCTTTCTCTATATTACTTCCTCTAACAATAAAACCCAGCTCCCTTCAGGCGGGGATAATAGGTATTTAAGCATTAGAGCAACTACAGCCACCATCCAGAGATGGGACTCCGAAACTAAGTAAAAAGAACACGGAAGCAGCTGTTGATAACCGTCCGGCGTCCGCCTTACCGCAAGGCGCAAGCAGAATACCTCGTACCAGGCACCAGCAACATGAGCAAGGAACTGCCGGTTACAGTTTCAGTGGGTACGTAAGGCCTTACTGCATACAGTGCGAAATAAATACTCAACACTGAGCCAAACAGTACAAAACAAAGTTGTGAAAACGTATTGTTATAACTCCTTGTACTGCAGTTGACAGTGAAGCATTAGTAATACAGCTACAGTATCTGCACAAGGTGAAAGCATGTAACATTTCTCTCATATGTCCCGATCAAGTTATTAACCGATATGTTTCTGTACATCTGCCCAGAAAAATTGCGTACGCTTTTTGAACCGTTGATTTCTGTGTGTGGAACCCTAAAATCGAAACTCGTATGAAAGAAATATTTGCAATTCTGCACTAGTGCACAGAATATACCAAGAGCACAGAACAAAACAGTTGCATCTGGGGATAGATGTTTAACGTGCGAGAAAGCGCAAACAGTGCTTCACAGGAATCCAAGTAGTTTACAGAAGTTTGCCATCCAGATAAATTTGTTGGAAATACATGATTCCTGTCTGTAGTAGATGGCTTTAGAGATTGAATGAGACTGTTTGCCTCTCCTTAGGATTGTAGTAGTCGTATACTACAATGCTTTGATCTTTGAGGTCTTTTACTTTGTAGACTCTGTACAGTGTCAGCTTGAAACACGTTGCTGACTGCTTCAGCTGCAATAAAAACAATATTAGGGCCATAGAGGCAACGTAACCCAGGACCCCGGTTATATAAGCTGCCTGGAAATGAAAGTGCAAATAATACCAAAGAAGTCTACCTTTCCAACGCACCTGATCAAAATACAAATTCAACTTGGTTTCCTTGTTTTCCAACTCAGTTTTTCGCAGAGAGTGACCAGTTTGAACTAGTCTGCGAACTTCATCTTCGTCGAACTGGTAGCCGGAAAGCGCATTTACTTCAATGACCGCCATGCTGCTTTGTCCCTCGCGAATATATCTGCAAGATGAGTCTATGAGAGCTGCTTACTGTAAACGCTGATTTGCGATGTGAAGAGTTATTCTGCAACGGTTTATTCGTACCTGCTGCAGATTCGCATTCGCATATCAGCTACAGAGGTCGTCGTGCTAACATTTAGGTCGAACGCGACATCCTCAGCCGGTTTAGCAATGTGGTACGTCCAGCTCAGATAAGCAATGGCAACACCTTTGCCCTGACCTTTTATATTAACGGTCTGCGGTTTGTTCGGTAGCTCGATACTTTGCAGAACAACTGATGTTTCAGGAGTGAGCGACATGCTCTGTGTATTTTGCTCGTATTCAGCGTCGATACGCATCGATGGCGGATTAATGAAAGCTTTTGCAAATTCAGCCAATGCGGTTAGTCCGACAACAGTATCCTGAAATACAAAATTTAATATGACTAAGATTATAATTTAATAGGATTATGATTATTTTTGCAACCGCATGGACATAATGCTACTTTGGTGGGAAACAAACAATATAACTGTTTACATAATTTCTAAAAATTCTGCAACGATGTGGTTGTGGAACTTCCGGAATTAGTAATATACCACGCAGCATATCTGAATGATAGTAGCATATGTACAACCTTGACGTATCTGATTAATTTTAGGAATTACAATTAAAGTCAGTTATTTAACTTGTTCTGTATTAAATTTTTCATAGAACACGAATGTTATACAGCCAGCATATGAAATTTTACTGCCGCAGTACTAGTGCAGTACTACATATGTATGCCTGCATATTACACTTATGCTTCGGTTTATTCGCTTTATGATTTTATGTGCGTCGATTTATCTGTAGACAGTCTACGTACCTGTGTCGAAACGAAACCACCTTCAGCATTTTGTTTGGATATCAACCAGGAGACAATAGGTAGGGAAGACGAGAACTTATTGTTAGCTAAGAAAGCTAACAATGCATATGCCGTTGCTTCAACGTCTTTAGCATTTGTTGGATAAGAATGCGTGTCATCTGCTCCCTGATCGGAGAGCGAAGCGACAGTAGTCCAGTATGCGACAGAAGTATTTTTGATCATTCGCTGTTCTAACAGGTCCAAAACAATGGCGCTTTTCGTGCTCTTGGCCATTCCCAGTGCGTATGCTGTGATAGCCAAAGTGTAAGAATCGTTGGCCAGAGTTGAGACACGGGACTCCAAAAATGCGACAGCATTTTCTTTTGCAGAAATAATCGAAGCATCACCAGAGTTTTCATGTTCCAAAAATGATAAGAGGGTGAACGCTGTCAATGCAACCCCCGCAGAAGCTCCACCCTGATGCTGTTTATCGATGACCTTTCCGTGTTCTACGAAGGACCCATCCTGATCTTGTTGCTTCATTAGGAAGCGCAATGCAGACTTAGCAACGGTGTCATCAATGCTCGTAACAAATTCCTTCGCTTCCGAAAACACTCGGGCAACATAGGCCGTGAGCCAAGTTGACCCAATTCGATCGGCATTTCCCCAAGCACTATACGAATCATCAGTGTGACGGTAGGTTAGTTCTCGCTGATATCCCAGTTGAATGTTGGATATCAGTTTTGATTTCTGGGGTTCGGCAAGCTGACTGAGCTGCTTCAAATATTTTGCAACAACGAGATTCGGTGTCGTTGTAGCCATGTTCTGTTCTCCACATCCAAATGGCAAACGAATCAGTTTGTCCAAATTATTCATGGCTGCACCCAAAATATCACCAACGAATCGAATTTCCACTCGGTCTGATCCTGCAACTTTCCCAATTGGGTCGGGAGGCAGTGTTACCGGAAGATCAAAATTTAGTGACTGGCGCAGATCAATAAAAACGGGTCGACTGTAATATTGCTTCACGCCTTCCGGTTTAACCGGCAACATTTTTTCCATCTGATCAGCGGCAAACGCAGATTGGACAGTCACTTCTAGAATTAAATCCCCAATTTGTTGTGGTACTATGGTGAAAGCAACGGTCACTCCTTCATTTCGTTTTGCAACGATGTTCTTATTTAAGTGCACAGTTGTCTTATCAGGATTGCGGATTTCCAACTGAACTCTGACATCCTGTTGCTGTGACATGTAGTTGAAGACAAGGACTTCGGCAGTTAGGTTTTCATACCGCACTATGCTGAAGGGCAAATTGAGCACAGCAAAAAAGGGTTGGAAAACCTTAAGCTGCAAAAGAAGTCGTTACTAACTATTATTAATTACTATTCTACTCTGTAATCTGTATACGAGGGCGTTATAAACAATCTTTTTCAGATTTCCTCTATTTAGAGTAAAGCAATCCAATATAAAAATACTACTAACGCTTATATCATTTGCGATTTGATTTGGTTGTTTTTACTGGAAGGTACCTAACGTGCTTACTTTTGCCGGAACCGAAGTCAGTCCCAACCCGCTAGAATTACTCAAACTGAACGCGGTTATTCTCCAAGTGGTTATCGAATCCGGAACTTTGGATTGTATTTCCGCAACGCCATCGGAACTAGAAGTAAAGCAGCTTGCTTTCATTTAAAGCGCATCTCCTAATCAATACAGAGCTTTGCTATGGCATTACAACGGTTTATAAGGCATCTGAAGGTTTTTAAAATTTGTGTTCGAAAAATCAAACAAAAGGTACCTTGAAACAGCTGTTTCAAAAAGAAAACTCGACCGAAAATCCTTTCGACTTTGTGCTGGAGATTGCAAGTTATCGGTGATCACTTCTTCGCTTTCATCTGCAATTACGTCCACGACAGTTGCTTTCCGTAGGCCCATAAAATTAGGTGCTCCAACTAAAAACACTCGGTCTTCTTCGTCTTCTTCATCATCGTCATAATGTATGGTCCTGAATTCTGTCCGAAGCAGCTTTTCATTTGTCAGTACGAACTGGCCGGTGTAAATTCTCTGAAATTTATCATAATTAAAATTAATTAATAATGCGAACCACAACCAGACTTGCGCGGTATTAACCTCGAAATAATCTTTGACGGAATACATGTCGGATGGGAGCGGATCCGGTTTCACTTTGATAGCCTCAGTCATCTGCAAAAAAATTGCGGGATGAGGAAATTTGAAATTAAACATTGTTAAGAATAAAAAGGGTATTGTTAGAGTGACTCGTTGTTATAAATATTAATGCTTCTTTGCTCTCTGTATTACAGTAAACACATTGCGGACGTACTTCCTCCAAAGAAAGGTCGTTCCCGCTTTTAAGTAACAGCATACTTTCATCCACAGCCAGAAAGGCAACAAATGAGGATGGGCTGGTTCTGGCTTTGAACAGCGCTTCTTCCCCGGGTTGAGCGTACGCCAGTCCGCTTTTTGCTTCGGCAGAAACAGTGACCTATGCAGTTCAGAAGAAATAAATGCCTGCTAAAATTCTGTTGGGAGATACTACCGGATTTTCCTTCTGATGCTTCACTAAGTGCGTATACCTCGGTTTTTGCCACTGGCAAATTGATTAAAAACCGGAAGACGTTCCCAACTATTTCCCCATCATTGCGAATATAGAAAACCGTTAATCGTCCGACGAGACCCACGGAATCCAGCAAGGGCACGGAAATCACGATGTACGCACCGGGTTCGGAAGTAGAATTAATCCACAGAAAACTGTCGTTTGAATTGGACTGAACCTGAAAGCGCACTTTTACTGTTACTTTTATTGCAGTTAAAACAGCTTAAGTAATGACTATAAAGGATCTGGAGGGATCTATAAAGGATCTATAAAGGTTGAATTTCCTGGTACAATAGATATGTATGCTTATGACGTATCTATATTTTCGCATATTTTCATGGTTGTCGTTATGTTATACGAAATAGTTAAGCTATTTAATTAAATATAATACTAGTAACTTTGCTTGGCTTAACTATTGATGAGTCGTAGAGGAGATATCATTGTATCGACCAAAGGAGAGAAAATATTTGGACCCGCTTCGCGAAGCGGCGCCAGTGCTGTTAAAGAAACCAAAATGGCGCAGCCTAAACTACAGATATTTCGTTGAATAGGTGTAAATGTATTTTAAGTAAATAAAGTATAATGAGTATAAATAATTTATTTGCAAGGAGGTTCTCACGGTAAGGCGTGCATTCAGGGCAATCGCGATTTCATCTTACCATGAAATGAATTGTCTCGTTTGTTCGGGTTGTCATGTTGATTCCAAATGTGGCCATTTCTCCGCGTCGAAGTTCTTCCGACAACGGTTTGATATCAAGAAAGCTGATGCTTGGAGATTCCCTTCCCAGGACCGCCCATCGCTCTTGATCATCCATGTATTCCACCCGAAGCTGTATCCGACGGGCATTTGTAGGCGTTGGGATATCCACATCGACAATACCACTGGCTGGAATATTAAGATAGAAAACGGTTTCCAGTGGCGACAAGTATTGATCTTCATCGCTTTCCAAGCTGATGTTCCGGCTTGCGCTGTCATTGACCACGATCATCTCTCCCGCACCCGGTAAGCGTTTATCATAGAGTAAGTACTGAAGTTTCATCTGCTTTGTGTTTGGAGGAGGCGGACGTCCGTCCTGATCGCTAATGCGGATGCGAAAGTGGAAAGGCTTTCCGGGGGTAAATATGGTATTGTAAGCGTTGTCGAGTAATGTGATCTTGTATTTTGGTACGCTGCTCCTAACGGAAACAGAGCCCACGGCAGCCTTCGTCTGTCCGGTTAGCGCTTCCGTGAAGTTCACTTTGATCTCCAGTTTATCGTTAGCACTGTAATCTCCATCCGGGCTGACTGCACCGCTGAGCGGCAGCGTTACGAGTGAACGCCCGTTGAAATCCTGTTTTCACAAACAGCGTTTCAGAACGTTGATATGAAGTCACCTTAACCAACTTAAAAAAATTCAAAAGTCACAAGGCCCCAACCTGCCATATACTAAGAAATAATATTATAAATGTGGTATTTTAGCGGGACCCTTTAAGAATGACGTAGAACAGCAGCAGTAGCAATAGTTCATACCATAATTGACGTGCTTTGGTTCACTGCATTGGTAGAATAAGATTTTGTCCACGTGACTTCCAGTTTACCTTTTACAGGCTCACCAAATGTGTAACTAAAAAACGTTAATGTTGTTGCATTTGTTGCTGCACTCTCAGTGCGCGCGCATAGCTTTCGCCTTACTTTGCTTCGACAAAAAAGTTGAGCGTAGCATCGCCAGAGGTCACAAAACTTGGAAGTGACAGAATTTTCACGTCGAATCGTGGCAGCACTGCAAACACATTCAGACTGCAGAAAACAAAAAAAATATAAATACCCACAGAAACACATGCTTTACCGTATTCATCAACAGAAAATTGTGTGGTCCCGACGAGAACCTGGGAATCCAAAGTGCGCGCTTGAATGGTCCACGAGCCCAACAATGGCTCGGCTGACAGCAGAAAATCTCCGGCAAAATAACCCGCCACTGAAACCGCACACCATCAACATGGCACTGCACCTTGCAGCATGGCTGCTTTATTTCGAAATTTTATGGAGAAAACCGGGGCGGTACCATTTGGATCGGTGGCGTTGCTGTATTGCTTGACGATGTTGTGTTGGGGATCCTGCACGAGTAATTATAAGTTAAAATCGAAAAATAAGATATACTGTTTGTATAAAAAAGCTCATACCAGACTTACCAGTATTCGTACGGTAAGCGGAAAGCGAAACGGCAAAAGCTGCCGATCCACAGTAACAATGCGGAAGAGCACTGTATCTTTGGCTTTGTACAACGGCTGATCAGTTTGAATAAAAGCAAATATTTTATTGGTTGTGGCAGGTTGTGCTCCAATTGATACTGGCCGAGCATAATTTAAACTGAAGTGCTCCTTGGAGTCTGTTCCATTAATGGACAATGCGAATCCTTTTTTGTTCGTCGCATATTGGGATAAATCAGGGACCTGAAAGAAAAATCGTAAGATTGCTTAGCACTAGCAGTTAAAAGTGTTTGTACTGTAACAGGGATGGAAATTTTGTTCTCGAATTGTTTTAATGCAAGGTTCAAGTTCTGGATTTATTCGCTGACATGTAACAAAAACATAAGTGTAATCTTCAAAAAGTTAGACTCACACTAATTTCCAGTTTGCTGAATTCGTTTGGTTTAATTGCAAAGGATTTGATCAAAGCAGGCTCGGTCGATTGGTGTGGTTCGTCGTCTTCTGACGCGCGCACATCCCATGGTCGGATAGTGACATCCACCTTAACATCAGACGAGGCATTCCGGCACAATATGGAAATAGGAAATGTGCTGTTGGAATATATAGTTTTAGGCCCGATAATAAAATAACTTAGATCTGCATTCGCCAACCCGGCGAATACTGGCAATATTGCGAGAAAATGTAGATGCATCATGTATTTTACCCGTTTGAAAAATTTTGTACTGTCAGCAAACACGGTACAAGTACCGGAACCTTATATACGCCCTAGCAAGTGAGGAAAAAAGGTGCGGTTCGACCGTCTGATTTAAAAATAAAATATGAGTAGCAGCAACATTTGCGCAGTCGTAATATTGCACGTTGCTTTCTCGTATATCTATATAGCGGCTTATGTAAAACTTCTGGCGGTAGAACCGGTAGAACCACCTAATTAGCCGGTAGAACCGGTAGCCGGTAGAACCACCTAATTAGCCGGTAGAACCACCTAATTAGCCGGTAGAACCACCTAATTAGCCGAAAAGCCCCAAGGCTGCTCTGGACTACAGGAAAATTATTTAAAAAATTCGAAAAGACAAAGTAGTCAATACTAGGCATAACCATACTTGATGTTTAATACAAATCGTGTATGCACAATCGTCTACTTTTCTACCTACAGCTTTAAGCTACAAATACTGTATATAATTTTGCACATGGTATGCAAGTTGTATGTAATCATATTATGGCTTAGGCAAAGGCACTTAATGCAGAGGCAGAAGCACATTGATTGAAATTCGTCGTATACGAATGCCGACAAAATAGACTTTTTCAGCTCCATAGGAGCATAAAAAACAATCGGCATTTCCAATTTTACTGCAATAACTATTTCTAAATAAGGCAATAAAGAATATAGTGGTAAGTGCACAAGTAGCTAAAGCGCTTACATTTAAAAACAAACAAACAGTGTGTCTTTCCTGCAGTGAACTTTATTGTCAGATTTTAAGGAATGACAAGGGTACCAAATACCAACAATGCATCAAACTGTTCGAGGATTCAGCACTTGACCTCTCCGTTTTAGTTAAGCGCGGAGTTGACCTCTCCGCCTTAAAAAAGGTTGTAGGATACTGTCCGTCTTTCTTTAGGGTTGTAGTAATCATATACTGCAACGCTCTGATCTTTGAGGTCCTTCACTTTATAAATCCTGTACATGGCTAGCTTAAAACACGTTGGCAATTGCTCCAGCTGGAAGAAAATAAAGTCATTACCAAACCTTATAAAACAACACCAGGCTGCAGAATTCCTAACAGGAGTAGCTCTTGCCATATGAACATTTTTACATTTGCTGTATACGCACCTGATCAAAGTATAGATTTAACTTTGTCTCCCTGTTTTCCATTTCAGTTTTCCGCAGAGTGGGAACAGTTTTGACCAGCCTGCGAATCTCATCTTCATCAAACTGGTAACCGGAAAGGGAATTTACCTCGATGACGGCCATGCTACTTTGGCCTTCGCGAATATATCTGCAAGAGAAGTAGGATAAGCGCTGTTGTTAGAGCGCGAAAAAATTCCACGAAATATTGTTAGTTTTACCTGCTGCAGATACCCATTCTCAAATCAGCTGTGGAAGTTGTCTTGGTAATGTTAAGATCAAACGCAACATCCTCAGCTGGTTTGGCGACATTGTATGTCCAGCTTAAGTACGCTATCGCGACACCTTTTCCTTGAGCCATTAAATTCATCTCTACTGGTTTGCTTTGCAGCTCCATCGTCTGCAGGACGACAGAAGTGTCCGGAGTAAGAGTTAGGCTTTGTTTATTTTGGCCATAGCCGAGTTCGATCTGCATCGATGGTGGATTAATAAAAGCTTTGGCAAATTTTGCAAGAGCGGACAGCCCGACAACAGTATCCTGCAATCACGAATTTATTGTGTTACTGCGTAAACAATCCAGTTAATCTAATACGTATAAATTAAATTCAAGTTGTGCTATTTCATTTCGACACATGTACTGTTAATCTTTACATATAGAAATTAGGGAAACTCACTTTTGAGGTCACGCAAGAACTCTGAATATTTTGGAGCCTGGTGATCGCGCATATGATCGTGTATACGTACAGTATTATCGCGAAGGCATTTTTTCTCAGGGAAAAATTAAAGTTTGAGCTCACATCTTCACATCAAATTAACATATGTATCACACATTTTACCGCTCGGACATAACCGCCGGCCTATGGATAGCGTTGAAAAGTGCTGAAGACCAGTTTTCCATAACATTTAGCAAATTTACCAAAGGTGCACGTGGTCACCGGCTAGTAGGCTACGCGTGTATGTCGCATTCTTCATTCTTGCTACATACCTAGTTACGAGTATCTGTCGATGTGGCTTTTAAAATTTCCATTGTTGTACTACCTTTACAAGATCTAATTAGCGTGAACGTTTGCCGCGTAATTACGAGTACTGCACCGGTACCTGTGTCGAAACAAATCCCCCTTCAGCATTTTGTTTGGAGATTAGCCACGAAACTATAGGAAGGCAGGATGAGAACTTGTTGTTAGCCAAGAATGCCAGTAGAGCATAGTCGGTAGCTTCGACATCTTTGGCATTGGTTGGATACGAGTGTTCAGCGTCAGCCCCCTGGTCGGAGAGTGAAGCAACAGTTGCCCAGTACGCGGCCGAAGTATTCTTAATCATTCTCTGCTCCAGCAAGTCCAGAGCAGTCGCGCTCTTTGCGCTCTGAGACTTCACCAGTGCGTAAGCCGTGATGGCCAAGGTGTACGAATCGTTTGCTATTGTGGAGAGCTCTGATTCCAGAAACACGACGGTTTTATCTTTTGAAGAAACCAGCTGACCCCAGAATTTATCGTGGGACTGTTGATACTGCAAGAGTGAGAGAAGAGTGAATGCTGTCAAAGCAACACCGGAGGATGCTCCTCCTTGGTGCTGCTTGTCGATGACCTTTCCGTTCTCCTCAAAAGAACCATCATCCTCTTTTTGGTGGCTTATTAGTTATTAGAAAGCGCACAGCAGATTCAATAACATTATCTTCGATAATCGGGACAAATTCCGTTGCTTCCAAAAATACTCGGGCAACGTAGGCGGTGAGCCATGTTGAGCCAATTGGATCAGAATTCCCCCAAGCACTATACGAATCATCGGTATGCCGGTAAGTCAATTCTCGTTGATATCCCAGTTGAATGTTGGATATCAGTTTTGATTTCTGGGGCTCGGCAAGTTGATTGAGTTGTTTCAAATATTTTGCTACTACAAGATTCGGTGTCGTTGTGGCCATGTTCTGTTCGCCGCATCCAAAAGGCAGTCGAATTAATTTATCCAGATTATTCATAGCTGCACCTAAGATATCTCCGATAACGCGAACCTCCACTTTGTCTGATCCGACAACTTTTCCAACCGGGTCGGAGGGCAATGTCAGCGGGATATTAAGATTCGATGACTGGCGGAGGTCAATAAAAACTGGTCGGCTATAATATTGCTTCACGCCTTCCGGTTTGACTGGAAGCGACTTTTCCAACTGATCTGCGGCAAACACAGATTGTACAGTCACCTTCAGAACCAAGCCTCCGATTTGTTTCGGAATTATGGCGAATGCAGCCGTCACTCCTTCATTGCGTTTAGCAACGATGTTCTTGTTCAGGTGCACCGTTGTGTTATCAGGATTGCGTACTTCTAACTGAACTCGGACATCTTGTTGTTGGGACATGTAGTTGAAGACAAGGACTTCCACAGTTAAGTTTTCGTACCGCACTATGCTGAAGGGCAAATTTAGGACAGCGAAAAAGGATTGGAAAACCTTAAGTTACAATAAAATTAATAGTCAGTAACTTAATGCATATCCTCAAACTGACGTGCACCACGAATACGCCTAGTGCCTACTTTAGCCGGAATGGACGTCAATCCCAGTCCACTGGTATTGCTGAGGCTGATGGCGGTTATTTTCCAGGTAGTTACCGAATCCGGAACTTTGGATTGTATTTCCGCAAAACCTTCGGGGCTACAAAGAAAAGTTCGGTTATGGGATAACTGCTCTTCCATTTCACTGCAGTGTCAAAACCCATAATTTGTTGATGCAGCACGTTTAACACTTACTTGGACATTGCTGTTTCGAAAAGGAAACTCTGTCTAAAGTCTTTTCGACTCTGGGTGGGCGATTGCAGGCTTTCGGCTGGTATTTCCGTGCTGGCGCTAGAGCCAGCAACTGAAGTCACCTCAACGGTCTCCGTTGTTGTTAATGATTCCGATTCCGGCGGAGAGGTGTCCTCACCTGCAGCAGCCGTTACGCTTTCTCCTTCGAAGCCCATCCACTCCCCCTCACTTGCAACCATAGTGGGTCCTCTTCTGATGACGGAAGGTGTTCACTGGTCATTATGAACTGTCCAGGATACATGTTCTGAAAGTGCAGCTTGCGGGGGTTAATAAGACGCACTGAAGCAAAAACTTCAAAGTTACCTCAAAGAAGTCTTTGACGGAGTACATGTCTGTTGGAGGCAATTTCGCTTTGCCAATAGCCGCAGTTACCTGCAAAAAATCGTGAAAAATTTGACATGAAATTTATTACTTTGCACTTGCGTAAACCGGTGCACTCATTGCATTCGTTTGATCGTTCTGTTGTAATTTAAATGGTAACATACTTCGTTCCATGAAAGGTCATTTTCTGTTTTCATCAACAGCAGACTTTAGTCCATAGCAAGAAAGGCTACAAATGATGATGGGCTGGTTTTGGCTTTGTACAGCGCTTCTTCACCGGGTTGAGCGTACGCTAATCCACTTTTTGCTTCCACAGAAACTGCGACCTATACCGCACAGTGCACACAATTAAACCTTAACAGTTTTTGTGTTTCTTTCCTTATTTTGCCACTAAGTATGATTTAACCAATAAAGTTCAACATTAAACCTGATGGTGAGAGCTGCATAAGTACAGTACTTCCACCAGCGTTCTATTACGTGATCTGAAAACACGTTTGTACCTCAGTTTTAGTCGCGCGTGTGTCAAGTGAAAACCAGTGAATCTTTCCAACAACTTCACCGTCATCACGAATATACTCGTAATAGACCGATAGAAGGCCGTCAGGACCCATTGCCTCCATCAAAGGCACGGAAATCACGATATATGAACCAGGTTCCGAGGTTGAATTACTCCACAGAAAACTGTCGTTCGACTTTGATTGGACCTAGACAAATTTTGTGCTGGGCTGGTTTTGGTTTCGATTGTCATGTGACTAAAATGTGACCCAAAGAAAAACTAACGGAAAAATGTGTACAAGAATACCAAAAACTGTACTATTTCGTCAGTTCTAGTTGTCAAGTTAATTCCGAACGCTGCCGTTTTCCCGCTTTGAAGTTCTGCGGAAAGTTGTTTGATGTCCAAAAAACTGCCGCTTGAGGATTCTCTTCCTTTAACCGTTACTTCCTTTTCCGCATCAGTGTATTTTATAGTAAGGCTGATTCTGCGGGCATTTTTTGTCGTTGGGATGCGCACATCGACGAGACCATTTGCTGGGACTTTAAGACCGAAAACTTGGTCAAACTGTGAACCATTGTTGACAACGATTTTTTCTCCAGAACTTCCACGTTTATCATAAAATGAATACTGGATACGGATTTCCTTTGTGCTTGGGGGAAGCGGTCGTCCATCCAAGTCGCTAATGCGGATGCGAAATTGATAATCTTGTCCAGGCAAAACTTGTCGGCGCTATCCAATAAATCCACTTTATACGCTTTATTGCTGACGGAAACGTAGCCAACGGCAATCTTTGATTGACCTGTTAATGCTTCTGTGAAGTTGACCTTGACTTCCAGCTTGGCATCCTCACCGTAGCTTTCATCGGAGCTAACGGCGGAATCAATCGGCAGAGTAACAATAGATCGTCCGTTAAAATCCTGTAGAATACATGGGACAACAATACAGAGATCGGCAAAGGTCAATCGTTTGCATGTCTGTGTAAGGCTGCCTCATCTGTTAAAACCGGTTTCAGCTACTTTTATAACAATGAATGTTCACATACCGCGATTGATGAGCTTTGGTTTACAGCATTTTCCGAATAAGTTTTCTTCCAGGTTGCTTCCACTTTGCCCTTTACAGGTTCACCGAATGTGTAACTAAAAACGTGAGTGAAAATAAATGCTCAGAAATTGCATATACCTCATGCCCAAGATGCCCGAGATTTTTTTCTTACTTTGCTTCAACGAAAAATGTCAAAGTAGAATCGGCAGGGGTCATAAAATTTGGCAGTGACACTATTTTCACATCAAACCTTGGCAAAACTGCAAGTACACACGCACAAAGTGTACGACAGACGATTCTGTTACAAAATTAACGCAAATATGCTGCACTTACCGTACTCATCAACGGAAAACTGCTTAGTCCCAAGAATTTCTTGTGAATCCGATGCGCGCACCTCGATGGTCCAGGCACCCAGAAGTGGGTCCGATGACAGCAAGAAATCACCAGCAAAATACTCCTTCACTAAAATTCCAAACCATCACGTTGCAAAATTCACCATGCGAAAGCGTGATCAACACTGGAAGTGATCGATGAATGTTGTTACCATTGGGGCATAACCTTTAATAAGTATCGTAGTACAAGTACAAACTTAGTACCAAAGCAGAACGTCATTATAACAGAAAAACCTCCTCTATGCTATCCTGATAGGGGAGCGTACCCATTACACAAATCGCGTTTCGCCGTTGTATTTGCATAGATATCCGCTGCTTAAAAAACTCTTTCGCTCGCTTACCATTGGGATCCGTCGCGTTAGTGTACTGTTTAACAACATTGTTTTGAGGATCCTGTGCGAAGAGTCAATCAGTAAATTGCAAATATCGAAATTTTCAGTTAACTGCAAAATTATCGTACCATTATCTGCACGGTGAGCGGAATGCCAATAGGCAAAACCTGTTGGTTCACAGTGACAATACGGAACCGCATACTATCTTTGGCTTTGTATAATGGCTGGTTAGTCTGGATAAAGGCCAACCGTTTGTTGGTTGTTTCAGTTTGCTCACGCACGTATACTGGCCAGTCGTAAGTTGTATAAAATCGGCCATTTAAACTAGTCCCGTTAATTGACAGTTGCAATTCGTTTCCAGTTCCGGGATATTTTGATAAATCAGGGATTTGGTAACAAAATCGATAACATTATCAACGCTTGTCATAGTGAGGGCAGATTCAAGTAATATGTTGTCGAGTCAACTTAGCACCTTTTCGTTCAGTGAGTTATACGCTAAGCGGATACAACTCACCGCAAAAAAATAAAGAAGTGCCAAATGGACTCGACAACACAATACTTATATGTGCATAATTTTTCGTAAACCGACAAACTCACACTTAATTCCAATTTGCTCAGCGTATCTGATTTGATTTCGAAGGATTTTAGCGATGCGAATTTATCCGGTCCCACATCCTGCCACATATCCAAACCGGATGGTCGCAGATTGATATCCACATTGATGTCCGATCTGGCACTGCGGCACATTATGGAAACAGGAAACGTGCTATTGGAATGTAAGGTTTTGGGCCCGATAATAAGGTAATTCATCCATCCCTCATCGACACTCACGGTGTAGCCGACGGAGATGGCCAATACCAGCAAAAATTTCAAAAGCATCGTGAATTACTCTAGCTTTAAAAATTGTGTAATCATCAAAAAATTAATGGTACTGGACTCTCATATCAGCAAGATTATAACAGAAAATAAGGAATGGCTTGGAAATGTGATTACTAGGTTAATTATGAGCAGCAGCCGCGAAATCTCATCCGCCATTAATAACGCATAATTTTTGCTTTGATTGAATTATATAAACTTGCTAAATTGTGCAAAGCCACCAAAACCGTCTGATCAGCCAAGAAGCCGGAGGGTGGTATGAAAAGTGCCCCAAAATTAAGGAAAGACCGGCCGGTTCTTAAGCTTTAACTGAAATAGTTGCTGAACTACGTACATGTGTCTGCATATCTGTCTGCAACCTCAAAGAATATTAATATGTATACGTGGTATTCGTGCCACAGGAAAACGGTAAGGAATACAGCAACCAGGATAATCGAATGAGTAACTGAGAATTTGCGAATGCGCACTGGTTTACAAACCTGTCAGATCATGGTTCCACAAGTGGCAGTGCCATGTTCCGGGAAAGATCTTAAAATACGTCAGCATCATTTGCCTGCCCTTTAGCGTAAGACAATAGTTTTTCTTGGTCGTGCCCGTTTTTTATATTCGCGATTGGCTGCATGTTACCTATCCGTATAATTTCTATCGACATATTATTACAATTTCTGTTTATCTAATTTCTTGTGGTCATTTTGTTTTGTGAGAACTGTCAACATATTATTTGTAGATTCCATATATACAGTAATTACTACGGAGGTCCAACTGGAACTGCCTGGCTTCATACACTCTCCCATTTTTGAAAGATGACAATAATAATGTTTGTTTGACCGTCAAACAGATCTACGGTAGATACTGAAATTACCAGTATTCGATGGTATACGAGCTCGTTACACTGAAGAGGATTTATGTTAGATTGTACTGTGTAATTTTGTATGCAGCTTGCATGGTTCACGTTGCTAATCCAGCATGCGAGAGCTCTATGAATAAGGTATTTCAAATCGACAATTAAAACAAATTATTGTCTGTCACATACAGATAAACAAACATGCGCATAACTGCAATACTCCTTAAAATATGCTAGCAACTAAATCATTGGTAGTTGGGTTGCGGGATAATAAATTGTTGCCTGCACATCCTGTGTGTGTGAGCTACGGTAGATGTACATACTGGAGTAGCCTAGCAGAATGAAATCTATGTGAATAAAAGCGTCCATACAGTACTTACTTCCACAGTTTCAGTACTTACGAAGGTGAATTACTGTTAAATTATTGTTCATCAGACGCGTATGTGGATAAATTTACTAATATAGCAATACAAGTACGTATTTTTATATGCTTGTATAATTGTATTATTTATTTTGGCAATTACTCCAAATTTGTGATAATTGTACAAAAGATCTATTACGAAATCATTAACAACAACCAGGCTGTATACAAGGAACGGTTATCAATGAAATTATGAAAAACAAACAAAAGAATGATGCATTCCTGATTTGTCAATGTATGTGATAATGGGTTAACATGGAAAAAGGTACCATTACTGCAGCTGCACAATTTATTGTGAAACGAAGAGCAGGAATAAATATGTACATTTCCAGGGAAAACAATTTATTTTTCCATAACTCAGTAGTAAGACTTGGAGGGAAGAGGCAGTCGTAGCGTTACTTCAAAGAGAATCTTGAAACTTAAAACCAACAGCAAGGCCACAACACATCCCAGAACAATGACCTGAATGAAGGCCAACGAGGAGCTCTCCTTGGAGGAATCTCCGCGTTGTCCGCCTGAAGAACCGGTGGACGGGGAAGAGGAGTTGTTGGTATTTGTCACTACCAGTTGTGTACTGGACGACACCAATTTGCGGATCATTACGGGGAGGTTTTCGGGTTTCCGGTGTTGCGCTAATCCCGCCGCGAGTGGTGTCAATTCGCAGCATAACAATGCCAGGAATAAAGGAGACAAAGCGGTTGTTGTATGCATCGATTAGAATAGTCGTATAAAAACACAACGCTAACTGACAAATTCCATCATGATTTTTTATGGTTAAAGTGAGAGCAAAATTATAGGAGTGCCAAGAAATTTCACGGCTGCAGCATTGGCAAATAAAATCCCATTAAATGCCGGAATGCACAGCCGAACACAACCGGATCGCGGCAGCACGCCGGAATGATATCAAACCGTCACACGATACAGTATGAGGAAGAAAAGATCACAGATCAGCGTCAGCTCTAATTACCACTTTATTAACCACACATCTTTCGCGCATATGTTAACCAGCACGCATGTATACAGTGAGATTTTAAAAATAACCGTCTACAACGACGCGATGAGCACACCGACTAAGAACATCCCGCAAAGTGGTAATGTGTGAGAAGTGAGCCCAATGAGAGATGCTGAAAGCATGATCACTACTCTAGAGTAGTACGGTACAGGGGTTGGCGCTGTGACATTCAACATTTACCGGTACTGATGCGCCAGCCGGGGATTTTTATAGGAATGCGGTAATAAAAAATTACAGCTTATGACCGCGCCGCGATCATCCAGCATCTGCCAGGCTAAGTTTTCCCAGTCGCGGTTGACTGCGCGGTATAAGTGGAGAATGACCGCGGACGTCGATGCCCAGAAGAGTGTGTATTTTAGGAAAGCTGGTATTGTATTTGGCCCGTCGAGCTCAAGAGACGCTGGCAATGTCATTGAAGGTTTGACGAGCAAATGATACGATGTATAAAGGAAATGATGTGCAGTGCTAAAAATGGAGACGACATTATTGTGCTGTACTATGCATGAGCGATTGTCTCTTTTATTCTTCGTGGCAGATAAGCGTTCTTTTGATGCTTGACTGGATAGTCATGCCATGAAAAAGGTAGCTGTTGTTTTGACAGTCGGAAGTGTGGACGGACGTCCGCTGCGTATTAGGCGAATGCAGGGCGCTATTTGTTGCTACTGACACATTTGGCATTTACTTATTGTAAACGGTGCTTCTACAATTCTACTCTAAGTGCAAAAAGCGGGAAGGGCTGATTGCAAACCGTCAATATATTACATGGGTAGGGTTATGTTGACCTTTGTTATTAAAATTACCATATTATGGCTGTGCACTGGGTTACTGTGTGATCGATATCATTTGCATAAAACAATGTCAGGTTGCGGCCTTGTGATAACTTAATCAACGGAGTATCGATCGTTGATAATTGTGCCAAGCCCGTTAAAAATTAATGTGCGATCTGAATTTATCAGATCAATAACAGTCATCAGGCAAACCCTTATAATGTTATGCATTTCGTCTTGTCACGTTCCATAAACATTATTTCCTGCAGATGATCATAATTCGTAGTTTATAATCACCTCCCACACCTGCAGTTTTTAAACGGGTGAATCATGAATGGGTAATTGGGTATCGACTCGCGCAGGCTAATTCAAATGTCACCTGCTGATTGGTCTTTGACAAACCGAAACTGCACCTATACGAGACGTTACCCATACTTCTGTGAGTGCTGTCGATGACTGTTTGACTGGAACACTGCCGAACGCTTTATGCCCGATCCACCAGCAATCGCCTTACTACAGTATAACCTTGCATGTGGGCTGCAGCCAGGTTGTAAGGGAACTGGTTGCGCTGTCTGTATAGGAATTTTGCATCCTGAAGTTCGTCTGGCACTACATCGTCAGGGAACAATGCTAGCGGGTTAGGCCTTTGGATTTCAATTTAGAACGCATTGACGTAGACAGGCAGGTGTAAGCAAGGTCACTGCATTCGGGCATCGTGTGCACACAGGGCGTATACTTCTCCACTTTAGTCATCGCCAAACCGAAGGAAACAATGAAACGAGTTTTAGAAACAGACATCTACATCTACTAATGATACAGACATCTATCTACATAGCCACCTGGATGGGGCAGAAAGAATTCGCTCGTCGGAAAGAACAAGAAGAGCGGAAAAATGGAAAAGCACTATTCGCGCATTCTCTCCCATAAAGCAAAGTGCATCTGAATCGTTATAAATTCAGCATTTTCCGTAATCGAGTGTGTATATACCGTATTGCATGCACACAATACTTTGCGAATTTGTGCAGTTTCCGGCTTTGCGCGTCTTGGGTACAAATAAAATATGCACTTTATGCGGAACACATAATGTGTTACATTATGTACATGTCGAAATTCTGCACATGTTAAGTATTTTCGTACTCACTGTACTTGAAATTCTTCCTAGTTTTGCTAAAATTTCTTAAAAATACACATAATTATATATTATGTCAGTATAATCAGAAGTGGGATGGACAGACATTAAAAAACAAAAATTATTTAAATGAGAAAACAGTTAAAGCGAAATCTGAACCTTTAAATCTGGTACATGTACATATTACTCAGTTTTCTGTTAGCTTTGCCTCATGGCCCTGTTTACGGCACTGCAGATTTTTTGCCGTCAAACGAGACATAACTCAACTTCCGTAAATTAATTTTCTCCATTGGCTCTGTGACTCTTTGGTTTTGTTTGTCTTTATCGTTAACCAAAAAAAGTGCGAAATCGTACTTGCTTTTGAATTCTGGAATACGTACATTTTGCAGACAACATGGTTCTGCGACGATCATTTTATTGGATTCGCTAGAATGCCGATGTCACTGTCGACCTTAGTTTTTTTGTCTGTACATGAACGTTGAGTTCGGTTTACGTAAGAAAGACCCAAAACTCCAGCCAGCTCGTATGTGAGATTAGTCAGTTTTAATTTTGTTGCGCATCGGGTGCAGTCGGCGCAGGATACATGAGATCGAGTTTGGCAATGTCCACTGGACTAAGTCCGCGTCGCTGCCCGATGGGTGTGTCGTGATGGGGCTCCTTAGGTCGGATGGTCCATTCGCTGCGGTCAATGGCAAAGTCGTACTTGCCGTAATGCATCAGCGAATCATAGTCGTATGGCTGATCAAAATGTGTTATCTCGTCGTCGGTGTAAAACGCAAAGTTGTGTTGTTGATCTACAAAATGTCGGCTCTTATCAGCACACTGCAAATAATTAATAATTGTGTTCGTACTTTTGTGGATATTGTCCCAGTTGATTTCCACATGATCGTTACGATCGGTGCGAGATTGTTCGTGCCATAAACCTGCGGTCAAAACAATCAGCTAAAAACGTGGTGGAAAGCATTTCGTTTGAGAATCCAAGATACCCCCAACAATTGTCTGACCTTGCGCATTCATTTGGTGTACTCTACGATAAGTTAAGCCTAAAGGTCGTTGCTTAATGCTTACCGATAGCGTGGAGGAACTCATGTTCGATGATACCGTGGTGCATGCAGTCTGTCAGAAAAATCAAGTTACTACCAGAATTCTTTGCGAATAGCGGTAAATGCATGGAAAGCTATGACGTACGGGGATCGCCTTGATTGACCGCCACTTCCAGATTGAGCGTCTGCTGACCGCCGATAACACCGACGTAGCTCCAGCATCTGTTTATAAAAAACGCTATCAGTACGCAAAGGTACGTATAACAACCGATTGTATATAAATAACGTGATTAGTTGATTAGTAATGGCCTTACCCTGTGTTGGGTCCACCGCGAGCTACAAATACGGAGTTCTCATGTTGATCCTCCTTGTGAACCAGGAACAGTCCAGCAGTTATGTTGTTGATTTCCTCGATGGCGCGCTCAATTTGCGCGACCTCTGACTCGGCTGCAAAAGAACAAACATACGAGTATCAAAGCTGAAACAACAGCAGTGACAAAAATATTCTTTGTTCAACGAACAATGTAATCTATCATTGTGTTGGACAAACTACACGACTTTTTATCATTTGAAATTTCGAATGATGTACTTACAAACACTACGTATTACCGATAATTTTGAGAGGCTTGATACCTCATTCATTGTGTTTATTTCAATATGGTAAAAATTTTAATTAAATTCATTCCCAATACATTTCCAAAACATTCCCAAAATAAAAAGAAGGTGTCAAATTTTCTCCTTCTGTACAAAATTTTCTGCTACCGTAGGACAGACTGGGCTTGCGAGATACTGAGTAATAACTTAAGGTCGAGCTGGGAACGGGACTTACTGAAGCGCTCGGAGATAACGTAAGGGACCACGCCATTGGCCCATCGGCCTAACATGTCCAATACCGCGTTTCGAGGATAGTCGCGGATGGAATATCCCTTCTATAAGTAGCACTTGCTTGTTACTGTCGAATTCGACAATATTAAATTTTATGCATCAAACCAATAGCGGCAGAGCGACAAGTATATCGTTTATAAGATTTACTAACATACCGATCAAATTATATTTTAATCGTATGAGTATACGGACTTAGTGTAAAAATATTCCTTTACGTAGGCTTTGAGAATCTTACCTGGGAGCCACTTGTGACTCGCTTCTCGATGGGAAATCCGGCAATATCACCCTCGAACATCTCCGGAGCAGCGACAATATCGTATTCGCCGGAGCCGGAATCCAGTCCCGCAACCGGAGCAGCCGTGGCATGGTGGAAGTACAAGCCTACGCCGGCCATGACGGCCAAAAGTACCGCACTACTCCGATGCATTTTGATACCGCAATGAATTCGTTGAACTATTTCGTGAAGGTCCAGAAAATAGCCGAATTATGGCGGTGTACAAACTGGATGGTCATCCGGTGGAGAAACTGGCACAATGGTCTTCTTTATGTAGGGCAGTGTGCGTGTTCCCTAACTTATCGGCTGCGCACCACGGAAAAATAATGCACGTGATACGTACATAATCTAGACTGGAGATTGGTTTGGTGCAGCGATAGAACGGAAATCGGTTTGCATGATAAATGATAGAGCACTTTTCATAGTATAACCACAATTGTATAGCGGTTATCGGGGAGTTTTATGATGCTTTATGTGCCAGTCAAAGGTCCCACATGGTATCTCAGATTTTGAGTTAATATGATAACTAACGTATCGGTTTTACTAAATATATGGTAATGCCGCACAAGATCTCTTATAGCTTTTAAAATCTCTTATAGCATGATTGAAAACATCAGCAACGACAAGGGGTTCCAAAGTGCAATTAACTCTGGTGTATGTTTTGCACAATTAAGTATATGTACCTATGCGCATGCCATATCGTACGGCTTACTTATTACATAATTTATAAACATAAGTGGCTACCGGTATTCACTGTCAAGTCGAAAGCTTCCCTACCGAGTAGCTGATATTTCCAGGACCTGCTGTACAGTTTGAACTCCTGCTTCATGAAAATCCTAGGTTGCTGGTGTATTGTACAGATCCGAGATTAGGAGGTCAACGAATAACTGCAAAATCAAGGTTGCATTTCCACATCATATGTACTTCTATACATAAGATCAGTATTTTCAAGGTCACCAGGGTCTTCAGATGTTGTTGCGCGGCCTTGTATCTGTAGTGGGGGATACTTGGTTCGTTTTGAGTTTTTTTAGCCGGCAACTAATCAGAATAGCGCGATTGCAACTATTTTATTTTGTGTTTTATTCTTATGGGTTCTGAATTTATGTATTCCGTCGTTAGTCACTGGATTATCACCAACTGGAAAGTGTAGTCAAATGGAGCTTGTTACTCATACCTCGGTTTCAGCTCACTTCCTGTTGCGTAAGGCTCGGGGCACTTTACAGGTAACGCTATACAATATAATTATCGTCTGAAGGGTCATCCTAAACGTTGCGCAACTCGTACACCAAAATTTGCGATTTTGGCTCATCCGAGCAGTGCTATTTTGTAAATTAAATTAGCAAAAACTGGATTTCCTGAATTAATTGTGTCCGGATTGCGATATTTTCGCAAGTCCGCTCGGAAGTGATTCCATTAGTTTGGTCGCTTCTGAAAATACGTTTTTGGGAGGAAAGATAGCTCTATATATACCGACTATACGGACGTTGAAAAATCGGTCAACCTATACAAGTTCTTATGCTGTTTCTAATGAAGCGAGCATAATTTGAATAATTTCATCTCATATGCCGCATACAAGGTGGTGATGTGTATCTTGATCTGCACGCTTAGCGACTAAGGTCTCTGTCGTAACAGTAGGTGGGTGTATTCAGGAAGAAATCTGATGCCCTTCCGGTGAAGGTAGTTAGTGTAATGATTATGAAACGCCAGGAATTAGCCCTTTTATGTTCAAATCACTGTAATTTCGTTTCCACGTGCGTGATCCTTGTAGCCCATTCTGGATTTCTCCTTGCATTGGCACGCATAGGTAAGCAGTCCTGGTGTACATACATACGAGGCGTTCGAAGTTCGCAACCGATGGAACCTTTGTCTGATGGGTCGCGGCATATATTTTTAAATACTTCCGACCTTCAGTAATTTGTTCAGTAATTTGTACGATAGGCGTACTGCGAAATCTTATTTGATAACTGGGACATGTTATTTCTGCTGCCCAATTAAACTGCGTTCCTAATTCTATAATTACTACTAACTTATTTAACATTCAGTATTAATTATTATTTTGATAAAATTAGGTAGGTACAAGAACCGACATAACGCAATCATGTTATTCACAGATTCAACAAAAACGAACGCACTGCATTGATTATTCTAGTGCTGATTTACAGACGAGCCAAAGCAAAAGATTATCCTAGTTCGTAGAATGCAAGATCATTCTGTATTGAGCAGATTATCATTGATTATTGCGATGTAACATTGATTGGTGATCACGTATAGCTCGGTCCGGTTTTGCTTCTTGGGATAATTGCTCATACTACACGCACACAATACCAGCGCATATATGCATGCAAAGCATACGCGCCGTTTTCTCTGTTGCATCTTTCCAGGAGAAATTAATTTAAAAATAGCCTATCGATTACATATACATGCGGAATATACACTGGACGAACACATCTCGGCCTTCCCGTATATACTGTACATTTCATTACACACACTGTACATATACCACTTTATAGCGGCAAATAGTCTGAGGTGGGATCGTGTATATAGATATAACGTATGTGTGTATGTGTACCGGGTATCCTGGTTCCCGCCGTGGAGATCGACGCGCGATCTGTGGCCCCAACTGATCCGCTCTATAATTGGCTACTTGTGATGCTTATAAATAGATCCAGCGCGAGAGCGCGCGCGCGCGAGCCACCGTTTTGTACGACGAGGAAATCTGCAGATGTCGCGTGTAGCTCGTATAAAACCAACATGCTGGTACATATGTATGTATACGCAATGATGTACTGCTGTAGCCGGCCTTTCAACCTCAATTTCAAGCGGGTTGGGGTGTAAATATGTTCTAAAAATAGCCCGCCTTTTCTTCTCTCGATACCCCCGTCGCTTTGGTGTGGCATCAAGCCGTAGCGCCGCGCACTGCTGCTGCTGCACACACACCACACAAGTGTATAGTCAGCAATTTCGACGCAGCTACACGGGGCTCAGTTATGTGCGTATGTTACATCCAAACATCTACTCGCGCGCGCTATAAATAAAACTTTGTAAATTATCCATCCAAACCGTACGTGTAACGGCGTGTGATCAAGGTTTGGGAGGGATTTCTTCGTCCCGTTCCTGAGTGTCCAGCGGGTACTTCCGGTTGCGGACAAATGGCCGGCTGGAGGAGCGGGTCGTCAACGAGGATTATTTAGCCAGGCGAACACCATCATCGTTTTTCGAAGGGAAACATTAATAATTCTTTCAGTCACCTGAGACGCTTATCGGTAAGTTACCTGTACTGTGCCGTACATGGATTTGTACGCAGAGGTTCAAAATATTCGGCAACTTGTTTTCCGGAAGCCGAAGTCAAATACTTTCGACCGTCTCGCTGTTATGCCCCTTATTTTTCTCGTCTTTATATTGCTGTACATGTACACATAAGATAACCTGTCTCTTTTTGGTTTTTTTGCAATAATTAAATGATCTAAGCTATATTATGCTGTCATGCACTATCGTTAGCGGAAATTGGTTTGGAGATGGTATTATATTTATGCGTACTTTGTCAGCTAGCCCTTTATACGGCATATATAATTCTGTGCGGTTCTCGTGCAAACTCTGTACCAAGCTGTCGTTAAAAATAAATGAGATTACTTCTAAAAATAGCCGGCAAACTTTCATCTTGTTTGAAAGTAAGCTGACATCTGGTCGGAGTGATAGAGGCGTATGTGTATGTGCCGTTGTGTATCTCCCGAAATTTTGGCGCTTTGTGAAGTCAACATGTAAAGGGACAAACAATCATGCACCCGGCAGAACTGCCAACCAGTTTAGTATAGAAGAATACTGGATATTATTAAACCTGCTATTAGTTAGTTAATGGCTTGACTTAAAATTTAATAGTTTTTGTGTTCGTATTTTTCCGGGTAAACGACAGTGCTGTTAGGTGTACTTAAATTTCTCTGATCTGTGTAGTAAACAGCGCCGACAAACTGGGAAAAGGAATGCGTCACAAGGATATCATGCAGTGTGATAAAATTTTTTTGCATACAATTCCTAATTTTTTTCTGCTTTTACCATTTCTTGTGTGGTAAGATTTCGGGTTACGTCATGAATAATTTGTTATCATTTTGCATAAGCAGTAGATAAGCAGTTTATCATCAATCCGCTAAAAATTAATGCCTGCTCGGAGCCGGTTCGATCTCGTTTTATGTGTCAAGACTTGGCGGAAGATTTCAATCATCCAATAAAATCCTCTTACGATTAGTTCATCCTGGGGAAAGCATATGCCAATGTAGTCGTTTAAAATGTGATTTTAAGACTCGTGGGGTGTTGAGTACTTCTAACGCCTTTGCTTTTCTTAGGAACTTGATAAACTATTTCGGAGTTTTGACAATCTAATCCATCCCAGGTTTTAGCTGTTCCTGTATTCTTCTAATGAAAAATCCCAGGAATCCGGCATTTTAGTACAATAATCGGCAATTTTTCATCCTTAATCTACATGACGCACAGCTGTCTATTTCCAGTGTATAATTTGGTGCTTTTGATTATTAGGGGGACTTACCGATTGCGCCGGTTGCAATTAACGTAAATCTCTCGTTTTGCACATCGAGTAATGATGTGCTTGTATTCTGCGCTGCGCCACTTTGACTAGTAGGACGCACGCAAGGGCTATTTTTAAAATACTAATAAATTTCAGGCTGGAAGTTCTATTTATACATGCGTACACATTCCTCACTGCAATTCATATCCGTAACGACGAGGGACACGAGTACATCATCAGCAGAGTAAAGACATTTATTTACAACCGGCCGGCTGTTTGATCATTCTTTTGGTTTCTCTTTGACTAAGCGATTTTCAAAAAATTTGTACAGCATTTCTACAGTTTTGTTAATTAGAAAATCATTTTCCGTAAAATATGTGTAAAATATATTTTAGGCATTGCTTTAATCGTTTTGCTTCTATTTTTACTAAGTAATCCAAAACGAATATAACCACTGATCTTTTTTTAATGGACTACGCGTACGGTCTGCAGGTACCTTGCAGCATCACCTGATTTGAATACATTTTTTAAGTTATAATATGGCGCACAACATTGCGACGCATAAAAAGCTGGACAAAGAGTTCCATCATCTACAGCTACAGCTTTGGTATTATCATAAAGACAGGCATATAAAACTGATCGAGAACGAAGACAAAAGCGACCCGGCATTAGAATCACGTTGCCGGACGCCTTCAGTTGCCTGATTAGGATGAGCGCAGCGAGAGGTGACCTTTGGGGGATAAATCCCTGACGATCCCCGCCTCGAACAAAAGCGCCGACTCTCTCCACAGACAACTGAAATAGCCGCCTTTTGTCCTCAATTAAGTCAGTACCAGGAATATTGGTGGCCTTGAGGACGTTGTTGAAGGATTGGATGTTTTCATGTGCTACTTCATTCTATATTTGAGTTTCATGTAAAACTGGCGTGATAACTGCAGGCAACAGCGCCATCTGCCGTAGTGCGTGCATCGCCGCGATCGAGGTAATTGTTGTTCTTTCCAAACACATGTGTACGGTGTAGACAAACACTTTTTATTATAGTAACATTTTCTTAGCCATAAGAGTATTCTTAAGACAAAAACAAAAAGCGTATTTTTTGAATACAGAGTTAGCAAACAGATTTTTAGTGTATCTGTACCATATCACGAGGTTGTGTACAGATGTCGACGCTATCAAAGTAAGCAAATCCTTAATTAATTTCAACAACCACAATTTTTTTCCGTGCATTTAATTTGCGAACTAAATTTAGCAGAACCACAATTTTTCTAATTAAAATCAAATCAAAATCACAATAAAAGTTGCTCACATTAAATGTTTTTCTTTCCTTGCACAACATTCAAGTATACATTTTAAACTTAAAAAGAATGCCACACTGTATTTCGTGAGTGTGCATCTACATATTTACAAAATGTTTTTTCGTTGACTTCGGTTTTCGTATTTTGGTTTTTTTGCTGGTTTCTGTCAAGTAATCGACTTGGTTGGATTTAGCTTACATACGGTATATATCTGTACAGAGTATAATTATGCTCCTCCAGTTATAGCTTACTTTTTTGTATTTACGTAAATTGATAAAATATATAATTATCTGGATCTTTTCAAATACGTTGCCTCTTCCAAGAAGATAATATTTAGCGACGAAATGAATGAATGAATTCGGATATGGAACACAAACACATATGTAGCGGCAGGATCGTGTACTCTGTACATCTCTGCGTAATCAACATGTTTACGTAACGGTGACAACACAGGAGTAAGTCGCATTCTGTGTGCGCGCGTAACCAGTAAATAAAACATTTAAATACGGTATATTTTCGTGGAAAGCATATTGTTGATCAACAAGCCAACTTTCACGTGTGCGCACTACCGAGCCCTATAAAATGTAAAGTTCTGTATGAGCCATTTCCACCCAGCACAACAATAACGTTAAAACAGCGGCAATTGGAAGTAGTATTGGGTCACAAGTGGCATTGTCACCTGCCATGTGTAAAGTATCGCCTGGTTCGTTTTTTCTAATAGGCGTTAAACTTGAACCGACGCGCGCACACTGGATATGCGGGTGGAACACCTGATGATGTTATTTTGTTATCCAAAATATGTATGTGCACGCGATGAGCACGATTGGGTTTTATTGTACGGCACGGATAGTATAAGGCGGATTAGATTGTTTAATGGAAGTAAACAAGCGCTCTAGCGGCACAGCGTTCCCACGACCAACAGGATGGTGTGAAACCGAGTTGGCTAATGTGAAAGTCTAATGCAACCGCGTGTGTGTGTACGTTCTGTACGTACTGTACTATACAGCGCAGAAAAGGGTGTAACGTTTTGCTGATTGAAAAAGAGGCTGAAGTTGGCACGAGTTTTTTTACTCTTGTCATAATCCGCAAAGCGAGAAAACGATACACTTAAATATCCAATTTTAAACGAGTCAGCGTTCATGGGAATTTTTTTGGTTTTGCTTCGAAAAGGCTATCCATAGCTTCAGGATGTGGTCAGGACAATTCATACCCAAGTCAGTCACTGGATTTATTAATCTTGTTCGATTGATACCTCGTTATGAACCTTTTCAACACTACTATAGCTACGTTGCAGTTTTGTGCCGTTTTTAAAAATTTAGTAATTTGTGTTCCGACGAGCTGTTTTTATCCACGAACGGTATACTTCATGTGCATGGTATGTTGTATGGAATATACGTAATAACTGCATTTTTATTGCAGGATTTCGGTCACGATGGAAGTTAACTCGCACTTTCGTCAGGCATCACCTAAAGGTTAGAATCCGTGGTTTTTTAAATTTCTGTTCTGTATTTTTTTGCAATTTAATAGTGTATTTTCTGTTATTTGCATATTCTAGAGTTTTCGTTTTTATTAGTTTGGAATTCTTAAAGTGAACGCAATTACATATCAAGATATTTTACGTTTACACAATCACAGCAATATAAAAATACTTTTTGTGAATTATCATAACAAAAAAGTACAGTGCTGATATTTATTTTGTGTTTCACATTTATAAGTCGTTACTTTAATTACATTTTTTAATTTTTTTACTGCACTGGACAATGGTATTAGAACAATGACATAATGACGTTTCCAGTCTTTCTTAACATATTACTAAAATTATACTTATTACTACTGCAGAGGGCGGCAAGCCGTCAGCCGGTGGTGAGTGTGAGACGGAGGATATGATTGTGCCGGTGAACGGGGAGCACGGAGCACAGGCAAACAATCCCGAATTCCATCAGCAGTTATATTTCCTTAAGCAACAACAGCAGATTCAGCAGCATCTCCTCTATCAGCAGTTCCAGCAGCAGCAACAGCAGCTGGTAGCACAGCACAATAAACAGCTGGAGGAGCACATGCGCGTCTACTTCCACCACCGTCAACGGCTGGATGAGCAGGAGCGCGCTGAACGGGAAAAGCAGGAAGCCGATCGACTGGAAGCGTTGCGCCATAAGGAAAAACACGAACAGAGTAAGTAGAACATGCACGTAAAATTATATTAGTATAATTATTACTATATATGATGTTATACTTTATTTTAAATTACCTCGTGTCTTCCAAATAGCGTTGCAAAGCAAAAATTTGCCGGGTAAATCCCATTCGGGTTGCATACTGCGTACTATATTTCGTTCTTATACTGGTACACATAAATTTCTTATCCAGAATATTTGAGAGTAATATTTGCTTTTAAATTTGGAAAATCCGTTCCCTTTAAGTTGTTTTTCTTTTTTTGCGGTTTTGATATCACAGGCCTACAAAAAAAGAAAAGGAAAACAGTTTTTCTACAACTGTCCGGGTGTTAACTGATCAAGGTCACGGTGTGCCCAAACGGTCATGAAAAGAAAAAGTTGGCAGACTTCTCGGTTGGGTTGATGCACTTGTGCGGCGCATCATCAATAGACATGTCTGCCGCGCGCGCACGGCGGACACATAACACCGGTGCACATGCGTCATAACTCGCGCTATTGAAGCATGAGCGGTTGTTGAGGAATAGAAAAAAACACACATCCCAAGCCGCCACTCAGAACGCTCTAAACATGTACCATCCATTTTCCCAGGGTCGATAATTCTGGACACAATGTCGCGTGTTGACAGATGGAAATCAAGGAGAGCTTTCTGGCACGTTCGGACATTTATATTTTCAACAGTGTGGCAAAAGATTTTTTTTCTAAAAATCAGGGAGCGCCTCGCGTCGCGTATGCACGACAAAAATGCCGGTCATCCGTTGGGCGCGTGGCCCGGCATTCTCTTGCCTTCGTAGAGATTAAAATAGTTATTAAACACCAGCACCACGCAGTCTGCGTGTAATTTTCATTAGCGCTGACCTTTCCCAAGATTTGACTTGACGTATGTGAAACGTTTTCGCATTGCATTTAGATTTATAGCAGCTTTATCTGATAATCATCCTCACAAAAATATTTTGTTTTATTTTTTGATATGTAAAAGCAGATAAGAAAAAAATCGCTGCTGCTAACGTGTAGATTCTGAAAGCTGGTAAGCTGTGTATTAGTGTGTAATCTTGTTTCCCAATTTTTCAAACGGCCACCGCAGCATTAATTTACATACGAAATCATATTCAATCACCTTATCCTCTTCTGCAAAAATCATCTTAGCAAGCGGGTATCAAAAATCTTTAATGCGATAAGTAGCTGAAAAGGTGGAGGAGAGCAGAGAAAATCTGCGTCCCACTAAGCGAGGTAGCATGTGCGCCGTGCCAACCCGGCAAATATACGATAGATATATCTATCGTAAATCAATATAAACCGGCATTTGCCAAATTGAACACAACGGGCACCATGCAGCCGTGGGGGTGCACACACAGCGCGGTAGTGCAGTCGAGCGGAAGTGGTCGGAAGCCGGGGTTTGCGTTGATTAGATTGTCAGGGTCGCAGTTGCACAGGGAATGACGCAGGCAGCCACAGCAGCGCACCGGTTAGGACAATATGCCAATAAACATGCTCAAGTGTTGCTGCACGGCGATCAAGCGTCAACACTATGTGTGCGGTATGGCGCTGAGTGCGTCCACTGCGGTTTCTTCCTGTGGCCTCGTTACCGGCACGTGATGCCGCACTAACACTGCCTCATCGGGCAATAACGATAATATTTTTATTAAGTCGATCAGAGAGGGCTCTTTCAATGTGACCCTGCCGACAAATAAACAAACCTTTGTAAAAAATTCTTTGTATCAATTTAAAATGGACACCTTCATGGTTTCATAGCTCATATTAATTTTCAGATTTATGCCTAAATTTTTTTAAATTGTAATAGCTATTAGTAAATAGTAACGACGTCAACCATTACACAATTTTTTGAAATGTTGCTTTGGTGTTTTTTTATGTGAATAATTGACGTTTGTGTTGTTTTGTCCTCAACAGGCGCTGTGGCATCCTCAGAAGTCAAGCAACGCCTCCACGAATTTGTCCTACAGAAGAAACAGCGCGAATCCATGACAAACGGCGGCTACCAGAATGCCACGTCCCCCATTAATAATACGGCCAGCCGCGACTGGTAAACACGCTGCGCGAAATTATTTTTAATACTATTGCCCACGCAGACAGGTTGTAATATACAGGCCAGTCTCCTGCAGGTCAACCCTGGACAATGCCGCCGCGGCCCAGCCGCAACCGCCGCCGCAGATGCCCCCGGCAATGGTGCATCGTGTGGTCCGGGAGGATTTCCCACTGCGAAAAACAGGTATTAATTAATAAATATTACTATTTTTAGAATAGTTAATTCAGTATAAACTTGATACTTTTAACTAAGTGTTGAAATATTGGGATTTTTAGTTTCTCGCCCAATAAATAATTTTTAATTTATATTTTCGTGTTTTTTTCCCAAGAAAATTAGGTTTTCCGAACTTGTGCGGGGCCTTTTGAAATACGTATAATTATTATCCAAGCATGTTAACATCAAAATTTAATATGAATAATTGTTCCGCTAAAAATCGTTTACGCAAACCGTACTAAACTAGTGTCTTTACAATTTCTGCAATTTGCTTTAGGGTAATGACTTATTGTTATCGCACAAATCAAAATACGTATTTATAACGGGCAATTTATGGCTGTCTTGCCGGATGATTACCCATTTTTCGATCCAAATGTAAACTCGCTTTACGTACTGACCCAATTTACGCCAGTAATCGGTAAACTCTGTCTAACCTAGGTGTAATTTTCATGGAAGAGCTACATACATAATTGAGCCTGTTTGTCCACGAGGCACGGTGATCAATATATATCACTCTAACCGCATGACGTGCACGGTGACCTTTGGACTAATGACGTCAGCGGCGTATGCTGATATAGCTGCATGATGTGGTATCTGTGGTGCTATGTGTGCTGTGTGATTGTTGCAGCCTCTGAACCCAACCTGAAAATCCGCTCCGCCTTGAAGCAGCGGGTCTTAGAGCGCCGTGTTAGTCCGCTAATGAAGCCCATCGATAAACTCCTAACCTCCAGTGCTCATGCCGCGGCGGCAGCAGCGGCCGCGGCCTCCGCATCCCGTAGGAACTCCCATAATCCAAGTATGCGCAAACTAACCTTTTCCCTGTTATGTCTTCTATAATTGTACCTTAGCATATACAGTGATTAATTACGAGGATGAGCATGACGATATAATTAAACAACCATATGCACGTGCATTTGTGGTGTATGATAAAACTCCTTCGCATGAAATTACATAATTACAAGTATGTAGTACTGTATCAAAATAAACACATTTAGTAAAAAATGATTGTCATGTTAAACATAAGCAATAAACCGGTTTTCGAAATAAAGTATGTACAATTCATCATAAACTGAGTTTTAGGTTACGTATTTCTTATAAATATTTCACTCATTTTTATTACGCTAATCTATCCCTTTTTCATTTTTGAATGCCGGTTGAACACTAAAAAATTTGATTTTCTTAAATTTAAGTATTGTTTATTTTCGAATTGAGAGCTATTTCAAAAAATAAATTTACGAAAGATTAAAATATTCCTACTGTTAAGAAAGACTTTATTTATACCGCAACATCCGCCATGTGCGCTTATGATTGAGGAAGTCCAAAATTATCTTCATGTGCATAACCGTGTATCGTTTGGTTGCGTAAACTGTAGTCTTTGTTTATTTACAGTAATTTATGTAGTTGAGAAGAATTCGTAATTCTCTAATCTGTCCAATCTGTGATGATGGCGCTGCAGCTTGCTCATCCGTTTTCCCTGCATATGTTTGGCGCGAACGCCAGCGCAAACGGTGGTAGCAGAGGATGACTGCGGTATTTATAGCCACACTGCAGTGTAATTTCTTGCAGATGGTTCATCGAGTAACTCGGATTCCGGGCCTGATTCACCGGGTGCTCCTGCCAGCTCCACTGGTGTCCCCTCGCATCATGGCAGTTTATCATCACTAACCGGCGGCGAGGTATACACACACTGCCCAGTTATTTTCTAATTAGATTTTTAAAATATTAGTAAATTATTCGCACAACATTAATAAAATTCTTATAATCTCGAGTTTACAAAAAAAACACTCATCATACTGTGTACTTGTACATGTAATCGTGGCATTAAAGGGTAAGTATTATTTTTAATAAAAATATTTTGAATTTTAAAAGAAAACGAAAATTTTTTGAAGGTGTCCAATGGCAGTAACGCAGAACCATCGTTCATGCTTCTGCAATAATCGGACCCAAAAAACAGAAGCATGCATAAAATTGAAGTCTTACTATTTACTTTGCACTAAGATATTTAAACAGGTTTTTGTCTGATAAGGCCGCTTTAGCTACCAATAAATACAAAAAAATCGTCAAAAAGAATTTTTGCGGGTGAACTAGTTGAACGATTCAAGCAAATGTTGTCAGAATTCTCTTCCGTCTGGCTTTCCTCTGATTCATGTTGTTCTGGATGTTTCCTCTTAATCACGATTTTGGCATGCGAAAGATCGCGAGAACAGTCTGCAGTCGGCGGAAGCGCATCTCTCTGACAGAAAAATAATCCCCGGGCATATGTGCTGTCGCCGCGCCCGAACGCGCGACCGGCCGGCCGTTGTGAAAAACGGTACATTTTGTTGACAAATTTATTATAAGAACCTTAATGGAGCTAGCACGGATCAGTGCCAAGTTTTGTCTTCCCGGCCTGTTCTGTGCATGTACATTCTCGTGATGCGGGAAATGTATGCGGCCGATAGGCTCAACGTGAGTAATCAGGTTTCCTCTGCGTCACGTCTCCGCTGGCGGACTGCCATGGTCCAGTGTTGTGTAGCTCGCAAAATGACGGACAAAGTCAAGTGCATCCCTTTCCTGCGCTCTGCCGATTGTATAGCGACCGTTTAAGCGAGCCAACACAATATATGTTGATTGTAAATTTTGCCCTGATCATTGTTGCAAAAGTGCTTATTTAGTACGCCTCTGTACGACAGCATTTGCTTTCACGAATAATATCAGTTGGATAATAACAGTAAAGCCGAAAATAATTCGAAAATTTCCCGTTAACATTATATTGCATTTTTGTAATTGCATTACAAGCAAAATTAAATTATCTGACTGTAGAGAAATTAAATTACCGTTCGCTGTAAGGAGACTCTATAGTAAACGCAAGTAACAATGTTTATTGGATTATTTCCTGCATGGATGAACATGCAGTGCAGCGCGCGCGCCTCAATTTTCAACAATACGTTCTGGTGTATTTTTAGCTGCCCGCCCAGCCAGTGGCGCCGTTCCGTTTCCCCCTGTCAAGCATTCAGGATCTCAGTTTTTTCCCGGGCAGTACGCCCTCATTAGCCAGTATTACACAAGGACGTCCCATGCTGAACGGCACCGCATCCGACCTACTGAACGGTGAAGTCCAGCTGCGGTTGGCGGCCGCTGCCGCGGCAGCCGCCCGGCTCTCCCTGCCCGGCTATGGCGTCTTCAATCTGCCCGGCATGCTGCCGCCCAGTAAGTAAAAAAGCACCGCGCGCGCAGAGCGCGCACGTCGTAATAGCCCCCCAGTGGGCAGCATGTTCGTATAGCGAATTATTTGTGGCATCTTTAGCTTCCTGTTGACATTTAACGCCTTAGTTGCATAGGCGTAGTCGCCTACATTTTGTGGTCAATTAGGAGAATTGACAGTGCTGCCGGAATCAGTGTACTGTATATTGACTGATTTCTGGTTGCCGAACTTTTCACTCTCGGCTTTTTCCAGTTGCTGTCGGTTACTTAACTTGCTCTTTCTGTAACTGGACTACATTACGCATACGCTTACGCAGCTGTTCTACTTAACTCGAATTCTGTTTGAATTTTATTCCTTGGGAGCCATAGTTTACAGTTTTTTAATGTGCGGCATTTCTTTTTCTGACGCTCTTATTATTTTTTAATATTATAATTTACCGTATATTAAATTTTTATTTTACGGTTTAATATTTCATAAAGCTCTTTATTTTATTTAATGCTGTACGTAATCCAAATGCATAATATGTTTCTTATCTTTAATTTTATATAGTGCAATTGATTTCAAATTTATTTGGTTGTAGTCTTGGACAACGAAGCCCTCCAGACGACGACATCGAACAGCAACAGTCCTTCGGATATCCACCACCAGATGAAGATCTTGGAACAGCAGGCCGCCCACGCATTCATTCCCGGCGTGTACGTTCCGCGTGGCCACGGTGCCCTGACCGACGCCCAGGTGGCCCAGGCCCGTCTCAACCGCACTACGCCCCGTCCCCTCAGCCGCACCCACTCCGCCCCGCTGCCCCTCGGCCACCCGCTGTTGCAGGCCCAGAGCCTTCTCCTCCAGCAGCCCGAATACAAACAGCTGCTGGAACAGCACCAACATCAGCTCCTCAAACAGCACATCCGACAGACGGTGCTCAGTCGGGCCAGCAGTAAGAACCAGGTGGCGGAGATGGCCGAAGAGCCGGACGAGAGTGCTGGGGAGGCCATGGATCAGGGTCTGCTCAATGGGGATACCAAAGGTCCAGGCTCGTCGACGATACAACCGGTACAACAACAGCAGCAGCAACAGGAGGTGGTGGATTTGTCGTGCAAGGATGAAGATCGGTTGGGCGATCTGAAGCGGGATTCCAAAGGGGAGCTGATTCGGGAGCATCACAGTCGGCGGCATAGTCCGCGGCCGCTGGGCAGGGCCTTCTCCAGTCCCTTGGTACTGAATGCCATTACGAGGCAGGCTACGCCTCCACGACCAGGTTGCGCCACAGGTATGTTGAATGCTGCAGCAAATACGTTCTCAGAATGTAAAACCATGACATCCGTGACCTTTTATAATCTGATTTTTTGCAGTTTATACTATTTAACTGAGCAACCGTACCAAAAAAATGTTGATACGTAAATTGTTTCAACGTGTACTTATATAAATATCTGAAACACAAAAAATCATTGCCTTTGAAATAGTTGAGAACCACAATTAATATGAACTTATTTTTTGTAGGCGTTGTGTATGATTCGGTCATGCTGAAACATCAGTGTATCTGTGGCGATAATTCCTTGCATCCCGAGCACAGCGGCCGCCTGCAGAGTATCTTTGCCCGCCTCCAGGAAACCGGCCTCTTAAACCGCTGCGAGCGGTTACGCTCCCGCAAAGCCACGCTGGAGGAAATCCAGACCTGCCATTCAGAAGCCTACACTATGCTCTTCGGATCGAATCCCACGAATCGCTCACGACTGGACCCCAATAAACTCTGTACGTGAACACCCCAGAAATCAGTGTTTGGCACTAGAAACGCAGAAAGGATGTACTCTGTTTTATATAGGTGAGTTGCCGCTCAAAAGCTTTGTCTTGCTGCCATGTGGCGGCGTCGGCGTGGATTCGGACACAACTTGGAATGAGCTGCACACAGCCAGTGCCGCTCGCATGGCCGTCGGGTGTGTCATTGAGCTGGTATTTCGCATTGCCACCGGTGAAATTAAGGTAACTGCCGCAGAAAAGCCTTGCCTTTTTTCGCGATCGACATGTTTTTTCGGTGTAGTAAAATTAAATTTTCATTGAAAAAGTTCCGAATTGATAAAGTTGTCAGCAAAAATGGATGAATATTATCATCGATATTAGTATTTATGTTAGTATTACTGTCAGTATTATGAATAAATGAATTTTCTGCGATCCATCGGGTTTCTGCCGCAATCGACATGAAACAGCATTACTATAAGTATGTGTTCGCTTTTTATTGTTTACTCTAATATCGAAGCAGTGTAATTTTCCTTGTAAACTGCCATCACGAACAAAAAATTAGCGAAAATATCGACAAATAATTTGGATTAATAGCTACTATAGTGAAAAATAAAATGTTTTACTTGCAGAACGGATTTGCCATTGTCCGGCCTCCAGGTCACCATGCCGAGCATCAACTAGCCATGTAAGAAAATTCTTATCTATAAAAAATTACGCTAACTAATTCTCGTTATTTGTGCAGGGGTTTCTGCTTCTTCAACTCCATCGCCATCGCCACCAAACTTGCCCGCCACCGTCTGCACATTCAGCGGATCCTCATCGTGGACTTTGACGTGCACCACGGCAACGGCACCCAGCAGATGTTCTACAGCGATCCCAACGTCCTGTACATGTCCATCCACCGGCACGACAAGGGTAACTTCTTTCCCGGCACCGGCGGACCAGAGGAAGTCGGCACCGATGCCGGCACCGGCTTCAACGTCAACGTGGCCTTCTCGGGCGGTCTCGTGCCGGGTATGACGGATGTCGAGTATCTGGCCGCCTTCCGCACCGTCATCATGCCCATTGCCGAGGAATTCTCGCCGGATCTGGTCATGGTCTCCGCCGGGTTTGATGCCGCTGCGGGACATCCCCCGCCCTTGGGCGGTTACCAAGTTTCCCCGGCCTGTAAGCGTATACCAAAATTATCTGCATTTTAGGGAAGAACTAGTTACTCGGCGGCATCTGTAACCGGCATTTTTGTTGTAGGTTTCGGCCAAATAACGCGGTTACTGGGAACGTTAGCGGGCGGCAAAGTGGCCATGGTGTTGGAAGGCGGTTATGATTTGGCGGCCATTTGTGATTCAGCCGAGGAATGTGTCAAGGCGTTGTTAGGGGATCCGGCACCACCCATCCGGGAGGAAGTCCTCGTTAGCAAGCCCAATGTCAATTGTGTGGAAAGCCTCGAGGAAGTCATACGAATCCAAAGTAAGTCAAACGATTAAATTACAATTAATTTTTTAACATATCTAATACTTTTAGTGCTTTATTTTACTATATACGAGTATTAGCAATTTTACCTAATACAGAATACTCGTATCAGTCGTAGGTGAGATTTTGCTTACCTTGTGTTTACTGGATTTTTAATCCTCAAAAAAGCAGAGCATATTTTTTCTGTCATGCATAATTTCTACCGTATCATGCATGGGATGATTAATAACCGATACGGATTAATATGAGTTTATTGCGAGTTGGAACTGTAAATTTTTTTGCAGTGCGATTTTGGCCCTGTCTGAAGCGGACTGCCGGCACAGTCGGTTGGTCTTTATTGGAAGCGCAGCAGCGTGAACGCGCCATGCAGTCTCAGCCGGAACCGCCCACGGGCGCCATGGCTTCACTATCTGTGGCCGCTATTGTGGGAAGTACCACTCGCGAGGAGGAACCCATGGATCAGGACAAGTGACCGATCAATTTTCACCAAAACAGAGATATCTAATCAAATTTTCTAACCAGATGCGACTATACAAAGATTGAAATGGAATTTTTTTGATTTTTATTTCTTTTGAAAGAAAGCCCTGTTTTATTGAATTGTCTTTATATCCGCAAAACACGTCAAAGACAAGTCCATTACACTTTTTTACAGTGTTTTTACAGTATTATTTCACGTTCTCTTGTTTTTTCTCTCTTTATCTTCGAAAAGAGATTGTATGTTTTTTTTGCCAATTTTCTTAGCGTTTATGATACTAGCCGTCATCGCATGCTGCTCTTTCTGGCTCCGCTTTCTTCTGATTTTTCTTGCTTATTCAACGAGAATTTGCAATTTAGCACAAAATGATTTTTTTGGTTTACTGCATGTTTTATTGTTTTGAGTTTCTTTCAAAACGTACTGTGTACGTACCTAGTCAAAAACTGCCTGTAAATAAATCAGCACTGAATTCACTGTTTTTACGACAAACGTTGGGTGAGATACGGTGGCATTACAAAAATGAACCAAAATTTCTAGGTTCTTCGTGTATCGCACGAAAAATAAAACCAATCATCTACTTAAACGCAAAAATATAAAAACTAAATTTTCGTATGGTAAAAACCAAATGAATGAGTAAGTGCATTATTCGTAAACAATGTATAAAATTTAAAATGCAAAAGGTAAGAAAAAATAATGAATTAAAATATTTTTACAGATTTGACACTAATTTTTTACATATTGCGAGTATGAAATTATGAAACTATTAAGAATGTAACGGTGCAATATAATTACGTCGTCGATGACATCTGTGGCTGAAGCGCAAGCGCAAATATTTTGCGCTTTCCCAATTAAGACAATCGATTAGAACACCGCCGCAACCGCAGAGCGATTAATCAGTGTCGGTGTTCTGATTGCGCGCAAATTATCTGCGTCCGTTTCCCACGCCGGTTCCAGTTGACTGTTCTACTGCTGCTGGTTTTTTTCTGTGCTGCCGAGTATCCAACGCGAATCTTTCTTAATTGGCCTTCAGTGGGCGTGGCCCATGCCGTATATATGTACGGCAGTCACAGTATGTTGTTGTGATTACGCACGGTGTATTTAAAAGATTTGACTGATTTGGACAAAGTACTGCAGCGTTACAGTAGGAGATTTGATCCACAATCAGCCGGATTGTAGCGGCATTACACAAAGGATGCCAGCTTAGAAATCCCGCCGTGCACCGGCAACCTTGTCGCGGTTGAATTGGTTGGAATTAAATTATACCGACAATAACACAACGTAATATGGTCTGTGACAGTATCGCTGTACGCAGATTAGCCGGCGAATTTAAAGATTAAGCTTATGTGTCAATGATACAGAATAACCGGATTTATGCATTAAAGCATAACGTACAATGTTGCCGACGACAAATTGCACGACGACACTCGAGCGAAAGAGAACAAACAAAAACTCTCGGTGGATTGCGTGTACAATACATTTAAATGCGTAAAACGCATGAAAAAAGGTTCTACCGATTTTCGACAAACAGTATACGAGTACAGTTCGGACAGGGATTTGTGAAAACTAATTAGAAATGCCAGAATACCATGATATTAAAAGTAAGATTGGTAAATAATTATGGTTTTGTAAAACTTGTCTAGCTCATCGAATTACAATATGTATATTACAATTATACCAAACAGTCAAATTATTTCCATATAATAATCGGGCATATATTTCATTTACAAGTAAGCTGCACGTTTTAAGAAACTCATGTTTATGAGTTTTAACTAATTAATTAATTGCAGTTTTTTCTAAGAAGTGTACGAAAAACTAGCAGACCATCCTGCGGTTGCAAAAATTGTAAATAAGTAAAAATGGTAAACTGCAATGGTAAACCGAAACCGACATTATTAGCTAACAAAAAACTTCGCCGGTACGAAAAGCTATGGGACTACCTAAAAATTTGCCTTATCAAAATTTAATTTTATGCCAACAAAAAGTCTATAAATCTGGATTAGAGAGCGATAAAAGTTTTTTGAAGCATTTTAGCACTTCCTGACATACACTGCAGTAAGTGCACAGAAAGCAGCTGTTAGAAAAATACACGGTCACGAAAAGTTGTGGCACCTTGCAGCGCCGTAAAACTACGCAGTGCCGGAAGGCGAATTACACATTAGCGAAACACGTTACACCAGATTCATTTGCCGGCCATCACTCACGTATTGTTTGGCAACTTGGCGTAAAACATTCCTGGCCGGGCTATATGGTTAGAACTGATCGAAGTGATGTTCTGTCCAACATCTCAAACAGTTTGATTGGCTGCGATGGCAATCACGGCTTTAACTCCTTTTAGAGCTTTTTAAAGCCACACCACATTCCGATTGTTAGCAAATGGACGGTTATTTATGAAATGCCGGAACATTATCGGATGAAAAGGTTAAGATGCATGCATGATGAAACTGCCGGTTAGAAATCGGATTGGCCGCTTTTACAAAATAAATTCGACTATTCATTGTTTTGCTATGTTATTAAAGTTCGAAGAACAAAATCAATTTACCAAACTGGTTCTAGTGATTATTATATGTAATTCAACCATTGTGCTTCCGCCTAAAAATATTTCGTGGTATTTACCAAGAATTATAATTTTTTATCAACAAATTTTTTATGGACTTGAATGATTATGTATTTTTTACGTTAAAAACCTTTTACTTATAATGTTATTAAATGATGTTATTAATTCACGTTATTTTAGGAGTGAACCGCATTTTAAACTAAGTATTTTCAAACTAATACCAATTTTCGACAGTATTGCAAAATTTTTTGTCGAGATAATTGCAGCGTGCAACAAGATCTAATTAACAAATTATGGAGTGCACATGTTTCCGCATTTTGCCAAATGCTGACAAAAAAATGCGACCAGTTCCGATGGAATGTAGGCTAAATGAGCAAGGCGGTAAATTTTCACCGGCAATTACGAGTATTATCGATCGATTCGTATGTACATTGTGCATCGTACAATATATGCCGCATCGCTGAAAGTGTCAGTTGGTAACGTTGGCCAATCACAGTGCATGGGGCTGACCATTCTACGCAAGACACACTTTCCTACCTGACCAAATTCATATCCGGCAGGCAAAATAACGCTAGACCATGAGTTTTTCGTTTTGCTCGGTAGTGTCGCGCGCGCGAAGACATTAGAAGAGAAACTGAAGAAGCATTTTTACCGGATGCGCTTCACTGACACCATCTCATCCGTCTTCTAACCTGTAACAAAAGCATTATTTTGACCCGTTATCGCACACCGCCGACAGCAGATTCCATCCCTGTTGCTAAATTTTTACGGATTACACATTATGCGGCATTCCTATTTTATATGGAATTAATCTGGAGTGAATAATTTGGCCAATTTGTCGGACATTTTTTGCATGTTAATATTGGATGATGTTAATTAGGATTATTAATATTTTCCGGCATCGTCGACCGCTGCGGGCACAATGACAAAAATAATATAGGTTGTTTATTGAGTGGGGGCGTTGCCCCTGGGAATATCGCACCTCCCAACCCCGCACAAACTTTTAACCATGATTTTTTGGAAAGTTTTATCAACGTTCATCATATTAATATTCAGTCGGATACATGTTTGCCATAGTAAGTGCTCTTCCGGTACATTTCAAGTGGCCTGTATTGATTGTTTTACTGCAGTTTATTTGTTAATCCTCGCGCATGCTTACGTACATGTGTTTTTCAAAATTTGATAATTTATTTCCGTTTTAATTAAATGCTGGTGAAATTATCATATTTCCTTAGACAACAATCATGGAAACCGTCTGCACCTTGGAGGATTTCTTTATATTGTAATATGCGAACGAGGTGTTACAGGATAATTATTTAAATATTTTTCAGCGGCATATTGTGGTTTCCCCGGGACAGCGGTGAACGGGCGGGTGGGATTCTCGTCTGATACACTCAGTTCCGGCACCTTTGCCGCATATTCCTGTGATGATGGATACACGCTGTTAGGCAGCAAATCGCGTTACTGCCTGGATGAGGGCAAATGGAGCGGATCTCTTCCTGTTTGTGGTAAATAGACCCTACTACTTCTCATTATTGGTATCCTTCTTCTCGATGTTTTGACAAACTTTTGTAACAGTATTAAATTTTTCAAAGGAGGATAAAATTAATAATTATTTAATAATACTTAGAGTGAAAATTTAAAAAACTATCATAATATAAAAAATGTTGTAACAGATAATGATAATTCTTGGAAAAAATTACAATAAGAGAGGTATAATTAAAAGGTGATGGGAAATGTGTTTCAATAACAATGAGCGATAAATGAAAATCAAATTTTTCCCGATCAAGTCTTAGACAAGTAAGTATGCGGTTAAGTAATCATTATTGAGGTCAGATCTATTTTTAGTGTTTATATTTTTATTTTCTAATCCGCATGACCGATCGTGTTTATCCCGGCCCGATTGGATCAACAATGCCGGCGATGAAAATTATGCTTAAACAGATATAATATCAGGCGACTGCGCATTGCATTCAGTCTGCGCTGGTTTATGTAACTGACGCTACTTCAGGGTCACTTATGTTTTTTAAGTCAGTTCCGGAACTGTTGCCTCAAGTAGTGCATTTTTGTCACATATATGCGCAACACTGTGCCGTATATGTTGGATACTTATTTCATCACACACGGCGCACAGTACTTGTTTGCTCGTTAAAAAACGGTTATTTGACAAAGAATGGCCAGTTCTATTGCTAACACGAACGCTCAAGTGGACCAACAAATATCTTATACGCGTTTGCATAAAAAGATCAAACCGCATTGGTGCGATAAAAGGCGTAAACGCGAAGATGCGAGTACATCTAAACCATAAAATAAAATTTTAAAAATTCGCTGCGATTATATTCGCATTCACCGTAGTTTTCGATCAAGAACAATTCAAAATTACGATTACATAAAACTGAAAAGAAATTTGGAATATCTCCGAAAATAATGAGAGCCTCACTGCGAATAATAAGGACCTCAATAACACACGTACATAATTAGAAAGCTTTTAGTTTACCAGCGAAGGAGCTTCCGACGTAATGTTATATGGGCCATTCTTGTGAAAATAAAAGCAGGATAAAATGGAAAATTATATTTTATATGTTTTTCTTTAGAACTTTAAGTTTCAAAGGTTGATAAAGACCATGGTGAAGTTTGTTCTGACTTAGGCTTTCATGTTATAAATTTTAATTAATGTTAATTTTATTTGTCGCATTTGTTGGTATAATACAGATAGGCTGCAGGCTCGTGGGCCAGGAGCGCAATCTTCTATCTTCTATTAAGCAGTATTTGTACGTTTATGGATTGATATTGTTCTGATTAATTTTGTTAAATAGCGCTTTCGATCTACATATTACTTTCAGTCTGCTGAATACGTTTTAGTCTGCTGATCGCCTACATAAATCCTTATCCAAATATTTGTCCGAAAATGAAAGAGTTTTGACAACAGTTTTTGTTGCATGAATAAAAGAGTAAATTTCTGCTCTGATGAAGGTCGTCAGTGATGAATTAATCGATTAATCGTAAACCAATAATATGCTCAGCTACAGTTGCCAACCACAATGGCGTTGTGTGTACCTGTATATACGTTTTTTATGTATAACGTGTCTGTATTGCAGTGGTGAATGTAGCGTTAAATAAACCGGTTAACGCATCCAGTTCAGCGGATGGCGGTGCCGCGGAGCATGGCAATGACGGAAATGTGGATAATCGGCACAGAAAGCAGTTCTGCGTGGAGACGCAGCGGGAGGATCATCCCTGGTGGCAGGTGGATCTGCTCGGCTTCTATGACATTTACGGACTGCACATTATTGGCAACGCCGATGCCGGTAAGCGCCTTATAATATTTCATTAAGAAAATGAAAAAATTAATAAAAACATACAAAAATAAAAAGAAAACAAAACTGATGTGAATTTTTGTAATTTTGTATATTATTTTTGCAATTTAAGCAATAAATAAAGAGCTTATAATTTTACGGTTTTTCTGCCAACGCGGTATAAAACATATTTTCAAACAAAATTTAAATTTCCATGAGAAAAATTTTATCATTAAGCTCAATCGCAACAAAATATTTTCTACCGAGTGCAAATTTTCCTTATTACACTAATTTTAGTAATTGATAGATACAGGTATAAAAAATTAAGCAAAGAAATTGCATTGTTATGCCTTCTCTAATGAGTACAAAAGTAGTGTATGAATAAAAAATTAAATTTTTCACTGTCGTATGTAACTGCAGTAGGTACGGATTAGAAGATGTTTTCAGTTTGAATTGGACTATTATCGAGCATAAAATTCAGATATATTGTCCCCATTATTATGAAATTTTTCATCTCCGAGTAAACATGAATGCAACTGTGACTATTATGAAGCCAACGAGGATTCTGCTGGTGTTGTTTGGTTGTATAGTGCACCGCGGTAGCAGGTGATGCGTAACAGTTCTCAGCTCATTTTACCTGCGCGCGTGTATAGAGGTCAGTCGCACTGGGGGCTACTGAATATGACTGCAAAACGATCGATACCGGCCCCACATTATTACGCGAATATATACCGACTGTGAGTGGCGCTGATAATCGGTTCCATACACCTATACATATATGGTTTTAGGAGATTATATTTCCGTGCGGAACATAAACATTTTCCACAATCTATTGATCGGTGGCCCTGTATTAAGCCGGAGCTATTGTATTTGATTTTCCTTGTAACTGTGTTGCAGATGCCGGTCGAACGGTGGGGAATATTCAGATTAGAGTGGGAAACAGTACATATGCTGCGGAGAATAAGCTCTGCGCCTGGATACCGGAAGCCCTAGGTAAAGTTAGGATATATGCATTAGCGTCAAGGATGCTTCACCCGAAAGCCAGTAATATCAACACTACTTTTGTTGACAATTCCATTGATAAAGCGATCGCGCTCCGCTTTCCTATGCTTAAAGTTGTACAAGCTATAGTTTTTAATTTCTTATTTATGCTGGAACTTATTTTTCACTGTGCTTGCAGCAGTACATTAATTCACCATTTTATTCCGTACAGTGCTGATATCGATAACTACTTTTGTCAGTTCAGTTAGAATAAAATCCCAAATGAAATTATTATGCAACAAGATAGAAAATTAATGAATAACAAAAGCATGATCACCAGTTATCCACAAAAATAAAATTTTTCTGTCACTTCAACAATGGTAAACGTGCATGTCAAAGCAGTTTTCTTTACATTATAAAGCAGCCACTTGAGTTTTCGAACAGTCCGGATATTTGTCTTTGAAATTATGTAATCGCTTTATTAGCTGAACTATTTTGACTCTCTTGTGGTTTTACCTTCGACTTAACCTAACACGGTGTAATTTAGCAACCAGTCCAGCTACTTAATTTAATTTTTATTGGAAAGTTGCTCATAATTTTCATGCATTTTAATTTTAAGACCCAAGCGGTAGCTATAAAAATTTCAAACTATCAGTTCTTTAAATGCAGTGTGCGATGTGTTCCAAGTTCGCAGGGTCAGAGAATTTTCTCACGAACACAGCACAGACTGCATTGTGCTCTGTGTTCGAATGCAGCGTAATCGTTCCACATAAATCACCAAGTATTGTCAAATTATCACTTTTATTGCTGTAAATGCATATATGCCGAATTCCATAAAAAATCTGCTCATATTTCTTATATCAGAAAAAGAAAACTCTTCCAGCTACCGGTACAGAATATTGAAAAGTTTCTTTTTACAGACCCGTCCGCACCGCGGGAAATACAGTGTGCAGTGCCATTACGTGGACGTTTTGTCAGTATTCATTCCGGGGACGCGGATACCGTTCTCTCTTTCTGCGAAGCCCAGATATTTTCCTCGCAAGGTACAGATCTATCACGAGAGACTACAGTCAAAGGAGTAAATGCCAGTGTTAAGCAGTAATAGAATTAACTGTTTTCCATAAAAAAATTCCCACCGAAAGAGTTTATGTCATATAACTGATCATTACATCTGCTTTTCTTCTTTGTGTTTCTCTAGAATTGCCAAGTCTCAAGTGTCCAGTGCAGTCGGCACAGACCTACGTCTTTCAGCAGCGTTGCTACGATGTCCATGTGGAAGCGCGAACCAATCAGGCTAAAGCCGGCAAGAACTGCCAGGATAACAGCGGGACTCTCGTCACAAAGGTCACCGCTGCATCGCAGCAGTTTTTAGCCGGAATACTCAAACGGTTAGAGAACAGCAAACTCCTTTCGACACCGGCCAATGTCTGGATGGGCTTATCACGGAATCTGGGAGCGCAGCCGTGGTTCTGGCACTGGCCTAACAGTATGCTGCTTTTTTCAGTTGGCAGTGTATATAAAAATAAACTAATAATCAAGAGTACTAATTTAAGTCGCCAAAATAAATTGTAAAGACAGCATGCACTGTTCACTATTGATGTATACGACTTTGTGACACTGTACTACATTAAAATTACTGTGTTGCTCAGTAAGCGGCGAAGGTTTTATTATGTTGCTGTATCTGCAGATGCTTCGCTCAACGAAACATTCTGGGGAGACGGGCAACCTAATGAGTAAGACGCTATATACGGGATAATAAATCCAAATAAGACACGACCGCAATATTTTTCTTGCAACAGGTTTGATAGTCGCGCTCAAGTTTGTACAGCATTCAGTAGCGAAATGGACTATAAATGGAACGATCAGCTGTGCAATGTGGAAGCCAATTGGATATGTCAATATGGTAATGGACAATCAAACAGTTTATGACTAAAAATAATGATTCTGCGTTCGTATCAGCGCACAGATTTTCTACGATCAGAATACAAAAAAACCAGGTTTTCAGTTTATCTGCGAAATGTTGAGATTTTTTTAAATGCTGATTCCCGACTTGCTGATATAATTTTGGTATTCGCATTAACTGTGAAGATGTAAAAAAATTCATTAGCAAAATTAGATTATTAAAATTTTGTTGTTTAGCTTCTGCTTACTTTTTATAACAATTTTTGTTCGATATGGGTAATTTCACAATGTACACCATTTTCCAGATTTTGTGCTCGCACGTACGCGTGCTATACTTCCATTTTCAAAATCTCAAATTATACATAGATCCCGTCAGCTGTGGAAGCCCAGAAATTCGGCCGAATTCCACGATAACCGGCAAAAAACCCGGCTCCAAAATTGGCGAGACCATTGAATATCACTGCGAAGTGGGTAATCAGATGATTGGCAGTCCTAACCGGACCTGTCTCCGCGATGGCAATTGGGGACCCACGGAAGCGGCAGTCTGCCGATACGTGGATTGTGGCGAACTACCCAAGGTTAAGGATGCCGTGACCTTCTTACTACAAGGCCGCACCACGTACGGCGCAGGGGGAGAATACGCGTGCGCCGGAAATCTGTCGTTAATTGGCAGCTCCCGAGCGTACTGTACCGGGGATGGATGGTCCGGTGCGCCACCGGAATGCCGCTGTAAGACTAATCCATTTATCTTTGCCTGTCATGCAATAATTATTTTATCACTTAATTTAATAATTTAACTGATTCGTTGTCAATTTACTGCAGCAAATATTGTAAGAGCTTAAACTATAAAAAACGAAGATGCTTATTTCTTTTCTTTCGAGATAAAAAAGTTGATTCCATCAACATATTGAACGGTTTCATTTTCAAAGCCATTTTCTCAATCAATTTAACATGAATGATATTAATAATTTAAATTTTCGAATATTAAATAGATGTGAATTGCGGATTCCTCCCGGCCATTGCCAACGGTGCCGCACTGTTACTGGACAGTGGTACTTACTATAAAGCTCGCGCAAGATATGAATGTACGGAAAACTACACGCTGATTGGAACAACCATGTTGACCTGCAACGAAAACAGCTCCTGGAACGACAGTATTCCCCTGTGCAAATTAAAGGAATGCCCGCCGGTGCCGCCGTTAATCAACGGCCAAATCAGCGGCTCCAATTACTCCCTGGGCAATCAGTTGACCTATGCCTGCAACGAAGGATATTACTTGTCGAGTGACGTGCCCAGTACGCGTCTGTGTCTGATGAATCAGCAGTGGAGCACGGAAGCACCGACATGCATACGTAAGAAGAATTGAAAAATTAAGTATTTCATGTACTATAGTTTGAAAACTTTGCATGAAGCTCGAAAATCTTGAGAAAGCTTGCAAATCTGGAATGCCACTTTAAGGAACAAATTGAATTGCTTTACGTACGCTGCTTTTTTCAGTTGCCAGTGCATATAAAAATAAACTGACAGTCAAGAAAGCTAAATTAAGTCGCCGAAATAAATTATAATGACAGTGTCACAACATTGCGCACTACTGTAGATTGTAGAACTGTACGATTTGTGACACTGTACTACAGATATATATTGACTGTGTTGTGTAGTAAGCGGCAAAGATTTTATTGTGTTGCTGTATCTGCATTTTGTTTGACACAGAAATATTCATTCAACGATCTTATTAAATTTCATGGAGTTGCTCTTTTTTTAATCTAGCTGTTTTAGCCTAGCTAGTAGCTCCCTGTTTTGTTAAATTATTCAACTTTGCTACTCTTTGGTACTCGTTTGCTGCACTTTTGCTGAACTGCCTTTCGACTAAAATTTGGTTCACGTTAATTTTATGTGACCGCGATAATCGCAGCTGGGTATCGGATGTGAATATTAGAACACGTGCAAATGCATGCACGCCCGGATTCGGCAACATTTGTGTCGTGTCCTGGATTTGACCAAAAGGTCATTCACAGTTCATTCCCCTTTTTGCAGCGATCGATTGCGGCATGCCGGAGCAGTTAGCGAACGGGACGTTCTCATTGTTAAACGACGGGACAACGTACAATAAAACGGTTATTTACGGATGCGAGAGCAATTTCGCCCTGCATGGTGATCAGCAAAGGATCTGCACGCTGGCGTCCGTATGGAGTGGTACCGCACCCAAATGCATCGGTACAATTGCATTAGCAAGAACTCACTTAACTGGAGCGTAATGGTTTTATTGCAATAAATAGTAGACGCATGCATAGACTGCGTACAGCCATTTTGAAATTGTTTTATGAATGCGATAGTAAAATTAATTCGATAGCTCTTATAGTTTTTTTCTGGATATACTGTCCGAGATTAAATTATTATAGTTGGTGATTTCTGCAAATATTTTGTAGTGTCCAGCTGTAAAGCACCCGATCTGGATGATAATCAGAGCTTCATCACGGCGAATTTTAGCGTGGGGAATATTGTGCAGTTTGGCTGTAAAGCTGGCTACCGGGTGCAAGGTGTCCAGAACTATACGTGCCATCCGGATGGCTACTGGATCGGCAACAAGCCTATTTGCCATTTCCTGGACTGTGGACCACCGCCGGTCGTGAAACACGGATCCTACCGCTCCTCCGGCCCCGACCACGGGCTGGGCACCATTGTGACGTACAGCTGTGACAGCAACACGACACTACTGGGTGACTCCGTAATTTATTGCACGGAGACGGAGACTTGGAGCGGATATCCACCGACATGTGTTGGTAAGCAGTATTACCACTGAAACGAAACGGTTAATGTAGCAATCAGACCGATGTTAGTACGAGTAGATTTTAAAGCTGGTAATTATCAACGGAGCATCATTGGGTTAGCTTTCGTATGATAGCGTTTTCGATCACAGAAGAATCAGAATGACGTATTTAATTTTAAGTTATCCGAATTCCGTACATTCGTAACGCGAAAGCGCTTGACGTTTACACGAGAAAAGTGTAGAAAGTCGTAGAGAAAGGGCATCCTTATACCACTCTCCGTTTGCAGTTGCTAATCTGCAAGCAAGAAAACTGTACAAAACATTTGACTGAGTTTGCAATAAAAAGCGTTTAAATGTAGACTGACTTTGAAAAATATTTTTACGTACATACTTAATTTTGTACTTTTTACAATTTAAACCGAGGGTTTACCTGATAAAATGAGCTGCAAAAAGCTCCGAACCTGGAGCGAGTACTTTAAAGACTTTTTATATTTACCTATACCTGTTTGCACACAAATGTTTTGGGCAATGATTCCGCAAATTATTAATTTGCTGTTTATTATAAAGGTTGCGGTCCACCGGAGTTCGTCAACAAAGCCGTCATCCGCGGAGACGACTACAGCCTAAACGGAACGCTCGACTACGCTTGCGAACCGGGTTACAAGCTAATCGGGCTCACGAAACGAACGTGCCTTTTCCCCGGAAACTGGACCGGTCTGCCACCGGTCTGCACAGGTAAATGCACGGCCGACGTAACATTGTGTACTTGCGTAATGACCCTTTCAGGCGTAATGCGTAAACGGTCAGGCTCAGTATTTCGGTATGTTGCACAGAGATCACCTGTCCGCTTCCACCCGCCCCGGTCAACGGAACGCTGAGCAGTCGGAAGCCGGTTAAGGTGGGATCAGCCGTTAAGTTCCTCTGCAATCCCGGAAATGTCGTCATCGGCCCATCCGAAGCCACTTGTGCGCTGGACGGATCATGGAATGTCGATGCTCCCACTTGTAAATGTATGTACACAGTCACGAATGTAGATACATATTTACGTAACAAAACAATGGTAGAGCTAAATTTACTGTAGCAGATACCCGTATATCCGAAAAAGCTTAATTATTGTGACCTTTACCCAGATGTCATGTGCGGAAAGCCGATGGAAGTGAAACATGCTAAAGCGCATTACAACGGCACAGAATACGGAAGTTACGTCAAATACATTTGTAAAGAAACATACTTCCTCCATGGAAAATCGGAGATCTTCTGTGCCGAAAACGGGCACTGGGATCCATTACCGGAATGCAGCAGTAAGAACCCTTGAACTTCTTTTGATAGAAAATTTCACCTACTTGATAATTCTGTGATCGTAGCCCTTCCACCTGCAGAAGAAAAAGTGCAAGCAGGTATGCAGCGAGCATGGACATAACTGGAAAGGAGTTACGTGTTCTAAATTTTGTTTTAATTTACAGGACGACTGCTTGATGATGAAGCTAACGTCAGCAGCCCGAAGAAGGCCGCTGAAGGCGGGGCCACGAGTCACGCCAGCCAATTGGGGATGGGCATCGGCATTGCCGTCGCCTGTTTACTGGTGATATTGACCTTTGTCGGCAGCGTTATCTGGATAAGAGTGTAGGTACATATTATGTGTGCGTTCTTCAGTTTTCCAAAAATTTATATGGGAATATGAATTCGTTTTTGTTTCCCTGTGTTTTTGCCTTTTTCAAACCGTATAGAATAACTCTCAGTCATTTTATTTCTAGTACCTACAAACTAAAACATCGAACCTAACATTTTGCAGACGCGGTCGAAAGAGTCATCTGGTGGATCTGCCCATCGGACGGACCACCTATGTGGATCCTAATTTCTCCTTCAAACCCAAAGCTCACGTCCAGGTCACCAAAGCCTATGTTAATGATGGATTCGATAGTACAGCTCTATGATGACAGCACTGTCTTCTGTGTGGTGTCTGTGGCGTTCTTTTGTACAGTTTTTGTATTCACTTGGCTTTGTTGCTCTCGTACGAAATCAGGATGCGCCTAATACTGCCTGATGCAAATTATTTTAAAATACTCAATAAATGCCAGAAACAAACTTACACATCTGCCGGTAAATTCCTTCTACTTTGCTTATAATACAAAGTCCAGTCGAAGTTTATTCTGATACCTGAGGAACAACCGATGCTATCGCGTAATACAATTATTTATCAACCCGTCGTACAGGCGGCAGACGATGATTGTGATCACATGTCAACATGGCGCGTGAGCCACAGAACGTGCATATCGCGATTAAACATAACATCCAGCGTATAAATAGAAACTTGCTGGGTAAGCTAAATCTGCCTGTGGCAGTACTTCCAGTCTACATCGCACGTTGTAAACAGCTGGGCGCTTCAGGTCGTCCTACACACACAAGATAGTATTTTAACCGGCTGGAATCTCCACGATTAATTTCCTACTCGTAGTACGGTGTTCTCGAAGCAGGAGTCTGATCCATTCATCGTCAAAAATGTACACCTTTATCCCAATCATAGCAGTATTATGCGGACTGTCAGCAGCCAATTTGCAGTTGGACTGCCGTTATGATCCGCGTACAGGACGGCCGCGGTATGCTGATAGTAAGCACAATGTACTGGAAATGGCGACCTGTATGGGGCATACCAGTTATCTGGAGGCGTTGGAGGAAACCGGCAGCCTGCATATCCTGCTCAATAAAGGTATCACTGCTGCGTTCCGGAATTACGCGTTCCTGTTTAGTTGTAGCGGGGGCAGATTACAGAGGGGCGTTCAGCTTAGGGAGCAATGTTGTTTTCAGGTATTACTGCATGGATTCCTACCAATGATGCGTTTGCGAAAATCAGTACGGCCACACGCGATTTCTGGCATCATCACAAATCGTACTACAAGAACTTGATGAAGTAAGCTGCTCATCGGATGCAGGCTCATTTGCATCCATTGAACTTGATCGAACAGATAGAAAGCAATCTACAATTATTTTTTAACATCCTGTGCAAAGGATTTCGAGATACAGAATGTTTAAAATGTGCCGGTGCTTGAGATTTCACAAAGTTTTTCTGTTCCCATCTGTTTGTAAGGTAAAGCGGAAATACACTCGAAGTATGTCTATGGATTTTGGCGCCGGCGGCGAAGTGTTAATTTTTGAAAACAAAACTTTTGTGCGCTTAGCCTTTCCGTGGAATAATACTACATGTAGAATTTGTAATTCCGTTTTAATTTTCGATTAAGAAATTCTTAATTAAAACAATATACGTCATTTTATAAAACTGAATAGGCAGGAAGTGCCAAGACAATATGCATGGTGCATAATTGTATTTATTATAGATATCACGTCATTAAGGGTCGCTATAACGTGCAAGATTTAGTCAACGATGTGGAGAGCTACGACACCTACGCTGAACCATGCGGCACTCGCGCTCGTTACGTTAATTTCGATGGTTTTAGCAAAAACGTAAGAATATGTCACAAGGTGCTACTTTCAAGGTGCTACTTTCACTGCAGGATGCTTTTTCCAAAGTCATTTGATGCAGGCTTGGTAATTCGTGCTGAAACTCATTGCTTCGTATCTATTGTGCCATTAGATCAGCGTGTATATGGGCGCGGTGATCAATTCCACCAATCATCAAGGATCAAACGGAGTGATCCACATTTTGGACGACGTGGTCAAACTGATGATGAATGAAACCATACTCAAAGTCATTCAAAAACACAGCCAATTCTCTAAAGTTCTGGAAGCGGTCAAAAGTGTCGATTTGAATGATCGCTTATCAGGTAAACGCATCGCTACGGATTATACATGCGCACTGCATGAACTCGTCGACTCGTAATCTGTTGTGAAACAAGAGTTCAAACTTTCCGATTATGGCGCACTAAGAAAAAGCAAAACAGTAACCACTAGATTGTAATTATCTCATTATCAGACCATGATCAAAAGGCGAGCTGCCATTTCGAAAAGCTGAAAAATAATTTACCACAATATTAGTTGTAGTTTTTTTTTAAATTTTCACCCAAGATGTGCGTAACTGTAAAGAGCATCAGTGCTTAAAATTAAGCCGCTTATCTAAACAATCAGCTGCATGAACATGACCTTTGAATCTGTTAAATGCGGCAAACATTTAGCGGACGATCCTCCCCGGACATTTTTGGCACCCTCTGATGATGCAATTAGCAAATTACCGGACGGAGCATGGGAAAAATTAGTTAGCAATCCTGCTGCCCTTACCGGTAAATGCATGGTTTTTTTATTTACTCTCACGGTTACGGTGTGGATCGGTTGTTTTTGCTTTCTTTCATACGCAGAAGTCCTGTTGTATCACATTTCACCTCTGGGTTCCTGGTATTCCGCCGGTTTGGCTGTGGACGGGATGTCGGTGCCGACGCTGAGCAAGAAAGGCAACTGGACCATTCGGGTCACCGACGGTTAGTTACCACATCAGCCGGCGCATGTGTTGTTCCAAAACCATTTCTGATTGTTGTTGTCATTGCACTTCATTCAAAATTTATCGTATTTGCTTACAGATGGCATCCAGGTGGACAAAGGGAATTTAGTTATCACTGATCTGCCGGCAACGAACGGCGTCGTGCATTCCATTGACACGGTCCTGATGCCGAAGTCTGTACGGAAGTGGCTGTATTATTAGCTGTACTAGTTGTGTACGTTTCAATTAAGCATTTTCGTAACATCGCACGTTGCACTTGTCCCGAAACGATATAATTTTTATGTTGGTTTTTTACTATAACCCGACAGGATTCTTTCTAACAGAATGTGGCAGAATTGTTTGATTATAAACAAATATATTTGCAGTTTCTTGTTTTATCCTAATTTTCATTTAAGCCGAGTCGACAAACTATTGCGCAAAGTATCCCCAAAACATCTCGCAAAAGGATGCAACAGTAAAGCGTTGGTGAAATGTGCTTCCACATGCCTTCGGTTGTCGTCAAGGATTGCCTTAATATTCCAAAGAAAACCCAACAGAACAACAAAACTTATTTTCAGTCATACGAACTTAAGGTGACCTATTCCAGGGGGCGAGGTGGTCTGGTATTTCGTTCTTCAGTCGTCCGACGCAAGCAGCCAAAAAGTTGGAACTAATCCATAACTCTAAAGACGTTCGAGTCGAAAACGAAAACGATTACAAGCGATCGTAAAATTAACAGGCAACGATAATAAACGAAACAAGCGAGCTTTTAGCACAGATTTGTGTTCTCAGGTCACAGTTATATTACCTTGAGATTAACAAGCCCCCGAAATATTAGCGAAAATGGTGGCTGATGACCGTGTAGCACTGCTTCCACTCTTGTGCTAATTTGGACGCTACCAGCTGATCATAACGAGAAAATTGGTACCTCTATGCATTGCGTATTACGAGTACTGTATAACTGTACTCTTCTTACGGTACTCTTCGTTTACTGCACCTGGTGACGAACTAGCGAGGCGGGATGCCAGATTCACTGTGTCTCCAAAACTGTAATAACATGCATTGTACAACAAAAGTTTCATAGCTCTCGTTATCAGTGATTGTTACTTCGACGGATTCGCTTAAATTCTTATCGATATCTTTTAATGTGCCTGACTGGCATCAATCACTTTACTCACAGACAGTAATGTTTGGTCTTCGTGCCCACAATGCCGGCTACGACGGTGCCTATATGAAAGATAATTATACGGTTCATACCTTATGGACCGTCCACAACACAGGACTCTTAATTTTCAATTGTACTTTGTACAACAGATTAATATTAACGTAAGTAATTAACTAACCGGTGTGTATTCCTGTACATAATGCAATACGTTGCCCACCGAACATGTTACTGGCAACCGTCACTTGCGCTTGCAGCGCAAATAGCGCCACCTCCACAGCATGGGCATTTCCGTTGTTTTGCGCCGGAATTCCACCGACAACCTGCAATTATTAGTGCAACAATCGTGTATCCGATGACCGGTGCAAATTCAGTGGTTCTGCAAAGCGTTTCTACGTATGGAGCATTTGTGTAATCTATTGTTCTTGCTGTCTTTTAATTTTCAATGTTCTCAAGCCTCATTACTACAGTATTACCATACCATATAATCGTCCATAACAGATTCCACTTTAGAAATATTGTACTGCGCCAGACAATGATCCAGTTCCAAGTACAGATCATTGAGGACGTTGAAGATAGTTTTTGGATCACTGCTACTAGTTAACGCGTTGATATTATGGATTTTGTTAAAGGACACGGTGACACATTCGAATAGCTCCGGTGCTATAAACTCTTGTCTGAGCAATCGTTGAGCAACCGTTCTAAGAAAATGCCAATTTTATTAATTTGTTTCTTCTAAAAAAGTTAGTCCGCGCTTGTCATGCATGGTTGCTGTGGCTGTTGACCTTTGCTATACTTTTAGTGTTTACGTTAATACGGTAGACAAAAGCTTGTACGTTAATACGGTAGACAAAAGTGAGCAACCTGGGTAGAATTTCCTGGATTATGAATGCCGATCGTTCCATTTCTTCGAGAAGCAAGCTGTTCTGTTCATAAAATCGTTTTTCTAGTTCGCTGGAGTACGAATCGAGTTTTTTCACCAATACGTCAAAATACGATTTATGACCATGTCGTCCAGATATGTTCTGAAGTATGTGCTGTACGGTGGCTAAACTGGGTCGTAACGCCGCGTCAGGGCGGTTGCACTGTTGGATACAATCGAAAAACGCTTTCGACGGTGTATTTCCCGTTCCTAATAAAAAGTATAATATGCCCACATGGTGATATCCTGTAAGCAATCGTCAGCATACCAGTAGCGCCAATGCAAGCGAGCCTCTCATGCTGATGGTCATGATACGCCCGCTGCATCACTTCACACGTTAAACGTCCAAATGCCGCCACGTCTTCCGACTGCAGTCTGTTAGTCGCACTATGAAGTTCCGTTTCGTGGAAATTTATCCCGAAATCGGTGAGGCGAATGGCGTAGTGTGATGCCACCATGCAGTTGGTGGTGGTCAATGCACCATGGTGACCGATAATCGAAGCGTGTATAGCTATGAGGCCCTAAGAATATTTTACCTTTGGTACAACAAGCGGCATTGTTCTAATAATATTGAAGTAGAAAATTATTTTTAATGATCAAGTTCTTATGAGATCAAGTTCTTATGAGATCTCAGCGGCTGCTGGCTTTCTGAAAATTACGTGAACATCAAAATGTGTTTTACCTCAACGATGTCGAGTAACATTGAGAGGTGCAGCATGCTGTCGATCCACTTGATGTCGCACGTTAGCACATCTCGTAGAGAACCCTTTGGAAAGTATTCGCTGATTATCCACAAGGCGTCTGGTAGAAAGGTCACTCCGTACAGTAGGGCGACATGTTCGGTTTTCATGTTTATCCGCTATGAAAGACCATATTTGTGCGACGACTAGTACAGTCAGGAGTATTATACGGTAGTAGTGACTAGTGATACCATCAGGAAATTCGCGTATCTAGTTGCACCAAGCGGGCTTCTCACCTACTCTAAACTACGGTAAAAACGTATACACTCACCGCAGTTAAAATAGTCAACTGTTTTTGTGACAGCAAACTGCTACGCTCGGGCCACGAAGCATTCCGACACCAAACTGTTTTTCCGCGATACGTGGCTTTCTCTAAAAATATTTATCTAAGTTTTTAAAACTTGCTTCCGGCTATATCCTATGATACATTTTGCACTGCATGGCTTCATAGTTATCATAATTTTACGCAATTTATCGGTAAAAATTGATTACTTACGGCCACGACTGCTTCGTGGGACAATCTGCAGTAAAACAGGAAAACTGCATATATTATGGCACTATATGGTTTTATTAACATTGTGGAGAAGATCAATACAATGCCCAGCCTCACATCGGGAAGTTGAGATAAAGGGCGGGAAAATTCCAGCTCGTTAAACGGTATGATCCAGGATTGTCTTCCTCTGTGCTTCCTGGAATTTAAAAATATAATTATGCGCAAAATAAGTTGTAATAAATAAATGCCTCCAAGCACCAACCTATGCCAGTATATAGCGCCGATCGTAATTAAAATTATCAAAACGATTAGTAGCACTCCGGTTGACAGGATTTTCGGTCGGTAGTTATCTGCAACGTTTCGGATCGATAATTTATAAAACAAGTTGTCCTTGTAGCAAAAAGGGCAACAGCCAGATGATTTGTCTAGTTGTCACCTTGACATTCTTCAGCGTTTCCGGTGTATCCACAAGGGGGCCGGTTTAATGGAGCAGATGCATTTCCTGGCCAGTAAATACGGTCGACTAATTGTTCCATCTGGCTGGTGGTTTTATTCCATCTCAGAATTTCCTGTTAGAAGAAGAGTGTTTCCTGCACGGAGTGTCAGTTACCGGAATGTTGAGGTTTCTCTGTTGTATTAAAGGGAATTCCGTTTACTTGGAAATGACTAGAGCTATTATCCGGGAGTTTTTTGATCCCGTACTCATTATCCTTATCACCCTGATCGTTTAGTTTAACACAGCCAATCAGCGAGCAGAATGTCCGGTTCCATGCTCTGCGTGCTAAATCTCTTGAAGCCCGACGAGTATCTTCTGCGATCAGCTGCGAAATACAATAACCTGAATATCATTTGAATTTCGTTTGTGAAAATTGGCTTCGTTGTGCACAATTTGCCAGAACCGCTATATAAATTGTAGTAACTGTGACTAACCTCCGCAGCAACCATAATGCCTTCATAGAAGCCGGTAACTAAAGCAGTAACCTGCGAGAAGTTCATCTTGTTAATTAGAAATTCATCTTTATTAACTAGATTAAATTACTGTACTTCATCATTCTTTGGATATCGTAAGCCATAATCTGACCAAGAACGGTTCTTGATTTCTGACAAGACCGGTGCTTTTACCGCACTCCATTCTTGATGCCGGGTGACTAGCAAGAGATACTGGTATGCGTCTCGTACATCCTGCAAATAGATTCATAATCTTGTAGGAGATAGGGAAAAACGCTCGCATCAAATCTAAAAAAATTCTCTCAAAGGTTGTCTGTGTACATCATCATCGGGGTAGCCCAGATCCGGGTAAATTCCAAAGGCGGCTGTGGATCGAAAGGGCTCGTACCCAATAAAAACCTGTGCGGAGAGTACTGCTGGTTGACAACATCTTGAGTTCAAAAGGTAAATCAGGAGAGCTGCCGATAACAACTTGGATATCTAAACGTTGTGATACGTACATAGTCACCTTTAGCCATCCCCAGTTTCTGCGCGGCTTTCTATGAGAAAATTAGTTTGGAATCGAATTAATTTAGCTTACAGTTAGAAGCGTCAGAAATAATTTTACCATCACGGAACGAAGACGAGAACCATGCGTCAGGAATATAAAAACTGCAAAAGTGCGGTAGTAATTTAAAGACGACAAATTCAGTGCGGAGTCATACTTGATCTTAAAAAAACCTTGGCAGGAACTTACTTCTACTAGACTTGGCAGCCTGAAGCAAAAACTGTCCATGTTGTGGATTTGTGATAAAATTGTAATGCAAATGTGTATAGCTAATCTGCGGAGTTTTTTCCAGAAGACGGAGCAGAGAACGGCATTGCAGTTGCAGAAAATTAATCTCCACTGCCGCTTCATCACAGATGAGAGTGATGCTCGTCCAGTTGAAATAGCGCAGCACATCGAGCATCAAAGCCGACACTTCCAGCTGGCGATATGGGATGAATCGAAGGAGCGAGGGAAAGCGAATGCGTGAATCTAACACGGGATCCGTGCCACCGCTATATTTAAGGAGGTCATGCAGTATTTGCTCAAGAGAATCGTTACGACAATAACAAGCGATTACGTACGAAGTGACAGTGAGGATGTTCCATTCTACAAATGCAAATAAAGCGCTGGTAAATTGCCAGTTTATTTCCGGTTATTTACGGTAAATATCTGACCTCGGGATAAATCACTCAAGGCAACAGCGGCTTCGCTGCAAGCTAGAAATAAATCAGTTTTCTGATTTTGGTACTTCCCATAATTCAAGACAAGAAACGTGATGTATCAGTAACATCAGTTGGATTTATCAGTCATAAGTCTCACTTACCAGAAGCAAGAAGGACAATTCTATCGGTAGGATACATCACGGTGTAGTTGTAATAGAATTGCGCAAATAAATGCGCAGCGCGTGTTTCCATGGCCGGACAATTTGTCACATTGTGGCTTCTCAAGGTGATCAATGAGGAGTTTATCTGAGAATAACGAGAACTGACTTCTTCCAGCGCCATATCAATAGCGGCACCGATATAGTCCAGGCTGTACGGCAAGTGCGATTCAGCATGAATGGATACGAATACCACATTTACGGTGTTGTTAAGGTCATGGGTTAGTGTCGTGGTCATCAGCAGCGATACAAAGCAACAAACGACCAATCCGTACAAAAACATGGTTCTGAATCATTAACTGGAATGGCTGGAATGGCCAACAAAATCATGGGGAGATTGTTAATTCCAACTTGCAGTTAAATTCCCTCGACGTTTTACGCACGCTGTATTTTGTACCGTACATCGGACTTCTGTGTTTAACCGTCAACAGTGTCTCTGGAAGAGGGGTTCGTTGTTTCAAGCTTTCCTCTTGCGGACGGAATGACAACAATGCACAGGAAATGCACTGATGACATGACAGCGTAATACCTAATTCTGCTTGCTCTCAACCTGTCTTGCGTCTGGGTGACAGCGTAAGGACGACTGCCTGGATGACGCAAAGGGGCCATAAATATAGCCGGTTCGACGGCACTGTATAATAGCGGATATTGTATATATATGTTATTCCTACCACACAGAAATATCGCTTCCGTTTTACCTGCTTCTTAAGTAATAATGCATATACAGTACATGATACCGTTCATAGTAACGCAGTATTAAGTGCATGGCTTTTATCATTACTTTACTGCACGTCAAAGCATACAGCCCACTGTGTAATCATTAATCAAGCAGAGAAATTGCTAAAATCATCAAAGAAGTTCATTTATTCAATTTTATAAAGCATGAGATAATTCTGCTGAAATTCAGCGTTGCTCCTACTGGTGCACGTGCTTGAACCGTACAGGGCGCTATAACTCTGTAGTCTGTATACAACGTTGTATGCATAAGCGTTGTTTATCTGGTTCAACCAGATAAACAACGGTTATGCATCTAAATGAGACTGTTTTAGCGGTAACCAACCAGACTTGGTTGGTTACCGCTAAAACAGTCTGTCATGGTGTAATTATCTCGCACCCACGCATTTCGAAAACGCTTACTTCGTGGGCAACGACTGCATAAGCGCCAAAGCAGAAACTACCACTGATAAATAACACACTGCATGACACTGCTCATCAAAGAGGATCTAGGTAATGTCTTCTTTAACGCCATTCATCATCCAAGTCCTGGGGTGGTTTTTGTCCCATCTTCAAAGCACGTATAATGCATGCCGGTTATGAGACAGTAAATTAAAGAAATTGGCTGGCCTTTACGTAGGAGACCGGACCGGTCTTACAGTGGCGACTCGAAGGCAGCCTGAAATATTTTGCCGCTGCTTCCGTAAAATTGTACTGCCACTGAGGAATTACAATAAAAAAGGATTCCTGCAGCACCTACGATTCCAATGTCCCGGACCTGTGACTCGATTAGAACCATGATCAACCATCGATATCATTTTGTATCAACAACACTTTCCTGATGGAGACAGTCTGCTATCGAAACAGCAATGAGAACAGCTTCTTAATCCAGTATGCTGACGAATAGGGGCGTATTTTTTTGAAAAGCAACCCACTGACAGCCATGTACAAACACCAAGAAAGGTTTAAGCAAAAGTGTAGGGTTGCTGGAGATGACCAGTCAGACGAGTTTCCCGTCTGGAGCCTCATCACGCTCACTACTAAGCGCAAGCGCTCCTTATAGTTGATGGAAACATAAAAAAATTTTGGCGTTTTTGGTGACAGGGTTGATAATGTAAGTTACGTCAAGGTCTTGTGGATTCTCTGACTTTAAAAGCAGCCTGCTGTAAGTTTGGCAGAATGATGAGCTGCCGTAACAAACTAGACAACAAGGGTCCGTGGAAACATTTGGACGCCCTGAAACCTAAAACGCTATCCAACACAATAAAAAAGATAGGGCGCATGTGCCTGAAATCAGTTTTACCGTTTTTGCAAGTGCCGCTTTTGCCGTGCCACGTCAAAGCCAAAGGTAAACGTCAAAGTCTAAGGTAGCAGAATGGAAATAATTGTTAAGAAACGATACTATGGCCAGTGCAGTTATCGTTTCTGACTGCTTGGTAAAAATAAACAGCAAAACCGGCGCCACTCATTGCGACTGTAGACATTATGCTTAGTTCCGACTTCCGAGTAACATTCGACTCTATTGACTAATGTTAATGTTCAGCTCAATGCATCTCTCAACTTGTGAATTTGAAAACCGTGTGCACTGGATTCTTTGTTTTCTATTTGACTGCCCTTTTTGTGGCGCAGTTTAATGGATGTTGCAAATTCAGATGCATCCTTACATGGATTCTTTTAGATTCGTTGCATATAGTTAGTCAATAGATTACAGAAGAAGTAATGGGCCGTAAATTTGTGTAATTGTTGTCACCGAATCAAGTGGCACCATACAGTGATCGTCGTCGGCTCCACAGACGTGTCTATGATACGGCGTAACGCCTTCGAAAACACCGACATTAAAATAAGTTTTAAACTTTAAAAAAAGCCGATCTCTGGTCTCGACATAAGCCGATCTCTAAGTAGTCTCTGCCGATCTCTCTCTAGTCTACTCGTGATAAGCCGATCTCTACCCTAGTCTCTACATGTTCGTGCATACAAAAAACTTCGCACCTTGTCTTTTGTATGCGTTTTGCATGTGCCACATTTTATGGCGGATAGTTTATTGTCGTTGATTCGAATTAAAATCAGCTTTAAAAATGCAGTACGAAAACCCATGCCGGTCATTCTACAGTATCTTGATGCAAATCTTCCATTCTACTCAAATCAACAACATATAAAAATTGCGGTCAACGCCAAACCGCGTTATGCGTATGCAGAAAATTACGAGAGTTAAATATGCGCAGCAAGTCGTGCACCACTGTTTTAAAACATTGGTGCATCTACCTCTGCGTATATCTAACTCTCGTAGTTTCCTGTACTTCAAAATTCCATAATGCCCTTTCTATAGCGGAGAATTTACATAATGAATAACGACTTTCTAAGTTTTAATAATTTAAATGTAGACTCTTATAGTAAATACGCGAAACCTTCTGTGTGGCGACATGCATTATTACATCAATCAAAACCATTACTGTAGATGCCGCATGGATTGCTGTAATGATAAAAACCGCATCTTAAAACAGTACAGATTTTGATACACATTAAAGTCGTTAAAACCAAACTCCATAAGCAAACCGCGTTAACGGCTTCGAAGGCGATGTAATCCAAATTTCGAAGATGCAGGTAATTCACCACTACTGGGTTGGACTGAGCGAAATGTGGTACGGCAGAAAATGCGTCGTATCCCATTCTTAGTATTGCTGACAATGTCCCGATTCATAAGCAGCAAGAATACCTGTGCAATAAGAGCAACATATGAATTCATCAATGCTTAACGAAAGCTTCTTGGTTCAGATAATATACGGCATTTTATGTGGGCGAGCACCTTATATATTTAATTTGGAGAACGTTATGTAAGCTTTGTGTCTGTTTGTTTTGTTTGACTTGCTACATAGCGGCGTTCCCATTAGGTTCAGTAACAAAAACTTTTATAGGCATGAGCTCATGATGTTAAAGATGCACTTAAGCCGGTTAACATATTTCCTTACCGGACTTCCGACATATCCGATTTGTTGCAGGACGATAAACCATCCAGCTCTGATTTTATCCGAATACCAGTAGTAAGGAAACCCATACGCCACAACCAGAACCGGCAAATACCACAACAAATACCACAAATACGATGCGAAAAGTAAACGAAACAAATGCATCCGCTTCCGCTGCAAACTGTTGCCTTGCCTTCGTCCCTCAATTTGATAACCGACGATTACTGCCAGGTATATGATGCCTTGCAATGCCAGCGGTAAATAACCACCCAGGGTGGCGACAGCGTTACTAATTTCCTGCGACGTAATGCTAATGCGTCCGCAATCGTACCGTCCCCCGAAATCCCGTTTGCCAAATACACCGCCGATACCCCACAATCCGGGGAGGTTCACGGCCAAACCGATGCCCCACGCACTAACTAAAAAGACCATGGTCGCCAGATTGGAGGTGACACGACCGTACTGATGGGGAAAGATCAACGCAACGAAACGGTTAAAGGCAAGAAAGAGGGATGCCCAGGATTCCGCGCAGATGAACCACTGTCCGAAGAAGTACATGGTGGTGCAGTTGAAGGTTGTAATGGGCACGCCCAGCCACACTGCCCAGCCGGTGATAATGTACAAGGGATTGCTGACCCCGATTTCCAGGGCGTGGAGTAGTTGTTGATGGGCCAGAAGGACGCCGGAACGCGTGCGCAGATGCGAACGAAGGATCAATGTAAAGAATAAGGTCAAGGAGAGCACCACGCCGGTTACGGAAATCAGGCTGAATGTGGAGATTAAGGTGATCAGTTCATTGCGGCGCCGGTCGAAGGTCTGAGATAAATTACCCTGGACGGTTGTTACGTTGATCATTTTTTGGCAGCCTTGGTAAAATGAATTACTATTTTTATCCGCTTAAGAATGGAAAATGTGTTTCGCTTCTGCAAAACGCTACGTATACAGCAGATACATACATACATTACATTACATAACGCTTTTGTTAAAGAAAGATTAGACATAAGAATTCACACTGAGAAAATGTAGTGTTGCCGATTGCTTTCCTCGATTTTATAATTATTCACGTTCAAAAGAAGTATTAACGTCAGCCCGGAGCCACATGATGGGTGTACGTGCTTTTGAAGAGACAGTAGTGCAACATCGCAGCGGTTACCATGAAAAGGTCACCCGGGTGGCAAGCCACAGGGAATTCTTACGATGCCTAATCATTCGTCTTGATTAGAAGACCCGTAAGCAATGATCCATAAATCCGAAGAAAAGCAGGTGGAGTATTATCTTGTGGGTGGAAAATTCATAAGCTGCATCACCACGCTTAAGCCTTAATGCAGACCCTTCAAAACATTTAGTCATGAGATGATTATTAATACAGACAGAAATGGTGCATTTCTCCGTTTGAAGGCTTATTCAAATGAAAATGCGCAGTTAAAAGGCACTACTACATGCGCACTTGATGAAATGATAACTGAGCCCTACCTGCTGTTTAAATCAATTAGTACGGCATGTAGAACAAGTAAAGCCAAGCGGAAATATAACAGAAATCATGATCGCCGTCTTACATTTTGCAACAAAATAAAAAAAATCAAAATTTGATCTTTTTTTTATATTTTGAAATACATGTGAAGATAAAGATATTTTATTATAAAAATCAATTTTGTACTGGAAAAAAACAATTAATAGCGTCCATTACTATAAACAATTACGAAGCAAGCGACAATTGTTGCCCTCCGCTTTAGCATATACAGTAATATTACTTTCCCTGCTACAACATCTTTACCGTGTGTACAGATACAAGTACTAATTTTCGGACTCACTTAGACAAATTATGCTTTTGCTTTCAGAGTTTTTTATTAAAAAAACTCTGAAAGTATTAAAAAAATCGGAAACATTTCGTTTTAATCTGAACTGCTGTTTTTAACTTCGGTTTCGTAAATATTCTTGTCTGACGGATATTCCAGCCGATGTTTAACCGTCCAAGTGTAGGATGAATGTTCTTTAATGCTCAGCGTGTGCTCGATATTGCTTTCGTTATTCAGTACCAGTCCTTTTGCTTCAGGGCGCTCACGCGTTAGCGGTGGATCGATCAACGTGACCTAAAGCAATAAAGGCGATAACTTACTACTTATTTACGCGTGGGTTGATGTTTATTGGTACCTTAAGTTTTTCTTCCGTACTGCGGGGGACTTGTTCCATAATTACAACATGTATCGGATCAGGGCGGGTATTTGTCACCTGAATTTCTTGCACAAAAGTCACTACTTTGGTTTTATTGAGCATTCCACTTTGCTCGTTGAAACGACGCACAGGTCGGTACTTGACCTTAACGGCTGGATCCACACCCAAGGAGCAGGAGAATGTTTCCTGCGGACTGATTGCTTTTATATCCGTCTAGAAAAAACATGTACTGGATCAGGACAACAACATGCCAATATCATTACTTTCATAAAATTAAATTTTACGCAATATCTATGTAGTTTTGCATTAAGTACAAGATTAATAATTACCGTTGCAACAAAATTGGCTCCGAAAAAGATGCTTGCTGGACCCGGTAAAATCGGATAGGAACTGGTGTTGACAGCCTTGGCCTCCAGGAACGCCAGTTCTGCCTTCTTTGGTACGATCTTGTACTGAATTTGCGGTTGCATCTCCAGCGCTCCCACGGTCACTTTATGCTGCGACCCATCACTGGGAACCGTTGTCGCTTTAGATATTTCGAATGAGGTTGTAATAGCGGAACCTTGCACCTGCACATTAACCCGATGAACGGTAGGTTAGTCATGTCTCACATGACGGTACTAACACAGTATTAACAGCGTACCACCGTATGCTTTCGTGCTTTCTGCTCTCAGGCGTCTCAGCCATGATTTAGGCGGGAAAAAGTCGTAATTTTAAATTGCACTACTGCTCGTACTTGCCGATCTTGCAGTCTACAGAAACGGACGTTAAATTATCCGCGAATTCTGATCCGGCATTCCGATGTGTGAGGCAACGCGACGTGCGGTTTGTGGAGTTAAAAGTCACCGGCATGGCCGGAGGTGCACAATTGCAGCTGAGAGTCTTACCTGTCGGTACAGACTGCTCACTGCCGGCACCCTCCGCCTGTGCCCGATTTCTTCGCCCCCAAACAAACCTTCTTGTAAAAATTCGGTCCGGTCAAAGTGGTAGGTCGGATATAGCGCTCCACGCAGTCACTCTTCCACCTTCCGGCGCGCTGGATCTGCTCCTTCGGTAGGGATTGCGCCGCGGCCTCGGTTGCCGCTCCGATGCGGAAGCTGTGTGTGCTGATCCGGGCGCAGTCTGGGTGATCGTGCAATAGCGCCTTTAGAATTCGGTCAACCGTCGCGCGCGTTAGGTACTTTCCGCTCTGATAACAGAAGAAAGGGGTGGTGGTGCCGCCTTGCTTGATTCTAACGCGGTGGTAGTCGGTGATGGCGAGCACTGGGCAGATAGACCGGTTGGTGGCGGTCAGCGTTATCTTTGCGCCCGCAGCGCTCTGATCGGTTTTGGTACGTTTAAGGGAGATCGAAACCGTATTTCCTGCAATCACCACGTCTTGGAGAAGGAGAGTAGAGGCGTCGTCAAACTTGCAGCTGGACTTGGACGCTAACTCGCTGATGCGCAGGAAACCAAAGAACGCTACACAAAAGGCGCACCACACCATGACTGCTTCTTCGGCGTTGCCGTGCACTGAGATGCGCGATTTCAGCGTGCGCATGATGTCCAGCGTGATGGGCAGCCGCTTGTCCGGTCTCGGTCCGCGCAGCCTCTTGAAACCGCTCACCGCACGCACGACCAGGTCGTCGGCAGTAGGGTTAAGCAGGCCGGCTTCCCGGTGACTGTTGTGTACCGCTGCGAGGTAGACTTTCATGGTCCGGTAGGCTGCGTTCTCTTCTTATAAGGAGGCGACGTACGCAGCAACGGTAGAGGGAGTGGCTGGCAGAGACATGTGACCCTTTGCGGCGCAGAACCGTACAAAATGTGTCATCGATGCCCTGTACGTAGCTCTGGAGGAGTCAGAGATGTGGGCGTTGAGGAGCCGCCGCAGGGTGGCGCTCCGTGGTACGTAATCTGCAGGCTGGGGAAAAGGTCCGGGTGAGGTGTGGGCGTACTGAGCGCTGCCGGTGCGAGCGATCGGAACCGTGACATCTGAAACCGAGACAATGCGTCAGCAATGCCGTTGTCCACGCCCGGTATGTGTTTGAGCGTTAGCGTGAAATTATTAGTGGCCGCCGCCCACGTCATTCTTCGCATCAGATCGAGTACACCCGGGCTGCTGGAGCGCAGGTGTGCCCATGCCTCCACAGCGCCGGCGTTATCGGTGTGGAAGATCACTCTCTTCAGCCGCAGCTTATGCCCCCAAACAATTATGGCGAGCAGGATGGGCACCATCTCCATGTACTCTATCGAGAGTCTGGCCCGCAGCACCCACTCCGGCCACCTGGACTGGAACCACTCATTGTTAAAGAATGCTCCCAATCCCAGCGTGGCGGACGCGTCGGTGTAGAGATGCAGTATGTCAGAAGTGGTCCAGTCTGGCTGCAGGAAGGAGGCTGTCCCGTTCCACTGTGGCAGGAAGTCCCTCCACCAGTCGAGATCGGAGCGGAAGTCCAGGCTGATAGGGATTTCACGTTGGCCGTGGAAGTCTGCCAAGAGCCGTATCGTTCTGCGGGTAAACAGACGACTCGAGGGGATGCATTTGGAGGCAAACGTCAACGTGCCGATCAAACTCTGCAGCTCGGTGACTGTACAGGTGGTTTTTTCCTGCCAGTTGTTGAGGTTATCCATGATCTCCGCTAGTTTGCCGTCCGGCAGACTCAAGGTCTGTGCGCACGAGTCCAGCTCGATGCCGAGAAAAGTCAGACGGGTCGCGGGTCCTTCGGTCTTGTCAACCGCCAAGGGAACCCCGAGCTCGTTGCACACTTCCCGCATCGAAGTCATCAGAACTTGGCACTGCCTGCTTCTGGGGTTGCCAATGAACAGGAAGTCATCCACGTAGTGGAGGAGAGACTTGATGCCGGCGCGCCTTTGTACGCACCAATGAACCGCCGTTGAGAAAAACTCAAAGATGTATGGGGCGGAGCGGCAGCCAAACAGTAACACTACGTCGAAGTAGTACTTACCGTTAAATTGGTAACCCAGGAGATTCCAATCAGCCTTTCTTACGGGTATCAGCCGGAATGCGGACTTGATGTCCATTTTCCCCATCATTGCTCCCTTCCCAGCGACTGTGAGCAGCTTCACTGCGTCGTCGACGGAGCAGTACTGGAGTGGCATTTCGCGACCGTCTATGTAGTCGTTCACGCTGATTCCGGATGGCTGTGACAGGTCCAGAATCGTGCGATAGCCGCCGTCCTTCTTCGGTCGGCATCCGAGCGCGTTTACCACAAAGCACGGCAGCGGAGAAGTCAGAAACGGTCCCACAGAGTGTCCCGCGGCAACTTCCTTTTGTATGTTCCGCTGCAAAGCGTCGTGGTTGATCCGCGCAGAAAGCGAATTCTTGGTGTGGCGTGTGAACTGGGGTCCTCTGTACCGGATGTCAGCTCCAGTGCGAATTGTCGTGGAGATGAATCGGCGGAGGCTATCGTCTGGGTGTTCGGCGAGCATGCTCTCAAACGCATCAGCACGCAGTGGCGTCTGAGCATTTGCAGGCACTACCGTGAACTCAGTGTGAGTCCGACTTGCACTGCAGCGCCCGGTGGTCTTTGTCGCGGCACTTTGCGCAGACGTGCAGGCGTCCTTGACTGCATGGATCGCTACACCGGAACTGGTTATAGTTGCGGCAGACTTCGCCCTTCGCAGCTGGGGCTGGTCGAAAGGGCTGATGGCGTCCCGTCTGTCCCTTGTGCGGAAGCGGGCATTGTGCGATGAAGTGCCCAAGCTCCCCACAGTTGCGACATCTGTCCGTTGGAGCAGCACCTTTCTTCGGACGCGGTTCAGCTGGAGCGTCGCTGTGGCCTTCCTCCGGGACGGCGTTCTGTATGTAGTCCGCATACGTGTCGTCGTGCCGGCGAGCCCACATATCGTATTCGTGCGGGTGACTGGTCATGAGGGACCGGAACTGCCGGTCGTATTCGAGCCAATGGGCGGTCGGGACCCCCCGCTCGACATAAGCCGCAATAAGGTCTTGGTACTTTGCCAACGCTGTTGCCAGTTGTGGAGTTACCGTGACGCGGTAGGCCAAAAAGACGGAGAACGCTCGGATCCATGATGGAAAAGAATCAACGACGGATCTGGTTTCGTTAGGCTTAAGCACCACATTCCCCTTCGAGATCACCATTTTAGAGCCTCCATGTTTAGGCCTTTCAACTCGGTTCTTGGGCAGCAGGCAGTCGAAGTCGACGTAGCGCGACGGATCGAGCAGTCGCCTACGAATCCGGCTCGGAACTGCAGGTAAGTGCTCTGCTTGAGCGCTGTGCCGTTCTCCTGCAGACGTCGACGCAGTTTGGCCATCCCCAAATTGTCGCTGACGGGGGTGTGGACCCAGGCGATCGAAAACATCGCGGCGGACCAGTGAGCGGCTGCGGGATGACGATGAGCGGCTGCTGCTGCTGTGCTTACCTCTACGATGGTCTCCGTGATGAGCTATCCTCTCGGTAACGCATATTTCTATTGCCGTCTGCCAGAGACTCAATTTCGAGGCCGGCGTCCCCGGTCGCGGGCGAAGTAACGCGAGGTTCCCCGGTCCCCTTGGCTGCTATCGGCGTTACGATGTCGATAAACTGCTGTATTTTCTCGTTCTGGCGATCCATCAGCATCTTCCAGTCGGGCTGCGCTTGGTCCACAACGACCACTTCGGACCGAACAGTGGGACCAGGCGATCGGGATCGGCGGCGCTTTCGACCCGGTCTCGATTTTGGCTGTTGCTGCGTGTTGCTGCTGGCGACATCCCGGGCAGAACGTGTTCTCCGCGGGCTTGCCACGCGGGTGCTTGGCGCGGTTCTCTTTTTTCCAGCCATAATCTTAGCGGTAAAAGAAAAACTCAACGATTTTGTGACTTAGGGAGTCGAGAATTTTCGGAGAGCTTTTCGGAATTATTGAAAATTCTGCAGTTAGCAACAGGTGAAAACCGTTATGGCAAAACGATAGCGATGTGCGATGCGCACAGGCAAGATGCACACGGCCCGAACAGCGCCGGCAGGTACAGGGATGTAAGTACAGGGAAAAGACAGAATTACGCGGTAATTTAATTTCCGCTAATTCTTAACTGACATTTAAACTGCACAGTGAAGGGTAATGCGCTATTGCGCCTTGAGATTCTTAATTAATTCAAGAATAGGTCAGTAGCTTCAAAAATTTCACTCTGTTGCACTTGCAACAGAGTGAAATTTTTATTATATTACAAAGTTTTTATTTACTTTTTATTTACAAAGTTTTTATATTACAAAGTTTTTATATTACAGCGTTTTTATTTTACAAATATTACAAAATTTTTATTATATAATATTATATTTGTATGAAAAGACCCTTCTCGGGAAATGAAACGGCGTCTTAAAAGGACAGTTTGAGAAGCGGTATGCCGTACGTAGTCAATCAGCGGCTTTTAACCCGTTGACGGGCATTGGCGTCAGGACGCAACATGGTCTTCTGAATTTTTTTCCCAATGATTGGGAACAGTTAATGAATACCACTTAGCATAATTAGCAATAAGAGACTTTAAAGCAGCAGTAAAAACATAATTCAGACTTATATCTCAAGTTATTTACAAATGACCGTTGCCCCAAAATGGTTAATTTCGGACTTTTCAAGCTCTCGCAGATCTTACTAATTAACTAATTAGTGCATGAATAGTTAAACCAGAGATAAATCAACAAAGTACAGCTAACATCGTTCTATCCAAAATCGATTAACACGGGTCTCGTAAGTTGAACTGTAGAAGACCACAGTCCGTCAAAAATTTGTGTTGCGTGCCAACACCATTGCCCATGAACGGTCTCGAATACACGGGCGGGTGCAATTTCGACTGTTTCTCTTTATCACAATGTCATAATCAGATCAAGTTACTGTCGGTTCGTACGCAAAACATGCGTCACGCGGTTCTGTTGGTCGGAAGCTGGCAGAAAACGCTTTTGCGTATCAACACCCCGGGCGGTCGGCGAAAAGACAAAATCGTCTGTAAATTTTTCGGCTTCCGGAAAACAGAACGCTTACAGGAACCGAACATGATAGTCCTAATTGTAATTCTACCGTCGGTGCAGTAACACTGTGAATGGCGGCACAACACCACGCGCTTTGCCCCGTTTCTACATATTGACACATCGCTTGGGCAAGCTAAGCGAGAGCTGCACAGCCTTTCAGAAACATGAGTTTTGTTCGATCAGTCTCGGGCGGTTGAAAACTAGAGTAACTGCACAGTGCACACTGTACGCGTGCACATTGGGGATCTTGACCTTTGCGGCAGCCTAGCTACAGTAGTTTCTTCCGGTCGCTAACGCGTTCCAGAAGGTGCTAGTTACCGGTGTCTAATATCCCATTTTGCGCCAATGACCACTGTAGCTGGACTATCCGCGCCGCCTTTTTGGACAGTGGCACTTGCGGCCATACCAAGGAAAAATGCAAACGTGTACAATGCGGGCAGTATAAAGGCGGCTAGGCGTGCCAGATATTCAAGAAATGCATTGTTAAACTTCAGAAATATTGCTCCGTGCAGTCTCGTATGAGAGCATGATGAAAGTTATGGGAGAGGAGTATCGTTAGCATAGTTTATTTTCTGTATTCCGTCTGCAAATAGTGGTCAAATACATGGCAACGGGATATGGTAGTTTTTAATTTTTTGCTGACCAGTGGTCAACTTGTTGACCACTGCTATGCTCTTGTTTGGAAGTACTTTTTTGTACTATTTAATGGAATTATTGCTTTTATGTAATTCCCGTTCGTCTAATTATCACAAAATTAAACGTTTTTATGCTGTAGACCGTCCATGGGCATTGGCGTTGGCAAACACCCTAGTCACCACGGCTGACCTATGGTCAGCACAAGCTTACAAAAAATTCCCGTTCTTAATTGATTTTTTTCATCGGGAAATCCCGATTTTCAAAAAGAAAACTCGCATTCCTTCGGGTACCGCCCGCTGGAGGGTTAATTCATTTTTAGCGTTTCGGGGCAATAAGACCGAGCAAGCAAGCATAAATCCCGATTAATTAAGATAGAAGTATACAAATACACTACAGTGTAGGCTCTGAATTAGTGATCTATTGTATGTAGCTACCGTATATACCGGTATAATAATGTACTCGCACGCACCACTTTAGCCACGGCTGTATGCATAGGTCGAGCCCAAGAAACGCCGTCAGCATGCTCTGCAATTTCCTCTCCCACATCAAAGTACTCACTGGCTTCTCTCTTGTGCAGAAAGTTGACGGCTCCCCTAAGGTAAACGTGAAATGGAAATAAAACGGCTATTCTTGCAAAAATCTGGTTATTCGCAAAAGGACCTGCACAAAACAACAAAGTTTCTACAGTACCTTAACATCGATCTGCTACTCCCTGGTGGTGGGATACTGTTAGTGTATGGTGACGCAAACGAGAGCTAAAAGAATACGGGCGTCGTGGTAACTTCAACTGCAGATCCGACCAAATTTAGAAGCAAACAGAAGCGCTTCAGTGGAATTCCCATATTCCATGAAGTCACTCGTTTTATTTAATGAAAAGACTTCGTTACCTGCTTGGTTCCCAACTCCGGAACATTAGCACCAACTGCCGGCAAAGCCGTTGACAAGCAGATTTGGACGTCGGACCAGTCTTCATTTGTGCGTTGCGAAATGAGCCCATAATATGTGACCTTTACAACGTAACAGGTAGTGTAGGCTGACAGTATGTTAAGCAGACGGTATATTTGTTAATACTCACGCACCGACAATTTCTTTGTGTCTGAAGCCACTCTGACATCATACTTTGGACTCCAGCTGGCATTGTGCACAATGTATTTAACATTAAGCTCCAGTTCGCCTTTTGCCTCGGCTATTAGCGTTATTAAAATATTCCTAAAAACAATTGTTAGGTAATAGAATGCACAAATGAAAAAACGATATAAAATCCTACATAGTCGATACACAACGGACGCCACTCGGAAAGAAGACTGTGCGGACTGAGTTATCATTTAAGAGATTAAGCCTTACTGAAGGTTTTATGTCATTGATGTACGCTTTCTTACCATGTATTCTGGCTGCTTGTGCTGGTATATTCGTTAAGATTTTTCTTGGCTGTCTCAATACTTTCGTTCAGCGTGTTCAAAACGCGGCGCTGTTGAAGTAGTTTTTCGTCCAGTTTACGTGTCTCATTTGTTTGCAATCCCAAGAACTCGATCATGCTGTTTCCCGTGTCGGATATGGCTGGCGACATTGTCTTTTTCTTTGCCGCAAAAGCGTTCTATAAACAATGGACGCGGAATAGAAAATACTAGGAAAGTGCACCGCTTTAGGCTAGCACTATAAGACCGAAGCGAAGCTACTGCTAGAAACAGTAAAGGGAAACATAACCTAACGGGCTTCCTATTATTTCGTCCACCATTCATTTTGTCCATCATTCATTTTATCCACCATTCATTTTGTCCACCAATTACTTTGTCCACTAATTATTTACTCCTTTAAACTACAGAGAACCGTTTAAAGTTCAAACCGATGAATACCGTTAAAGCCGAAAAGAATTACTACCTAAGAAAACCTAGGGTAGAATTACCTAATGAATCTAAGAAATCCTAAGATAACCTAAAGCACAGTAATCGTTCTCACTTCTCAGCATAGTGTTGAGGGTTGCGAGGTGTTGTATATCGTTTAACCTAAACCACTGTAATCGTTTCAGCACAGAGTTAGCGTTTGCGTAGGTGCAGTAAAGTATAAATCGAACTCGGTAGTGTGCATCGAACTGTATGGTGGACATAATGTACAGTGGACAAAATGAATGGTGGACGAAATGAGTGGTGGACAAAATGAGTGGTGGACCAAATGAAGGGACACGACCCAACGAGGTCATACGTTCATATCTGCTTGCCAAGACTTTCGTACTAAGACTCACCATTCTGTATAATGTAAGTAATACAACAAAGTCCTTGAGTACGATATTGATTACAAGACTGTATGTGTTTCCATAACATTCGTATACTACAGATTAACGTTCATTACTCACCATTAGTACAAGATGCACGGAATATTAATGCCGCTTACTGCTAAAAGTACGAGTAAGTGACGCTTTTCTTTTTAAGTGGAAACGTGCTTACCGAACTCTTTATACGTACTGCAAGTGATACGAGCAAGTTTTGGGCGCCAAATAAGAAAAAAGTTGCCCGCGATAGGGGCGTGGTCCCTCATTACAACCTTGCGGCAGAATGCCCTGTTACGCGTTTTCACGAGTTGCCGCTCAAGATTTGTCTGCTAACTGATTGACTAACAATGCAAACGTAGGTCAATAGATATCACAATGGACAGAGGTCATAAATACAACAAAGGTTACGGTTGCTACGACATCTCGTTTACCGTTCTGCAGTTTCTTAATGTCTGCGCCCCTGCCAATCCACTGTTTCTTAGCAGATAGAATTGAATCAAGCTGAATCTAGGAATTTGCTGGACTACATTCCCATTTTACTGTTCCGACTCCCTAGCTTAGCTTCGGTCTTATATGCTAGCATAGAACGGTGCTACTTCTATGTCAGTAATAAATGATACAGGAAAAAAGGATAGGGGTTGCTTTTTTGAATATAGAGGGTCTACTATCACTTCAGCTGCTAAATCAGTCAGCTGTGCGCTGTTTCTTGGTAGTTAGTCTAAGGACATTCTGTTAGTACCGTGTTTAGTAAAATTTGCTCTTAGGACTGACAAAACACGTTAGTAAGCACATTAGTGTTTTGGTTTAATGCGCGGTTACAGGTTCCCCTACGTTGTAGTGCCTAAATGTTATTGAGCGCCTAGCAGTCTCATCTAAGTGCCCCTAAGTGTCGGTCACGCCCTAACTACTTAGGGCGTGACCGACAACTTAGTGCGTGACCGACGTGCGTGACCGACGCACAAAAATTCCCGTTTTCTTGAACATAGAGGACCTTCGCTTCGCTTCGGTCGATTATTAATTTTACAGTGCGTCAGGGAATTTTTAGCGTCTTTAGGACATATATAGAATGCATAATACTCAGCTCCCCCAGTTAGTAACTGGCCTTGTTTACCGAAGCAAGTGACTCCATGCATTCTTTCCAAAATTCTAAATGCTTTTTCAGTCTAGCCTCTTCTGACTCCTCGATACACTTCTGCTCATTTAGCCGCTGCAATTCGTCACGCAGTCTTTTTTCTTTTTGATTAGTGTCTGAGGTTTGCGATTTTTCAATGTAGTTATTGGATAAATTCACATCGGTAATTACAGCTGGTCCGTGACCTTCCACTCTAAAAACAAAATTCGGATGACACTAGCACTAAAGCAATTCTAACGAAATCGAAATTGTAGTTCATTAAGTGAACGGTTCCAAAACTTTGATCTACTAGACCTTGTTTATCACAAACTTACGAAGTTTTAAAGGAAGATATTAATATGCAATGGTTTTTTAGTTCAGCTATGTAATGCTGTGGTACTGCAATCATGCGGTTTACCCTTCATACCTTAACGAAGCTAGATCAACGGGACTACGGATTTGTTGTATAACCACTTCGTATTCTCCCGGTTCGGCTTTGAAGCGCAAGATGCGGGAAATCTCGGCACGATCAAGGTATACGGTCACTGCGCTAATTGGAGCATCGCTCGCTACAAAGCTGTGGGTTGGTATATTTTTCCAATACGAATACTTGCAGGTACTATTAGTTACCCCGCAAACGCATTTCATGGTTACCCCACAAACGCTCAATTATTCTTTTGGGCAAATACGAAATTTTATTCAACAGCCGGACATTCTTATTTACCGGCTGATAAATGCGAATGTTCTCCCTGTATTTGGTTCTTAGATATAGCTTGCTTATTCTCAAAGAACACGAAGTATGACGACGTATTTGTGCTCTTCCAAGTTGCACTTACCGTTGAAGAATGATCGCATCTTGGGAAGGGTTTCTAACTGCAGATTCCTTGCGGTGGTTACGGTAATCGGAGGGATCATAAAATCCGGGTCGGATTCTACTGACTGGATGGTTTGCTCACTTTGCGGTTCCCTTTCCACGCCAACTGTTGACGAAGCCGGCTGGTTATTGTGCGATCTTTGACTAGCTGTTGATTTATTTCGCTTTATACGGAAACAGCCTTTCTTCTTCCCCATTAACAAGCAGTAGCATCAATGCGCAAGATTCTCTCCACGGTACTTGCGATCAAAACCACCAGAAGCAGGCCATTAATTAATAAGCGCAAACTTACTTTATTACGCAACAAAATGTTTCAAGTTATGCAGCAAATATATGCAAGTTTGGAGAACTATTGCAAGTTTAATTGCAGACTGTGATACGGTGAGTCGTCTGCAACAGCGAAATCGGTGATAACCATATACGGTACTCGTATACTACAACAAATATTTACCGTTTCCACTGTTAAGTAAGCGCATTGTGTTCGTATCGCGCTTAGTTCCGCACAAATACGGCAGCAAGATATTCGGACTGCTTACATAACCTACAGTATTGTCGTTGCGATAATAGCGACGTTTGCTTATATAAGTTAAAATGGACGACTCAATTCACATATTTTTCTATAAAATACGTATCAGATTATTAACAACCACACCAATGCAGTGAGTTATAACATTTGCCGAAGAATCGGAAAGGACAAAATTAATCAATAGTACTGATAAAAGTTAAGTTTTGATAATATTTTACGGTTCAGAAGTAATGCCGAAGGTTTTCGTGGACTTCAACGTGCACAGCGCTTTTCTGTCTGGTGTCAGAATTTTTGGGCTTACAGTTGGTTCGAGTACATATGTTTGCAGATAGACAAAAGTAATGAATGCGAAATTTGTGAGCTACGATGATTCCGGTAAAGGTATCCTGACAACTCTCCGTAAGCTGAAAATAAACACTAATGGATCGAAAAGGGACTGTGCTGCGTACAAAAAGGTACAAGTTTCAATAACAATATTTGCCGGTCGAACACTGAAATGCCAAGTTAGGAAACATATCTGTAACGGTAGCCAGCATATTACGACACTGATACACGTTAGTGTCAGCACAAGGAACGGCTTCACTCTGTCCTTGATTGGATAACTTCTATGTGTACTGGCATCTGTCCGATAACGGGCACATGCGTGGGCGTTTGCTGGGTCAGGCAGGGTAGAAATTCCAGGCATTCCGACTTTCTTTTTGTACCATCGCTTTTTTGCCAGAATGACGTACACCACAACGATGATTAATAAGGGTATGTGACGATCAATGATGTTTTTCGCCCGGTTCCAGTCCGGCATGACACCTGTATATACGAGTACTTACAACTATGCTACAGTGCGTAATATTGCTTTTGCCCTTGAATTTCGCTTTACTGTAAAATATACAAATCCTGTCCGCTTAATTGCTATCCATAAAAGCAGTTTTTAATTGAAAATAGTCTAATTACAATAACTAATTATGAGACGCCATAACAGCAAATATCACCAATGCTTCTGACAATACGGTAAGCTACAGTACAACCTCTTGATCGCTGCTGAAATCGTTTTCGATAGGTGCTCATTTATAAACCTGCTGATTTAATAATGGCTGGCATTGTATAACACATTTTACATACCGTAAAACAGTCTGCACTCAGGATTCACTTCCGGTCGGTAATAATACAGCACTTCCACAATAAACCCCGCCATTGCAAAGGTGTGCGCCCAAAAGAAAGCGACAAAACATAGGCACGCCGCCACGACCTTGTTGTGTCGGCTGCGATATGATATCGGATGTTGGATGGCCCACCAGCGGTTAACCGCAATCAGAACGTGCAGCGGAACGGGCACCACGCAGAACACTTTAGTGGCATACAGATTGAAAATGCACACCGGACTTCTCATTATCCACTTTCCATTCCATTCGCGCAGAAGCGAGAGGGGCCAAGTGGTGAACAAAAATACCAGATTAGCAATATACAGCGCTACTAAGTAGGTAGTGAAGGGTGTAATTTGTTTAGGACGGATAATGTGGTAGATGATGACACCGGCGTTCAGCCCGATGGACACAACAGTCATGATTAACTTGATCCAGTTGGCTGTGAGTGACTCGATGTTGTGGACTGTATTGTTGTATTGTGGGCTGCGGAAAGGAATTGAGAAATTGGAAAAACTGGTATTTAAATTTTGAAGATCCATGCTTCGGGTAACCTTTACAGATAAACGGTCACGAGGTTGTACATTGTCGATGAGAAATTTAATTAGTGAGAGGAAGAAGGCATCATACAGTCGCTGTCTTGAAAATTTAAAGCAAAACCATCAGTCGATATAGAGAAATCACTGAAGTACGTAAATTGCAAGTGAGATGTCAAAATCTCCAAAAGAATTGTATGCGACAGCGGGCGTCTGCCTCAAAAATTCCGCTTAGGAGTGAGTACTCGTGCCGGCAGATTTGCGCAAGCACTCTTATATATTGAAAAAGTGAAATCGAAAGCGAGCATTTCACGGTTCATGCTTGGCGAGCAAAATTAAAAAGGCGAGAAGTATTGGCGTCTGGAGGTTGAACCTTTCTGGAAGAAATTAAAATTCCTAAGAAAGTCTACCTACAGCTTCCTGTTGCTGCTCTTTTTTAAGGCTCATAATGTTTAATCAATCGATGTAACCATCTACCGGAAACAATTATAAACGACCTTTAATTTATACGTATTACCGTTATTAACTCCATAAGTATAGCAGGATGTAGCACACCTTTGTCAAGGCAGCTTTGTGATTTTTTTCCGGGACGTTTGCTGATTATTGTTCGGTCCGGCGAACAGTTGATCAGACAAAGCTACCGCAGCTCATGACAGTTTTGCCTTACAGATAGAATTAACTGTAAATACTATGCAGTGAGCAACCACCCTTGTTCTAAGTACATTCTATGGGATTCCCGATGCGTGATTTTTAAGGTGTGTTTGACGGCTTTGCTAGAAGTGCTTGTCAATCGAAATTCGCCTTGAACTATCTGTCATTATTAAGGAGCAAAATACGCTGCACATACTTCAACGGCAACATCTACGCTGCCGATGTAGATGAATTTAAGGAATCACCCAAAAACCATTTATGCAACTACGAACTACTGGGGCAATCGTCAACGTGTACAATACACAGATTTTTAATAAATTAATAAGTCACCAAATGATTTCAGAACATTCAAACATTTTCAATATTTTCGCAAATCAGTCTATGTTACAGCTGCACAATTTGTACAAGTTCTCGTTCGGATGTTTCCGGTTCAACTAGCATCGACGAGACGCACTTCGCTACGGATATCATTATTTTAATTTGTACGGCTACAATACCATACCCGCTGTCATCAGCAGAATCCAATCTTTGACAGCGCGGTAGCTGCATTTGTTGGAAACGCAACACTGTAATACGCGTAAAACGTGAAACAAGTGCAGCACCGTTATCTATATATTGCTTTCAAATACTTATATTATGGGGGTCGTAATCTGTTTGGAGACACTTTGCTAACTAAGCAGTTTTAGTGTATGAAATAACTCTGCATTCTTTTATTTGCAAAGAAGAGTGTTTGCACTGTATCACCATTCGACTGAATACTTGTATTTACAAAATAATTATTAACTGCAGTTACACATACACTATTAGCCATTAGTAAGGAGTATTTGATGAGATACAGAGTACGAGTCTTTAGACTTGTGCTAAGCTTGACCCGTGAATAACCTTTCCATCAAAATTCAATTCTTCTGTTAACGTTGTTAGCCAATTGCTTCCTGCATGATGTTTTTTCGCTAACAGGAATTCTTTTTCGAATAGAGTTATCGCCTGTTCTTTTGATAATGGGATCCATGTTTAGACGTTTTACGCTGTTTTTCATTTTACTGTCTGCTGTTGGACTTTTTCCACATTTAGTGCGACAGATCATACTCGACAGGAAACCTAAAAATCAATTCGGGACATTATCCTACTATTGTTTACAACTATGTTCTTTGCTCCTGTACATATGGTCAGCTGCATTCCTCTTGTTTTTGTTTCTCAGTGGCTTCATTCAGCTTTATATATTTTGCCGGTCGTTCGAAAAAGATGACAAAATGAGCGAGATCTTGTTAAAAGCGTTTCTTTCGCAGTGGATAATTATTGCGCTACTCATAAGTCTCTTTTTTTTCGTCAAGAGTATCAGGTTAACAAAGGTCATGGATCAGCTGGATATTAATTTGAACGATATCCGGCGGATGTCGTCATTAGATTTCCCTACGGTTATCAGCCGTAGTGGCACAATTTTTAACATTATTGTTGGTGTGGGAACAGTTTTCTCGGCTGGTTTATCGTTAATCTGGATGATCGCCATTGTATCACCCCTCAGCTCCAAGGCGAAGTCGGCAGGAGTTCTACTCGTTCTCCGAACAATAAGCGGCAATATGTCTCTTACCAGCACTGCTATGATGTCTGATTATGGGGCGTATGGGGGGTCGATAAATAATCAAACAACGGACTTGCCGGACACTGTGCCAACCTTAGTTAATTTTTTAATTTTTGGAGCACTTGTAGGCAGCCTGAGCAGTTTACTGTGCGCCATGGCTTTATTTGGTGTGCAGATCCTTTTCATGCTAATAACGCTCCCGTTACATAGCGGTTTAGTTTCTTTAAACCGGCAGTTGAAAAGTCTTTTTCAAAATTCTGCTGGTTCTTACGATAAGAGCTTTTTTACCAGGCTTAGTGACCTTTCCACGCAACATCTGGAATTAACAGTGCGGATTAGCGAATTGGATAATGTCTTTGGTCCGATGTTATTGTGGCTATTTGTGTCGGATCTGTACGTTATTGTAACGGGATTAGGCATCATCAAAGGCTCAGTGGTCGATTCCGGAGGCTTGTTTTCGCAGGAATACACTCCGGATAAATTCGTTGGAAGTATTTGTTTGGGACTGATACTGCTTGTTCTCCGAATATTTTGCGCTGTTCGTGTTGAGGAACAGGTAAACGGTTTAACTGATGATAAACATGTGACTATCTCATTTTGGATGCAGTGGTTTGAATTGTGACAGATCGTACATGTATTGGAAGCTGACCCGTGCTCATATTACTTTTTTAGCATGTCTTCGAAATTGTTTTGTTGGAAAAGACTTGCAATATTTTGCTCGGGTCAGAGTTCTGAAAATTTATGCAATCGATTACTAATCACATTAAAATTTATTACGTAGAGCGGAGCCTTTAGCACCACATTTGCCATCCTCATGGAACGTCATAGAATTGCCGATCGCTGTGGTGGCAATTACGCAGGCTATGTTCAAACAGTCAACACTCGGTTAGAAAGGGTAACGGGAACGTTTACCCTTTACGAGCTGTGCCACTTGGACAAAAGCTTTGTTGCAACAGTAAGCAAACTCTCCTGACTAGGCCGATTTTTCATTTGAAAAACGTAACGCATACAGATATGTACAGTGTAGCATATAACCTTTATTCGTTTTATTTAATTATTTTATGCAGTTAATGCGCTTTTGTTATTGCACATGCGATGGGCGCGTCATGGGATTTTATTCTAAGTACTGTAGTTTCTCTCCACTTTCCTGTTTAGGTCATCGGCGTTATGTTGACATACATAACACTTCTTTGGGAAATGGATAAAAAGTAACTGTCACCGTAACATACAGTATAGTATGCGCGTTGCTGTAAGCTGTGAAACGAGACTATTGGATCCAGCGCGAGTGAAATGAGACCATTGGAAACCGTCAGATCATTGGCCATAAATTCAGACTGCACTCTCTGTAATTATTCTGTACCAGATATGAGTTCTATAAAATTATTGCTGTTCTGTATTCTGTTGTTCTGTACTGTTTAGTTTCTGTATTAACGTCCTAATTTCTTACAGCACATAAAATGGCAGCCCAACATTGCTAATTGACTAGTTCGAAAAACTGAAATTGACCGGGAACGACGTAGCGCTGCTGTTAACTCAAAATTCATTGAGCAACATCTTTTTGTCCGTGACTGTAACAACTAACTGTTTGACGGAATTCCTAACTGTGAAAACTGAAATGCTCTGGCAGGTCACCAATTCGCTTCAAGTTATGATCGTTGCAAAGTTATTTACAGATCACAGGGCTAAGTTTTTTAAACGTTACACAACTTTATATGATGCTGAAGAAAGTTAAATTCCATAATTAGCTTCTTAATCTAATCTGCGTCGCCACAGTGCATTCTTTGCAAACTAGTTAGAATTAGCCAGAACATTTTAAAACCATTAAAACTAATAATTTCGTTCCCACTATAAAATGAACATGCGTAATCCTTTTCATTGCTGATTATGACGATTCCGGTGGTGATGATTTTCTGTTTCGGCGCAAACAGAAAATGTATACTAACGGATCGAAGAGCGACTGAACTGCGTACAAGTACGCACACGTTTCAAAAACAATTGTCGACGGTCGTGCATTGAAAAACCACATGAGAAAACATATCTCTAAAGGAAGCCAACACACGACGATACTGACGCTGGTCAGCGTCAACACAAGAAAAGGCTTCACTCGGTCCTTGGATGCCTGGCTTCTACCCGGGGTAGACCGATAAAGAGCATTAGCGGGAGAGTTTGCGGTGACTTGATTTGCAATCACTGCGCCTCCATTAGGCTTTCCGACTTTTTTGCTATACCATCGCTTTCGTGCCAGGATTGCGTATATGACAGTGATGAGCAATATGGGGATGTGACGATCGACGATGTTTTCCGCGCGGCTCCAGCCTAGCATGACGCCTGTGTGCAGAACAGTAACACAGCCTATATAAATCTTCACTTTTAAATTAATTTAAGTCAATCAAGATTCACGACTACGGAAATATCACCTCCTTCATGTACTCTCATCATATTTTGATACGTATTTTAATTCTTTTTTCAAATTTTGAGAGTTAATGTTTTAAACCACCTTAACTCTAAAGGTCACTCGTAGGGCATGGACGTACGATATTGCTGAAACCGGCACTATGAAGCAGCGTAAACGCGCATTCGGCTGGGCCCGGCCAGTGATTACTATTACGCAACACAATTTTTAAGTACTAAAAACGATTTCCAACCACATGTCATTTGCAACAGCGGCATGCAGAGCGCTACGGCTTTATTTTTTAACTTTTTTAGAAAAGCAACAGTTTGACGACTAACTATACGTACCATAAAACATCCGGCAGTCAGGATTCGATTCCGGTCGATAATAATACAGCACTTCGACGACTAATCCCGCCATCGGGAATAAATGAGACCAACCTACTGCTGCGACACACATGCAGGTAGCGGTGACCTTATTGTGGCGATTGCGGTACGATATTGGATGTTGAATGGCCCACCAGCGGTTAATCGCAATCAAGGTGTGCAATGGAACCGGCACCACGGTAATCACTTTACCGAGGTACAGATTGAAAATACACGTCGATCTCCCCATTGTCCATTTTCCAATCCACTCCCGAATAAGGGTGAGGGGCCAGGCGGTGAAGAAAAACACTATGTTGGCAATATATAGCGCTAGTAAGTAGATAGTAAAGGGCGTAATTTGCTTAGGACGAATAATGTGGTAGACGACGACACCGGCATTCAGCCCGATGGCCACAACAGTCATGATCAACTTGATCCAGTTGGCTGTGGTTGACTGGAGACTGTACGCAGATTGCGGGTTATGAAAGAGCGAGGATATATTAGAAGAATTAGCACTTGTATTAAACTGCAACTCCATTGGTCATTCGTATTTTCTACTTTCAAACACAAATGCACCACATCTTACATTATGGACAAGAGAGATTTGTATGAACGCGAAATATTTGGTGGAGTTTACAGTTGCCATGGATCGTACACCCCAAATCATCCCCCTAAATATCCAAAATCTAAGTGCATGTCCTCGCTTTTGAAATTGCTGCTATGTCACCGAAAAATTTTGCAGATATGAGGTAAGCTTTCTACTGTTAAGCACTTTAAAATGACAATCTTGGCGTTTCGGTTAGGTAACCATATGTCCATGACAGTTTTGCTGGCACCGGAAGCAATGCGTCCTTTTGCTCCGCTTAGTTTCCTGGGAAAGTGGAGCATTTAGCAGTACGGTTTATTTCTTAGAATTGATAGTAGTCGGAACCACTAAGTAAACTCGGATAGATTTGTTCGCTCGTGATTAATCAACAATTTAAGGCACGTGGCTTAATTATATCCGTTCACAGTACGCTTGTAAAGTTGGTTACAGTAAACTGTTCGATTAATTAAACGAAGTGGCAGCTATTCTAGCTTCTGTTTTGCTTGTTGTCACCTTTGTCGTCGATCCTTTACCGTTAATTGGAATGGATTTTTCATTTAGAAGATGTCACTGGAAGACGTTGCCTTTTGTTAAACGTATTGAATAAAGTCAGTTTCTCATTCACAATGTTTTATTTTTAGCCACGGTTTCAGTTTCTACTGCCCTTTCAGATCCATTGTGATTCATATTTTATTTGTACTGTGATTACTTCCATTACGCATGCATCGTACGTAATACTGTAATGTACTGTATTCGCCAGCTTAAGATAAGGGAAACGTGTTTGCAGTTTCTGCTGTCTGTAGGACTCGTGTTCTCGATTTCTTTCACAAAGCCATAACACCAGAATAGATCCCTTTTCCATCCATCTTCTTCATGAGCTTGCAGACAGTAGCTTTGCGGGTTCTGTTATGAATACCCAGTAGGTCTTCATTAATCCTCTTCCCTGAAATAATTGATAACTCATTTGTTCATCGCCCTAATCTAATTACTGCCATACAATGGCTTACAATATTACAGTATTCCATTTTAGAATGAATTACGTTAGCTGTACAGATTTGTTTACTAAGTCGCTTTAATACATCGTAAATCTATACTGTACTTTGAGCGAGATCGTTCCTCGACACTGGAAGCGAAAGATTGGCAAGGTATCCACAAGGAGCTTTGTATCTGGACTGGCCTGAACCTTTTGACCTTTAAAAGAACGAACATATCACTTGTCTATAAGTGAATTATCCACAAATAATTCGACTTTTTGGTACCTTCACACGTTGTCGAAAGACGTGAGGTAACATTCACAGTATCGCCGAATCTGCAGTAATACCGCTGATTGAGAATAGAGTTAATAAATGACTGCAAATTCGCAGAGCTTACAAGCAGTATCTCTGCATGCGAATACCAACGATCCCGGCAACCAGAGGTCCTGCAACGCAACCACAGTGCGATTTCATTCTTACATAGATGTCAAAAAGCGTTGATCGGGATTAAAGGCAAACCATAGGCGTACCGCTATGGATGCCGACACAAACTCGGATTTCTTGTCCACCGAATAGCGTGCTGGACATTGACTGCACAACGGCGCATCCGAACTGCAGCGCTTGACCGGCATGCTGGCTGCCCGCACAGCGCACGGGAACGCCGCTGACAACCTAATCAATACGTACAAGTACACAAACTATAAACCACGAAGTAATTTATCTGATCGCTGGTTTACTTAATTCAGTGCGCTGATTTCTTATGCTTGTAATACCGGTAATTACATATCTGTGCACGGAATTGCTGATCACTTAATTTAGTTGTCTAGTTTCGCACCATGTAATTTTCTGAAATCGTTTCCACTTTGTATACGTCAAAGCGCGACAAAATCCGATCCATGACAATATAAATTTCGTTCAAGATGTTGAACAGCGTCTCGGGATGACCTTCGGTGGTGATGAAACCAATGTCGCAAATCTTGGTAAATATCACTGTCGCGCTTTCGAACGACTCGGGAGGTATAGATTTTCCGAATCTTAACGCTTCCGCTATGGTTCTAAAATCATAAATATCGCTATCACAAAAATATACTATAGTATTACCAACCCAGTTGTTAAAAGTTTCGAATTACATACGGAGGAAATATTTCCTTCAGTAAAGCTGCGGACTTTGCCATCTCCTCGACAAGGAATCCATTCTGCTCGTGGAAACGAATCTCCAGTTTGTTGGCATAGCTGTTAATGTTGTCTAGGAGCAGGTCGAAATACGACTTATTGCCGCTGCGATGGGATACTTTCTCCAGAATTCTGCGGATGACGGTAATCGACGGCCGTCTGGCCGCGTCTTGCTCGCAGCATCGTGCCGCTAATGACATTGTACAACACGTCGACGAGCGTGGGCGAGGCGTTGTATGGGGATGGCCTCTAATTTCCTTGTTGACATATGCTGCAATAACGCACGTGCTGGGATTAAACGACACAAATTTGACAAAGTCAAGCGCCACAATACTTTCTATTTTCTAAAGACAAGACTGGGGAAAAAAACAGTAATACCTCGTAAGAACTAACAAGTGACCAAAGATGGCTATACAAGAACGTGCAACTTTGAATCTCTCTCTTAATTTATCCTGTTACACAAAAACAGCATTACTCTCATTAAGGACACAGAAATGTAAAAGTACGGTACAGTTAATGCAATGCTGTATGCTGAAGAGCAGCAGGACGTCATTTTGTGGACGATAGGTAAGGCTGTGCAATCATTCTATAATTTGTGGAACGTAAACCTAGTTCTTGCAAAATCCTAGCAGTTTCAATGTTGTACGTGAGTTGGTATTAGGCAGCATACATATTACCTGGATCATAAAAATAATAATACTTATTATGATTTTGTGACAAATCGAGTGTGTACTAGTTATTTTAGTGACAGTACCCGAGGCTTCGGACATATTGTTGATGAATTCCCTGCCATGAAAAACGTCTCCGGTCTGACTGCTGACCTCTAGCATAATAAGGCCCAGCCGGTGAATATCCGCTTCCTTGCTGGGCTCTTCTCTTGCAGCGTCGGCTGCTTTTTGTAGCAGTGCTCGTTGACTGCCAGCCGACGTCTTCTGCATCCACTTAGCCGACAGAAACGGAATTCCGAAATCGGTTAAACGAATACCAAAACGATCGGTCACCATGCAGTTTGTTGATTTTAACAGGCCGTGACACTTAAACACCGTCGTGTGAATAAACGACAATCCCTAAACATTATAATTGTACGTGTAATGCTCCTTATACGATGCCATACTATCATGAAAATGTATTATGAAAAAAAATATTATGCAAACCACAAATTAAAATTTTTATGCACCTCAGCGATATCGAACAATAGTGACATTTGCAACGTCATATCCATCCATTTCTTTTTGTGTGCCAGCAGCTCATCGAGCGATCCTTTGGCGAAGTACTCGGTGACGACGTAAGCGCAGCTCGGAGTAAACGCGCAACCGATAAATATTGCAATGTTTTCATGTTTGGCATTGAGGCGCTGTTAACCAATAAACAACTGGTAAAGTGATTAAATATTTATGCACTTGACGTCAGTGGTAGCCAACTCGTACTGCATTAATCAAATCAATCCAATCCGATCTCATCTGGCCGCGCTGGACATTTGCGCAACGCCTGGCCCAAACAGTGGTTTCTTTGTACACTGCTCGACCTGAAAGTTTCACATGTCAACGATTATGTCCACGCGACATTTATAATGAATGTCAGAAATTCGTTTAGAAAATACGACGTCTTACCTTCCATATAATGCTGCATTATCTACCCGAAACAACGACTGGATTAATGTTTTCTGCAGTGTTTAACAACATCTATGGATTGTTAATTCATTATGCTTGGAAAACGATCTGCTTACGTCAGGAAGAATATCGCTGCTATTCGATCGGAGTGGAAAAATAATTTCGTAAACTGAAATTTCCCAAGCTGATTCTCGTCTGGCTTGATTCCTGTACAAAGTAGCCATGAAATTAATTCCATCTAGTTCATATCACTATTATCTAGAATTAACACGACTAACACGACTGCAGCAATTTAAAGTTTTATGCGTGGGTACTACTTGTTCTTACTGGTATCGCCGCATGCCGGCAACCGTTGCAGCAATGGAGATAATGGCCACTAGCGAGCCGGCAGCAACAGCGTACGGCAGGATATTTGTTTCTGAAATCAAATAAAATTAAGCAGGACTATGGCAGATTAGTTAGTACAACGTCAGGATATTTTACAAAATTAACTTACGCTGACATTGTGGAACTTCACCAAAAAATCCACACAGTGGAACATTGGCCGGTGCCGAACGATTTCCCGGCCAATACACGGAGCGACCCAGGAAAGGAACCAATTGAAAGTCAGATTTGTCCCATAAATACACCTCCTGACAATTCACAAAACAGAACCTGACAATTTGTTATTACAGTTACGTATATCAGGGTTACAGGAAATTGATGGCTAACCTGAAACGCTTCTGCATCTTCCGGTAAGCTTTTCACACTGTAATTATTATCCTTGTCGCCATTGTTATTCAGCTTAACACAGCCCAGATCCGAGCAGAACATCCGTCCCCACGCTAATTTCTCCAGTATTTTATCATGTAGCGTGTGCGCATGAAGGTACCATGCCTTTTCAGTCAGAATCTAATACGAAAAATACAGTTATTATGAGATCTGTGCTTTCCTAATTAGCCTCTTCAGGATAAACATACGCTTTGACACATACATACACAGAGACGGGTTTTCTGTCAAAGGTCATTCATCGTACCTGGGATATGGTGACGATGGCTTCATAGTATCCAGTAGTGAAAAGGGTCACCTGCTCATCATCCAGGATCAGAACAAAGGAAACAAAAAGTATTTTTAAATTACGTGCACTGATCGCGGAAACCAGTTTCCTAACCTCTTCGTTGCTGCTGTAGGTGTGGCCATAATATTTTTTGGATCTTTCACGCAGTTCATCCAGTATCGTTGAATTGATACGATCCCGATCAGGATCACGATGTAAGTAGACATAGTGGCCGCTAATAAGCAGTAAATACTGAAAAGCTTGTTGAGCAGCCTGCGAAAGCATGAACGCATGGTCGACCATATCTGGATTTTGGAGCGATGGTTGTTGCGTATAACGTGCGCAAACAGTGACAACAGACACGGTGACCATTTTTTTTCTACCTCGTCGTCGTCTTTGCCAGCTTTCCACTCCATGGGTCCGAACGCCAGAGTTGATTTGAAAATTTCATGGGAAATAAATACCTAAACGAGGTAAACTTTATATAACACGGATAGTCGGATACTACAGTATATAGGCGCTTGAGATTTTCGGTCTGGTGCGTAATATATGCGAGCATAGTTCAACATACGTAGTCTCCATTTGCCATTCCAAGTTTCTGGGCCACTACCTACGGATAAAATGGACAGGTTACCAATTTCTACCAATACGGCAATACTACCAATATTGAATCGTCTTATTTCTACTGCAATATGTACGAATTTAACAAATCCGAAAGTATCTTAACCCTATTACGTGAAGAATCACAGCATTTTCTTTTATACCTGTGCCTCGAAACATTTTGACTTTTTAGCAGCAGAAATGTATGACAGTTTAGCTCTTACCAGTAGATCGCGAAGTCGTGACGCATGTGTGATTACAACGACAACTAGCAAAAAACCATCTGATATTAATACGTCCGTAAATTATTTATCTGTTTGCCATTGTTTCTGGAAAGTGATGTCAGTGCAAGAAAATTGTGCAACGACATTACGTACTGTACTCGTACCTCGACTGGTTCGAGTGGCTTCCAGCAAGAAGCGTTCGTGGTCGGGGTTGGTGAGGAAATTGTAGCGGATCCATGTACAGTGGAATATGCTATGCATGTGCTTGAGGCGCTTCTTCAGAAAGGTGCACTGCAGCTGATGAAAGTTAATCTCCCGGGCACCATCATCGCAGATGATGGCCACATTGGTCCAGTGGTAATGCAATAACAGACCGACTGTTACGTCGGCAATTTCTTTCTGGTGATAGGGGTGAAAGCGTAACAGCGTTGGATAGCGTACACGGGTGTCTAAATTCCCGTCACTGCCGCCACTGAGTAAACAAGTGTATATTAATTTTTACTCGTTCTTCTAGACAATTTCTACGAGTATACAGGGTGTCTACTTTAGGGTAGGTTATGTAACGCAAATCAGCGACTACAGCGTTCTCGAATTAGATTACCGTGAATGTATGGTAATTGGTAATAATGTATGGGATCATACTGTAATTAAATAAAAAGTATGTATTCAAATAGTTTTGTTGCTGTATGGTTTTCGTTAATGTTGCGCGGGGCAGTACAATTTTCCGAGAAAACGAAGCTGCCATAAATGCAACATGAACACAACATGAATACAACAAGATAAAGATGCGACTGCAATAGTTACAACCAAAAGAAGATGCCTTACGCAGTCATGACGGGAATGTTCCATTCTGCAATATCAAGACACCGATGTTGTATTGTCTCATTATTCGCTTTCGCTTCTTTTTGTCCATTAAGTCTTGTTTTATGATTGCCGACTGACCTCTTCCCAGATCGCTAAGCATACCGACAGCTTCACTACAAACTGAAAAAACATTTGTGCGATTCACTGCTGAAATTTAAGAAAGCAGTAAAACCAACGAACTGGTATACGTCGTAGCAAGTTAACAAAAATCAGTCGCGTATTTTAATCATACTTACGTAACTTTACAGTCTGTACTGTATATGCGTGCGTTGAATCGGATACGTTAACATTAATTAAGCTACGTATCGCATAATCGTAAAACAGCTGGTCGACCAGAAAGATTATGTAAGTATACGAGTAGCTTTCCTGACCAGACCGGAATATTGCGACAAAATAAAGAAACTTTGCAAAGTACCAAGCAATCAGAAATAAATGTTATTATATTAAGTAGTTATTTTGCATACCGGGAGCAATCATGACGACAATGTCATGCGGATGCTTGTCCATATGATTAAAATAGAAATTCGTGAAAAACGGCAGGATCTCAGCTTGTAACGCCGGGCATGTCGTCAGCGTGGTCCCGTTCAAGGTGACAAGCGACGTGGACAACGTATGTCCAAAGCGGCGCTGTACTTCAAGCAGTGCCAAATCCACAGCTGGTCCGACATATTCCAAACTGTACACCATGGTGGTGTACGGCTGCATCGACACGAATACGACGTTGAGTTTGGCATCGGTCAGATGGTGAACGGTAAACAAAAAAGCAAATCCAACGGAGAACAGAAAAATGTTGCGCATTATGCAGGAAAACAAGAAAGCATACAGCGGATCGCGAGCATATATAAAATCGGTTACAGCTAAGGGACAATAACCGGGATCTGGAGGTGGTGTATATGAGCGAGGATCAAGGATGATGGAAACTGGATGAGGATGATTTTGCTGATTGACCTTGATTGACAACTGCACACATGCGCACGTAATCGCACGTATTGTGCCGCGGCGTATTAACTAAATATGCATGAGGGAGCGTTATGTTCGCTATGGTAATTGCCATGCGTAACGCTTACCACTCAAAACACTACGTGTCCAACACAGTAAAATACATAAAAATTATACAGAGTATATTACGAGCATATGTAAGAGTAGATCTGTTGAAGTTTATAATTACTGTAGCTTTGATAACCAAACGATATTTCTGTGCTTTCCGTAATCTTTCTGGGACTGTTTTTGCATTTAAACTCGCTTCTTTTATCGAACATCATCATTTTTATGACAAACCCTTTGTAAGCTGCGTAAATCGGATGCATGAAACGAAGTTTTGTATTTATTATTTATTATCCACTCAAGAAAAGAAACTTTTTTAAGCTCATTTCAATTATGCTAAACCGCACTGGACGTGCACAGAATACAGAAAGTTCAATAAAACCGGATTAGATATCATGCATGCGTCAAACCGTGATCAGTTCAATAACCAGTCTAGACAAAACATCAGTTAACCTTTAATGAGCAACATTCAAATTAGAAAGCACGGTTAATGATGACAAACAAACAATCAGCAAATAAAAACAGTTAAGAGGAAATAAAGAAAATTATTCACCGTCAGTCTCCTCTTTTTCCGGAGTGGAATCTCCCGAGCGAGATGCATTCGATAGTCGCTTACCTAAACGAAAAAGTCGAAAAATTAGATTTCCCATTTATAACAAGTCATGTCAAGTACTCGCCAGCGTTGAATCGCAGCGAGAGAGCAGTGAATTCTATACGTACGGCCAGAGGTCCGTGCGCGTGACCGTTTCGCACGCTTCTTATTGCTGCCCGGAACTTGCGATTCTCCAGACACACTCCGCTCTTCTGATTCTATCCACACTCGTACCGTTCCATCAGCCTATACCCCACATAAATAACCGTCAAGCTTAATTCCAGTCTCCTAAGGACAATTTTCATACACTAAAGAAATCCATTTTTTAAAAAAAACCGCTTACTTTACGATTAACAGTCAGTGGGGTTGAGAAATATGTTTGAACTTCGTGGTCGTACATTTTCTGCAAAAAAAGTTATCAATATATACCAAATCAAATCGTTATTTGTGCTTTTCAAATCGAACCTGATCGATTTCGAACAGCGCTTCGGGGAGTTGTCCCGCAGTTACGCTCTGAGGTGATGCACTGCGGCTACGGTAGCGATTTCTCAGGAGTGTCATCGTAAAGTCGCAAAGAACGTACAATTTCTTCATGGAGATTAAGATGCCAATTAAAGTTTTATATAACACACTGTTAAAGAAATTAAACAGCAAATTGCACACCTGGTCAAGTTTAGCTCCAGTTCGGCCTTTAACATGCGCATGCTTTGCGGTAGTAATCAGGTGTGCTAGGATCCCAGGAGAAAACTGCTGACATTCGGCCACCAGCGCATCGACAAGGCAATAAATCGCTCTAAGAACTCCGAGCTTTTAGCATTCGTTCAAGCAATATACGTAGAGATTTGTGTCAGCTCTTACGGTCCAATTTTCTCCAGCCAGGGAAGGCATTCGGACACATCGTCCGGATCCTTAAATTCTTTACAGCTGAGTAGCATGTGCAGCAGAAATAAAACCGATAGTTCGGGTTGAAAACAACGAAACTCTGCAAGACACAATCGGAAGTTCGTGCCGGTATCTTATCTATTTGGAGCAGCAGCCGCGTCACGCTTACTGTCACCAAACTGCTGAACTCGTTTGCGCAGCTGCTGAAAACATCAATCATCGGAGTCTGGATCAGTTCGCGAAAGCGTAGAGCATCAGGATCTGGATGCATAGCACCGGTAGCCACAATAGCCAAAAACAACCCGGATAAAGGGTGACCAAGGGCTCTCTCCAGCAGATATTGAACCAACTGCTTCTGAGATTCTTTGTAAAACAGCTGCAACCCAAAGAACGTTAGAAACGTCTGCAGAGAAGCGTAGCCCGATTTCTGTCATAGCTATATCATTTTGTTATTCGTTTGCATCAACCGGTCACCCGCGATGCGGCGCGCAACATGAATGGCTGCTATCGCATGACGCTTCGGCAGCTGATCTGAAATTTGTCAAATTTAATTTGTTCTTTAATAAACCTATTGATAATCTGTTTCAGCATAGGAATTTTTTCTAAATAAACAGGACGACTGTATTTGTTCGGAAATCAGCATGCACGGTGAAATTCGGTAACCGGTATATGAAAACGCATGCTCAAATTCAAAGTGACCGAGCTATGAAAAAGCACGGTACCTGGGGAAGAACTTGCAGTACATGAGCCAAATCAATCGCGCAGTGTTCCTGACTGAAGAGTGGGAGAGTTTCCAACAGCTGAATGGAAGCTGTCAACAGAATGTGATCCTGTGATGCGCGACTGCAATAAATAATCAAATTACCACACTGTAAGTAAATTTCTTGACGCGTGATTATGATTACATGAAATAGGTGATACGCATAAGCGGATCTTAACTGCGATACGAAGCCACGCATCCTTTTGCACATCGTTCGCTATCCACGTTTATGGTTAACAAATCACCAGCAACTGGATGCTCTTAGAAATTTTTACCACTAATAAGATTTACTAACGTACTCCAGATCTTCCAAATGCCGAGATGTTTCCAAGACGCCCTCTCGGAGTTTGTCAACAAATTCTCGCAGTAACGGTGGATACATGTCATCTTCCTCCATCGGTAGGCAACTTTGGTAACCCCGACAAAACTTTCCAAACACTTTCATGGCATACACAACAAACGCCACGCTTCCCGATAAACCGTCCCGCTCCAACCACACATCCTTGTCGGCAACGGTCGCCGGCTCCAGCTACAAAACTGCAGCGTAAATGTTGAGAAGTCTAAAGCGATATAATACCCGCTAAAACCAGTGCTCACCTGGTCAAACTTGATCTGCGGTAGCACGGTATGTTGGAAAACACTGAGAAGGTCCTCCTTGAACTGATTCAGCACCTGCGTCTCACTTTGACTAGGAGAGCTTCGCCCGTTTTCTTTGTTTTTGTTTTGTCGACCGGTCACTTTAGCCAATTCTCCCAAAGCACAAACTGCGACACTGCGGTCCGTGTCGGAAAGGTCATCACTCTGGAGCACGGTTGTGGCCCACTGAAAAATATGATCAGCACTGTACAAAATTAGAAACTTATATCCAGCAGACCATGAAGATGAATCCGTAGGTGAAATTTCAATCCACGGAAGCGTAACAGAATGAGATAAGTATTACCGTCAAAATATCTGTGAAGAGTTCGAATTTATCACGAGACAGTCCTTCAACACATCGGACGTTATATTTTCCTTGGAGAGGAACTAGGAGACTGTTGACTGCGCAGTCAGTTCCATGGCTTTTCCCAAAACATTCCTAAAACAATAACACACAGCTTAAAATTCTCGCCATACTTATCAATATTATTATTATCTTTTAGCCAAAACTCCATTTATCGGAAAACCTTACCAGGTTATTAAAAAAATTTTATTTTGAAATTTCTTATTTGATTTCATGCGGCATAAGTTTTCATCACAAAAAAAGTGGATTTTAAAACCAGCAAATATTACAGCAGAAGCGAATTTACACCAGCACTTACCTATTGAATCTGGAATCTGACGACAGATCAAAAAGCTGCAGTTCCGACGCGCAGTTTGCAAATAAACGATGTATGTGGAGGGACACCACCGGGTCCTGATCACTCCAGTGTTCCAGAGCGCGTTCCAAAACTGCTGGTCGTGCAAACCCATCAGGAAAACGTTTGGCAATAAACTAAAACCATTAGCAAGGAAAACATCCAGAAACGATAACCAACAAACTCAAAGGTGCGCCAACCTGGATCAATTTGGCACTCTTCTGTCGCAGGACTTCTTGTGGAATCGGCAGAGCAACGGAACGGCAAATTAATTCCGCAGCGGTTATGTTGCCGTCTAAAATGTCCACGAGAGTGCTATGCAGACATTCGCATAATTTCGCAGACAATCCAAATGGCGATATGATTTCGAATAATCGCCTGGTTGCGGACTGCACAGCAGTATTTTTGCCGCACATTTCCAGCATCGCATCCTGTAAAAACAATGTTAGCATCAGGTTGACCGTTACCGGTAACGTTTGAATCGGTTTGATATATTTATTTATTGTATTGTTAGGTACCAATACAGTAATTTCTAAAGCCAGCGGCTACCACATCTGTACACACCTATACAATTTGTCGATTTCAAAAGGCTTCAATTCCATATAACCGTATCAACTACATGAAGTCAACAATTAACTGGTAATAAAAGCAAGCAATTACTGACGCACCATGGCTAGCTTCAAATCTTCGTGTTGCAAGTTTACAACGTCTATCGCCGACATTCGGAATGCGGCGTCGTTTGCCAAACGCAGTGCAAGGTCATCAAAACCGGAAGCCAGTTCAGGAAACGAATCTAAGAAAAAAGACGCTATGATTTATGAACTATGTTGCAGTTGAAACTGTACAACGCTTCAAAGGACATACTTATCAGTAGGATCTTATTCTTCTTCCGCGTTTCATCGTCATGGCGTCCTGCCACCACAAAAGCCGCCACATATCGACGAGCTCTGCAACACAGCCCATCGTAATACAGAAGAAAGAAATAAAAAATGAAAAACAATTTCCATACTTTAATCCTCGCTCGAAAACATCTTCAATGAACCTGCAAGAAATAATAAAGTCAGTAATCTTTTCAAAGTGATTTTTTCTCGCAAGCGGTACCTCATTCCTGGGTCACCAGCAGAACAATAAATATACAATAGGTGATTGGCCAAGACCGGTCTGCTAGCAGTCGGTGGTAGCAGAATCGAGCGTATCTTCGTTCCTGCTGTGATTCTGTAATCCAGTAAAAGGATAACAGACTATAAGTGTGCCCTGGTGTTCGATCAGAGAATGCAGTACGCGATAGATACAACATACAACATCCTACATCAAACAACATTGTACATCATACAACACAGACAGCATACCTCTCAGGAATCATCCCAACGCGATTAAATAATTCTGGCAACAACGAACTAATTGCCGAAGGAACCGGATCAACGGCACTAGGCAGCGTTTTCGTGCCATACATCAGCTTTCCAATCATGCTGCATATGGCGGTTAAAGCCTGATCCCGAACAGTGCGCTGCAGAACATTGAGTTTTACCAAAAATGTAAAAAATGTATTTATTATAGACCTATTCGCTCAACCTACTTCTTTGTCAATAATCGTTGCCCCCAGGTCTTCGATGACGCTACTGGGAATCAAATCCACAGCCTGAAGGCACACTTCACAAACTGCTGTTACTGCTTCCGCGCGAACTCGGGTACTGGGATCCATCAACGATTTCCCAAGGAGTTCTAAGTTCCGAAAGAGAAAGTGTGCTTACTGTCTCTTCAATACAGCAAAATTTCCGCTGCCATGTACCGATATACTCCTTTAAGCGCGGTTCATCGTCCACATCCTTAGCATTGCAAATGTACTTAACGGCCGTTTCGACAGCCTGCAGACGAACTTTCTCATCAATGTCATGAAGCCTGAAAATGAAATACCGATGACCAACTAACTGCGCAAAACGCTCATACGATATCGCCTTACCGTGCAGATGCCAAACAAAACAGCAAATCTCTCTCGCCGGATGCCAGTTCCGTAAAGTTTGGCGAAGCAAACATTTCTCCCACCAAACGGAGACCTTCCAATCGCTCTTCCATCTCATCAGACTAAATAGCAAAAATCCAGGCATAGAAACATTGGTCAATAGAGCGCAGAAAATCGCTGAGCTACAGTAATCTGCAGTTCCACATATCGATACGCCGATGTAACCAAGACTGGAGAAATGTTAAACAGCTCCAGCACGACACTGGATACACTGTCCACGATGTCATCAGCGTCCGAAGCATCGTCAAATGTAGTCAACCGGGTGAAATACTGGAAAATGTATTTATGTTAAGCACAAGCTTCCCCTTCATTATTGCAGTAAGGGATTACGACGCACACTGCCAATGCATGGTTCAACTGCTTTTTGGATGCGCTTCAGTAGCTCCTTGGCCAATGCGTAAGCGCTGGGCTTTTGCCGCTGCAAAAGACGATAATCGATCAAAAATGCGTTTTCCTCGTTTTACGGTTACAAATTTATACTACGCACATACTTTAGCATCAGGTGTCAATGGCTGCAAAATTATTCGTAATAATTTGCGAGATATCATTAGCCCTGAATCGCCAAGGAGGGAGCTCATTATATCCAGGAATGTCATTCGATCGACGGGCCGATGCTGGTCTCTAAAGAAAACCAAATTCAGCGTAATAAAGGGACGCCGAATTCCTGGATTTGAGTAGTGATTAAATTTCGATTACATAGCTAAACTTAGCCAATTCTGCAAATGCTTTGAACAGACTTGATAAACTCACCCGATGACATGGAAAAACATTTGCACCAGATCTTCCAGCAGAAACTCCTGATCTTCCGGATCCAGATTCAACATCAGCATAAACGCCTTCGTTCCTGCCATGGTCTGCAGATACAACATCGATACCACAAGAACACGATTACAGCCACCATCATATTATTACACTGTCTTCAGCACAGACCTGCGCTACGTGGAAGGCCAATGCATACAACCGGCTGGAGCGAAAGAGGAACTTTTGCAAGGTCTCAATGAAAAAGATAAGGACATTCTGCAAAGAAAACGCCGGCTACCATTCGCTACCATGGAAAACGAAACATTTATATTGTCGTTGACTCGCAATACGAACAGTAGAACACTATGAGGAAAACGCCATTTACAGAACCACAGATTTGCATAGCGACTTCCGTACCTTCAGCAAATGCAGATCGGGAAACGGACCGGGATGCACGGGAGCACCCTGACTGGACATCTCATCATCTGCGGTGCCCACGAAGATCCGGAACAATTCCGCGAGGCATGCGGCCACCAGCACGCGCACTTCGCCGTCCGCATGATGGAGAAAAGCTTCTTGTGCGTAGTGCTCGGCCAGCCGCTTGGATATGCCATGGCTGCTGGCTCGGTTGTGAACCTCACGGAGTGTGTTGAAAACCTTCTGTGAATTGAAGAGCATCACCAGCAATGATTCAGATTCCAATGTATTATTACGGTACTGTTACTACTGCAGCAACAATTAAGAAGTAAATGGCAACTGCATCGCGCAAACTGTGAGTTGACCGAATCACCGTGCACAGCATTAGCCACACTCAAGTGACTCGACGTACATTCAGTTCTCGGCGCAGCTGATCATTAGGAAGACCAGGCGGCACTTCCAGGCTAGTTTCTGCCCGAGACATGTTCCTGCTGTTGCGTTCACGGTGTGCAGCTGCGGGGGTGCGCGGTACGAAGGACGCAATAATATTCGGTTCACAGTCGGACTAAACTACTGTACTAAAGCACGCAAACAACAAGATTCAGAATGATAGACCATGATGCCGTACTTCAGCACGACCAGCAGCAGTCGCAGCAGCATAACATCTGTTCAGTAACGTTTGGAAGGTTGCGTAACGCGGTAACGGAACCCGAATCGCTCAACTGAGAGCGCCCTACTCGTACTTACTGTACTTACAATTGTTAATTAACTGTTACTCGCAAAAAAACTTGTAGATGAGAAATAACAATCCAAGAATGACAGCCAAGACTTCCTTCTGAATTCTCTTAATAACAATTTTAACAGGTATGAGGTAAGGCTGCTGGGTGTCAAGTTGTCAACCACCCCAGGGCGCCGTGGAAGAACAGATCACAGCTTGCAGCGCATTCGTCTATTTTGATTCTGGACCCATTGCCTTGTCGACAGCTGATCCAGTCCCTTTAGATTTATGATTTGTTGCGTTATTTTAAGAATTACCAGTTATGACTTCCACGTGTTAGAATTAGACTAAACCTACAATGTCGTTTTTGTTCAATTTCCCTTCTCCTGACGAGGATACATCCACGGCGTCGCAGCCGTTCACATTCAGTTTCTCTCCAATCCCCAACTCGGCAAGCAGTTCGGCAGACGAAGTACCTGCCGCGGAGAAAGATACGCCTGCCCCAAGTTCTCAGGCAGCACATGCTCCGACGAAGGAGCATGTTTTTCAGTGTACCATTGAATCTGCACCATCGGAAAACCCCGATGATAAATCTGCAGGTTCGTGAACATTCCCTGTGTTTTCGAGTTTTTCCGCAACATCTCTGAGCCGTCAGCGTTCGCCAAGTTTGATGCAGTAAAGTCGCTGTGATGGTACTGGAATGCAGTGAAAAAGACATTCGTGTTCGTTAGAAAACAAATGGAATAACTTTGCCATGGACAATGTGGGCCTGTTTTTTCTGTGCCCACAGTGGATCGATCGGAATATCCTCGCCACTTCTCTGCCAAATCTCCTGGGATCGCAGCCGTCGCAAAACGGTGATGTGGTGAAATCCGATATTGTTCCCAAAGTGTACGAAGGTGAATTTTACAATTAACATCATTATTTATGTACTAATCTACGTATGTCTTTTGTGTTTTTTCATTTGTTTACCAAGTACTCTGTGGGGTTTTTATCATTCGAATAACGATGGACCGTGTCAATTTCGCTTAAGGAGTCTTTTTCTATCTATCGGCACTCGTACTCGTACTTTTAGATTTTACTGTTTGGCCCGGTTTAAAATCCCAGCTAGTGTGTCACCCTAGCCGGAAATGGGCTACCTGCTCCACGATGAATAATAATAATTTAGAAAAATAATGATTATTTTAGCATAATTATTCATAATTGTCCCAGAAAACTTGATGTACTCGTACATACTATTATATTGCATCGAAAGTTTTTGTTATTTTGACTTTTATTTTTTTTTTTAAACTTTATGTAATTATTAAAATATTTTAATGATGTTGCAGGAGGATTTCGTGTATGGGATGGTGCTTGTGATTTACTGGTGTATTTGATTTCGGAATCTCCTGTTGATTTTCAAGGCAAGAAAGTATTAGAGGTATTTTATTTTTCATTGCAATTTTGCAGTTGAACAGCGTATTACACACTGTTGTCAAAGGTAACTGGTTTAAGTGTACCACAATCGTATAGGTCTCGTTTCTCAGATTTCTTTTGACGGCATAATCTTTTTTGCTACTGTTGTTATCGGAATGATTTTGATTAATATTTAAATGTTTTTCGTGTTTGATTCACAGTTGGGCTGTGGTGCTGGTTTACCGGGAATCTATGCTTTGACCAAAGGCGCCACGGTGCATTTCCATGATTATGTGAGTGATTTGCGATCTGACACGGCTCTTCTGTTTCTTTCTTTATCTGCTGTAGTAAAATAGGAAACGCGTTGCAGTTATTTTGGGTCTTTCCTTTCAGAACGCCGACGTTATAGAGTGTGCAACGCTACCGAACATTCTGAAAAATCTCAAGCCGATTGCTGATGGCGTGGACGAGTCCCGCGTACGGCTGTTCAGCGGAGACTGGTTGTCGTTTGTGCGTTTCCTTCGTGTGGAAAAATTGGATGACGATCCCCTCGCGGAGGACAATAGGTAACCGATTTTTAATCGCGCTTTGATACGTTTATGAATATGATAATCCGTCGCAGCTGAAGTCACTATTGAAAATGTTTTGAGCTATTTATAACCGTTCCCCACGGCGCATTTTTCTGAATTTGTTGCATACGTCTACTAAGTGTTTGCAGTTGACAAAATAAATAACGACACTTTCTTTAGTACGAGTTCGATTTATTAGCGGCATTCATTTTAGGAGAGTTCGACTTTAAAATTAGGTTGCAAATTAATTTTCTAATTTGTAGATATGATGTTATTCTGACTGGTGACACCGTGTATCGCCAAGATGTCCTATCCAGCTTGGCGTTCGCTTTGCCGCGATTGCTCCGGAAGGAAGGAACAGTGTAAGTTGTAAATGATGGGTTTGACGAAAATCTCTAGTTACGGATCTTCCTGGTTCCTGTTTCATACAGAAGCTGAATTAAAGCTACGTTATTCTTTGTCAAATGTTATTGTTTTTTTATGGAGGTTACGTAGCGGTAATAAAACTAAAAAAAACCCGTTAACTGTTTTTAATTTCTTTTCATGGTATCAGACTATGAGTGAACTGGAACACACTGTAAAGCTTTTGATCATTGGTTAGTTAGTAACGCTCTCGCCCCGTACACTACGTTTGCTGCTTTTATAATTTTATTCCCTATCAGTAGCTGCTTTCCCTCCCATTCACCCATTCTTATCCGTATTTTATAAAAAAATATTTTACCGATTGAAAAGGTAGCGTGCGGAGACGAATAAAACGGCAGTGGAAGGTAGTGTACGAGTACTGATTGTGAGTGATCACCTTGTAGCTCTGAAAACTGAAAAGGAGTGGGCAAGCAAACGTTTAAAAATTTGTAAGGGCAACGATCTGGCGAAACGTTCATGTGGTTAACGTTTAACTGGGGAATTATTCATCTTTATAGATATTTGGCTGGAAAATCCATATATTTTGGCCTGAACGGTGGGACAGAGGAATTTCGACAAGAAATTACCAAAGAAAACCTGATCGAATGTGTTGACTCTAAAGTCTACCCAGATTGTGTGCAGCGAGAAGTTCTGGTATTAAAACACAGAAAATAAAGCAAAAACTGCGTTGACAGCAGATTCCTCATTTTGGAACACCACTTGTCGTAAACTGCAGTATAACCGAATATAATTGATTACGTGGTGATCGTAGTGTTGTGGCTCTTTGAGATGAAGGTCGTTTAATCTTAACAAATCTTAATGATGCCTCGGGCAGCTAAAAGTGATCTGCAAAGTTCAATAATAATTTTTTTCGAATCAAAAATTTTCCAAAACTATTCGTAGTTCTGGCAAATTTCTTCATTTAAAAAACAATTGGGTTTTACATATCACTTTTTTTTGGCTAATGCAGCAATGGTCCATTATAATTCTACAAAGCCACAACGCTACGATCACAACACCCATATGCACAATCGGCAGTCGCTAACATACTGTAATATAGAATATTAGAGAAGCACGAAAACTACTTAATTATGGTAGTAACTTGTAAAATTTAATAACTGTCGTTAGTGAAATAGTGTGGTGAACGATGGTAGTTATTTTGTTCGATCATGAAATGATGGCATTTATTTTGCCATTATGTGCGCGTGGTAAAACTGAGCACACCAATGATAGGAATAGAATCCAATTGAGTTGATAGCGAACGATCAAGTGACTAGATCAGTTGCCGTCTTGAATGCACGACACACCGGAAGCAGTGGATTGTAAGATCAAATGCAAGCCGGTAATCACGACGTCGGCGTCCATCGCCGACCGGGAAGCAATTTTTTAATTGCTCTCTAACGACGACCGAAGACAGCCGGCGTCAATCATGCTGCCATACCGACGGCTAATTATTTGTTGATCATATGCAAATTGCACCGACATGTGGCGAATCATACTGCTGCTGTTGAGCGGGAGCGTCGTTGGATTAAATTCGGGTAGAACGCAGATTTATCTGATTTTGTCGGGAAGCATTTTCAAATGGAGTTTATTCTGTTTGTCAGGAGATGTGAGTTTTGTCCGGAATGTGGCGCTACGGAAGCCGGCTATTCAGAGCTCGACATTTCGCGATAGTGCGGTGATGTTTGGCGCGCGTCTGGCCAACGACGATTCCCCGTTGACATGCTCCAAAACCAAGTGGTCATGGACACTGTTCTGGAGAGTCGATCTACAGGTAAAGTAAATCATTCCCTGGGGTCAGGTTACAAGTTGCAATTGAAACTGTTGTAGTTAAAACTGTTTGCTTTTCATGGTTGTTGCAGTTAAAACTGTTTTGCTTTCCTGTATTTTTCCGGATAGTCAGATGCTTCTGTTTTTAAAGTATTCCTGTATTTGTAGAATGTTGTTTTGCCTTTTCCGTTCCTTTTGTGTAACAATGTTGTTACCTCTCTGCAGTCGACAATGTTGCATGTAATTTAGTCGTGACTCGTGAATCAGCTTGACGGTTTATCATTTGTTTCGTTAGATTTATTGGATTAATAACTGTTTGTCTGTACTACTATAGGTATTGTGTGTTTTATTACAGTTTCGAATTCTTTATTTTTTTGCTAGTACGTAATTTAAAACTGTGTATAGTGTATACTTATTATTTTATTACCTACTACTTGTACTTACTTAGAGGAGGGTGTTCAGAAATTCTGAATCAGAATTTCTGACCACTACTATTCTTACAGTAAAAGTAGGCACCGACTCACCATCAGTACGAACTGAAAATGTAGTGTATGGTATTCAAGATGCATGGCATCAACTTTAATTTGGATATCCCTGCGTGAAAGATACAATGTCATGAATTTGGAACTAATAAAATCGTTAATTATAGCCAGGCTTTTTTATTTCATAACTAAAGCTTCGTAGCTGTAAACATCAAAATTAATAATAGTTTAACAGATTATTCGAACACTGTTTACGCAGTTTATACTTTCTGATGGAATTGGTTTTTTTCCCTCTGCGTAAAGACTATTGTCCCTACTGTAGTCCATACCTCCCACTGGCCATTATTAGTTAATAGTTAGTGATTGAACGAGAAGTATGCCGGGCTGTGTATAGGTAACCGGCGCAAAAAAAACAAATTTTGTTGCTTGCAGGAAATGCTGCCAATCGGTGGAGCGAATTTTACTGTGCGATGGGAGTATTTTGGTAGAGAGAGTACGCGAACCCTTTAATTCCCCTTTGTCCATGTATTTAACCGAATGTTAGTCGTAATGGCGACTAAGAAAGATTGTTTTTCATCCCAGACAGATTTCTCTACCGGATCCAGCTGCAAGTAGGCCAAGAAAATGTCCCCGCTACGCCCAGCTGCGGTGTCGCCACTGTACTTTTGGGTAGGTCACTTTCTTGACTAATCAAAGTTTTTTTCCAGGTTTTTACTTTAACCCAACCGTAAACATTTACATTTTCCTTAAATTACGTACATTAGATTTTTTTTTAAAAAAAGCGTGCTAGTGGGTACTGTAAATGTTTTGTAATTATTGCTGGCTAACTTGTGGTCTACGGACTGTGGTATTTTGTTCGGTCCCAGTAAAAATGTGTATTACCGTCACTATTACTCGTACTTATTAAAGCAATCGAATTGCTGACTTAAAAATTACCGGTTAATTAGAGATTTGTTTTCAAGTACTATTTTTATATAGGCACTAGACAGAGTGTTGAAGATTTTGCGGACTCCATCTTGCCACTATACTATGAATAACTTTATATTCAACATTATTTAAGTTTAAGCGTCTGTACATTGACGCGATCCTCTAAAACTCCTGGCGGTAAATGCAGTTTATGAATTAGTTATAATTTTAAGAATACAGATATCTGTATAATCCAGTAATTAGAATGACTATAAATGTTTATGCGAGGGTATGCTGAACGAAAGTGAGAAGAAAGCACATTACCTTGTGAAAATTACAATTTGATCTGTTTATTGTTCTCCGGGTGATGTGTATTCAGTGTGTGGATTGTAACAGTCCCGGTATTTTGCAGATCGAGCGGATAACTTTCCGGTTGAAATCATCTGCGAGCGCATCACACCGGGCCGGTTCGTTACCATCAACATCGAGCCGCACTACGCCGGCACGGTGTCCACCGGCAGTCCGCAGCTGACGCTGTGCGACGTGCAGATCTTCAGCATCATTAACGCCACCACCGCCGACAACATCGCCGCGGCGTCCAGTCTGACGGAGAACGTCCTGAAGAGCGAGACAGTGGCGACGGCGGGGGGTGCACCGGAAGTGTTGCTGTTCGCTACCAATACGCCGTTCCCGCTGGCAAATGCCACACCCACCAACCAAGTCAACCGGACACAGCGACGATTACTGAAGGAGCCAACGGCGTCACCGGCGGGACGGTTTGGGAAGATTCTGCAGAAGATGCCGGCACAAAGTACCACTCGGAAGCGGCTGATCATGCTAACCACTACCACGCTACCGGTAAATACGACCACGGAGAGTGTGGTGATGATGGAGGATTTGCCGGTTGAGCGGAATAAACAAGCCGAGACGGATGGTTCGTTTTCATTTACTGTACAGAGTACTACGAGTACCCTACCAATATATTCTAAGTTTTAATAATGTTATTTCGCTGTATAGTAGCAATAATTGAAAATAAAAATAATTGTGACACTTTTCTTCGTATATCGGCTGTATTAATTTTGTCCAGTTCACATTAAAGATTTGTCTTCTGACACTTTTGTGCGCAGATCTTTCGCGTATAAAGATTCAGTAACTGCTGAATTTTTATCATTGCTGGACAGGATAATTAAAATTTTTTTGTTTTTGTTGCTGTTGCAGATGAGATTTTATACCAGCTGCAGTCCATACGGCAGGATGTCACCGGCAAATTGATCTCTATTTATAACTACGGTAAGAATGCGCAGTTTTCAGGTTTTTTGTTCTACTTGACACCACCTGCAAAATCTGTGGGGATGATTTCGATCAGTGCGGCAATGTTTTAGATGCAGACTGCAGTGTGTACACTTATATATGCATATTGTACAAAGTGTATCAATTTTAATTTCTGTCTGTTTACTCAAAATTGATTTGCTTACTTTCCTAATTTTTTACCATCAGGTTGCTTTCTAACGAATTTTTTGTCCTAAAATGTTTGCTTGATTGTGAGGTTCCCCGTAGTCGGTGAGTAGTGAGTACTTCCACCTAACTTTGGGTGGGAAGTGCGTAGTTTGCGTACGGCCTTGCCGCCAGGTATTTCGGCGCTGCGAAAGGATGTGGTCTAGCTGCGCCAGTTTAAAAGTTTTCGCGGTTTTTATTGTGCTTTTTTACATTTTCCTTATTTTGTTTTTCCAGTCGATACATGCAGACAACAATCTCGAAAAAACTAACCGTTCGCGCTAACAGTAACACAGTCTAATCGTTCTGCGTATAAGGAAACATACACTACTGCAATTAAATGAATGTCACCATAGCAAGTTTTCACGCAGTGATGCCACTTCACTACCATTGCTGCTAATTTCAACAAACATGTACATTCGCAGTTCGTACTGTATATGCAGTTTATGTTCGTTTGCCGTTTGTGGGAATTATTGATCTCCGAAACATTAGTACGAGCATTACATTCACACTTGTTGCTTGCTTCCGTTGGTATGATTAGATCAGTTTCCTTTTCGTTTTACTGCTATCAGTTGACTCGAGTGCAGTTTACTTAACAGATGCAAGGTAATTTACGTTCTTCATATACAGCATTGCCACTTGTTAATTTCCATTTTAGTGGTATTTTCCGGTGCGGCCATCGCCATCCTGGTGATCCTGAGTGTTATCGCGGGAATTTTGCTTTTATGGAGGTAATCTGCCGATTTATACCTTATTTCATAGTAGTCTTTGTAACGAAGGTGCAGCTGTTGCGGATGATAGGTACACTTTGACACGCACCCACCTGACCGGCTCATCCCGCGGCACCAGCATCACCCAGGACTTCTCTTTCAAAGCGCCCTCCCCGCCCATGACCCAGCTGGCACCGCTACCGCTCATTCCACCGTCGGCATCGCAGCCCACCCGGCATTTACCGCGCGCGTCCCATCAGTACCTCAAATCCTTCCCCAAAGACTCCGTTCCCAAAGCGCCGCATCGCAGTTTTTAATGCCGTCCGACGGACTTTTATTTCGTAGTTAGTTTGGGCTTATAATTTATTTTTCTTGTCGTTCTCTGTTCTGTAACTTCTGCTACGAGTGTTCTTATGCTTTTTAAATCTGATCCTGATTTATTCATTTATTTATTGGGTTTGAGTTTTCTTAGGTTTTCTCATTGTGCATTTGTATATTTTTCTGTGAATTGTAGGGCAGTGCAAGAATCTGTTATCCGTCATTCTGGAACTTACTTATTATTGGCTTTTCTCTTAACACATAAGATATTTTTAACGTTTATAATAACTACTGGTAAGCTTCCTGAATTTTTTATTGACAAAATACAGTACAATAGGTTTGGCAGTCTTGAGAAGTTATAAATTGCTTTGATTATACTGATTCTGGTTCTGTTTAATTTCGGCCATAATCCAAATAATTTTAATATACATTGTACAGAATCACGGATGCAAAACGATAAAATAACAAGGTGGTAAAAATTACGAGTACAAGTATCCGCTGCATTAGGGAAACCAAATATTGTAAGAATTAATCAACTGGATGCCATTATGTTATTCGATATCTATCAGCACTTTTTTGGATACGTGCACAGTAGTTTCGGCATTCTACTACGATTTGTTAGCAGTTCTAGTTTACTGTACATGCGTTTTGCTTGGTTGAAGTTGGTAATAAGACTCTAGTCCGTCACTCTACGTAAATGACCACACGCCTCGTGCCGGTCTGCATCGTTCCATGAACATTAGGAAACCAATTAGGAAACCAATTAGGAAACCAACCGAAACATTTTGAACGCTAACATTATGTCCGAAGAATTAAGAAGAATCCTTAACAGTACGTAACCACAACTCAAAATCACCCAAGCACCCCAAACGTTCACCATATTGTTCAAACGTCTTTTCGCTCGTAGCGGTCAATATTAAAGAAGATTCTATCAAAGGGCAGTCAGTTAGATTTGATTGAAACAATTCTTCGCACCGTACAAGTTACAACGGCATACCGTGCACATCATCCGCACATTCCCACCCAGTTAGCAATCCCAACAAAACACCGAATAATAAAACAATTAACAGCAAAAATCGCCGGATACGACGCACAACAATGTAACAAAGTCATTTGAGGATTCAGTCGCCGCTTTCAGCTGGCCTTGTTCTGGGAAGAACTGGACGCTTTTTCTTTGGCTCGGAGGGCAAGTTTTTCGTTCAAACGGTTTGAAATCTGCAAGAATACAAATACCACGTAAGTTATCAGGAACTCTCCAACCGTATCCACAGCATATACGCAAACGAATATCAAATATTCTTAACAAAATATTTACTGGGAAAAAAGAAAACCACCACAAAGAAGCAAGCCAAAGATATACTTTTTTTAAATCCGGGCCAGAAAACTTGAATTACTATTAAAACACGATGCGTGCTCTTCTGGACAGGCAAAAAACCCACTGTTCGATGATGACAATCACTGTTTTGCTTGTTCTTAAATATTACCACTCAAAACACATAGAGATTTTAACATTGCCACTCTGGTACAGTAAAATGTAAAAAAATCGGAATTTGTATAAGTTCCACGCTTCATTACTAATAAAACGTGCGATTATACGATCATAAACATAATAATTATTCGTTGTTCTCATAATTGAAATCAAAATTTAAAATCCTACTGAGTAGTACGTTCCAATACCATGTATTAGCAACTCATTTGAATTAAAAATGAGAATCTGTTACGATGAATTTAAGAATTCTCGATCTAATGAAGGATCTAATGAAGATCATCGAACGTTAATGGCTATCCTATTAAATAAAATAAACCATTTCTGGCATTCCAACATAATCAAAATGCAAATGCAAAACTTGTGGACGTTAAAACCCAGTGCATGCGCGAAGTAGTAGGTTTTAAAATTACTAACGATTAAAAAAAGAATACTGTGACTGTAGATACGGTATTAGGGAAAAGCCACTTTTGGCAAGCTTGGTAATTCTGGGCGTATGTGTATGAGTTTTGTAGAGAGTGACTGTGATTATACGTAGATTAGGCTTCAGTTCAGATTTTTAACGCTGAACTGGTATAGATTATAAAATTATTATTACAGTAATAATCGTAAAGAATGTACTGTAATATAAGTATAATAGTAGTTGTTAAAATGCACGTTTAGCACCACCTCAGGATTTTAAATTTTAATTTTAACTAAAACAATACCAGCACTCTTAATTTCAGATCTTATGGAAATTTAAAAACTATCCCACCGCATTACATGTCGCACTTACTTCAGCTAGATCAACATGCGGTAGATCGGAAGCATCAGAAGGAACGAAATTATCAGGTACTTCGCGGAGCACCTTCACATTTTTGACATGATCCATATTAATGATGTGCAGATCATCCAGCTCCACGTCCTGTTCCGGACGATGCGAACCTAAATGCACAATATTTGCTGGTTGGCATCACGAGTAGCCAGATGGAAATACAAAAAGGAAAGCGACAGCTGATTTGCAGGAATACGTACGAAGCAGCAACATTCGTGAGTTTCCATCACAGGCAATCACTTCGCCTTCGATGTCTTTATCCAGCATGGTGCGCACTGACACCACGGCGCCCACATTGAGATAATCCAGATCAAGGCCACTGAATCCCGCCATTCTTCATCGGAGACGAAGAATGGAATGAAGAAACGCAAGGGAAGACGGGAAGAAAGATGATGAAATCTTCCTGCAAAAATTACTGCAGCATTTAAATCATCGCTGCATCTCGAACAGGCAGTAAAAAGTTCCGGCATGCCGCGTGCCGAGGCTATCTAGTTGTGGGGTAACGTATATAAGGTGTTTTTAGGGAAATATTCCCCTCCACCCGTCCATTCATAATCTTGGAACATCGAAGTTCGAAGCATTCGAAGTTTAACTCACTGTTTAAGCTTATGCTTTTTAGTTTTTAATGAACTAAGTCCTATGATTCATTGTCGATTCACATAAAAGTTGGAAATTTGGACTTTTGAGATTTTCTTTCGGTTTCTTGCCCATATAATTGCTTACAATGTTGTCTGCACCGTATTGTTGCATTGGTATCGTATGGTCGGAGCTCGTCTGATTTTTCTTTGTGGGAATTTTCAGCAAACTGCACAGAATCCGTTCGTGCAGCGCTTATCCAGGAGTCAACAATGTTTGGTTTACAAACTGAAGACCGTGCATGTTTAGTTAAATAAATTTCGTAAACTGCATTGGCGAAACATTCGGTGCATTGGCTGATTTGTTTGTCTGTCCTGAAGTGGCACTTGATTCTCAATAAAACTATCCATTGAGCGGCTGCGACGTACGACAGCCACAACAGTTTGCACGTTATCGTTCAGTATTCGCTGATTCGTGATTCCCTGTTTACCTGCTTCCAGTAAATCCACGTCTATACAGAATCATGATGACATGCGCCGTGCTGGGATTCTCAACTTCGGCAGGTGCAGCCTGTCCAGCACGGTCAGTTGCGCTGTATTTCAGTCAGTGTTGCTAAAATCATCTCATGTTTTTATTTTCGCCTTACTGTCTTTCCTAACCTTTCGCTACGGTACCTTGATTTTGACAATTTCCTCATCAACAGTGATTTTCGTTACCACTATGATAGCATCGATATGAGACTTGTTGTCAGTCTTCTCATATCCTTACTGAGAAGTCGAAAAGATTTTTCTTTAAAAGCCATCTTCGACATTGAAATGTGCATTATCCAAGTTCAGTGTTAATTTTTTTCGTTTAAAAATCTTTTATAATTTGCTTAGCCTCGGGCAAACGCATCGTCCGCACTATGTGAACGACGATCGTGCTTGTGAAAATGATCCCATCTCATACTGTGTTGGAATATGTGATCTGCTGTTGTGGCATCCTGATCGTCCTCATCTCGCCCTTTCTTGCAGCCCAGAAACCCCCGCCGCCTTTCCCCCTGGTACCGCCTCCCGTGGGCGCCGGTCCCCATGGACCACCGCTTCCTCTCCGACCTCCGCAACCGGCCGTATTGGGCACGGGATGCGGGTATCCCGGTTCACTGACCAGCAGCAAGGTCTTCCTCAAAGCCCCGCCCACCGTGCCGGCCAACGGGGCCATCCATTTCCCCATCCCGGTGGGCACCACGGCGGTGTACTCCTGTGAGCCGCCGTATATTACGCTGGGCGAGACGCGGCGGACATGCCGGCCGGATGCCACCTGGAGCGGGACGGTGCCGTTCTGTGGTAAGTTTTAGTACGCGTTGGTTAATTAATTTAATCGTACAAAATCAAAAATTCTCAAAACAAGGCTTATGGTTAGTGGACTAATTTTTTGTTTTTTTAGCTTTGTAGAGTTGTTAATTTGCTGTTCTGCTACTGCGAGCATTTTCTAATCTTTGATTTTTATTCTCATAAATTTTTACATCAGAATAATAGCTGCGAAAAATAGTACCACTTTTATGCTTTGAAGCGAATTGCCGAAAACTTATTGTTGATCCGATAAAAAACGAAATTCGAATGAAATTTTTAATTCGCTTTTTTGAAATAGTTTTGAATTATTTGGTTTTGATTGTGTTTTGTGGTGTTGTTTGTTTGTTGTTCGTTATAATTAATTCAAAATTCATCACGGAATAAGGAATTAAACCACAGTATCATTTCATACGTGTGAGGAAGTGAGATATTCAATACATCTGTTTAAACAATGTGGTTGTAACTTTTTGCCGTAATCCGAAACCGATCGGCTGAACGGTATAAGCATTGTGAGTAGAATTTGTGTTGCAGCTGCAGTTAGTATCCATTCATAGAGTATCAAAAATTGTACCTGATGCGTGTTGCGTAAAATGTGAAGTATGCGATCACGGTCATTGATTCAACTTGTTAGCAGCTGGTCATCAAACAAATTTATTATGTAACCCTGTTATTTTGATTTTATACTTTAATGGGAGCGGTGTATGGGGAGGTTTTTGCTAAATTATTGATACTTTCTCCTTTGTATTTCCCTTTTCAATTTTGTTATTAAATAACAAAAGCTTGTAACCGGTAAACTGAAATAAAAGGAGACATTCCTTTTGTTTGTCGATACGTAGCGAGAAGTATGTAGATGTTAATATTCAGACCTTTTTTATTTACTTATTTTTTATATTTTAAAAAAAAATGGTTTTATTTCTGGAGCTTTACATTTTCTCTAACAGGTCTCAACGTGGCTATGCATAAACCATTAGTATTTCCGAATTTGCGGAATATTTGGCTCACAAACGATGGCATAATATCAACGCGCGCCCGCGACTGTTTTTCCCACGATCTGCAACGCGGTGAGAAGCTGTCGTGGAAAATGGATTTAACGGAGAAGTTCGACGTGCACAGCATCCGCATACTCGCACTCGGTAGGAAAACTGGGCAAATTTGGATGTAAATTTGCAAAACGCGCCAAGTTTATGTCACCCGTACGCGTTTAACACATCACACGCATCACACGTAAATTAGCATAATTATGGCTGGTGCTCTTCGGTAACGGTTCGTTGTGTAGCGGACTCGCCGTGGTCGGCTAACGTGACCCTATTCAGTGATCCGCTGACCAATGTGACATGTGGAAGGATCGATTACAGCGGATTAGGTGAGCTATAGCGCTACTTACCAGGTAATCGGCCTTCCTGCTTGCTACACTTCCGGTCGCGTTGATTGACGGCAAATGCCAGAAAAATTGGTTTGTTAAACGATTTAATTGTCTTGATCATCCTGAACAAGGCTCGCTTTGTTAATTTTGTAGTGTGTTGACGGTAAAGACCATTGTTTGTCGTTAGGTTTGAACCTCAGACTTACCACCGCTAAATTATTAGCGAGTACTCCGCCGAGTAGTGAAAGTGATTAAGCTGACTAGATGTGAAAATTTCCTATATCATTGCTTACTAAATTATACCGACTCCTTAAATTTGCACCTGTAAAAAAATTGCCCAAATTAATTTGTCTGCGCTCTGCACTTTAATTTCTTTATAAAATTGGTAGTTATTAACTGACAAATCAGAAATTTTTTTTGTTATTTTGCTAGTGCGCGTAATTCGTTTTGGGCAGTGGAAATGGGATGATTAATACAAGATTGTTGGTTTTAACGGTTTTTCAAATTGTGAGTTATTTAACAGTACGTAGCGGAAATTCGTTGAGGCTGTTGTTGTTAAGAAGAATTCTTCATTAAAATTAGAAACTTAGAATGTCCGCCGATAGAATGATAGGTGATTTGTCTTATACATAAAATGGACTACTTCATATTTTATAGATCAGACTGCCGCGGTATCCATTCCCTGTGCATCCATTGTTTCCGGTGTCCGCTACGTGCAGATTGATTTCTCCTTGCTGGACGCTGGTCGTCTGCGCGTGTGCGAAGTCAACGTCTTGGCTGTCGATGGTAAGGGAATATGGCGCATTGAATGTGCCCCGGCACACGGTCTGATCCGCACTTAATTATCTCTCATGTCCGAGAGCTCTCTTAAACCGGAAACACCCTTTACACCTTTTCTCCGTTTGTGTTGTAGCGCTCACTTCCGATTTCTGTCCGCATGAAGCATCGGCCAAAGCCGTCAATCAGGGCGCCTGTCTCAGTTTCCACAGTCATGGCCGGGCCACTTGGGGTAATTTAATTGTATAATTGCAGTAACGATAATTATAATAATAGAAAGCTAATCAACAACAAGATTGTAAAGCTAGTACAATTGTCATTCAAATTTCTGTTACAAATTTAACTAACTATGAAACGAAGGAAACACAAACGCCTTATGCATGCTTCGTTTAAATTTGCTGGAAATGTAAAGACTTATTAATTTTTGTTTTTAATGGGATAATTTAATGGTCATTGAATAATTTTTTAATTTGTAAAATGCGTGAGTTTTCCTGGTGTTTGTGCACCTATAACAGACGTTTTTTGCTTTGATGCCTGTATTTGGAGCCGATGTCATGATTTTCAGGCGGAGCGTTGCAAACATGCCGGAGATTGGGAGGAACTCTAATCCAGGACATCGACGAAGACGCGCAAAAGTTTCTTCAAGCCAAACTGCAGTATCTGCACCGGTTTCAGGCAACCGATGCATTTTATTGGCTTGGGTTATTTCGGTCCGTTAATATGTCCACGATGGAGGATACGTGGCAGTGGATCGATGGTAAAAATAACATCCGCACAGTTTATTTATTTGGTGCCTAGGAATTATGATTTTCTTCTGGCATATTTGGTATCTTGCATTCTAAACGGCATAAAAAGGCAAAAAGCGGCATAACGGGCACACCAGTAATTAATAAGAATGCGAAAAACGGACATAAGTAGTGATTGACTAGTCAATTGCGTATGATTAATGACACATAGGCAGTTCCTGAGAAACGGTATGTAAATCGTAGTGAAGCGGTAAACCAGAACTTACAAGTTGGCTCGCATTTTGCCAGACTATTGAAATTTCATACTATGGTGCTAAAGTACAATTTTTTGCCTGTAGGGTCCACTCCGAAATCGTATTTCTGGGCACCCAACCAGCCGGATCACGTGTCGAAGCGGCAGTACTGCGGCGGCATGTCCGGTCGGACATCTTGGCTGTGGAATGATCTCAACTGTGAATCTGGTCAAGGCTTCTGGATCTGCCGTACAAGTGGGTCCTTGTCACTCATTATCGACGCTTTCTTCATTATTATTTTTCATAAAAACAAATTCATACCGCCGGCCGCACTGTATACTTGACACCACTTGATTCCGATAATTAGACACATTTCCCTGGCCTCATTTTCATACTTGACAGATATTGTCAAGACTAACATCCAGTAATCCTCAACGTGCTTTCCGGCCGAAAAATAAAACAGTGAATTACAGAAAACATGAAACGGTTTTCTCAATGCGATCTGCTCAACGGAGGCGCAACAAGAATGCTAAAATTTTCAGTGTCATTCTTATTTACTGTTTTCAGTTTTGAATATCAAAATTAACTGTGATATTAAAATAATCCTTTTTTTGAAGAATTTGGAAAAGCTAAACTAGTTTTCATAATGTGTACTGATGAATCAGATTCGATCAAAAACTGCATCATAAAAACGGTCCAAAATCGACTTGTTTTACGCTTAGTGGTAAACCGTCATATGATTGTATCGGTAATTGTAGTAAAGTGGCAGCAACTGTAAGTGATGGGTTGAAGAATGCGCTGCAAAGTTAATCGATGTTAGTATTAAGTTGAAGTTTACTTGGGTTGTGTTTTTTTACTGTTTCTGACCACGGCGTAGATTGGCATTATATTGAATGTATCGAACGTTTTAACGCAAAATTATTACATTTATTATGCCTTTTGAACCTGGTACGAGTATGCCCGAAAGTACAGCACATGGAAGAGTTTAGATACAGTTATTACTTTGTCGATTTGATGTTTTTAGATTTTACATCCTGCCCCATTCCCGAGCAGCCCTCCAACGGCATTATCACCCTGCTGGACCGGCGTCTTGGCGGCTTTGTGCACTACAAATGCGAGGAAGGCTTCGAGATGTTGGGCATGGGTACGCGCAGCTGTCTGTCAAGTGGCGCCTGGAGTGGGACACTTCCGCACTGCACAACCGCCACTCAACCGGCCGTCGAAAGCCGCACAACAGCCGCAACGAGGCTAACGCCCCCCACTGTCATCCTTCCGAGCGAAACGCCGCCACCAACCACGACGTCATCGAGCGAAACATCTACAACAACCACGCCGTTACGGAGCGAATCACCACCAACAACGACGTCACCGCACACGCCGGTAACGCAATTCCTCAGCACATTTGCCGAGAACGCGGGAACCACCACACAAACCGCAACAACCACGGAATCGCCGTATACGGTGGAGATCTCCACGGAGCTGGATTATTTCATGAGTGATTTATCGAATAGTGATCATGATATGTATAATACGACCGTCGCGGTGCCGGCGAGAACGGAGTATTCTTTTGACACGCTGAGCAATGTCACATTCAACGAAACAGATTCCGCTGAATTTGTTCCGTTAGCTGTCGAAGTGATGGAGCCATTAGCAACAACAAACGCTCCGATTTCCACGACTTCGGTGCTTGTTCATCACATCTTGATTCCGACCGAATCTCCGTCGACATCGCCGAAATCCTTGCCGCTTCTGGATACTTTAGCCATGTTTCGCTGCCGTAACATCCCGATTGTATTTAACGCTCAGTCCACAACGGAAGTCATGGGTTTGACTGTGGTGGCGCGGTACACCTGCAATCAGGGATACAATTTGGTGGGGCTCCCGTTTTTAATGTGTAGCGATGGATCGTGGAGGGGTGTGATGCCCTTGTGTGTTCCTGGATATGCAAACGAAGCGGATAAAACGACAGCCACAACAACAGCATCCACGTCCACACTTTCGACTGTTCCCGCAACCATTCCGCTGCCTACCGAAGCGGTACAGACAACGACGCGCCAAATACAAACCTCCACGCCGGAAGTTATAAAAAGCACCGAACGAACGATTGCGTCCACTGCGGCGATGAAAGTACTGGCCAGCACCATGCCATCTACAATATCCACAAGTGTTCCAAAGGAAGCGGCTAGTACTACGGTTCAGAGCGCTTCTAGTACGGAATCTACGAGGAGTAGTGCGAATACGACCAGGACAACGAAGAAAGCGCCTTGGAGCGTTTTCGGGACGACCTCATCCGTGAAAAGCAGTTGTGGTGCGCTGCCGACGGTGGCAAATGCGGAATCATTGTTGCATCGGAATGCCGGAATTTATCGGTGTCTGCCGGGGTATACTATGGTCGGGGAGAATGTCACGCACTGCATGGAAAACGGTGAATGGGAGGCGCCACCGGAATGCATTGGTAGGCTTAATTTCAACTTACGAGTATTTGGCATTGTAAATTAGCTAGGTGCCGTATGTCATAGCCCCGATAACTCTATGGAAATCACGTTTGAGAAAGTTTTGCTCGATTTAAAATGTTCGATTTCGCTGAATCGTGCTGTTATCTTAAGTCATTTATGCTTTGTTATAAATTTTATTTGAAGCAAAATTATTTGATAATTGATGATTTGTTATTGCTCTTGGTGGTCATTTGGCCCACCGAATTCTTGAGTTTTCTAATTTTTCGTTTGTCTGTGTTCATGGCTTAAATTTTTATTTGGTTAGCTGTGGATTGTGGCCTGCCGGAGAAACTGAAAAACGGAGTGGCTATTTTATTAAACGGAACCAGTCGGCTGGGAAGCGTGGCGGCATACAGCTGCAGCGACGCCAGTCCATCGCAAGCACCGTATTTGCGAGTATGTGGGGAGGAAGGTCAGTGGGAGGGCGATGTTCCCCAGTGTGCCGCTGACGGTCCGGTTGTTCTCCCCGCGGAAAGTCGACAGCTAGGTAACCGACTTACGAGAGCGGTCAAATCAAAGCGGATATAATTATTTTGTAAATTATATAAATATTTTCTAAATAAAGCAATAACACAATAGTTATCAAATAATTTCATGGTTATTTTCGTACAAATTTTTACATGTTTTCGGCGGATTTTAGTGCAACAAGGCATGAGTAACTGGATGATCGTCGTCATCGGAGTTGTGGGAACCGTGGGCGGCGTGCTGGTTGTACTGGGAGCGGTGTTTACGTGCCGATGGTCAGTAATATTTCTGTACATGCACCAGAATTTTGGCGTTTGAATTGTTTACTTAATTTGACGATTTTTCGGCGAATTTGTCTTCATTGGCTTTACTGTGTTAGGCTGACGAGGAAGCGAGAAAGCGTGCCGGTTGCGATTTCTCCCACTTTGTACTCTCTGCACAGCGGCAACAGTCCGCATAATCTGATGACGGAACGCTCCTCGGCACGGTTGTTCGACCGGGCGCAGTATATGCCGTCCAGCGGCAGTCTGCACTCGGTCTACGAATCCAATCATTCCATTTCCGATGCGTCCACGCAGACCGGACGTCGCCTCAACAACACCACTGGCAACAATTCCAATTCTATGTGAAGGATTTTGTAATTTAAAGTTTTACTGTATGGATTTGTTGGTCGTTGTACCAGTCACATCATGATGGTTTTTTGCACCGGTTTTGAAATGCACACTATTGATTAAAGTTTATGTGTTTTACGTTGATTCCTATACGTACGCATTCTTGTAAAAATACCGTAGGAAGAGTCCAAAAAAGAATGAAATTACACCGTTATAGGTTGTCCTTGTTCCATGTTCACTAGTTTCGGATATTTCCTTCCTAGTTCAAATAATGAATCGACTGGCGAGTAACAAAAATGTCCGCATTACGAAAAGCTGAAAATTAATAGAACTAATTCAACTAATATCAGCTGCACAGAGTGCCACAGCATAGACTTTTGCTGAAGCAAGTTTGTTGCTTTGAGCTTGCAATTAATTGTTCGACTTCGACAAACACGTGAAACATCGTGTAATAAATACGAGTAAATTGCCTAGTGCTTTCAGATAGTGTTTTTAGATCGCACAGCGAGTAATACTTACATATTACTGTATTATATTCATGGATTACGCTAACCTTAATTTTACCATATATAAGCTCCATACGACCCGCCGCGCCATACTTTTTACGCGTTACGTGCGTTTGGCATGCCTTTAATTATTTATTCGATAATAAAAGACTATATCAATCGAATTTATTTATCATAATAATTCTTCGTAGAAGCAGATTTATGGTTGCGAACTTGCGATTTTTGTAGAGTAGTTGCTTCTTTCTAACCTGCATCAGTGCATCCTTATTTCAAGAAATGAGTCAACCGGCTTGTAAATATCATCTGTACCATATCCCATTGTGGTGCAGAGCGCGCCTCTGCAACAGTGTGCATCGATTATAAATAATTTCATTTTCTACTTCCTGTTGTTTCTTTTTGGTACATAGTACGTATTATTTATTATGTGCGTTTATTCCGCGACTTTACTTATTTTCAGTTTAAAACTCGATTGTGCCGTGAAATGGCGTGAATGTGATGAAAGTTTCGATAATGTACTTACTCACGTAGCTCTCATAGGAGGGCGCAAGCCGTTACACTGTCATTCTGACTCTGTCCGTCATTGACGGAATTTGTCCATCTGTAGAAAATGCAACATTGCTTTGTTTTTTTCACTCTCTGATTTAGTTAGGATCCTTTTAGTTTTCATTTTCGTTTTTGTGGTACCATATGGGGAATTTCTACCAGCTTCGGTTTCATTGATTATTGTGCAACCTCGATAAAATGGATAGAAAACAGGTAGGCTAGTAATTGTTCCAATGCTCCATGCCGTCCGCAATGACGTTTCTCGCATACGACTTTTATCCGTCTCGCGGTTCTGTCGTGAAGGACTCAAAAACAGAAGATGTTTTCTGTGTCATTCTATGATCTTTTTGTGTTCAGGAAGGATGCGACTTATTTTCATCCTTTTACCTATCCTTAATTTGATCCCTTATTGCTTATAAATTATAATTATTGGTAATACAGTGTAGTACTGTCACTACTGTGTGGGCCACTGTGGAGTCTGTGGACGTATCAACTGCGTGTCTCCACGCAGGTTCTCGCTTGAATTGTAAAAAATCTGGTAGCAACACTGCAACAGGTGGTTCTTTCTGTGCGCTTTACTGTTTGCCGCCTTGCCCTGTACAATGCAAGCGCAGTGCTACTCGTAGATAACGGTTAATCGACTGTGATGCAAGTTATTAATTATAATAAAATTATAAACATGTTAAATAGTGTGGATTTACAGTTTACTACCGCAGATGGCAGGACCTTGAATCTTGATTGGTAGCCGTCTTCTGTGAATAGCTCTTTGTGATGTTGATAGACTGGTCGCATGAATCGTGAAATGAATACTAAGTATTGAAAATTTAATAATTAATTTTAAAAGTGTTAGATTTAATTAAATCAGTTTTAACAATTGTTGTTTTATTTAATTTTCAGTATAATGCAGTCAATGTAGTTTAGTGGTCAGCGGTTTGCCGCACGGCTTAAGAGCACAGAGGGCACGGGTGCGAGTCCCCTCAGTCCCGTCATTCATCGGCGAGACTTTTATTTCTTTGGGACTTCCAGTAATTCAGAAATAGAACATAAATTTTAAATTGTATATCAGCATTGCTTTCCCGCATGCAGCAGGCCGCGTCCGCTCTTTTTGAATGTTGACATTGTCTTTACCGTTCGTTTCTAGCTGTGTACCCGTAAGTACGCATCGCTTTTGGAAGACAAAATGGAATGCTACGAGATGTACTTGCGAAGAGACAGTGTGGACGTCTGGGATACTAGCGGTCACCTGCACTATGGCCGCGTGGTGGACGTCGCGGATAATGGACTCTTTATCGACTTCCTCTGTCCCGATCGCCGACGTGAATTGACGCCCTTCCACCGTGTCTTCAAAATGCTCGCGCCGCTGCATGAGTGGCGAGACTGGCGACCGTATAAGCCTCAGTCGGTGGAGGTGCTGCTGCGTCCCAGTCCCCGCGGCCCATGGACTTGGATGCCCGCCCACTTGTCCCTTAAACAGCGTCAGGAATGCGACTGGCCCGGGGAGGTAGGTGTGGTGCATCTGCTGACCGCCGAGAGCGTGGCTGAGGGGCCCCTTCATGTGGTCCCGCCCCAACGGCTGCGCCAACCCTTCTGCGACCTGGTCAGCGCCAGCGGGCCACGGAGTGATGCCGAGCTGCGTGCGTACTACGGACATGAATTCAAATCTTGTGTCATCCATCCGGGGACGTTTTTCAAGGGACAGGTGCGCTTGACGGCACAGCTGGCGCTCTTATCGGAGGAAATGCAGCGCCATCTACTGGACGAGTGGCGGGATAAAGCATTGGTGCCGGACTGTTCCATCGATCATCCGTTAATTCCTTTTGAGTTTGTCCAACGTATGGATGACGGCTGCACCTGGACGTACATTGAACGCACGGACCGCCGCCAGGTAAGAGCGGCAGACGTAAAATGTGTGCAGTATAATTTATTTTTTCTCCATTAGTTTATTTTCTTTTGGTTAGCATTTGTCATTTTTTTTATTAGTTGTATTTGATGTTAGTTTATTTTACTGGTTTATTTTATCATTTGTTGTAGCGAATTTGCTCACTCGTGTTTGGTGGTTGTGCAGGCGCGCTTCTATCAATTTGCTAGCCGCTTAGGGAAGGCTCTTCCTGGGATGATTTATAAAACGCTGCGCCTGGCCACGGACACCGATCCGGCGAATGATGAAAGCCTAATGTGGCTGCCGGTAGAATTGCTGCTGGAAGTCTTCTCGCACATGGACACTATGCAACAGACGCGGATGCATCGTGTGTGCAGCAGCTGGGCGGTCATCCTGCAGTCGCCGGTGTTGACTTCCTTCCTCATCATTCCCCGTCCAAGCGAAAACCGTGCTGACTATCCCCTCACCGCGTGCCTGGTTCACCTGTTGAATTCGTCCATCCAGCGCATCATGATTCTTGGAGGCGATAAGAACCGCGTAAAGGAGGCGAGCCATGTCATGAGATTCCTGGCATACCGCTGCGGAGCGCTCCGCTTAAAGGCTATCTCTTTCGTCCGCCCAGGATACACCCTGTTGTTGGATCCATATCGATATGGCATCCGCTGGCTAGGCGCCGGTCCCAGTGAAGTGCAGCGCTGGGAAATGAAAATTCCCAAAAGATTAACACTGGCTCGGTCGGACCGTGTGGCTGGGAGCGGTGGTGATGTCGCTGATGTGGCAACGGATTTGTGGAATCTCGTGAAAATGCATACTGTGTGCTCGGAGGGCTGCGATGACCGGGAGAAAGGCTGCGCGAGTTTGGCGCGAATCCAAACCGAGTGGCAACGGCTTCAGAATATAGACCCGTTGTGTGAGGTACGTTACTACACATGTGCGGTGGAGTACATGCTGCTCTCACACGGCTTAACTGTTTATAGTAAAATTCGACATTTTTATACGTCATAGTCATGAAAATGCAGTGAAGTGTAAAAGCGGTAAAATTTAATTAAAATTTACTTAACCAGTGGGTTAATTGTTTAGGAAAATAAGTTTCCGGCTAATTGTTTTTTGCAGACGATTCTCGAGCTGGCTTCGGATCCTGACTGTCGCGATGCGCTGGGAGATCTGCAATTGGGCAACTATTCATCCTTCTTGATGTGTAAGCTGGTTGAGTTCGTCGACATCTTACAATATGCCGAAACCGGGTCGGATGGATAGTAGATAGTTTGTCCTTTACGAAAATCTCGGTTTGCCTGACGATAGCTTCGCCTTTTAACATCTTACAGTTTAAAACGCAAGCACTATCAAATGTTAGTTTTTATGATTTTTATGCGCTGTGAATAATTTTATCGGCTTTGAAATTCCGGTGTCATGCGGCGCGCGTTTGAACGTTTTTCAGTACGGTTTTAATTAGGAAATTTGAAAGGTTCTGCTACAGGCTGTTTCAACCAGAGAGAAGAAGCCAATGAACCCGAAAGTTAATTGAAGGTGTAAAAATTAATAAAATGATAACGTTTTTGCGTTCACAAGATTCACAAGTTTTAATTAAGACACTGCCTTCTACGTATTTCTCTGCTGTTTTAATCTGCTGGTGTTTAATCATAATTCTTTAGTCTACTTTGTAACTTGCCTTTGTTAAATTGTTTCTTCTTTGCGGAACTGCGGCCGGAACATGAGCGATGATTTTTCTGTTTGAAATCCGTAGTAGTAACCGAGGCATATCTAACTTACAGTGAGAACATGCCGGTAATAATAAGGTTGTTATCATAAACCTTCCTTGGCCTAAATTTTCGTATTTATCGCTTCTGCAAAGCGAAATAAAAACTATAAAACTGACAGTGTAAGCAACCGCCGTTGACTATTTCCGGTGCCTGGGAAAATGAGGCTGTCGTTTCGTACACCCTGTACATCAGCAATGCTGATGGTGAGTGTGCAACGTACGTACTGCTGACAGATTCGTGTTCGTACGTGAGTCACTTCGGTTGACTCATGCCGTGAGGGCCCGTGACTGTGATATAAGGTTGAGCTTGTCATGACGTCACAAGTTGCTGCCCTGGCCAGTCGGTGCAACCGCACCAGAGCGTTGACCGTTTGCATTTCTGCATTGCTCTGCCAAATGCATACAGATGTTGCTGATTGACGCACCGTAAAACTCCACTGCAGTATCCTTTGTCCGTTTTTATTTTGCTTTCCAAACTTGACGAAATATTTTACAACTTTCTTATCCAAGTGCACCTGTTTTATTTCGTTCCAGTTTTATTTATTCTTGCAGGATCCTTTCTGACACGAAGGGGTCGATAGTTGCCAGTTGGAACTTTTGTGATCTGGAACTTTTATCGGAGTTTCATGGTTTTTATCTGATCGCTATGGATGCAGCTACGATGATGGATGCGACAGCCAGCAGCAACGGGAATGGTGTACAATCCCAGAACGGTACAGATCTCCATCCTCCTCCTGCAGAAATTACTGCTGCATTGCATCTGCTGACCGTAGGCAACCATCCCAGTATGGACATGCTGTCCACCCCCGCGCACCCTCCGGGGACCGCCCCCGCGGCCCCCACCACGGAACCTGACATCGTACCGCGCCTCAGCTTCCAGGATCCGGAGGACAACCTCCTCAATCGCAGTTTCTCCTCGGAAGACGAGGAAAAAAAGCTGGAGGAAGAGGAGGAGCTGGCAGGAGAGATGGGGGGTGGTGAGCGGATTTTTCCCGACGGGCTGTTGTGGAGTAAGCCCAAGAAAAAGAAGGAGCTGCCCCTCATTGTCCATGGGGCGAAGAATGGGAATGGGACGATGAAGAATGGGAGTGGGTCTGCGGAAAAGGTGTGTGCTGCAGTAAAGTGTGTTAATGGTGTAACTGATGGTGAGTAACTCGTATGTAAAGTTAAAATGTGTGTGCATTATCCAGTGACCAGTGTAGCAACGATGCAGAATGCACAATTTGCACGCGTACGATATCGCATCGCATTGTAGTGCAATGACTTCAGTTGGTAGAAAATGCGCTTACTGTGTGAGTGAACATCGAAGGGAAAATTGCGTGTATTTATCTGGGTTACAGTTTTCCGTTTTTATAAATTTATTTATTTTTGAATTATTTATGAAGCAGTAATTAGAGAATAAGTAAAACAGTTCCTAACTTGAAACGGTTAGAAAACTTTTTTTGCATAATAAGATTGTGTGAACTGTATTAAATGCATATTCAGCGGTTTTAAAGTTAAATTCTGTCTGAGTGGTGATAGTATTAATTATTTTGAAATGTGCTCCAAAAAGTTGATTTGTTGCAGAGTGCCAATCCGCTCATCTGTATAATATATAAAAAATATTATTGTTTTTATTTTTGGATGCTGTAAGTCCGACGTTTTGTATTTTTAATATTTCGTTGTCCAGCTGTCTTTTGCAGAATAGATAGTTGTGTTTTTTGTTGCGCTTGTAATTATCGAATCGTGCAAGATTCGATTAAAGTGCAATTGTGCAGATTTTGAACCAGGTATTCGGCCAGAGCGGCGTTGGCGACCGCATGGACGCCTTCCCCATCGTCCATCCGCGCACCGGCGTCCCACTGGCGCCGGCACCCAAAGATCTCCTGTCCTCCTACCGCTACTCCATGGACAACATGCGCCGCGGTATGGCTATCATCATTAACAACCAGCACTTCACCATGGCCAACACTCCCTCCCGGAAGGGCAGTGACAATGACGCCCGAATGCTGGAGGCCACCCTCAAGCGGCTGGACTTTGAGGTGGCGGTCTTCACGGATCTGAGTGTGCGGGTCATGCAGGACTGCTTCCGCTACTACAGCAATCAGGATCATACGAACTACGACTGCTTCTTCTGTGCCGTCTTCACGCATGGAGAGGAGCAGGGGATTATCTACGGGACGGATGGGAAGCTGAATCTCAGCGAGCTGACCATACAGTTCCGCGGGGATAAGTGCACGACGTTGGCGGGAAAACCCAAGATTTTTGTCGTTCAGGTACTGCATAAAGCGTAGGATGTTTAGTATGATTTGAACTGTTGTTTTCGCTGAATTTAATTCTTGACACTATAATGCCTGATTTTATGACTGCTGTAAGATTGTTTTTAAGTGCCGATTTTGAAGAAGAATTTTACCTGTTGCGTTGTTAATAGAAGTTTCCGGTGTGTTTTGCGAATATTGCGTTTTTCCAATGTCGATGTTTTCCAAATTTCCAATATTTTTACACCTCGCAATAGTAGTACTTAACTTTTCAATTTCCCACAGCAAATAAGTGCTCGTAATTTAGAATTCTGTTTGAGTTTTATTTTGTTTGATTAAACGTAAGGTAAGTGTCGTTTTGTTTTGAAATTTACATGGCTTGAATTTTGAAAATTATCAAGTAAATATGTAGTTGATTGTATCAGCGTTGTATTGGGTAGCGTTGTACAGAGTATACTGTCGTCGTCGCTTTCTCCGGTTTGGTTTGTTCTTGTTTTTTTTACTTTTTCGGTCGTTTGCAACAGAACAGTGTTTAGTACTGTATTTTTGTCTATTCAGTAATTCAACGAAGAGTTTTTCATGTGTAGGCGTGCCGTGGCGACCGGTTGGACGCCGGTGTGGACCTGATTGAGGCGGATGCTCCGTCCACCTTCCGTATTCCGGCTGAAGCGGACTTTTTGTACGCCTTCTCCACGGTGCCGGGATACTTCTCGTGGCGCAACACGGAACTGGGATCGTGGTTCATCCAGGCGCTCTGCCATATGCTGGACCAGCACGCCCTCGATCCCGACATGGACATCCTCAAGCTCCTCACGCGTGTCAGCCATCAGGCAAGTCTCGTAAAGTTTGCTCTTGAGAGAATATTTGACGAAATATTCCTTCAAAATATTTTAACCTCTATGTTTATTGAAAAATATATCGAAGCTATCTTGCCGTAAATCTGCTTTCGGTGAATATTTAAGTAATTCTGCGATTTGACATTGACTATGTCAACGTTTTCTGTGATCTCTTCGTTTTATCATTGTGTGAATTTTTGTTCGAACTTTTGCGGCGAATTTTTCTTAGTTTTTTTCTTAGCGTTTGCATCTGATTGGTAGGTGGCATTTGGGCATGAATCCAATGTGCCCAGTGATACCAAATGGCACCGGAAGAAGCAGATTCCCTCCATCGTCTCCATGCTGACGAAGGATGTGGTGTTCACTCGCAAAACGAAGTAGCAAATCTTATAGTTATCTCATTTTCATGTTGACATCCGTTTGTTGTTAACGTTGACAATCGTTTATTCGTTGACAAACGGGGATAGCTGTTTTTTCTTTACCATTAATGTTCTTACGTGTTTCCAGTTTTCGTCGCATGCCGACGATCCTAACCCGTCCGAAATTTGCTCACAGTATTTATTGCATTTGGCTATGGTAATTTTAGTGTTCGAGTCGCGGTGCGTTTTAACTGACCACTTTGTTCTAAAAGTGTTTTACACAATGCCATGATAGTTGCGGTTTGTTAATTTTTGCGAACATAAGCATTTCTAATAAATTATCTTACGATCTTCGTGATTTTTCAGCAGCAATGTGTTCTCTGCCGGTGTATAGCCGTGTATTGAGTGATTATTTTTGCATTACTACGGTACTCGTAATACTCGTAAAAATATTTAATGTATATTTCCAACAGACTGCGGCACTCACAAACATGTCTCGTTTGATTTATTGTTGTAACATCTACCGTACGGGATGTGTATCAGGAGGTAAAACCTGAAAACTGTTGTAACATTCGTACAAACTTACAACTACTGAGTAGATTTTAAAAAAATCAATCATATTAGGTTGAATTAATTGCAATAATTAATTTCACTGAAGATAGTAGTGTTGTCGTGACAGAATGCTAAGCATTATTGCGCATAGCGTCCCAGCCTAGAAGCCGCCCAACTACAATACATACGTTTTCTTTTCGTCTTACTGGTTAGCAGAGAGTTTTCATATACTGCACACGCATAAATTTGTAACCATTACTTAATTTATTACTGTACAGTCTGTACCTGTTTGTGAGTCACATCCGACGATTCTCTCAATTGGCATCAGTCACGAATCTATTCACGAGGTAAGTACGTCCTGGACGGCGAACGCGGAACATAGTGCACCAAAACGCTGCAGTAGGTTCCGCGTGTAGGTACATACTGCCGCTAATGGTAAGGAAAAGATCCAGTTCTGCAATACTTCTACTCCTTTTTAATAACGATTAAGCAGGGTAAGGGCAAGCAAAGTAAGGCTATGTACAAGTACAACGCCAATAACAATGTTACGGATAAAAATTGCCAGTATGCCAGACGACTTTTGGGAATATTTATCACGTGTGTATGCACTGTGTATGCATTCATGTGTTTGCCACACTTTTATTATTTTTCAGATTGTCATTCAGTTTGTGGGCATATGCGTGTGTACAGTTTCTCTACAGTTAATCAATTTATCAGCAGTATACAATAGCGCAGATGGCCGGTGTGCAGTTTTTAGTTGTGGGGGTCGCATTTGGCGGTATACTTTTCGCAGTACCAACAGTAAGTCCGTTCAGTAGAATCAGTATCGAAACGTGTGCCCTTCTCATTAATAATTAACGACATTCATCTGACTGATCGACTTTTCTACGTCTCGCATTTTTTCCTTGTGTACATGATTTGCAAAATTGGTGTAACCGGTACCGGTGCGCTGTAGTGAGTGTAATCCTTTATCAATGTTGTTTTATGATCTTCTTTACGAGTACCTGTCCCAAAATTGTTTTAATTTTTAAAATGTTTTAGTTTACTGTTCTTACACGATCATCATACAGTCAGTACACGACATACAATTTTACTTTACATCGTTGACGAAATTCGTTGACGAAATTCGTTGTACATAACATGTACATATGCGAGACAACACGGTGTTTAATGCGTATTGTGACAACTGCAGATGTCCGATATATTGCATCAAAGTTTACAGTACAATGGTTATATAGGTTAAAGTACTTATTAAAATTAAATAATACAGTAAAGCAAAGCGTTGCGCGTAGACTGGCGACTCAACGACAGCTTCCGCTGACGCCGACAACGTGACGCGGGTCAATATAAAAGACGGCGAAAGGTACATCGCGGAATGCTTCCCTCCCAAGGCGCAAGAGGCCCGCCAGCGCCGATCCAGCGAGCCATTCACAAATCAACCAATTATGAAATACGGCATCATTTTCCTTGAAGCAAAATTCATCGGAACCGGCAACGCCACTTGTCGCGAATCGTCCGTGAAGAACTATCTGCGCACCAAACTATGTGTTGGTGAGAAGCAGCAAGGGTGTGCCATAAGAGCATCGGATCCTGTCAAAGAGTGTGGCAAACGACCTCTGTCGCTCGTGTACAAATGCGGCATGACAGGTGGGCTAGCTCACTTCGAACCTGTACTTGGTCAAAATGTATATCGTGGCGCCTTACGCACTGTATTATGTTTTCAATGTAGAATATATCAAAGGAAAGCACCAGAGAACTTTGATTATTGGTGGCGACATAATGCTGGACTAGCGTGGTAGATGCTTTAGTAATGGATGTGAACGGGACTTCAGTTCTCCTACCACAATCGATGAACATTTACGTGATACTGCAAGAAGTACTCTGATGGCAAGAGCTCTAATAATTTCGTTTCGCGATTACTGAATCGTCGCCCGATAAGTTGAAGCGTTATAATTATGGTTAAAAAGTGCCATCCATTATCCATATACGTAGTATATTAAATGTATGTATGGCCGTCTTCGTCGGGATCGAGATATAGATGAATCTGTCACCAACCGACTGCATAACATTAATTATTCGTTTTACGAACGTACATTTACGAATGTCAGTAATTCAGTTCTGTTTATTTGTACTTATTACGTAATTATATTTTACTACAAATTTGTACTCTGCGGCGTCGTTAGCGCGCACTTGTCCTGAAAACAACCCAAAAAATTGCGATATACAAGTGTGCGATTTATTATTATGCACCTGCCTTTCAGCTTAAATAAGTATTGTTTGCCAATATGTGTTTGTATTTCTGTTCCTATCAGTTTTGTGAGCTAACCTTACCAACAATCTGTGTGACTGGTTTGTTGCCTAGAACTAGATAAAGTTAAGTTAAGTTAAAGGTCAACGGTTGAATTAAAGCCGACAAAATTTTGTCATGGGAAAAGAAGGAAAAAATTTTATTTTTTGACCATCGAATGGTCAAAACTTTTCATCAGAATGCCAGTTCAAAGGCACAAGAAGGCAACGTAAGGCATAAGCATAGCACGCACCGCAAGGACAGTGGACATGATTCTTGTCGTAAATGCAACACAAAAGCTGGTGTTTATACATTATGAATATGAGAGTATGTTGCTTAACCGGAAGTAAACGATCCAATTTCACAATTTTACAGTGAACGAAATGTCCCATAGCGATAATTATCTTTGCATCGATAGTGATCGAAATCACCCGAAGGTTTATAAAATGTACACAGTATTCTACGAGTACAAAATGAAGTTACGTAGAATTATGTTGATTTTCACACACCGAGTAGCCGCGGCTACATTGGCGTTGGACGTCTTGTTATTACAATAATTACATTACATATTCAGTATTTTGGCGGAAATGACTGGTCTGCGGTTCATCGTCACTGGAATCATAGTTGCCGGCATAATTTTCACGGTGAAAACACAGCACATCTGCACTTATGTGTGTCGTTGCAACTGTAGGAAAACGCGTGTCAGAATTTTAATAACCAAGAATCCTAACTGAGTTGATTATCATTTTAGTAGCCAAAACATCATGAGCTAAATTACATTAGTGGTATTTACAGTATAATCTCTGTTTATGTACACTGCTATATCAGTACTAGGAAGAGATGCGCACTGTCGACATAATAAATAAATTTTCTTTGATGCTTTAAGGAAAAGGTTGCTGTTTTCTTCTTATCGTCTTCATTTTAGTTACTACCAACCAGTGGCTTTTATTGCTTAATTTAACATTTAACATTAACAGGGTGTCGAATCTTGTATTGCTGCACGTAGAATGGAGATTCAGTGACACCAACCACGGAGGCCGGTGTAACGCGAGTAACTATTAACCCTGGCGACCGCTACGTCGTGCGGTGTCAGGGTCCGATGCACAAAGGAGTTCGCCGGCGTCGATCCACCGGGAACAGCTCCAATCAACCACATCAGAAATACGGTATCATCATTCAAGAAGCGAAATACATCGGGAAACCGGCAATGCCACCTGCCAGGAGTCATCCATAAAGACTATCTACAAACCCAGCTGTGCACTGGATCGCGGCATCATGTGTGTCATATCACAGCCGATGATCCTGTTAACGAATGTGGAAAACGATCGCTGGCCCCGGTGTACAAATGTGGAATGACTGGTAAGTGGGCGCACTATATCAGTAACGAACGAGAATTTTGTACCGGTCAGTAGTCAGTACAGGTTGATTTTTGACGCAGTATTACATGTAGGTATGTTGTTCGTAATATTATAGAATTAATAGAATTCATCCCAGGAAAAAGCAAGAACGGTGTGATTGACGATGGGATCGTCACAGTTGATTAAATAAGTCAGTGCATCGCCATGGACGGAAAAAATCCAAAATTCTGCGGGTTTTATCGGAATTTATTACTTGATTACCGGCACTTGTTCGCTCTGTTGTTACGAACCGATTGGAAAATTTCTTATATAGTATTACTAGAAGGTTAATCGTTAATGGTATGTCTTTTGCATTGCCGCTAATAGTCAAGCTATATGCAAACCGACCGCATGGGAAGTATTGGGAGCAACGATGCTCGCCACGAAAATTTAGGGGCTGATTGGTCCGAGTCAGAGATGACCGTCACTCTGACTGTCTGACCGTGCCATTTGCATTTTGCATTGGTGTCTCTCGTCGCGATAATTAACTGCAAGCCTGCAGCAGCGACGTGCATGACTTCTTTCTTACGAAAGAGTTAGTAAAGTAATGGATGATTTTTATAAAATATTTGTTTTGCTATTGCTCGCTAAATAGCAGTAAATCTTAACGAAATCAGTAGCAAGGAAGTTAAACGTAGCCATATGGCTCAGGTGATCCCTATTCTCCACAAAGATATCTTGAACCCAAGTATCTCTATATGAAATATGTAGAACCCAAGTATCTCTATTCTCTACTGACTTCCGTACATACGTAAATGCTCTTTTAGGTTTTTGACAGATAGTTTTACTATGGGTCGAGAACCTAAAAGCGCACAGTACACGGTACACTTAATGAAAGCCGTTCATTCTATTTTTTTAAACAGCGAATATCTATGCAAATACAACGGGGAAACGCGATTTGTGTAATGGGTACTATCCCCGATCAGGATAGCATAGAGGAAGTGTTTCTTTTGTAAATGCCGTTTTGTTATGGTGCATAGTTTGTACTCGTAACATGATACTTATTAAAGGTCCTTATTCTATTTTTGTTAACCGCTCGCAACGACAAAATGCAATCAGACGCCAAATAAAGCCGCGGTTGAAGAACCGCAGCCACATTACATAAAATCGTTATCAAGAAAATCCACTTAGGTGAATATGTGTAGTGCCTGTAGGCTCAGGCTGTGATTTACGATATCTTAATTGCCAATTTGCTATCCGACAAAATTAATCTTGAACTGTTACACTGTAAGAAATTTCGCGAACAAGAACATGTCTTCTTTAGAAGTGCTGCACCCAAATCATTATTCTGATGGTGAGAAACTGAGTAATAGAGTTCGACAAGCGGAAAATCGAATTTGCCGCTCGATATGTGTGCAAAAATTAAACTTGCAACATCATAATCCACTCTGCTAGTTGTACATACATACATATTGTACTTGCAATTATACCGAGTACCGGTCAAACTTGCCAGAAGGCTTTTCGGTAAACTGAAACCTTATCTGTACACTAAAAAGCGCATTAATTATTAATTCACCCAACAGTAATCAGAGCTTTTTCGGTGTGCCCTCCTTCCGCTTTTATTCGAAATTCGACATCAGCTAATTCAGAATCACCATTTTAGTAAAAATGGCGAATATGCAGTGGACAATTGTTGGAATCTCACTTGCATGTATAAATTTCGCAGTACAAACAGTAAGTGTATCGCACCGGTGACATACGACGCTTATCTTAATATAAATTGTAAAGTGTCAACTGAACCGTAGGAAATTCTATATAATTCTATCAATTTCATACACAACCGTAAGTTCTTGACTCCGTATACTAGTATATACACCCCGACAATCCCGTATCACTTATACAACGACATTACTCTGTACGTTGCGCTCCTCCTTTTTACTAATTTTTATTTCATTTCTGTAATTTATGCGATCTCCAGCTTTGTCCTACTATGCTTTAATAAATAGCTTTTTTCTTTTCTAGCCAGTTCTAAAAGTAGGCGCACCGTTACTACATAATACTGAATTGGAAAATTAGTTGTTGTGCGTAGAATGGCGACTCCGCGACCACGGATGCCGACGTCACACGAGTAACAATTAAGAGCGGCGATAAATACATCGCAGAGTGCATGCATCCACCATCACAAGGCAGTCGTCGGCGCCGATCCAGTGAGACGACCCCGAGTAAACCACGGATGACATATGGCATCGACTTTCTAGAAGCGAAATTCATCGGCACCGGCAATGCCACCTGCCGGGAGTCATCCATTAAGAACTTTTTGCGCACCAAATTCTGTACTGGATCGCGACAGCAGGGCTGTCCGATCACTGCCCCTGATCCCTTGAAGGAGTGTGGAAACCGGCCGCTGTCGCTGGTCTACAAGTGCGGTATGATAGGTAAGCGAGCGCATGCCAGATACATTTTTTCGGGTTGTACAAGTACGCGTGGGCATAGCATTTACTGTTCTTGTATTCGCAATATAGAATGGATCAAAGGAAACAACCACCGAGGCACACTTGTCGGAATGGACGTTATACTTGACTAGCGCAGAAAGATGCTTTATTGTGAATACGAAAAATAGAAGTGTGGTGTGGCGCGAGAACTAAACTTCCGTACGAGTATGAGATTACATGAGCGAGAGTGAGACACCGTAATAATGTAGATGATTAACGGTTTCAGTTAACTTGTGCCCAAAAGCTTGAAGTTCTGCCCTGTCAAAAACTAATAGCAACAAAAACGTAAAACTGACACCTTGGTATTTTGAACTGACTTAACGTGTTCTGGCGCATGTTTATTATGTGCAAATTAGGCTCAAAAACCGCTGTAATTGCCGCCGCGTCGGAGTAATACATCTACGCATACCGTATGTACTCACTGATTTCAAAAAATTTATAATTATTACGTATAGAGTACAATGCATAATTGCATACCCGTAATACAGTGCTAGTAGTGCTACTGTGCGGCTAAATAATTATTATTGATAATGTTCTTTGAACGTTATAAAAATTCGGAAATTGGCAACTATTTCCCATCATCCGGTCGCAAACTAATGCTACGATACGTCACGGTCATGATTCCAGTCTTCTTGTAGTGCCGCATCGTTGATGTGCATGAGCACGACATAAGGCACGTCGAATGTACAGTTAATTTCGTGGTCACTGAGAATATCAACCAGTTACTAGTCAATGTTCGTGTTGCACTGCTCATATTTGCGCATCGCGCGCAGCAGTCAAGACAATTATTACGTATTCTAGCAGTTTAAATTTTCGAAATGGTTGTGCACCCCGACGATCGGGGCGTTTGTTTTGGAACCGGCGGCATCGCGATACTGATGTCCTCGTTGTCGCCACACAGCGTCCATATTTGGAGGAATATCCACTGACTACTGTAGTCCGTAGGTGTCCAGCCCAGCGAGTCATAAAATGTGGCCACACGTGTTATGCACAGCTGGTGTGTTCTGGTCATATATCTGTACTGAAGTACGCTTCCCTGTAGGTTTCTAAATCTTGAAGGCTTTCGAATTGCATTTCGGGGCCTGGGTCCATAATGCAAATCGCCAAAAAATTGCAGCTCATTCACAGTTTTTTTTCACCGTAAGGTTATTACTTATAAATTTTTAATGTGTCCTGAAGGCCATATACGGTACTGTACCTACGTATTTTCTTTAAGGCACATCCGTCTCTGTCAAAATGTGGTTCTAAATAACTTCCAACAGCTTGCTGTTTTGTGCGTACTTCAAGTAGTAAGTAGAAAAAGTGAAATAAGCATCTTCCGCTGAAAATTCGGGACGGCATAGCCAAATAACTTCGCGTCACGGGGCTCACAGCCAATTTATTTTGCGCCCCGATTGTCGGGGCGCATAGCAATGACCCTTAGTTTTAGGTCAGAATGAATATGCTTTTAATCAGAATCAATAAAATGTGCCGCTTTTACACTGAGAAGTTAAAAATTTTTCCAAATCGTTAAGTTCTGAACTTCAGCCAGTGCCGCTCTACAATAGTAGAGCCTGAGCAATCTGTACTGTTGTAATTGTACTACCGTATTGTAGATCGGCATTGGTTCACCACTAAAACATACATGCAGGTACAAAATTATACAGTCCCAGCATCTTTTTTTATTCGCGTCAGTAGAATAATTATACAGTGAGTTTTGCATACAATTATTGTGAAACGAGACGGATACTTTCAAGTTGAAAAATACAGGGAGGGCCTCGACACGGGCCTGCTTTTAACCGACTTTTTGACCACAAAAACAGTTTACGGAGAATTAGAATAATTTCGATTTGCTTTAAACGTGAGAAGAAACTTCTACTGTGTTTTGCATTAAGATATCCAGTCGCACAGTCGTGGCAAAATTGTGGGTAGATATTACAATCTACCCACAATTTTGCCATGACTGTGCGACTGGATTACAAGTCTCTTGATATTATAATATTACAAGTCTCTTGATTTTCTTACATAATACAACACAAAGTTTTACATGCTTACAATTTACGTGTAAAGTAACTCGCCCTTTTCAAAAATCCAGACTGTAACACTTCGGTCTATCAATGATAAGCGCACCCATTGAGGTATTTTCCTAGAATAAATCTAAGTTTATTATCGCACGATATTGTCCTGCAGACATTATACATCTCACAGCTTGCCATTAATTTTAATTATCTTCCGACTGTAAACTGTTCTACATTGTCACTTACGCAACCAGCAAGACAGCTCGCGCTGCAGGACCACTTCCAACGAAAGGCGTTTCTCCATCAAGCACGGTGTTTTGTCAATTTTTAACAAGTAGTCGTACAGCAAATAATGAAATTTTGAACAAGTTATCAGTCTGCCTCACACGACAGCCAGCCTATTTATTCGGCTTCTTTGTTCACAGTAAAGAAAGCCGGTTTATCGATGCGGAAAATTTTTTTATGATTTTTATTGACTGCGCCAACACATTTTAATTATGTACATAATTAAATATTATGTTATCCTGTGTAGAGCGGGTACATAAGTGAACTCCGCAAGAACAACGTTTCGAATGTATGTATTTTATTGAAATTTAATTGTCCGCCCTTAGGAGTCGAAATACTGACTGAACCTTTCTTGTGGTAGACGCCCTTCTTTCCAAGTTATCGGCTGACGCTGACAGCCTGGTTGTTCACAGCTTTTTGGAAATGGCTCGTTTTACGGCTACAGTTTGGATTCTATCCTTTATCTTATCCGTGCTCGCTGTAAGTCAACAGTTTCAGAATCCAAAACAAAATCAAAAAATATTAAAAGCAGACGATCTAGTGTGTAATCAAACGGTATGTACGATCCAGTCTAAAGATGTCCCGGACACCCACAAAAAGGCGGATCTGCAAACAACGACACTAACGAACTCAACGAATGGAGGCGCAGTACAGCGTGTCACCGTGCAAGATGGAGACTCTTACACGATGGTCTGCCGTGACCCCAACGCCACACCGGCTCCGGATGCCCGTCGACGCCGAGAGACGAAGAAGAAACCCAAAGCACGTGCGCACTAGCGTAGGCAATACATAGCGGTGTATTGCTCGTTATACGGTGTATTGCTCTGTAGGCGATATATGGCGTTATTTTATACCCCTTTTTTGTAAGAAAATTAAAATTTTTAAAAGATAAAGTGATGTGCTTTGCTACCCGGCCCCATATTCTTAACATTAGAAAATTCTGAAGAATTACGGTACGGGTTTTGAAAAACTCGCCCATACTGTAAGTCTGTACATACTGTAATAAGTTATTACAGTATGTGCAATATTAGTCTGTTAGTTATCTGAATCTGTTAGTTATTACCAATAACTAACAGATTCAGATATCTAACAGATTTGTAATTTGGGTGAATATCGCATGGTGTTGCAGATGATCTACGGTATCATCCTTGAAGAGGCCAAGTATGTCGGCAGCGGACCCTGTCGAGAATCTTCCATTGTGAAAAACTTAAAGAAAAACTACTGCGCTGGCTGGCGTCAGAAAACATGCGAAGTAACAGCGAAAGATCCTGTCAAAGAATGCAGCAAACGGCCGCTGAAATTGGTATTCTCTTGCGGAATGACGCGTAAGTACAAAGTACCAAACAATACCAGGGTCGACATGGTCCTAGCAAGCTTTAAGTCTAATAAGGAACCGCTGACGTTAAGATGGATGCAACGAATTTAAAGTTACCGTGAGGGCATGCCAAGAGCGTCGAAATTCAACAGTTTTTTATCATTTTGTCATTTTGTTCAATATCGGCATTTTTCAAAGGTCATTTTTCTAAAGTAGTTTGTTTTCAAGATACATACATACACATACATACACACATTTCAAGATTCAAGATACATGTACAGTACATACACACAATATGACGATGAATGACCTTTCAAAGCAGAGTGTGGACATAATCGTCGCCAGTGTTCGTGACAAGTGTCAAACGCCACAGGAGTTTTCTGAAGTTTTAGGCTTATGTTGGGATAAAGGGATACTGCAGTAATTCGAAGGGCTATTGCTTGTTGATCAGAAAGTTGCATGTTTAAAGCGCCGAGGACCGCGCAGTTTTAGTTTCCTATTTGAACAAATAGTTACTAGGTTGCATTTTGGAGTACAATCAGTACCCGTAGTACCTTACCTGTTTTGCGGAACCTTCACCGCCACCGAAGTGGGTGAACTCAAACAGGCTAAAACACGGTAAAAATGTGCCATATACTGTGGGCCAGGTGTTTCTTGCGTGGTACTGCCATCGTAGCTCGGAATGTCGTAAAATTTTGAATTGCGATGGATGCCCCCCGCATTAGGGTGATTCATTTAAGACTACTTTAAGAATATTCGTATGCATTAAAGCCAGCGTACATTAGTTGCAACTTACATCCATAGTTTTTCTTTCTTTTTTTTATAGCGGCAGTCATGGGCGTCCGTGGTATGATCGTCAACAACATGCTGGATGACTGAAAAAGTTGACGTTACATGGTCAGATAAATATGCACCATGCAGATATATAATAGTTATTAATTATTTCATTTTGATGCAGCTGTGGGCCTGGGACAAGTACAATACTTGAAAACGTTAACGTAAAACGCCTCAAAGTTGTACAGGGATGACCAAACGAGAATCGCTGTAGCAAAATCTCATCGACATTTTTAGTGATACTTAAAGCTGCTAATTTTTTATGCGCTGCGGCGATACTTAATTTCCGTCAGCTGTGATCCTGCCACCACGTACGGCAGCTAAGAGTTGCAGCTAAAAATTTCACCTTAAGCGATTTTCATTTGTTTGATTATTATTTTACGCAATCTAGAAGTACTGAAAAAAGTGTGCAGTTGCCCTGCTTCTACTGTATTATGTCTGTATACACTTTACATTACTGTCAGTTTCACCGCTTGGGTGACAAGACGAAGTCCATCTTGTGCCTTTGTCCACTTCCGCACTTTGATTGACTAATACCAAAATAATTAATGTTGTTATCATTTCTGCTTCCAACCATTCAATGTCGGTAATAATTCCGATCAAAGAAGGGAAGACAATAAACGCTGATGCAATTTCATTGAAACTTCGTGTAATTACCAAATCTCTTTTGCCCTTTTCAACGGGCAGCAGTACTGAATCTACCGCAGGGGTAGAAGTATGATAATTATTAAATCAGAGTACAAGTACATTCTTTGGCCATGAAGCCATAACTCAGCTGTGGAAACTGGACTCTTAACCGAATACATGATGGTCAACAGAACCACACATATATCACAGGTAAAAATAATCATCTCCACTTTCTGGCAGCAAGAAACTATGAAGCCGTTAATATTAATCATTGCCATCCCAGCGATACAAGCAGTACTATCCCCACCACGGCTCCCACCGACAGTCCACCCGAACCACTGGTCTCGTCCACGATCGGACTGGTAAATACGCAGGGTTCTCCAGGTTCCCCGTTGACATCCGTGGCATACAGTCTGACGGTCTCACAGCATGACGCACCGGTGACCTGCTTGCGCATCACCAGCTTCCCGTTGACCCGCACCAGCTGACTGGTGACAACCGCCCCATTGGCATTCGACCAGTCGCCACGGAAATCCACCGGATGGACAGCGTACTGGAAATCGTCAATATCATCGGTTATTTCCACCTGGGCGTTGTAAGTGGCGTTGACACAGGTTGTGAAGCCTTTGCAAAGAAGATGTGTTGACTGGCGGATGGTACATTGTGGTGGAACTGCGTTACCATCGAGGATGTTAGTCTCCCGGAGAATAAAGTTATCGCCACTTAACTGCTGGTTGTCGCTGAGCAGAACAAAGAAGAGATACATCACACCGACTCCGGTGCCAAGACGCTCATCCGAAGTGATATTAAATTCGTGCGTGTTGAGACCGGCTTCCATAATGGGTGATAAAAGCTCCCAAGTTTCCCTGATTTGCAGTTGTGGAGATAAACTACCGGTTGTGTATGACAGTTTGGCGCCGGTGGTGGATGTACTGTAGAGAATATCGATAGCTCGATTCGTAACGAGATCCATGGCGAAACGTGTTGGTGTAATTAGCGTTTCGCTGTAGCGCTTGTACGGCCTGCCTTCGGAATCCCCACTTATTTCGATGCGAAACGGTTGAGCGGGCACGACAATATCCACCACAAAAAACTGGTTGCTGATTGGTTGGGCGGTGACCTTTGCGAGAATGTCGCTTGTTGCCGTGATCAATTGTACTTCGGGAAACCCGGCTTCACAACCGATACACGCTAACCGACTGATTAGAATGCTGACGCTTTCGTTGACAACCGGATTGCCTTCGATCCGGACGTATCCACGGTGCGTCCAGGGCCGTGAGGTATTTCCCGTAGAGTCCTCCAACCGGTACAGAGCAATATCGTGAAATACTTCAGACTGGACGAACGCTTGCAAAGACCACCCTGGAGTTTGACCTTTCGCTTTTACTTTCCATGTTCCGTTGACGGTTCTAATATTTTCAGGAGCTTCTAGCCATTGCCCGCGGCGGTAGGACCGATAACTGCCGTTTGAAGCAAGATCTAGGGAAATATCCTGGTTGCCGATCAATATACCGGCTGGTGCATCACGAGGTAATCGAACTTCAATTTCTATTTCCTTTTCTGTGTCTTTGGAACCGTCTATGCAAGCAGCAGCTACTAGATTCTCTTTGTAGATGTGGTGCAAAAATCCCATATTCTGGAACAGATCGTCCGCGTTGTTGCTAGCGAAGACAGCGCCGCCTCCTGTCTTTTGCGCGAAATCAGCGTAGACTGATTGATAGTCGGTGGGTGGGTTACCGATTATGGTCAAGAGATGCTGGCGAGCCTGTAGCCATGGCAGATGTAATCTTGGATCAGCGCTAAAACGTCGATCCGAGAAGAGAACAACGGGAGCTCGGGGTGGTACTTTGTACTCCCGGAGTAATTCGTCTAACGAGCCTAAGAGGTTGCCATCGTAGTCTTCAAGACATGACGTTATGTTCTGGGTACATCGTCTCACCAAAGTACTGACGCTATCCAGAACTGTCTGTGGATAATTACCCAAGTACATGTCGAGCTGATTCCTGGATCCGATTCTCACGGTAAATCTTGACGGTATATGTGAGTTGTCCCAGGGATAATTATTGAGCCGACTGACGAATTCCGCCGTCCAGCGTGCGAGAGCGTTCAGGCGCGGCAGCAGCCCATCCTGGTGGTTGGGCCCATTGTCCAGTAGTAGCAGCATCCACCGTCCGCGATCTCTGCCCAAATGCAATAGGCTTCTGTGATCGGTTTGTGGTAAATCCCGAAACATTCGGTTCCACCAGTCGACCGATGCCTGGACGGCGCCCGCGCCGAATGTCCCGTTAGCGTTGCGGTACGCATCCTGCGCCATATGGAGCGCTTGACCAATCAGTTTGCGGGCTTCATAATGATATCCCTGCCGAATGCGAGTAACCCCGGCGATTTCCATGTACTCAGCGGAGAGACGATCGGCAATAGCCAGGGAACCGTCCTCGGCGTATCGATGCCAGAAACGGTTGTCTTGCCGGCTGCTCGGCCGGCTGGCGATGTATTCGCTAGCATCGCAGATCTCATGGACGGCAAGAAAGTAGGATTGTGGTGCACCGTTGTTATTTTGATTTGTACGGAAAAGGGCGTCAGCGTACTCGCGGTCGTCCGGTTGGAAGGGACCGGGGTAGGGTGGTCGGCTGTAGTCGTTTTGGAACGCGGCATCGGTAATGCGCATGAGCGCGGTGTAAGTCACATCGCGGTTGGACGAGTATAGGGTTGCGGTGAAAGAGCACGCGATCAAACTGGCAAACACGAGCGTCGTAAATGCACCTAAAATTTGGCGTATATTGTATTACGTCCATCATGCATACTTGTACAGCGCTTTCCGTCCAGAGTATCATGTGCTTAAGAATTTAATAATTACATCAATGCTACAGCTGTATTGTACATATATACCTGACTGCATTTTCCAACTCGAAAGTGTAGTCCGATCTATCTGTTGTATTTGAACTAATAATTAATGAATAAAAAAACTTAATTTAAGAGTAGAAAAAATTCACTGACTGTACCTGATATTAATTGACATAAAAGTTTTCATGGCCTATTATGAACATAATTTGACTATTTGTAAGCGACAATCTGTGAAGCTACAATGATACTGATAAAGAGAAATTTCTCCACCTGCTAATCTGCTACGACTTGTTAACGAAGTGTACAAGTGCTGCGGGTGTACGGTACAGTACAGTACTGTGGGTGTACGGAATGTGAAGAAACGGAAGTGTTCTGGTCTTTGTTGACATTATGGACTTCGTCTGTAATCATCTATACTGTCTTACAATTAGTGTAAGTATGTATCTGCAAAATGCAGTGTCTATGTGGCACAATCGCTTGTCAGGTCCTTGGCTAATGTAAACAGTGTAGCGATAACCAGCAAACTCGAAAAGCTGGAAAGGCACATGGTAGTTGTTTGCATTAAATTTAATAATTATGATTAAAGTTTTGGTAGGAATACGCACGTTCACATGGCTGAGTCTCAATACACCTGTGAAAATTTCGTTAGGCTTTAGCGTTTATACTGTATCAGTACGTTTAAGAATTTAACGAGGTTACTGCATAATTATCCGGCATACCACACCTGCAATGTTCCTTTTTGCTGTGGCATTTGGAAATACCACCCTGTATACTGCATTTACCTGTATACAAAACTGATCATGTGTTATTCTGTGACGGTGTAACCGTAGCCAACCGCGCAGCTGAAGCTCCCAATAAACTAATACCAAGCTACAAACCCGGAAGTAAATATTAAAATTTCGCTACGGGTGGTTGGTTTTGTCGAAGTAGTGTAATAAAAATAACGCCTTAATAACTGTCAGATAATGCGTTTCTTCACATGAAAGCCGGTTTACCAAAGACAGAACATCGTTTATCTATTTTCACTGCATAAAACAATAATTTATGCACATAATTAATTGCAAATTCTTGTTACAGTATGAATTTGTTATGATCACGGAGTTAAAAACGAAATGTTTACTTCGAAGTGGAAACAACTGCACTTGACGGACAATATTGCGAGCTGCAGCAATTATTCAGTTGCAACAGTTGCCTGAAATTTGCAAAAAAATGGCTCGTTTTGCGATTACGATTGGGATCGTATGTTTGCTTTTAGCCGGCCATGCTGTAAGTTGGAAACTCCTGCCGCGTCGCTTATTTAATTTGCTTGTTCTTTTTTCTGAATTTTCTTTGCGCAGAGAGACAGTAATTTCAAACAGTATTCAAGTTAACTTTATTACTCTTTTTTAAGCAGCCTTAGAGATGTAATTGTTTTTGATCGGTATTTGCTTAATAATTTAGACAAGTATTTCGCTTTATTATTAATACGATTTAATCATATGTTTTACTGTATGCACGGTACAAATATTATAATTATTGATTCTGATTGTTGCAGTCGGCTGATATTCTGGGTACCATTTCTGGCTGGCTCTTCGGCAGCGGCAACAAGTCCGCTCCTCCAACAACAACAACAACGACCGCGTCCAGTGGCGGTGATGTGCAGCGTGTCACCGTAAAGGACGGTGAGTCGTACACCATGCGATGCATTGACCCCAACGCCACGCCCGAACCCGAAACCCGTCGACGTCGAGCGGCAGAACGCGAAGTACGTGCCGGTACTAAATGCTATACTGCGCTGTTTATATCTATATAGAATATAGTATATTACACTGAACGAGTACTTAATAAGAGAAGTGACCCGGTCCATTGTACCAAATTCGCGTACGAGCACGAAAACTTTCACAATCGCCCAACTCCCGAACACTTTTTTGCTGTATTTTAGGACATTCTGTAGCCAAATGATTTTTACACATTGGCGCGAAAACCGTTTGTGCGCGACGTGTTTATTTGCAAAATTCAAAGAAGATCGGTGAATAATAAGACTTTTGGTACGCCTAATGCATTGAAACTTTTTGGAATTTTCTGCCAGCCATAACCCGCGAACCAAAAACGATTTTCACGCTTATGCATACACGTCATTTGACTACAAAGTATCATTAAAAAGGCAAAAAAGTGTTTGGAAGTATACACAAACGAAAGTTTTGATGCGTATACAAGGATTAATACACGAATTTAGCATCATGTGCCGTATCATATTAATTTAGTACCATGTCACTTCCCTTTAAAAGGTCAAATGACGTACCTGAGAACACCGAAATAAAATTTCTGTGCTTAGCTGATATTTTGCGAGCCCTGCAGCCGAGCGGTTATATGTTGTGCACTCAATTTTGCAGTGTTAATTAATACTTTAGTCTTCAACTCATTGCAGATGGTCTACGGTATCGTCCTGCAGGAAGCCAAGTACCATGGCAGCGGCAGCGGTTCCTGCCGCGAATCATCCATTGTAAAAAACCTGAAAACGAAATACTGCATTGATGCCCGCCAACAAGTATGCGAAGTGGACGCGCATGATCCCGTTGAGGAGTGCGGTAATCGGCCGCTGACACTGGTCTTCACCTGCGGAATGACGCGTAAGTCATCCTTCTTACGGGTAGTGAGTACCATAACGAAACTGTACACCCGGGTTTTTGTTGCAGCGAAAGTTAAAGGCAAACGTGGTATGATCGTCAACAACATGCTGGATGATTAATTTTGCCAGTGTTAGTTAACCTAAATTTGGGCTACCTCATTTTGTTATTTTACCGCTGTAAGAATCAGCGTTGAGTGGCTTATACATACGAGTACCATGCTTCTGCAATTATTAACCGTCATGCTAACCGTTTCTCAAAACTGGATAGTCATTATTCACCTTTCGTAGTGGTTTATAGTGAAAGCTGTCATCAGTACGTAAGTTTGAATTGTTTGTCGTATTAATTATATATAAACTGATCGTCTTTGTTGCCGCATCTGTATAAACGCTCTGCCTGCCGCTCAGCCTGTATCTGTATAAACGCATCTGTATAAAAGATCTGCCGCGCCGACATATGTATAAACAGAGCTTCAAAAAATGGTCAATTTCTTCGGATCAATCTAAGAAACTGTAGCTGTTTAATAGAGATGCACATTTCTTCAAAAAATGGTCAGTTTCTTCGGATCAATCTAAGAAACTGTAGCTGTTTAATAGAGATGCACATTTCTTCAAAAAATGGTCAGTTTCTTCGGATCGATCTAAGAAACTGCAGCTGTCAAGTACAAACTTCAGTTTTTACTGGGATGCCACTTGCCAGTGACCTCCCAAAACGCGAAAAAAAAACTGCTTATCGAAAAATAATATTATTGCTAACAAGTCAGCCGAAGATAACAACGCCAAACCGGATGCACAGCATACTCAGCCTGTCAGCCATACTGTCTTCTAATAAGCTGGACCAATGAATTTACAAAAGAAAGTGAAACAAAGCCATTTTCAATAATCATTATGCTGAGTTTATTTGGGCGAAGATAACTTCAAAATCCTAACAGCTCGTGTGTATCTGGTCATACGTAAGTACATGCTGAACTCCGGTAAGGAAGATGGTAAGCACTTTAAACAGTACAGTCTGTACATCTAATAATTCGTATCCCGGGAATATTACAAAAGATGTTGTGCTTGAATGTTTTATCAGGTTGTATGTTGTTACGTCATCAGACGCCTTGCTTCGGGGAATCTCCATCCCTGCATCGCCTTGGTGTGATTGCGATCAGATAGCGGCACAGGGTGGGTGTTATCCATGGCGTGCAATCTCTCGCCGTTTCCGCGGGCGGGTGGCGCGTAATTTGGACCATCCAGTGCTCCATACCAATTTTTTGACGCCTTCAGTTCCTCCGCTGACACAAGAACCGGTAGATAAATCAAACGCATGGCGCTCCAGTCCCCTTTGAAGCCGTCGGGAGACACGGCGGTTTTAAAGGGAATTACGTCATGAGGACCAGCAGCAGCAATATGTGCTGGTTGAGCGTTGCTGGTGGACAGCGCTTGGCTGGCGCTGCTGCTGTTGATCTGCGGTGAGACGATGTTGGTTACCTGGATGCGTATGATGTCGTCTTTGCCGCGGACAACGGTAACATCAGGATTAATGCTGGAGCCAGAATTTAACTGTCGCGATCGCGGTACTACGGGGACATGATTTTCAGGGTGAGCTGGAGATTTTGCTGGCTGTTTGGAAGTCATAACCTGTCCGGGATATATGTAAAAGATCAAGAAGATCACCTTGATGAGAGCCAGCATTCTAGTAAATTTCGGATGGGGAAGTTAGGAGAATGCTGAATTTTTAAAATACAGCCTATACAGGATTGTGTCCGGGTATTCGAAAACGATTAAAAAGGCAGCCAAGATGAACAGGCCTGCTGATGTGCTTTTTAGGAAGCATTTTGCTTCAGACAATATGATCTGGCGACAGGCCGGACAGGGTGATACAGAAAGAATAAATTAATTGACCACAGAACCGGATGTGCGTTTTTGCTCTGACCAAGCGGTTTTGGTTCATAAAAACAATAATGATTGCTTTATGCTCATGCGTTGGATGGATCATGGATGTAATTACGGTACATCCTTAATATATTTGGGTTTGGATGGAAATCAGTTTTGTAATTCGTGGCAAATCGGGAAGGCTAAATGTTTTGTGCCTGCCTGCGCGATCAGCTCAAGGATAAAACAGAACAGTGTCCGGATACCATTCTGATGCACCTGACATAATTGGTTTAATTGTGTAGTTGTGCCCTTTACGGTTTTACCGATCTTCTTTGTACCACTGACAACGAATTCCGAGTAATACCTCCATCCACAATAATTACAGTATCCACTGTCCATTTGCCATGATAAGGCCAGGACTGTACAGATATGTAAAGGCAAAAAACATATGTATGTATATAGATATATATCTATATACATATATATATCTCTATCTATATATCTATATATATCTATATTTTCTGTATCTATATACTCGTACGATGTATAGAAGTACTTATGGTTAGTATAATAGTACGTACGTAAAATATATAGATCTTGCCGACTCTTGTTGGTTTGTTTCCAGTAGCCAAATCCGTAAACGGGCACTGTCACATATCCTACCCTATCCGTTGAAGAACATAAAAATAATATGCTAGGCGAATAATATATGATGGAATGGAATGTGTGCTAACATTCATATCCGGAAAACCGTCCATAAACTCCACCATAAAAAAGAACGGCAGGTCCTACACGATCATGCGATGCCCTGATCCATCGCCGCGCCCGCACCGGATACCCCCGGTTATGCGGCAGCTGCTGCCGACGTGCTTTATACAAATAGTTTATACATCGCCGATAAGAACCTCATTGAATACTTACTTCATCCCTCGTCCCGGTGTAATTTCCATTTCAAAAGTATACTGACGGCCGAGTATGGGCAGTTGATGTAAAATCACTGAAAGGACCCCCCTGCACATCACCGGCATATTCTTTTGATAAACCTAGCTTATCTGTACGAATACGGGCGGAGCGCATCCTGCGGGGACAAATTACGAAATGTACATTTTTAAGATGTACAGTAGTTGCAAGTGCAACGCAGGTACTACCAGTAGTCAACAGGTGTGTGTGGTATCGTCTTGCAGGAAGTCAAATATCACCCTAGTGAGAAATTTGGAAACGAAATTCGTATTGATTCCCGCCAGCAGTTAAGCATGCGAAGAGGACGCTCATAATCCTGTCAAAGTCAAAGTCAAGAGAAATAAAATGCATTACATATATTTTATTAAAACAATTTTCCCCTGTTTAATTATATACACGCAAACGGAAGAACAGTCCCGTGGCAAATGTCACGGATAACAAAATAGACACCAAACCACGACTCATAGCGACAGTAAAAAAACACCACCGACCAATATAAAAAAGATAAAAACGCAGTGAAGAACATATATCACCCGTCTCTCTAATTACATATACAACGTACAATAGAAGATCCACCGATGCAGTGTCTACAGTATAGTACAATCAATTAAATTATCAAAGCTTTGGAGAAGCACAACCGTCGTCAAATAACAGCAATTACTGGGCTGAATTACGTACAAAAAAAGAAGAACCGAGCACAAAACTGAGATACGCAAAAACAACTGGTCCACTCAAAATCTAAGATCAACAATCAAAAAGAAACACGGCACTTTCCCGTTTCCTCAGGAAGGAATGCAGTCATCGTACAACTGGACTCCGGGCGTCCAGTTCGTTGATTTCCGGTTATAACTGATCAGCAATGCAACAAATATCATTTTTTCGTCAGCCATCCATTTTGGAACAACCATCAGCGTTTGCGGGGATGCCCGTTGAGTTTGTGTTGCGTCTTGCCGCCGGCGTCGCTGGTGGGCCGCGAGGGGATCTTGGAGGCGGTGCTGGGCGGGGCCAGACCCGGATTAGACACGTTGGAGACGCTGGAGGAGCGCGAGTGGTTGCTGTTGGTGTTGTGGCTGCTGGCGCTGTGGCTGGGCCGTTCCGGGGAGTGGGCGCGGCTGTTGCGCTGACTGACAGAGCGAGAGGAGGGCTGCGAAGGGCCCTTGCGGCCGTTGCTGACCGTCAGGTGGGAGTCGGTGTGCGAGTGTCCCATGCCGCCCCCCACGAGGCGGGTGTGGCGGGCCCCGCTCGGCTCGCTGCTGGTCTCCAGACTGCCGCGACGGGCCTTCCCGTTCTCCTGCCGCCACGGGGCGCCATGCACCGACTTCTCACGGATCTATTCACAACGCAAATGTTAATCAATCAAGATTTTAAAAATCTGTAATTATTTTCTTTAAATGTTGAATTTATCTGGTTGTACAACGAAAGCACAACGTAGCAGCTACCTACCTTAGTGATGGGGCCCATGGTGGGCTGCGAGAGGGGCGTGGTGGCCAGCGAGTGCGATTTGGCCTTGAACGGCGTCATCGACTGCGAGGCGCCTTCCGGCAGGATGAACTGTTCGCGCAGTTCTATGTTTGTGCGACCTTTGGCTACACAAAACACAAGAAAACACCGTGTTAATTCCCACAAACTAATCAACTGTAATTCCGAAAGCAGGTCAGCAGTAAACGAACGCAACTGATTTTGAAATAGTCACTCACCTCGACAGGGGTCGTTCTTGACGAGGAACTCGTCCAGCGCCACCCATCCGCCTCCGACCCGCACCATCACCGTGCTGCGCAGAATGCGCACCAGCCGCAGCTTCTGCGACTCACCAAACTGCAACACAAAACACAACTTCCATCACCTGCTTACGTAGTGAGTTGCCTAACACGGCGTTTTCCAGCAAAAATTAGCTTTAAAATTCAACTCAACACAGTACTTTGATACTGTGAAGTGCAAACTGTGTGTACTGCAGTTAAACTGGAAAAACTCCACCTGTAAATAGAAAAACCGCGACTTACGATATAGCGTCCCTCGCCGACATGCTGGACTTTGTAGTGGTGCTTGCAGGTGCAATTCTGCACTTGGAACGTCACCTCGTCCTCAATCTGCCAATAAACAACATTTTAACCGTTAATTTCCAGCTACGGGCTAAATAATTCTGATCCAACCTCCTTTAGTAACCAACCTTGTCGGCATCCGTCAGGTTCTGTGTGCTGCGCCAGTCCGGCTTTAGTGCGTGCACAAACTCGGGATAATCAACGAAGCCGTCCTTGTTCTGATCGAAAATATCCGCCACAATTTCCATCTCCAGCGGCGTTGTTTGGAAATCTACGTCGAAGAGAAAACAGACTGTCAGACTGCGCTGATTAACATACATGGCACGATGCGGGAACTCACTGCTCTTCAGAATACAGTCGATAAATTCGTCACGTGTCAGTTTGCCGTCGGCATCACGATCCAGTCGCCGGAAAAAGTCCATCACGCGCAGCTTCTTCACGTTCATAAATCGCACAAACTACAAAAGCAACTCGTCAAATAACGACAAAAAACTGACAACTTTTCTCAGGAGGTGAAAAATTCCATTTTCTTGCTATCTCTTCTTATTTTTTAAACAGAAGAATCGTACCCGTCGACGCCAGTCATCAAACTGGAAATTCTGCAGTTTCTCCAGTTCCAACACGTGCGCCAACTGCTCGGCCAGTCGTTCTCGCCGTTCAGCAGCCAGCTGCAGAACGTTCCTATTGCGGGTGAATAAATCCCTGGCCGCGTTATTCCCCATCACGGCCTTCTCCTTCCTCCTTGCCCCCGGCGTCCGCCGTTCGGCTCCTCCTTCTCCACCATCAGTTTGCCCTGCGTCTGCCGCTCCACCGTGGCCTGCTTGGCGTACAGCTCTGTCTCGAACTCCTGATGCTCCTGGATCAAGCGTTTAACGGAGTCGAGTTCCTCCGGGAGGATCTCGCTGTGGGAGGCCACAAGGTTGGCCTCGGCGGAGAAGAACCACACCAGCAGCTGCTCCAGTTCCTCCGCTGACTTTTCCAGCGTGGTCATGTGCTCTTTCAGGCGTTGCTCGCGCTGCTTCATCAGCAGCTCCAGTTCCTGCCAGCGCGTACCTAACACTTTCAGCCAATGCCGCACCGTCGCCGCCGCGTCGGGGTGCGGTTGTGCCTGGATTTCCGCGCCTAATTCCATCGCGGTGTCGTAGTTCACTTGTCTGGCCTGCATTTCACCTGCACGAAGGAAAGAGCATTACTCTTTATTAGGCAATACCATGCCCACTTTAACAAAACGTCTACCATTTAAATGAATAACCTATTAAAGAATAAACAAAACAGTATTTACGTCCTAAAACAATTCAGATCAACAAAATAAACAACGAAATGCTTATGCCCACTTTTCCTCAACAGAATAAAATAAGTAATAAAACAATTATGCTGATTTTTTGTTAACATAATACCACGCGTAATTTTGTAACAAAATAAGTAACGAAATATTAAATAAAAAATAGTTTTGCGCGCTTATCGTTAGCAAAATAATTCCTGTCACTTTTTTCGGAACAAAAAGTGGAGTATAATAATTATGTTCAAACGTACTTTGCTGTTCGTGGATTTCGAAGATGGCCATCTGGACCTCCTTGACGTCGTCCGGAAGCGCCCGGAAGACCCTGATCTTCATCTCGGTGGCGCCGAGCCACTCAATGAGCGAGTACAGCACCTGGTGGAATTCTACGGCGCAGCGCATGGCGTCGTTCAGCCGTTCGCGCCGCTTCCCGGCCAGCTGCCTCACGGTGTCCCACTTCCCCTCCAGCTCTTCCAGTTGCCGGGCCATCACGGCATCCGGCTCCGGGGTGCCGGCCAACAGTTCCTTAGCCGCTTTCTTCACACTGGCAATATTCGGCGCCCGACTGCTCAGATCGTTTTCCACCGCCTTGAACTGCTCGTCCAACGCCTTCACCGTGTCCAGATCGCCGTGCACTTTCAGCGACTCAGCCAGCAGCGGCTCCAGCTTGGTCAGCCAGTCCAGCATGGAGGTCAGGGCGTCCTTCAGCTGCCCGGAGAAGAGCAGCGCCTCCTCCAACTTCCGTTGCCGTTCGGCAGATTTACTCCCCAGCGTCTTCCAGCGCTTCTGCAGCTCCACCAGCATATTCTGGATGGCCGTCTGCTCGCCCTTGGCGGCGCTCTCCTTCAGGATCCGGCCCATCTTCGTGATGCCGCTCAGCGCCGCCTGCTTACTGGCCATAGCCTTGACGAACTCCTTGTGTTTGGCCAACTGCGCTCTAATCTTCTCCGGGTCATTCGGCACGCCGGTGACGCCGTCCAGCTGTTGTTCAGCGGCGTCGATCCACTCCAGCATCTCGGCGTGATGCTTGCTGAACTCCCGGCCCTCGGTGTAGGCGGTGTTCAGCGCCCGTTGGCGGTCGGCGGAGGCCGAGACCAGCTTGTCCCAGCGCTGCTGCACGCTGGCCAGCAGGTTCTTAATCTGCACAACGTCCTGCTTCTGCGAGAAGTACTTGAGGGTGGTGCCTTTCTTGTCGAGCGCGCCTTGAAGCGGTAGATGCTGCGACAGATCTTCCTGGAAGGTCTTGTGCTCCTCGATCTGCTGGACAATTACATCCAGGACGCGGGAGGGTGGTTTGGCAGCGGAAAGGCCTTTCTCGGCGTTGGTCAGCCACAGTGTGAAACCCTGCAGCGATTCGTAGAATTCCACGGCGTCCCGCACGGCGATCTCCAGCTTAATCTGCACACGGCAAACAGCAAGTGAATTAACAGAAAATATATGAATTTATGTATTTTGTTCTTAATTCGCTCATCTTTATTAATTTAAAAACAAAAGTATCATTTAATTTAAATTTATTTTTTCGCTGTCACAAAATGATGAAGGCGAAAAAGATTCCTTATTTCCGTCCTTACTTTGCGGTCATTGGCCTTTGTCTGGGCGGCTTCCCAGCGGTGTTTAAGGGTTTTGAGATTGTGATCCAGACTGACGGAGTTGGCGTCGGGCGCCATGGTCAAATACTCTGCACCGCGGCGGAGGATCTGCTCCACCACGGCCTTGTTAGCCTCCAGATCGTTGTACAGCTCCTATTAAATTTCCAATGAATTACTTTCTTTGCACGACGACCAGAACGACGTTCACCTACCATGAAGTTTGCCAGCTGGTCTTTGGCCGTCTGCGGCAGTCCGCCCACCGGGCGCGATGCAATCAGATGCTGATCCTTGTCGGCCAGCCAGTTCAGCAGATCCTGTATTTCGTCTTGAAACGACTCCGCCTACAAAATACATTCATACAACCCCCATGTTACTTCGCAAAACATTAATAAATTTTAATAATATGACCGGAATAATTCTATTATGTAATTCCCTACCTCTTTGAGATGTTCTTCCAGGAAGGTTTGCTTAATGTCGGCCTTCTGCAGCAGCTGCTGCCACTTGAGATTCATGTCGTCCAGCAGCGCCGACGTAGACGCGGCGTCCTCCCCGCCTTCGCTCTCCTCGATGATCTGACTGCCGGCTTCGTTCAAGATGTCCAATGTCCGTTCGTTGGCGATCAGATCGTTCAGCAACACCTTCAACACGAATACAATAAGCAAGATAAAAAAAAATAACAAAACCACATGCAACCGAAGTCTGCAACATACCTTGTGTTTGGCCAGCTCTAGTTCGATGATCTTAGGATCGCCCGAGGGGATGGTGTACTCATCCAGGCCCTGCTCCTTCTCCACAATCCAGGCCACCAGCTCGTCCAGGGCGTGCCGGAACTGTCCGAGATGCACCAGCGCTTCCTCCAGCTCCTTCTTGCGCTCGTTGACCTGGTCGTTGAGAGAGTCCCAACGCTCGCGGATCTCCTCCACCGGGCCCTGCACCACCAGCGCCTGTTCCTCCGACGTCTTCATAATCAACTCATCAGCCTGCTCAAAACAACCCAATTTAAAACAGATCATCACTGCAACAGCGTCAAAACACACCTGGGCAATTAGGGACTCCACTTCGACGGTGTGGGGCTCCATGTGCGCCCGGAAGGCCTTCAGCTGCTCCATCTGCCGCTTCACCGCCTCAATATCCGCCCCGATGCTCCCCATCCCGGCCAGCTGGTCCTCGGCTTCCTCCAAGAACACCAGCAGGGACTGCAGCAGTCCGTGAAAGGTCATGGACTTCTCCATGGCCTCCACCAGGTCCGTGTCGCGCTGCATGAACAACTGCGTAATATTGCCCCAGGCGTGATCCAGATCCTCCATGTTCTTCTTCACTTCCGGTTTATCCGGCTCCCCGCACTTGACCATCAGCTCCTGTCCGGTGCTGACGCACTGCTCATAATCCGGCTGCGTCGTCTGATTGAACTCCTCTTTTAATTCCTGCAGTGCATCCTGCTGTTTGCGGATGGTGTTGACTTCCACCGCCGGCGGCTCCTGACCCTGGAGGACCGCTTCGAACTCTTTGATCAGCGCTTGGACGTCCGCCAGTTCCTTCCAAAATTTCACCGAGATCTTGTAGGTATCTTCCAGCGAGCGTCCCCGGCGTTCCGTCTCCTTGAGGATGGTGTCCCACATATCGTCGAGGTTGGCCAGTTTATCCTGGATGGCGTCCACGGCCTCCCCGTCATCGGGGGTCCGCCCGGCGATCTTGGCTAGTTCCCCAGCGGCCCGCTTCGCTGATTCATACGCTTGTGACCGTTTCGCCAGATCCGTAATCAGTTTATTGTTGTCCTCCATCTGTTTCTGCAGTTTCCCCGGCAGCGCCGAGATGGGCTCGCAGTTGGCTAGTTTATCGGCGGTGCTGTTCAAGGCTGCCAGGACACCGTCCAATTTGCGGAAAAACTGCTGGTGTAGTTGCTGTGTGCCGTTGGCATCCGCTGAGATGGGGAGATGCTCGCCGTCCTCGCCAGTCGACAGGGACTGCATTACGGAGTTAAGGGTGTTGTGGAATTCCTCCATCTTTTCGCTGGCTAATTTCAGCTCCGTCTCGCGGTTATTGGCACGCAAAGCCAGATTGGCTAACTGGTCCTTCATACCGTCGATCTGCTCGCGCCACGGCTCGGGATTACTGACGTAGCTGTTTTCTACCAGATCTTCCAGGGCTTCCTCAACATCATGAACCTGTACGCAAAAATATAATGTTATAAGAATCCTAAAACAAATTCCAAAAATCCGCGCCGCACCTCTTTAGCCGTGTCGTCAATACTTCCGACAAACTGGTCCATCTGCACCAGCTGATCCGTCAGCGTCTCCAGATCCTTCCCTTGCGGGCCCATATTGTCCAACTCGTCCTCCAGCTCGTTGACACACTGTTCTGTCTGTTTCAGTTCGTCCACAAACCGGCCCACCGCTGCCGTGGCCTTCTCCAGAAACTCCATGGTATCGGCGATGGAATTATCCAGGGAATGGTAACGCGTGCGGCTGGCCAGCAGCGCCTCTTCAATATGACTGACGTCCCCGTCTAACGCCTGCCCATCGGCCAGCAGCCCATGCCCCAGATCCTCCACCAGATCCATCTGGCGCTTCATGCTGTCCACGTCGTCCTTCAGCGCCATCACGCGGTCCATGGACTTCTGATCAAGCTGGCTGTCTTCCGCCTGCACCAGCTTCTCCTCCGCGTGGGCCAGCGCGCCCTGTAGCGTGGCCATGGCTTCCTCGTAGTCGCCTAGACGGTGGGCAATATCCTCCAGTGAGCGGGCCCGCACCATGGTCTTCTCGTTGATCGTGTCCCAGCGCGTCTGCAGCGTGTCCACGGCGTCGCGCACCCCTTCCAGATCGGCTTCACAGGCCGTCAGCAAGGAACTGCCGTGCTGCTGCACGGCGTCTAGATCGCCGCTGTGCCCAGAAATATCGGTACGCAGATCCTGCACCTCCCGCACTTGATCATCCAATTCTTCTTGTCTGTAACGAATTCACAACACCAATTATTCATCGCTCAGAGAACATAAGGCTGCGTCTGTCTATACTTGAATTTCGGTGGTTTGAATTCGGCAGCAATGTGCTCCGCCTTAGCCAACCATGGTTCCAGAACATCCACGGACACCTTGTAGCGTTTGGCCAGATCCACTCCATTACTGAGCTGCTTGTGCCGGTCCGACAGTTGTCGGTCGAGACCCGTCCACTGCGCCTGCATGGCGTCCAAGCGAGTGGCGGTGGCCGCGGGTAAGCGGCTGCCCAACTCCCGTCCTTGTTTTAAAAGGGCGTGCACATCGTATTCGCGGCGCGCCACTTCGCTCCGCACATCGTCAAAGGCCTCCAATTGATGGCTGACAACGTCCAGCAGCGCAGAGATCTGTCAAACGCTCTTTCCTAATACATTCTGCAAGGCCAACGACGTTGACGAGAAAACGTACCTTAACATCGGGTCGGACACGGTCGTCCATCAGGCGCAGCCATTTGGACAGTTCTTCGAAGGCCAGCTCGAATTCCTGCCCTTGTTTGACATTTCTTTCTAACCCGCTTCGTAGACTCTCACCGCGCTTCTGCAGATCAGCGTACTGCCGTTTAGCGGCGTCCAATTTGGAGTTGATTTCGCTGGAGATCACTTCGTTGTTCAGCACTTCACACAGCGTAGCCGCCGCGTTTTCCGTATTCTTGATCAGGTAGGCTTTACCACTGATTTCCGCCTCGATCCGGTCGAGTTCCTGAAAGAACAAACTCACTTGAATAACTGCTACTGTCAGAAGAGTCGTCGGCAAAGTTAGTAAGTTTCTGTTTCTGTTGCAACCGGTAAACGGCGAAAACAGTTAAGCTAACTCACCTGCAGCTGGTTTTGTGCACTGGATGCGCTATCGCCGTGCACAAAGTTCTCGTAGACCCTCTTCATTTCATCCAGCCATTCGTTCAGAGTCTGGCAGCTTTCGGTAAACACCTGGCTGGCAAAGCCAGCGTTCTCAATCTGCCGGCGTCGGTTCTCCAACTGATTGCCCAGATCCGCCCACAACTCATCCACCGCCTGCAGCTTCCCGAGCAAACTCTGCCGCTCGGACTCCTTGGTACGCTTCAGGACCTGCTCCGACTCCTCGTGCAGTTTGTCGATAAGCGTGCGCTGACCGCCCAGTTCCTCCAGCAAGAGATCCACCTGTTGTTTCTGGTGCTCCAGCAGCGTCAGATCGTACGACACCGGTCCTACAATCAAATTTATCGTAAGCAGACCATTCGCCACACACAGTGACCGGTGTAGACTAACCTAGAACGGACAGCATCTTCTGCTTCTGCAGCAGCCAGCCATGTAGCAGCTCGCATTCGTGCAGGAAGAAGGACACACTGTCCAGCGCACGCATTCGATCGCTGCCGGCGCGCTTTAGCTCCTCCCACCGGTCCAGCAGTTTGTCCTGTTTGCCGCGCATTTCCTCGGCTTGATTATCCGTACGCAGCTGAATATCGCCATTGATGCCCACGAGGCGGTCCATCTGGTTCTGGAATTCACCCATCTGCCGTTCTAATTCTTCGAACCTAGAATAGAATCGAAATGCTTCAAGAATTCGCAAAAAAAAGGTTTTTCTATAAGACCTGCATCAGCACTGCAAGTTACACAAAGAAAATAAATAGTAAATTTCGCGCACTTTAATTCCATATTAAACTGGACATACCGTAATTTCGCCATTTCCAGGCTGTGCTTATCATTGGCCATTCCCTCGGCTTCGTTGATGTGTCGCTCGTGGACGCTCATCCATCCCGTGGCCTCGTCGTGATGGGCGTTGTAGGCTACGAGCAGCTCAACCAAGCACTGCAGATTCTGCTGTTTATTGCTCACTTCCGCCGTCAGCTGGTCCAACTGCGCCGTGGTATTAGCCAGCGCCGTCTGCAGCTCGTTGGATTGGGCGTAGATGGCCGGCGGAGTGCCGGACATGTGGGCGCGGTGCTCGTTGAGGAGCGCCGTCAGGCCTTTAGACTGGCCGCGCGCCGACTCCACCTGGGTGCGCAGGGCACTGAGATCGGCGCCGCGGGAGGTCACCTGCTTCTGCACTTTGGCAATGTCCACCAGGGCGTCCTGGATAGAAGTGACGCTGGAGAAATTGATGGGTTTGACGACGGACAGGCTGGCGCGACATTGCGACACCCAAGTCGACAGATCCGAGCACTGCTCGTCTAGGCCGGCCAGGGTCTGGCTGAAGGCTTCCAATTGGACAAGAACTTGGTTTGCTTTCTCTGAAAAGCATCAAATCATTAAGGAGATATATCCCCACTGCACTTAGCATTCATCAATTACCTTTAAGAGAATCCGCGCGGGCTTTGCGCTGCAATGCCACCGGGTCGATCGGTGGATGGTACTGCACCTCGGCATCGACGGTTTTCTGCCCGTTGGTCTGCGTACCCACGAGCCGGTGGTCCGAGGAAGAGCCCCGTCGACCAGCCGAGTCCACCGCGGACGAGGCACCTGAATCCGTGGAGCCGCGGCGACTGCCGTTGCCGTTGGGGGCTCCAAAGTAGTACAGCCCCATGGACTGCTTATTCTTAGGACTGGCTCCGTCCGACTTGGGTTCGGTGCGTTGATGGGGTTCGGCCGAATGGAGAACCGGCTCCAGCGTACTACTGGAGCGGCGTCGATCGCCGTTCGCTTGCGGGGCACCCAGGTTATCGTAAGGAGAGCGACCATGCACGAGATGACTGCCGTGCGTGCCGTTCACCGGTTCACCTGTGTACACAATAACGGATTGTCAAAGCATCAACATTTTGCTATCCCTTATAATTCCAACTAATCGAAACCTGCGTTGTCGTACCTGGCCCAGCACCGCTGGCAACCTCCTTGCCGTTAATCCACAGCCCAGCGTTGGCCACGCCGCGCTCGTTATACGACTGAATGTGCACCACAGGCGACATGCCGTTGGCATCGCTGCGCAGTCCCAGACCGCTGGTGCTGGCGTAAGAGCCATCGGAGCCGAACGAACGCGTGTCGTCACTCTGACTGTCGTCGCTCTGTTCCCGTTGCTCCACCAGGCGGGTCGACGAGATCTTCTCCACACGGCGCGCCACCTGGCGTTCTTCGGCGGTGAACGTCTTCCCCGCGATCTACCCAAACACTTACCAATAAGCTAATGACAACGCGCTGTCGTACAGTTACAGCAAGAATCTCCAAAAAACGAAGGGATAACCATAATAGCGCGCACATCACGGTGCGAGCCAACGGGTAATGATCGGCTTACCTGAGCAATGATTCCTTCCTGGTAGAAGCGCTTTATGGTAATAAACTTCTCCTGTACTTCCAGCACAGTGCAATAAATAGTCTCCGCATCGTAATAGCGCGCATCCCGCAGTGTCCGTGCATCGGTCATCGTGGTGCGGATTGTCACATCCATATCACGCAGTTGCGTATCATAATTATCACAAATACTTTTGGCCTCGTACGGATTCTTCACCGACCGAATACGCAGTTCATCCTGTGTCACACACAAGGCCGGTCACCTCAGAATTACATTAATTCGAAAGCAACCGGACTGACATAAAACACATCGTTATCTCAGTAAGTCGGAAATAAAAAACGACAATTTCCCCAAATGGGAAGATCATATAACCACAAGATGTCAACCGTAGACTATCGTCTTACCTGCTTCATCTGATCCCGCAGCTGATTCAGTCGGTCGACGATGATGAGGACGGAGGTGCGTACGGATTCCGCTTTGGGATGGAGACGCTCACAGCGGCGCAGATCGTCATGGAGAGCGTGCTCTCGATTGTCGATGGCTTGCAGCATCAGTCGCCACACCTTGTCCAGGGTGGCCGGCTGGATTTCCTCCTTCACAGGCACTGAGGCGGCATTGATATATAAATTCTGCCAAAACAAACCCGATCAAGACAGACTCGATGCGTGATCATTAGTCCACCGGACGCACCTCTAATTCATAGTACAACTCGCTGAGCTGATTCTTGACAGCCAGCTTCTTTGGAAGATCATCCGACCGCAAAGAGGCACATTCTTTGATCAAACTCTATTAATCCAACAATAAAAATTGTCGATTAACCGGACGGGTTCGGTGAGGCAGCCACATGTTCAAAAGCGCTCACCCGTGTTTCGCGATCACTGGAGGTTTCGTATTTTTTATGCATCTGACTGATGATCCGCGTCATCCAGCTGCTCAGCGCAGCCGCTTGGTCCACGTACAAATTCGTACGCGATTCACGCAGCTGCAAACAGACATCTCATAATAACATACAAAAAACAAATAAATTACTGTACATATAAAAAAAATAAAATGCAACTGTATTTAAATACAGAATATAACCAGAATATATCCCTGTAAAATTGATGATTAATGTAGGTATTTTATCATCTTCAAGAAAAAATGGACAAGTGACGCTGCATAATTCGACGACAGTCAAATGACTGTAAAGAGAGCTACGGTTACATAAACTGACCGGTTCCAGCTGCGGCGCGGTGTTGCTGAGGACATCGTAGAGCGATGACACGTAGGTAATAACCGACTTGTCATCCGGTTCCGGAGTGTCCACATCTAGTAAAACACAACTTTCATCAGCCTCTTCAGCATAAAACAAGTACGCTTGGATGGCGCTATTTAAAGACCCGTAAATCCGGAAAAACGTGCGGCCCCCCGAGCAACGTACCTTCCGGATCCAAAAGGCGCGTGACGTTGAATTCCTTCTCGGCAATACTGAAGGCGATCTCAAGATTCTCACGGTTGGTGCGCTGTCGAGCGGCACGGAAATCAATCAACTGCGGCCTGCACAAAAGAAGGAAATTAACGGGCGCACTGGCCGACAGTTGGCTGCCCGACGCCACCCGGAAGACCGGAATCGAACATACCGGTAGCGGTGGAAGAGCGCGCTAAAGGCCAGCCCGTCGCGCCAACTACGGGAGAAATCCTTGCAGCTGACACCCGGATAGCCCTTGACAATATCCCGCACCCACACCAGCAGCGCGTTGCGGGCTTCCCGCGCGTTCAACTCCTCGTGCTGCTGACTGGCCTCCGCCTGGCCCTGATTGTGGCTCTGCGCCAAATTCACTGAGATCTACAAGCAACACCAATTATCACCCTGTATTGTAATGCTCGTGACGCCGGCATCTTCGAACCATATAACAAGCCAGTTCTTTTCTTGACCTCGATGACTCAAGTGCCGCCGCACACACGGCGTAACAATTCGCAACAACAAGTCGCCGTTTATGTGGGTGACGCCGTCAGAACGGATGCGCCAAGAGATTGATTGTGTAATGTCCAAGAGCGCTCTTCACGTTGCTAAACGCGCACTCAGAGAGCCACTTTAGAAGATACAAAGCGCTCATCAATTATCGGGACACGCAAACCTATCACTGTCAAGATAATTCCAATCAGATTCTGTCCGGAGCATTCGTTAACAACACAATGGGTCATATGCTAGCTTAATTTCTCTTGTGAGTAATTCACGAAAATTTTATGACTAAATATTCAGTCAACACATATATCTAAATTAATTAGCAAAAAATACAACTAACTGCCCTTCTTTCACCCATTCTAGATTATGTATCACGATTTATTGCGTACGTGAGAAAACAGCATGTAAATTAATCAGCAAAAAAACTACCCTTATTTCATTAGATTAGGATTGATGTACCACGATTATTGACATACGTGAAAATGTGACGACAAACATTGTCAACAAAAGGACAATCGTCATAAACAAGAAAAAATTCCGCAGGAAATCAAATCCGCATTCAAGAAGGGAACACGGTCAACAATGAACTGCCAAATTCTGTCAGAACTGATTATCGTCTTGTGTACAAAACTGACGCGGCTTGGTCACGTCTAAACACCTCCGCCTCACTATGAGCAACATTACACCACACAAAGCCGATTTCGCCAAGAATATCATCAGAAAACTGCTAACTCAGTAATTTCAGGTATGCGATAACTGTTGCCTTTGCAAGCAGACGCATGGGAAATCCAATACGCCGAGGCGCTCGGAAATCCTAGCCAAGCATACAGTAATTACCGATTTAACCGGTGCAAATACTTTCGCTAACGAGGCGCTGCCCCGCAAAAACGGCAAACGCTTGGCGGACTATCCGGGTCACGCATTCAGACACCCGGCCCGCCGTGGTCAACAAACAGTTACCCAATAAACAAAACCATGGTAATAAAACACGATAACTATTGCGGAGATCGGAACAATTACATTTTTAACTACTTGTTTCTCCTTTCTTTGGCTACAAGCGCAAACGGTAAAAAAATCCAAAATCTTCAGAACGATCTGTGCAGAAACACTGCCCAGCTGCATTCACCTGTGATCCAAACAAATACTGTGGCAGACCATTCTTCAAACCCAGCCCGTTCGACGGCGATAAATCCACCCATGATCCGCCCTTCACCTTGCGGATGCGCCGGTGCACCGTCACCGTCTCCTCCTCAGTGACATTCCGGCGCCGTTTGACCACGCGGTGCTTGCTGCTCTTATTCAGCACGCTTTCGCAGCTTTTGCTGGACACCTCGCTGAAACGCGGGCTTTCTTCGATGAAGACCCGCGACAAACGGGACTCCTGCACAGTGCTGTTCTCCGGCTGGTAGTCGTCGATGGTGATGTTGACGACGCTGCGGTTGCGATGCTCCACCCGGGATTCCACGAGGGGAACCACGGGCGGTGCCGGCGGATGGCTGTTCAACGCCGGCTGACTGCCCACAATGTATAGACGTGCGGAACACGGGGCGTCGTCACCCTCATCGAAATTGCGCCCGCGGACGAAACGATACATTCCGCATTGAATTCAGCGCATCCCGAGTCACGTAATCCCAATTTATCCACAAGAATATTCGATAAATATTGTTAATTCCATAGTACTTCCACAGAATACTGCAGTTGACGGATCAAGACACCTGGCCGCGATGAATCAATATTGTCGGTCAAAAAAGGAGAAAATAAACCAGCAGTCTCTGAATCCATTCATCAACAAACGCGATACAGTCGGATGAATAAGAGCTGGCAACTTGTCATAACTGCGAAAGTCAGTTCAACGTTCGGCAACGGCAAACAGCCTAATAATTTCCGGTTGGGCCGTCTGACAGATCAGATCGCAGATATGTGTAATAAAAATTCAAAAAATGTCTGCGTTGAACAATCTCGACTGCCCCGCATACACGGAAGCAGCGCGACAAGAATTCACTCTCGCAAACTCTCACAGCTGAGCTGACACTGTAGTACGAAAAACGAGCTCGGATGGATTCTTCATGGTATTCGAGAGTGGATTTGGCGCAGTTACGCACTTAATTCAGCTGCGAATCATCAAGGCGTAACGCCACTGTGTTCTGACAGAGAGAGAAACAGGTACGTACATTATTGGTACATATACACAACCAACCACCTGCCATGCGTCGCAACGTGCTGGACAGTTTGCAGATCGCGCAACGACCGTTAAGTAGTGGCGAATTATTTTTGCCCAGGTAAATGATCAGACAACATCAACATTCAACGAGAACGCCAAACGCCAGTCGGCCCCGTTATATTAATGTGCTGCTTCACCGACGCAACTACCATAAACAATCACATTCCGGCCTCCCATTCATTCACCAGCATCCATCCTACTCCAACTACGTCGTACTTATTTTAATGTTGCACAGCAGGCAGTTTATCAACTCTCTGTTTAACTCCGCAATTCCGCAATGTTATTTTCGTCCGAACTCTCTTCAAGAACTAATTTCCGTGCAACGACAAGTCAACTCTTCCAATAAAAAATAAAATTCCACGTCATTTAAATGAAAGTCAAAGTCTGGAAGCTAGGATAGCATATGCAGCAAAACAAAATCGTGATGCTACAAAATCGTCAAACGCATTCAGATGGACATGCCACAATGCGATTACACCCCAGTGATTTTATCCCTTTTGCCCGCTACAAACAATACTATTCTATCATTTAGTCAGGGAATTTATACGGAAATTTCACAATCGTCGCCTTCACGCATGAAGGGCAATATTTCAATATTTCGAAAAATAAACCCCAACGCTTAAAAGAAAAGTATACGAGTATACAAACTTGCGAGAGCATCCCCGAGAGAGCGTCATTGCGAAAAATTGGAAAACAACGAAATAACGTCGATCTACCAATTCATCTCAAGTTTTTACTAAAAACAACATAAAGCCCTTTTAAAAATAACTGCAAAATTTAATTAAAAGAATTCACTTCTACTGTGTTGAATCGATTAAAAATTTTAATTTCATCCAAAATTATAATTAACTTATATTAAAATCAAAAGTTATCCACGTGTTACAAAAGTTTTGACAGGATCGTGCATGACAGTGATGTAATCGAATCTCGTTAGTCATAACTGATTACTGTTAGCAATAATGGCTCATTCTAGCGGCTGACGCCTCCGCAGTCCGTCTGAATATTACGAGCATAATCAGGCTGTGCGGCGACACCGAGTCATCGAAGTAATAGTACTTTTATAATAACAGTAACAATATTAACAACGTGACTGCAGAGAATTATCGAACAATCCGACGAAGTATGAATATATCCAACAGCCGACGGTTTTGGCCGGCGCGACTGACCTGAAAGTGCAGGATGATGGTCCATATGAGGCCCAGCGTCAGCTTGGGATTCCCATCGACAATATCCTCCGGCCGAATGTTAACAACTTTAATCTGCACGAAAGCGCAACAATATTCGCAAATCGCTCATTAATCCGCACAAAAGAATACGCTGTGAACTGCCAGCGGCTACATTCTAATTCAGCGAGTATCACTTCGTTAGTCAGCATAAGTGAAGAAATTTAAACGAGCGGTTAGTCATTTCTCAAATCAAAATAGACCAGCTTTTTTAATCGTTCGCCAAAGGAACGGCGCCGTCGCCATTTTATTTCTTTGACAACGTATCCGTACCATCGTGATCAATTTTTAATTTTAATGTAAGGGTAAAATGACTAAGCGGTTCGGAAAATGAAAAACAAAATTCAACCAAATCTTGCCGCAGAAATCCATACAAAATCGTTCAATGCGGACGAATCACAATTTTATGGTTTAAAATTTGATCAGAAATAAGGTGCCAAAAAACCACTGGGTAAAAAATTTCCGCTATTATAAACTACTGGGTAAAAACTGCCAGTTGTGGAACGGGTAGTTTAAACCAACAAAAATCCAATTAAAAGGGAAAGATGCGTACCTTTCGATACTTGAGGAACTGGAGTCCCGCATTGCAGTTCTGCACTTTGTGGAAGCGCATCCGGCCACGCTCGCGCGCCTGTAATAATCAGACTCCAATTAAAAAGCCGGCAAAACAATTTTTACAACAAAGAACATCAATTTTCTCTGACGGCATCCCGTTGTGCGCCGGCTGACAAGTTGTCACTTTCAATGCCGACGCACAGAATGCACCGGTATTGTCTCTCGCGTTGCCTTCCGCCACTTACCAGCAGTTCACCTGACAAGACTTCCAGCAGCGACAACAGATTGTGCCCATCTTGCAGATCTTCGAACAAGTCGTTCACCGTCTTTCCGGCCTACATTTTTCACAACCATAATTCATAAGAGACAAATTTAAACAATCGTATTCGAAAATCTCATGCAATGCTACTCGCCACTCGCCAGAACGGATCATTTTGATTATGAGGACATTTGGGTGCTGTGGGTGCTGTGAACATACCCTGCACGATTAGGCTGCGATGAACAGCCGGCTAAATTTATAGCCGTTTGCATTCAGACTGTGATATCAGTAGCGTTGCGAGCTACGGCTAACCAGCTGTTCATCGCAGCCTAATCGTGCAGGGTATGTTCACAGCACCCAAATGTCCTCGTATATGTAGTTTCCTTATGATCCATTAAACTGACAACAAACCATTATGCTACTTTCTCATCTAAATATTTGTAGAACACTGGTGAATGTTATCGACACATTACTGAATATATTCTTGTTAAATAATATTTGCACGAATTTGAATTATTTTATTCACATAAAACTTCGCCGCCATAAGAAGCCACAACAAAAATTCAGAACAAGATCTCAACATATAATGTTTACGGTGATCTCGTATTTAAATTGTATTACTTTTTAAAACATTATTGTCGATATATTTACTCATATTGTAACTATTCAGTCACTGCAAAGCAACTGCTTTTTTTAACAGACTGATCCGTTCTGGCGTTCAATTAGCCGGAAAACCAATAATACAGAGTTCACATCATTAATAATGCAAGCACGTTTACTTTCAAAGTACAAACACACACTGCAGCACACATACACAAACGAAGTCCAGCAAAGCAAAAAGCAGAAAAACACCCAACCATGCTATATACACCAGAGCAGAACAACCGGCAACGAAAACTGATATCGATTTCCCGAAAGTTATTACGGCAGTGTTTACATATCGCACGTGCTGGACACATGTGGAAAGGGAAAAGTACCGAGACTGCACTGCTCGTTAGCCCTACAATGTTAGGCTCACACGAACAGGGATCAGCAATTCAGCATGCAGCGGAAGCGTAAAAAGGGGCAAGTGTCAATGGACAGCGGTCAGTTCAGATAAACAACGCCAGTCTACATCGTCAGGCAGACGGGGAGCTTATAGAGTTAATTTCTACAACATGGTCGTAATAGGAATTCATTCCAGTCAGACGAATGAAACGCAGATTGACGCATTAGTCCCGTATCGAATTTCAGGCAGTGTGAAGCGTTTGCTGGCTAATGATTACTGTTATGATCAGGAAACAGAAGTTATGCATTCAACGGGATACAGCACGACAAAGACCAGATAAGTGGCCGACAATCCATGCTCGATAACGTTAAAACATTATGAATACGTTATGAATCTTTCTCAAATTAACTACTTGAAGTAGCCGTGGACTGACCTGTATAAACCTCCAGTGCTGGAAGATGCAAAATAAATAAAAGCTTATTAAATCAGGAAAACCAAGAACCACACACCTTCATTACATCATGCAGGAAATTATTTCAAATGAGGAAAATCAAAACACTCTTTCAAACAACTGCAATACGATCAAATATAATATTTTTAAAACGGGATAAATGTTAGTTAAAAAAGTAACGAAACTTTTATTCAAGCGACGCTATTTTAGATGTTTTCCTGTGCAACAAAAAACTTTGGAATGCATCAGTAGATGCTTAGGTCTGAGCTGACGTTTAACAGGGAATTTTTTTCTCGAACATCCCATACTGAAATTTAAGACGACCGCGAGAGAACGACCAAATAGGTAAAAACTAAAAACACTTCAAGATACCTTCGCCTTAATTCAGCTGCAATCTTCTATGTACACATAATCGAAATATATTTCATGGCTCAAATACCAACCACCCGCTGCCGAACAGTGGTTCTCATAAACGAGTCAAAGAATTCGCGCTGAGCACGAGCTTTATCTTTATGTCCACCGGAGAGAACGACCACCGACGCCGGAAAAAAGCTCGTGAAACGGGAGATAAAAACAGTCAAAGTATCTGCCGTTTTCATAAAACTTCCACAGATACGACTCCCGAAAAGTACATCGCTAACCTACGATCTCCCTTTTACAAAAGCAGACCGAAAAAGCTATCGGGCGTTGTTAAATGCTAGGCAGTTTCTATTACCAATCATCTGTGCTTGTTTAATGCCAGAAGCAATAAGAAGCGAAAAAGCGATAACTACCTAAATTACTCACTATAAGGATTCTTGCTATGAGCAAAAAGATTTTTCGCGTAGCAGAACGGAAGAACAAAGCAGAGAGGAGCAAAAAGTCGTGTTGATTAATTACGATAAAAGACATACCTTTTTCAAGTGCTTGTTCACCCATTTCGTAAACGTCTTCTTCTGAATGGCATCGCGCTCATCTGCAAAACAGCGAACATGCATTTCCATTATATGCCGCTAACTGACCACTCTCGAGTGCGGCGTACAACACATCGCCACCGTACACTACATCAAATAAACAATATTACGCGCCGCAACAAAAGACCATCCAAAAAACGAACAAGCAATCCACGCACTAAATTATCGGCTTGTCGGAAGCGATTCAAGTGCTCTTCAAACAAACCAGCCATCTTGCGATGTGTAGCCAGCGTCATACGGGTGAAAAAAGAATCACCGAGCCCAATATTTGTCAACAACAATGAACAATTACCAACAAAAACGCTACAATAAATACAGTTCCGGTGCTTAATCAAATTCTACCACGATTTACTCACATAATTACATAATTAAATCCTATTACCGAAAAGTCGGAACATATGAAAAGTAATAACAATGTCAGTAGTATAAGCAGCAGAAATTTATAGCTTCAAGAAGGTTTGAATTATCGACAAAAATTACCGTAATTAAAACTCCAAATTTAGGAAACAAAAGCGTACGAGTACAAAAAATTCTACATTGAAGTGATCCTTAGAAAATAAACAAATTTATCTTACCGGCAATATTGTGCTAACATATACGTTAAACCAGTTAACAAAAAAAGGAAAGCGCACAACAGAACAAAGGTAATCCATCAACCAACCTCTGAAACGTTCGAGGCTCTCCTCATACCATTCCTTAGAAACTCTAGGCAATTCATCCATGAAATATCACCATAATTATTCATAAATCGATTGCAAATATCAACCGGCTATGCAGATGTTTTCGCGACACTAATTTTACAGTTTAACACTATTATAGCGAAACACGATATAGCAATCCAGCAAAGCATGTCAAGTTCAGCAGACACGTCAATCAGCGGGAGCAAAACAGCTGAAAACTATACATACTGGCAAAACCCAATTAAACGCGCAGCAGAATCCGATCGATAGGCTCTCAATACAGAACAGTCCTGCACCGCATCGATGAGTTCGGATACTGTTATAAAACGTGAACAATATCAACCTGCACTGTGCGGTCGATCGGAAAGCATGGTGGCGTGTCTGTGGCGAAGCGGCCATCAACACAGTGCACACTCACCGGGCCAGCCGGTGCAAAGGTGCGCTACAGTGCCAATTAGACACTACTCTACAACCGGTCTTATTTGCTCTGTACGTACTTCCTTCGCCTTTTGCGCCATCTGTTCTAACACGAGTTGGCAGTTGCGGCAGTACAAGTAACTGAAGTAAGTAAGTACACTATTGCTGTCCAAGCGATACCGTTTAAGAATGAAACCGCTCTGCCATCGACACCTCTAACACGATTCGCAACAGTTGCTTTACAATGTCTTCACAACTCCGAAGTTGGAGCGACAATGTCAAACAACCCTGTAATTTCGACCAATAAAACTATTTCCGTGAAAGAGACCCATTCTTTTAGACCACATTTCGCCGTTTTTTTCGATAACTATATACGCTCGTGCACAAGCATCGCGCTTTCGAACTATCGCTACAAGCAGACGATACATTACAAGATCGAAGATTCTGCTGCTACAGACGACTAAAATAAATTACGTCAAAATCCGCAAAAAGCAGGTAGCGAAGATGTAAAAAATTTATGTATTTATACTGTAGCGGTCAAATTCGGAGCAACCTCGCGATAATTGCCATGACCAAAACTATCGCAAGCAGCTGGTCAGTAAACACGCCGGTAGTACACGTTGCTCGTACGTATCGACCATCAATCGTGCCTGACAAGCACGACCTTTGTCAGTTCGAAAGTAAATATGAATGCAGCATAAATTAACATTGAAACGTCGCCTTATCAGCTCAAGAGAATTAATCACCAGCGCTGGTGCGTGTGCGAGAGATGCTGCTCAAAATGCTGACCGGATACGGAACTCAACTGCAGAACTCTGCTCCAATCAGCGTCATACCGGCGTGCGAAGTTGCCGAATGGCCACACGCGCAATATCTAATCAAGCCCTTAATTGCTCGCCAGTTCACAAGTGGCCAGCCCTTTGACGGCACTCATTACTATCAACCGCACTGTTTACCAGATGAGGAGGATCAGCTGCGCCGTCCACACACACAGGTGGATCTGACCAAACACGTCCAACCAATTTGGCAACGAACACGCCGCTGTTTTTAAAAACGCTGCGGACAGAGGCAGCTGATTTCACATGCTTCAGTAGCGAATAAAATGTGCAACTTGCGTTTCCTTCAATGGACAGAAAAAACCTGTTGAACGCAGCCGACTAACAGGTTTTTACTCCAAAGTTGTAATTGGTCCGCTTATAAAAAGCCTTACGATCTAGTTCGCTTCATCCCCAGAAGCACAAAACTCTAGCAATTTTATCTAAAGATTTTCGGTATTTTCCGTATCATTATTACCTACAGATCAACAAATGCAAAAATATTATCCAACCTGAGTCAGTACACGAACTTCGACCCGGTAAATAAACATGACTAGCTAGGTCAATACGAAAGACAGTACTTGAGAAAGAGACCAGATCAACCAAACTAAATAAAAGCACCAAAATACTCAGACGTATCATTATTAAACATACCTATTATGAAAACTGAACGTAAAAAGAAACACCCACGTATTTATCACTCACAACTTCGAACGCGAAAAGATTTTAAGGTGCGCACCTTCTCAAGCAGCCACCTAGAGTAGGGAGACTCAACTACATAAACACCAACTGCCCGTAAATTTAAATCCATTACTTAATTTAATTTTCAATAACTATATTATTCTAAAAATTGTTTTCGGCTGCAAACACAACCGTATAAAACTGAGAAAAACAATTACCAAATATATCTTAACCGCTTACGTCAACACAATGGACAATCACAGATTCACAATCACCGTTTGAGTTTGAGAGAAAAAAAAATTATAAGAAAATCCCGATCTTAAGCGAAAGGCGATACATACATTGACACGAAAACAAATAAACAAAGAGAAGATAATCGAATTCGCCGATTAAAATCAGCTCACCAATGGTTAAAGAACAAGAAATTTTTCGCTTGGAAATCTTCCGCAAAGGTTGGCGGTCCGACATGTTGTTACCAGCAGTGAAAATCGACAGCAAAATCGCTTACCTTTTTGCACAGAATATAGTTCAATCATGACGCCAATAAAATTATCGCTCTTGCGTAATAGTCAAATTCCACTAACAGTCAACACATAATCCCATCAACATTTCCATACTTCCCGCACGCTCTCCCATTAAAATAATTTCCATAACAAAATCAAAGCTCATAAAACGCAAGTGGGCAGTTTTACGACGCACCGTGACCATGAACCGAAAGCTATTAACTGGCAGAAATCACAACAGAAAACACGTCTCGGAGATGTGTACATACTTGGACTGCACCGCTAAACTGCGACAATGAGACAACGCTTGGCCGTAAAAAACCCCGGTAATGCGCCCACGAGCGGCCTGCACTGGCAAACTGGTTATACAGTGGCGCCGACGAGCGATGTCAGTCCGTAAAACGGTAAATAAATAAATATCAACAAATGGCCTCGTTTCACCTGCGCGCCGGTGTACAACTTTTACGCTCTCGGCGACGTTTCCAGCCACTCACACCGTCGACAACGATTAAACTCTAATCCACACATTTTCATATTTTCAGATAGTTAGCTGCCCACATTAAGCAGTCAGCAAACAAAAGTATCTTTTTCCAAATTACGGTACGAGCACAGATGCAGCGAGTCGCGACGCATATTCTGACAACGTACACGCACAGCATCAAAGAAACATATTCAAGGCGTTTTCCTATCTCCAATATATTGCATCAAGTACGCAGAACTGCTTCCAAAATTTACAAAAAGAAAATGAAAACATTTTTAAAAACCGCAAAACAAAAACCAAATATCTCCGTTAATTAGGTACGAAATTGTTCAGTTTTCCGGGGACATACACCAGATCGTTAAATCTTAGAAGTATCAGAGTTTTGTTAAATAGTAATCAAAGACATACGAATTTTAATCTAATCAAGCCCACCAGTCACCACAAATTATGAAAGCGCGTGTTACCGCGAACTTAAAAATAATTACTGAAAATTTTCACATTTAATAAACTGTAGCAAGAAAAGGCCGAAAGAATTTATTTAAAAGTCTAGCATGTGATAAATCAATTTTGTTTGGGTCCGCAAAGATAAACACCGGTATCAGTGGAGCATAATTGCAGGGTGACACATCAACAACATATGATCAGACAGCAATCCAATAAAATGACGCTGTCCTACCACTAAACTGACACGCTTATCGCATCATACAAACAGGAGCAAATTCCCTGCTAGAAAATGCATGCCCATGGCACGATTACGCCATTTGCTCTGGTTATGCAATAGCTATAAACCCAGAATCGACACTTTTTCATGATACATACTTCTATTCTGATGTTTATCCACTTCCAGAGCAACTTTTAACTGCAAACCCGAAACCGGAAGCAGCCCTATTGTGCCCTGGCTGCTTTTAATAACATCCTACGGGCACTGCGAAATAAACTGCAGCTTAAGCTAAACAGTAAACAGATCGATTGTACTCACACGAATACATAATATCTATATTTCCGTAATAGTATACATTGCTGAGTCAAGCGACTATTGATAAAAGGATACAATCGAGCGGTAATGAGAGGCACTTTGGCCGCATAATTGGATTTGCGTCGGGCGTCTGACACATCCCTCTTCCCGTGATGAGTCACTTGTCAGAGTCACAGTTGTTAAATGTGCAGGACATGCCATGAATATGTCTAAACACAGGAGAGCGCAGACAGCATTGGAAACGCCATCGCAATATTGCATCCCACTGTCAACAAGACAAACCGGAAACCAGACTGTCACGCCGCACGCGCAACACCCTGCGCCAAATGTTGGCTGCTGGCCCGACACATGCTTGACGCTGATCCCGTTCTCCCTCCCACACTAATCCATTTAAATCACTCGTATCACTCACACCGAGTAACACAGATATGAGATATCCATTCGTGCGATTCACGATTATTTTCTGTCTCCTACTTTTTATTAACTACAGGCACAACGTTAACGTGTACTTTATAAATTCCACTGCATTACAAATATAAGACTCCACAAAATTACGAGAATTACAGTGAAGAAAAGCACTCACACTTGACGACATTGGTATGCTCCTGTGTCACTTCCAGTTCACTCTCAGTACGAAATAAAGTCTTGTTCCTGCGAAACGATATCGCCGCTTTCGCCATCCCGAGACTATTCCGACCAATAACCCGAGAACAACAGTTCGGAAAATTCTACTTCAGACGCATAACGCAAAACTACTCTTCAAAACACAGCAGAAATCAACCCGCAAACGAACCGGAAATGGCTTAGAGATGCACTTCTCTACGGGCTCTACCGTTCAGATATGTATAACAAATTAATGGCAGTAGGAGGGGTGCTTAGTCGGCCTAATCTGCGATCTCATAATGCTTATCGCTTCTATCCCGATAAAACGTATCCAATCACAATATATCAGAAATAAATATTACTAATAATAACACTGACACAGCCGTTGTATCTGTACCGTCGACCTGCACTAATTTCCAGTGCAGTTCACTGAACAAATTCAGTCGCCACAACTATCTAAACGGACCTACAAATTCAGATAAGCTACAATAACCTGACACTCTGCCTGATCAATCTGGGTGAAAATCAGGAACTACAAAGGGCACCGCAGTAGCCTACAACCAGGTGGAACAAAAGCCTCCTATCAAAGTAAACACCCATCGTGTTCCCGGCGAAATCACAAATGACCACAGCGACAAGAATAACAAAAGACCAAAGGGGTGCACAATCAAGCTTCTTCTAAAAGACTACGTCACTGCATTGTTGCAATGTCTCCGTCCCGGGAAGTCATAAATCAAAGTTGTACGTTTGTCAAAAGGTTACTCCACTCATTGCTGGACGTGAAGTACCTAACCAACAAAATTGTTACTTAATTCCTAACGTAAAAAACTGTAACACCCCATAAAACAACACTTGCACAAAATTTTTTTCAAGAGCACAGACTGCACAGTGACAGCACACTTCAGATAATTTTAAATTGAGAAACTTCTACTACCAAAAGTATAGCATTTTCAAATATTTAATTGCTTCTGCTATTTTTTCTTATAAATATTAGCAAGCGAGCAACGCAACATGATAGCAATTAATATAAAAAAAACTTCAATCAAATTTCAAAACCCAAATAACCACTCAAAAGTCGGACGATGCGGCAGTTACCCAACACTGTCTGTCATAAGTTTAACCCACAACCGAACAGTTCCCAGTTAAATACACTGAGATTCTAAAAATAATCCCAGAGCACACGCGGCTGTCATTTTTAAAGCAACCTAATCGACATGTTCCTATTTCAGTTTTGTGGCAATGAACTGCTGCTCCACTTTCCCCGGCCAGCGCCAACGTTATGAAGAAGCGCACCAAAAATAAATCCATCGCAACTGTATTTCCGGTTGATCGCCGCACAATACCGCCAAAGCGCTATTATTGCTTAATTCAGCTGCTTTATTTACCGTCACGCCTTGTTCCTAGTCGGGTATTGATTTTTCCATTCAGAAAATATAAAATCGTAATCACTCTGCCTATTCATGAATTATTTGCCAAAGGAACGCTAAAGCAGAAACACGTTTTTTCATCGGCCACAAAAACGTAGCAATCCACTAAAAAAACTCAGATGCAAATCTCCTATTCTTACAACGCTCCAAACGCATTAAGTCACGAGCTTTTTGGAAAACTCTGCGACAATAAAATACCCAAAATAAATTTCACAATAAAATTATTAAACTTCTGAAAATAAAAATTTTTAATTATGCTTTATTAAAATAAAATTTATCAATTATTCTTTATTAAAAAATTCCAGCTGCTACCGCACGAACGGATAAATTCACACCGGCCACTTTTCTATGCACAACAAAAACATGCCATAATACTCGTCCACTGCGCATAATGCAGCCATCGAAAATGAAAATGAGTGGGACATGTTTGCAATGGGAAACGCGCAAGAGCCGCGGCGGCTCATTTGCAAGTCACAAAGCGCTCGTAATCGTCCACTTGAAAGGAAAAAACAAACGCTCACCCGCTCGTCTTCCATGCTTATGTTAGCCTGAAAACAACATTTCTACGTGGGTCTTAGCGGTGCCGTTTGCTGACTGCTCTCGCTTGGCCGTGACTCGCGGCTGCGCCAACTATGTACGACTCTCTGAAGGCCATAATTAACTCAACTAATCCTTCACTCATCACCAAAGGACGGCAAATTACTGCAAATTCCGAGAAAAGCTTCGACTAAAGAAACTCATTGCAAGCAACATCTACCTCATTTCTGCGTTAAAAAATCGAGCGAAAAAAATTCCACATACGCGAAAACCTGACTCAAACTACAGCGATGCAAGGAAAATCGAAGAAACTCGCGAAATTCTTGGCCGATATTTGTACCTGCTATTTTGAGGACCACGCGATCCGCCGGATCCAGTTGGTAGACAGAGAGCGGCTGCTCCTTGGACCACTCCAGCAGCTGGACGTGCTCGTCCGACAGATGTTGCATTCTGCGTCCGGATCTCCCAAAAACGCGAGCCTCAGATTCTACAGTTTCTCAAATCCATTTCTCAAACAGTCCATAGACTGTAATAACATACATTACAACGGAGGTTGCTCTTACCTGTTCTCTCATACCCCGTCGCGTTGTACGCAATTCAATAATCTCCTCAAAATTAATAACTCCTGGCCAAGCTGGAAAACAGCTGTTTTACAATCATGAAACGATGATCAAACACAAATCGCTCGCTGTTCAAACGTCTGCGTGAGTTCGTCTTTATCACCACACACGGCTCATGCTGCAGTGTCAGTGTGCATAAGTCGATGGTGACGCATGGATTCAATACAACGCAGTATGTATTGATATCCGGTTAGGGGGCGGTCCGCAAAACTTCTATTGGTCTGCTGTCATACACCGAATCACAGTATGTAGATGTACGCAGCAGTACGGATTAAATTTGCATCCCGTACGCGTGTTATTATTTAGCTTTTTTTTTTCACGATAAATGCAGCCAAATTTGCCGATTCACTACATTAAGGTTTCCGTATATTTTTCGGAAGTTACCGTATCTTACATTGATCGTTTATTAAATGGACCAAGCCGAGAAAAACGTAGGCTTAATTTGCACTGACGTAGACGTGCGCAATTGCGCAATAATGCGCATTATTCGATGAATATGAGTGGCCACTGGCTAGTGTATTAAGGAAAAATTATTATCTGCGGACATGGTACGTCTTTTGCTATTTTATCTCACAAATAAAAGTTAATATCATTCCTGATTGCTTAAATAACTGAAGAAATGTAGGCAGGCCAATTGAAAATTATCATCAGAAGGAAATGACATTGCAGATACTGTATTAGTGGAATCGGAAAAGGGTTACGTTACGCGCTTCGTGGCGTCGACATACAAGTTTCAACTGAGTCTTGACGAAGGCTTAATTTTGCCACCACAACTGCCACAATCCGGCCCCGATTGCAATCTTTAGTGCACCGTGCTGGTGTTCTCGGGCGGTAAATAGTGCGGTGAGGCCTTTTATCGCAGTGCTGCATGCAGTGGCCAGCGTTGGGCTCTCCTTGGTCGTTCTCCGGATGCACGTTGTCCAACCGAACCGCGCCCGAAGCCCAGTGCCGCGCCATCTTGGCAGCGACAGTGACCATTATCCGGCCGTAATGCGGAAGGTGCGCCGCAAGACCCAAAGCGGACACTGCGCTAGCGAGTGGACCGGCATTCGACGCTTCCGCCTCCTTGCAACTGCAAACGGCGCGTATCTCTACGCAAACCAACTGAAAGTGCAGCCCTAGCTTGATGAAAGTGCATGGTAGTGCAGCGCCTGACACCTGCTGCACAAGGTCATGAATTAGGCCCCGGTGAATTGGGAGCTATATAAATGTCTGGCGTGGAGAATACAAGTATTTAAACCACAGCTTGGCGGTTATGTGCATTGTGTCACCACAGAAAACGGCGAGTGCTAAATGCACGCGATGCGCTTCTTTAACTGAGTACTCCCATGCACGCCACGCGCGTGTACTCGAAACTACCTTCGCCTTCAGCAGTTCGAAGTCTACGTAGACTTCGAGCTGCCGAACGCGAAGGTACGTGCCGGTGTAGAAGCTGTGAGGTATTAGATTCCGTGCGCATGACAATGTTGCCTTCCAAGGTTTTTTACTGTGCAGTATTCTGTCAACTGGACGTCAACCCGGATAGTTTTGCTGAATTGTAAATTCGTAGCCAAGCAATCTTGCCAACGTGTTTGATCGTAACCGACTGCTTCCTGAATGTACGAGTATAACCGGCCAACCCGATGTCCCACCCGAAGATTTTTTCCATGTCCGCCGCGTCCTATCCCAAAACATATACAGTATATATGCATTACTCACTGGCCCGGATGATGAGATGATGGTGCTAGACTGGAATGTTGCTTTTCTGATCAACCAGTCAGCAACAACTGCCACCGAAATCGAGTGTCCGTCTTGGCGAGTGTTGGCCGGGAAGAGTGTACAAGGGTTGTTTCTCAGAAAAGCGCTGTTTATCAGTCCGGACGGTTTTGCTGGTTACAAGTTTTTATTATAGTGTGCATTGTTGGGGCATTCGCATTAATTTCGATGTAGAAGTACATTCAGCACTTACAGATATATTATAAATTGTATTATGCTGCGCCTACGCACGGGCTTGTGCAGAGTTATTAGTAGCTCCGCAGACGAGAATAATCCATTTCAGAACTCAAAACAGCTCATTAGCACAGGTGCAGTATTTCAAGCACTAAATAATTCATCCCGTAAAGTTGAACCTGCTGCTGCTACTTACTTATATAATATCCTGTACTGGCTGTACATACTAATAGTATGTGCATGTATATTATATATATAGATATTGATAGATATACATGCAGTAGTATCGCAAAATACGTATTTGTTAATATGTGTTATCAAATTGGATCGTCACGTCGTCAAACGTCTTTCCTCGGGATATCTCCATCCCTGCATCACCTCGTTGTGGTTGTGCTGAGATAACGGCGCTAGGCGGGTGTTATCCACTGGGTGCAATCTTTCGCTATCTCCGCTGGCTGTCGAAACGTCGCTGGGCACATCCAGTTTTCTATGTCCATCTTTTGACGCATTCAGTTCATCCGCTGATACAAGAACCGGTAGATAAATCAGTCGCATGGCGCTCCAATCTCCTTCGAAACCGTCGGGAGACACGGCGGTCTTAAAGGGAATTACGTCACGTGAACCAACAGCTCCCACAATGTGTGCAGGTTGAGCGTTGCTGGTGGACAGCGCTTGGCTGGCGCTGCTGGTGTTGATCTGCGGTGAGACGATGTTGGTTATCTGGATGCGAATTATGTCGTCTTTGCCGTGGACAACGGTAACATCAGGATTAATATTGGTGCCAGGATTTAACTGACGCGACCGCGGTACTACCGAAGCATGTTGGTGGGGGCGAGCAGGAGATTTCACGGGCTGCTTGGAAGCGATAATCGGCCCGGGTTGCATATACAGAATTACGAAAGCGACTTTTATGAATGCAAGCATTGTCGTGAAGGTCGGATAGAGACGTAGAAGAATTATAAAAAGGCAAAACTGTGTATTACGGTAAAAAAGATCAACAGCCAAAATCAAGGGAATTTTGCTGTTTACGTACGAGTACTATGTACAGTACTGTGCTACTTAAACGGCGTTATAGCATTATGCTTCTGACACTAGACAGTGATTCCAAATCTGGCGAAACGCACGGCCGGACTCAAAGTACAAGGACATATATTGTAGCTAGAACATCCCGGATGCGCATTTTGGCTCTGGCAGAGCGGTGATAGCTGAATCTTTGCACCTTTTTGCTCACGCGTTCTCGGTTGTGTTAATTGCATGTGACCTTAATTATTGTGGATTTGTATTGAATATATTCTGAGTAAGTCGCAATTCAAACTGACAGTGCAAAATAATCGGGTGCCTTCCGCAATCAGAAAGAATATAGAAGCGAAAAGTGACCGGATGCAGTTCTCGCTGACATACGCTGTTGTGTTTCTAATCGTAAGTTTCTCACCGACCTACTCTGTATTTCTTACAGGAAAATAAAACTGATACGAGTACAAGCAGCACAAAACGAATTAGTGTACAGTACAACCAGGTCTTGTTATGGATGGATACTATCTGCACTGGTGCATAAATGCATTTTTAATTCAATTTGGCGCTACAAAACAGTCACAAGTTTCCATAAAAGTGAAACAATTGTACTGAATACACAGCCTCAGCCGACTACGGAAATGGGCGGCCTAATCACACAGAACATTTCGTCTAAGTTGGCCGATGCTGGTGCTGTTCCCATGACAGAGGCCGCGTTCCCGCGTTGGACGTCAATGCTGATCCGTTGGCGCAAAAACTCCGTCGCCCGTACCTCGCCTGTTTCCTGTTGTATCATCTTCCCGACTTCGGTGACCAAATGAGATGCGTCCGGTCCGAGTGGTCCGAGTGTTTCGACGCCAAATGCACGGAACAGGTAATCCCGGGTGAGTTCCCGATACTTCGCCACTTTATCCTGCTCTGCGCGCGCCGCGGCTGCTCCCGCTTGCTTCGATGTTGCCGCGATGTGCGACAAGGCTACCGTGCACACACATGTGGCGTCCCAGGTCAGCATTTTTCCTCTTTCCCATGGGACCAAAGTCACTCCGTCGGGGCGCTTGCCATTGGTTAGGCAAGTACCAGGTGGCTCCACTCAGTAGAGCCCTGCAACGGACTGGTAAATCCGAACCGCTCCGAATCCACTCCGATTTTCGGAGCGGATTGGACGGATTTGTTTTAAAAAAATTCGGATCGGAGTGGTTTCGGAGTTTAGGCTTGCCTGAATGGATCGGATTCGGATGTAATTATGACTCCGAATTATCCGAAATAAAATTATATTTTCAACTGATTTTTATAGAATTTCCATAATTTTTAGGACAAAAAGCATCGCCAGCTTCGCGCTCCGCGCGAGGCTTCTGTGTGATTCGGTAAAGCACTAAACGTAGCTACTTCTATTACTTACGTTAACTTCAGTTACTTACTCTGTGCCCTTTGTTAGAACCGAAGCTTGTTCAATAAAAAAAAAATCCGAATTACAACTTTTATGAGTTCTTTTGTTGAGAACTAAAAGAGATGCCACTAACACGTGAAAGCACCAGCCAGAAACTGTGGTTTTTGCGATGGCAAAAAGATCAAAATTTTCGGAATTCGCAACTCGAAAAACGCTCAGGTATGAGCAATCTATGGCTAAGACGACGCAAAATTTAAACGGAGATTACATAAAAATCAAATAAACGTTCCGAAGATTTTGAAAATTGAGAATTTCGATGATAACCTGGCGTGCGCTATCTTTAATTGTTGCAGCGGATAGTATAGGTATTATAGATTTTTCTGGAATGAAATAAAAAATAAATATGACAAAAATTTTCGGAGCGGATCGGACTGGATTCGGATTTGTAAAAAACATTTACGGATCGGAGTGGTCGGAGTATGATTTTGAAAATTCGGAGTCGGACTGGGTTCGGAGAAAAATTTATTAGTTCGGATCGGACTGGACGAAGTTTTCGACTCCGTTGCAGGGCACTAGGCTCCAGTTCCGTTTCAATACCGGCGGAAGCAAAGGCGCGCTTTAAAGTGACATTGATGCAGCTGTGCCTGGGCTTCCGGCGCCGGCTTTTTTTACAACTCAGGCCATGGTATCCTCGCGCATCGGCCCATTCACCACAATTGCAACGGTGTGGAATGGTGACTGGTACGCCGAGACGCAGGCCGACAGCAATTCTGAGTGTGGTGTCGTTTAGGAAGTTACCGAGGGAAGCGGCTGGAAGTGCTTCCAGCCATGCGCCGTTATCCTTAGTGCTCACACCGCGAAGACGGGCTTCGCTTGACATGTCTGACTGGGCTGCCGCCAGGAGGGTTTCCACCGTGCCGTGGATGATCGGTTCATCCCAAATCTTCTGATGTTTTCTGGTTTCGAAGGCCGGAAGGTCAGCTTTGGTCATTTGCTGCCACTCTTCTGCGGCGCCGCGACAATAAATTTCCGGGTCAAAATCAACTAACTCGTTAGTCAGTTTAGCCACTGAGTAAGCCGAGGCCAAAAAGGTTGGAAGGGCCAGCTTCTCAATGCTCCGGATTCCGAGACCACCCTGTGCGACGGGAAGTGCCGCTTGCATCCATATGGCTTCGGTAATGTTCACATTGGTAATTCTCGACAGACAGTCGATGATCATTTTGTCGAACTGTCGCAAGAACTCCGTTTGCAGGTAGCACCGCGCAGTTCGCAACCTGTAAATCATTCTTACCGGACCCATGCTGCATTTCAAAAGGTACAACGCGTGGTGGGCAGGCAGCAGTGTTAAGCGTTGTGTCATCTTGGCAATCTTCTCCGTTTCAACAGCAAGGGTGCCTGCAACCGCGTCATCGTGGAGTGGTGCGCCAAGGTAGTTCAACTCGTTCAGGTGCGGCAACTGCAAATCAGGGAACGATTGGAGAAACGCGTTAGTTACCCTTTGGCGATCGGTTTCGGACCCTCCGATCACTACCAATTCGCATTTGGCGATGTTCAAATGCAGCCCGGCATTTTTCAACGCTTCTTGCAGAGTACATAGGTCATCGTATACGTCTTCAGGGTCACCTCCAAGCGCATCGTCATCCAAAAAACTCTCGCGAAATTTTGATTTCAGATGGCGGTGTGGTTTGATGGTGGCGAGGCAATATAATAGCGGTCCTTTGGGATCACCCTATTGTGTCCCTGCGTGGGAAGAGATGCGGTAGGCGCCATGCAGCAATACCGATGGTGTTCCGTAACACTGCCAGACATAACGGTAGTACAGTGGTAGAAATTCCTCCGTTGCTTCGAGGATTTTATTACGGTCAAGAGAGTTGAATGCATTTTGTACATCCAGTTTCAAAAAGACTTGAACTTTGTCGCTTTTGACGGCATTCTCGATAAAGCAGCGCGCACCATGAACTGCTGCTTCAACGCCACCTTTCGTGCATATGCATTACTGTCAATAAACTCAAGGTACTCATCCCAGATTTACTACTTATTTCGTTTCCGTAACTTCGCAATTAATTACCTCCCTGAACCACTGTTCACAGCATGCATTTAAGGTCACCGTTTTTAAGCAAGACAAAATTTTGCACAAATATGCTGTATATGTACTGATGTACAATATATATATATATATATATACAGTACATATAACACCTAAGCTGGCTTTAACCCGTCGTGGCATAATATTTTGCATTTCCGATGCATTAAAGAATACACGGGAACCATATGTCCTGACATAACATATGTTCTATTATTCTACAGACACCACTCATACTTCATATGCAGCTACATATGGACAACGTAACGGTATTTTATGAAGCCAGGGACAGCACAGAAAACGATGTCCCATATTTGCGTCACAAAAGTAACGTAACGTATTTTCTGTGCAACCGACTGCCTATCTCGTATCTGGCATCTCCGTACATTATTAACGCAACCTTTTAGAAGGTCGCGTAATATGACATGATTAGGTGTGTGGTCATTGCGAAGTGACGGAAAATCTATTCCTTTTCGCGAAACTCTGATAAGCTTTGTACTTCCCAAGCGGTGGCCAAAAATAGCATTACATGGTCCTATCAGTTTCGTTCATCGTCGCTCTGACTTTCAGTTTTTACGTTTTTTTCGCCCAGTGAGGTGTATTTCCTTTGCCGCTTCCGATGTTAGATAGCGTTTTATCGCACTATCCATCCCCATAAACAAGCTATGCTATCTAACCAGGTTCGAGCAACATGGCCGGCTTTCACTGTTTGGTAGCAGCTGAATATTACAGGGTAACACAAAGCGCGACAACTATCGCAGTAATCGCACATTATTTATGACGGTACCACAGGAATGCCGATGACTAATACACGAGTTTATGCGTTTACAGCAATCTGGAATTCACACTGATAAGGATCGCGTAGACGATAGCTTCCTACCCAATGGAAAGTATAAATACTAACCGAGAACTGTAACAGTTTCCATCTTTCACGTTCAACGGATTAAGTCATTAACCTTTGACGGTGTATTAATAAATTTCCCGCAATGTCGGCAATGTTTTATACAGCCTCTTTGGCTTTTCTCCTGTGTAGCTTCCAGTTAGCTACCTCTTCACCGTTAGGCTTTCGTGAAAACTACGAGGAAGATTTGGCTCAAGCTTTAAATGGGGGTTCCATTGCATACGATCAGCAGCAAGCGCTTGACGACGCTTTAACGAGTGAAGAGCTGAGAGAATTGTACGATTCGGTGAGCGACGATAGTACTACCATTTCCCCAGCAGAAGAAACATTCACGGAAGAACCCGAAATAAGTACTGATGCCACATTCCCGGACAACCATGAGGAGACGGAAGTGACCGCCACAGAAGAAACCGTTACGGAAGCACCCGTCGAGGATGAGGAAGAAGACATTTTCGCAGGTTTTCAAACAGAATCACCGGATGAGGAAGAACCGGCAACGACAGCATCACCGGCAGATGACGATGGTCTGGTTGAAACATTACCAGAAGAAACCGATGAAACAACTGAGCCCCCATTGGTGGACGACGATGAGGCAACGGAAGAGGCGGTAACAGAAGAAACAGTTACGGCAGCGCCAATCGAGGATGATGACATTTTCGCCAGTGTTCAAACAGAATCACCGGATGAGGATGAACCGGCAACGACAGCATCACCGGCAGATAACGATGACCTGGTTGAAACCGTCACAGAAGCCGTAACGGCGGCACCGGAAGAGGCTGCCGACGAGTATGATGAGGAAACATCCGCAACGGAAGTTGTTATTTTTCCGCATGAGGAAGTGGAGGCTACAACGGTAGCACCGGTTTCGGATGACGTCAGTGATGACGATGACACTGCGTTAATATTAATACCGCCGGCACCAATAACCAATGATCACTTCCTCCCTAATTTGCCAGTGGTAATCGAAATTGCAGGCGACAACAATGAAGACAACTCTGGAGCAACTGCAACAGATGAGGAAGCGATTGCTACAACGGAAGCATCCGTTCCGGATGACGTCGGTGCCGACGATGAAGCTTTGCTCGGAACTATACCGGCCGCGCCGACGCTGAGGAATAATGATGACTTTCCCCCTTGGGATTGGTCCGTCCGAGGGCCTTGGATTTATCCTGGCAGTCCGGTAGTTGATTTGACCAATACGGGTGACGAGGACTTATTCTCATCATTAAACAATACAATGCCATCAACCACTGCTGTGGAACCTCTTTGGAATCCAATGATGCCTCCGAACTTTGGATTGCATGAGACAGCGCGCATTGACGATCTGAACATCCCTATGCCCACATTTCACTTTGCTGCGCTGCAACCTTTCGCCGGTAGTAGTTATGAAATGGACGTTGATTCGGATGCAACCGATATGCAGCTGTCGTTGTTCTGGCGTCTCAACAGCGTGGCCAGAAAAGCATGCAATTCGTACATGTACAGTTTACCGACTCCACCGGAAATGGCCGGAAAACTGATGACACTTCTGAAATCGGAGCTCCCGTTGTATAAATGGAATGTGTTCATCGGCTATGCTCTCCCGGACACACTGAAGGTAAATTAATTTCAATGACTGCACAGTGTCACTTTGTCACTTACAAAATTTTTTTGGTAGAATTTTTTTAACTAAGCAGTGGATCGAAACTGCATATCTGTAGTATTATGACTGCGATATCCCTTAAAAGTGTAGTCGGATGTAAGAATTCGTCAGTATAATGTATTAACTGATTCTTATTTTGCAGTACACCTATCAGGGCCGTTATAAAGGAACCTGCAATGGAAATACGTACTTCATCTGGTACAGCTACAGTGATACCGAAGCCACTAATAAGGACACTAACTAATAAACTGGTCTACATTTTAACCAAAATTTGATACTGCACAGAAAGTACCATTCTGGCTCAGCTATTTAATGCCGCTTCCGGTGTATATTTTGGGCTTTCCTAGCTGTATGTGTTTCTATAATTGTTTTATAATTTGATTCAGCCAAATTGCTCCTGTTACTTTTTGGCGGTACTGTGTGACGTACCGATTAGGCTTGTGTCGCTGTGATGGGTCTACAAAATTAGTATGAAGAAGAATGAATGAGCGCGAAAACCGATAGACAAAAGACTTACATATGGCCGGTAAAAACCGGAAGGAAAAAACTAAATATCCATGTAGCATTTTTATTAACGGAAACCGGTTCGTATTTTTTAAATTAAATGATAATCTGCATAATGCAGTGAAGAGGGGATATCCATCCACAATTTCCGTAAAGTTTTTAACGGATGCATCCATATGATCACGCATATATTGTACGGTACTGGAGCTGCAAAATTACAGTTGCTTGTACTGTAGTATAATTTTGCGGAAAAAAGCTGCAGTGAACATGCAGCTGCATGACTACTGAGTAGTACTGACTACTACCAAAACTAAATTACGTATGAATACATTTTCAGCGTGTATTTATCCAGCATTAAGTTAAAGGAATTTTTTGGGTATTGCACCGTGGCACTGGAAACGCCTATTACACACAAGTGCTGCATCAGTTGTTTTACAACAGAGCACCTTTTTGATGAAAACAATATTAAGTACAGTCATTTTTAGGATAGTTAAATAAACGGGTTACAATACAGAATGACGATGCACATGATTGGGAACGACTTCGATGGTTGCCATTTAATAAGTATACATACATAGTAAAACAGTATGCCTAATGGAGTTTGTTTTATTTGTCTGCGCCATAAACTACATAAATCTGGCAATGCCGTACTAAAATTATTGTTGTTATCTTGTTCTTGTATTACCGTGCAAAACAATGAGATAACTTAACGACCAAAAACAAATCGATGTCTTTTTCGAGTAGCAATTATATAACTATGTAATATGTACAAACAGATACCATCAAGTCTGACTGTATGCAATCTGCTCTGCGTTCATTGTTTTTATTCGCTCTCCAAGATAATATTTGTGCTGTTATACTCCAGATGCAATGTTCTAACATGTAAGGTCACATCAGCATTAGGTGGAAAACACAAGTACCGTTAAATTATAGGACAGTTAGCTAGCTAAGTGAAGTTAAATTCGTGGTAAATTCCATGTACTTCTTTGTTTCGCGCAGGCTCAGCCCACTTTCTTTGTCATGCCTGGCGAATACGTGTTAGCTGCCGCCGACCGTGCACCGGCCCGATGCCTTTCGCATTCTGTTCCGATCAGTCGTGTTGTCGAGCTGTTGTTTATCATTGCGTTGATTAGCTCTCTGTTTCATTTCAGCACTTATTTTCCTCAACAGTTTGATAAAATTAGAGAGTAATTCCACCTGTGGAATCGGTACATAATGCCTCCAGCCACCAGAAGCAAGAAGACGGCCAAAAACACCGAGAGCCCCTCGCCAAAAGTACCACCAAAACAGCGCCTGAAAAGCATCATAGTTCGCCCTGAACCATCTGGATCGAGTGAAGTTCAATTAGTAGAACCTACTCTTCAGTCTGTCCTTCAGCAGCAAAAACATCAGCAACAGCTGGACTCGCTGCTCGCCGTAATGAACTCAGCTGCCTCAAGCGGTGCGCCCTTGTCCCTTCGTCAAACCTTCAGATCCAGCTTGGTGACGACTTCGGGAGAATCGTGCATCAGGTGGACTCCGTAAACAAGGCAGATGGCGGAAAACGCAAGCGCCGTAGAAATCGAGGTGAGAAAAGTGGTTCCTCATCCTCTGAACAGGACAGCGACAGCAATAGCTCGCCAGAGCGTAGCGCAGCACTACAGCGCCATGGCGACCGAGATGCTCGGCCGCTTAGGGCCACCAGTGCTGCAGCCATCTACGTCTGATTACTCTGTTCATCAGCTGCCATCGATTCCTGATAAAAAGCTACGAAAAACTGCTGGACGAGGAGTATGTGGACTTCGATCTGTTGCTGCGGCGAAACAGGGTCGAGAAGCCCAAAAACTGCAGTCTAATCTGTCCTTTGTGGACGGGAAAATGACGCTCACCCTGAAGATGGCAAAGTCAGAATTGACTCGTTCGAGGCATGGGCAGGAGCCTTTCCGTATTTGCCAGCTACCGCATCACCGTCGCACCGATGTTATCTGCGAAGTTTTTTAAATATCTGGCCATTATTGCGTCGTACGCTGAGCGTGATGTCCCGACCGCTAACTGGCTTGGTACGACAGGCAGTTCCGTGCGTTTATTACCAGCCACCCGCGGGAGTACGATCTCTGGGCGCATCAGCACGAAGATACGTACATTGATTGTATCCAGAACCCGCTTGTACACGCGTGTAGAGCCGACTGACAATATTCGCCGCGTGAAGGAGCAAAGAAGGACGACGAATGCCGCAATTGTGGCATGGCTGGGCTTTATTAGCAGCTGCCCGCTGCCACGGAAGGGCAACCAGGTTATGGGCAGCCATCCAAAACGTCGCCGCCGCTGAAGGAGAAGTATGTCGCAATTTTAATTTCGGCAGCTGCAACGCCTGCAAAGCGCACCGGATTCACACTTGTTTCGTGTTAGATTCCACCGGGCCGTCAACTGCACGAAAACCGACCCTTGAGGTGACACTGCCGGTGGATGCGCGTTCCCATGCGCCACGCCTTCGCCATCGCCGGACTGCTTGCCTGACTGTCTCCATAAATGACAAGATAAAACCAACTTTACGATGGCCGCATCGGTGTGCCTGAACCTGAACCCTACCCAGCCGGGCGCTGGTGATGTCATCACACAGCCGCTACCCTCAACACCTCGGGTCACCTCAACTTATAACCTTTACCGGACCGGACAGATTGTTTGGGGGCAGTCGGGCGAAAGTGGGTATCGGACACACGTCAAGGTGAGGTCGCACCTGCACTTCATTGTCGCATACGCCGCCGCGCCGACCTGCACCACCGCAAACATGTAATCTCATCCGTCGCTACATGCTCATTCAGTCACAATCGTCGCTTAGGCACAATGCCACCGGACACTGGATGGATATCGCCGTTAGAACCGCTAACCAACTGCCTGACAGCGAAATCCAGCTGGACCGACGCTGGCGAAGCATCTGCCTTACTGGTACATTTCACCACACCGGACCACCTCCTATCGTGAACTCTTACCGGACGGAGTAATTTGTTTTGGGGCAGTCGGGTGGAAGTGGGGATATCGGAAGCTCGAACCGGTGAGGTCATCACCTGCACCTTCGACTTAGCATATGCCGCCGCGCCGCCGACCTGCTCTACCCGCAAACGCCCAATTACTTCCGCTGCTCTCATACGGAATTTCCACAAAATTTAAAGGACAGTTAGCTAGCTAAGTGAAGTTAAATTCGTAGTAAATTCCATGTACTTCTTTGTTTCGCGCAGGCTCAGCCCACTTTCTTTGTCATGCCTGGCGAATACGTGTTAGCTGCCGCCGGCCGTGCACGCGGCCCGATTGCCTTTCGCATTCTGTTCCGATCAGTCGTGTTGTCGAGCTGTTGTTTATCATTGCGTTGATTAGCTCTCTCCTGTTTTCATTTACCACCCACCCACCCTACAAGGTGGCGTTTTATGTTATTGCTTTCGCAACTGTCCTGTTACTCAGTGCAATAAACGGGGGCAGTCGGGTGGAAGTGGGGATATCGGAAGCGGGGGATATCGGATACCAAAAACAAATCGATGTCTTTTTCGAGTAGCAATTATATAACTATGTAATATGTACAAACAGATACCATCAAGTCTGACTGTATGCAATCTGCTCTGCGTTCATTGTTTTTATTCGCTCTCCAAGATAATATTTGTGCTGTTATACTCCAGATGCAATGTTCTAACATGTAAGGTCACATCAGCATTAGGTGGAAAACACAAGTACCGTTAAATTATATGACAATTTTAGTTTTATAAAATGCATATGCGGTAGTAATCAAATGCATATCGGAAATCCGATCAACCCGATCTGGGAGTGGTAGCACCGACAGTTCGAGGTGTCGATGCAATAAGAGATGCATCGCACTGGCTTTTGTTGATACGGAATACGCGATACCGGTAGGTAAGCCTAAAATACAAATTATTTGTTAATAAAATATCTGCTTTTCAATAGAAACTGCACTTTCGTCCTCTCTTCCTCACGACATTACTTTGTCCGCTTGTCGCATTTAAGCTAGTGAAATCTTTTTCATGTACAACGAAGACGTTAATACTTACTACTTTTTAATATTATGACAATAGAGAAATCGAATAATTAACCGGTTTTCTTAAATCGCAATGGGATAACGAACGTTAGATATGAGTTAGATAATCATTCGATGCGCAAATAACATATCTATCTGTTGTTATTTGTTTATATCTATCTGTTCGCACGTACGTCACAGAGTTCATTTTTCCCGGATGGAACTTCGGCACACATTCGGCGACGGGTGACCACTGCGCCTCAATTTCCGACTCGGCCGCTTTACGGGTGATGGGGCACTGCCATTGGTTGATTTGGTCGTTATGGCTGGCAGGATCGTAATCCTCAGCGTACACTCGCAAAACCGCATCCTATATGAAAATTAAAATTATAAGTACAGATTTCTGCTTGCAGAACCAATTACAATATATATGCCACATCTGTAGCATGTTGACCAACTGATTATGATTTATGGGAAAAAATGGTGACGCAACCCCTAATATTACATGAATCGCGTACTTTGTACGGTTTCGCACAGCTGTCTCGTTTTATCTTCTTGTTGATCAGCGGACTGTTAACATTGTCCGCTTCGAAAACCTGCGGCCAATATTCCACAGCCACGGCACCGGGCCACTCAGCGTTCGGTCGATCGCTGCAAAAAAACGGGGAAAACAATTTAATCGAGGTCGAATAAACTAAAGTTATTATGAATTTATCATTAACATGTTTAAATATATGTCTTCGAAATCTTGATGTTTTTTGCCTGTGCCTCGCACTGATCTAAAATGTGCCTTGCACTGATTTAAGTAAAACTCCTTACATTAACAGAGTTAGCAATATACTCCTATAGCATTAATGGATCTCCGGATCCACGTGGAAAAATCAAAAAATAATTTAATCAAATAATGTTTAACAATGATTTTAGCTAAAAAATTTATTAATTTTTTAGATGTTCTTATTATGTTAATTATAATTGCTAAAATTTTAGTAACTACCGGCAAAATATTTATTAATAGTCTTACGTGTCAAGATGAGCAAAAACTCTGGGGTCACAAGCGCCGAAAGTATCACAATAAGCATTATTGGCGGTCACTCCACCGTCATTTGTTAGTTTGATCAGTTCCGCTTCCACGCGGATGTACTGATCATTGGGATCTCCCAGATGGGCCGTGCCACGTCCGCGTGTTGCTGCTCCGTATAATCGCTCGGCAAACGCCGTCGACAACACCTATAATAATATGAATTAAAAATTTTACCGTAACAGTCCAGATTCCCGTGTTTGGAATATAATGGGAATTGTTCGAAACATATCCAACGTACCAGACAGAGAGTAATTACCCCCAGATACCTCATTTCCGTAAAATTTTCTGGCTTTTTGATGCTTTAAGAAAACTTACATTGAGAAAATAGGAAAATCCAGTCTTACATGTCGTTGGGTGCACGGCCGTGCGAACTGTTAAGTGCACGCAATTGTCGATCATTATCGATCAGGACGACCTTTGCCTTCACTTTCGCATAAAGGAAACCAGCCTTCTTGTGTGAATCATCAGGCGCTAATTGGCCGGAAGAGGGTTTGCTTCCGCGTGCTTCCGTGAAACCAAGATTATGCAGAAACTTCCACTCCACTAAGCGTGCCAATTGACTTACAAAATTTATTACCGGTAAACCTTTCAGGAATTACTTCGCAGACTGTTTAATCTGTATGCGCCGGAAAACAAATGAATCCATTTGAAAGTACAAAATAAAAATCAGAACCATACTAAGCGGTTGAATGAATGTTGAATTTGCATTTAAATGCAGTAGTTTTTTCGTTCCTCCAAGATTCAAACCATAAAATTAAATTTCAATGAGATTTCTACAGACAGCAAACAATCCAGGAACGCCGGAAGAAGTACTTGTTGGTTGAACATGATTGTGCTTCACATGATTATAAGCAGGACTGTATCTCAGAATTCTTTTAAGTAATTAAAGTCAGTCGACAAATCAGGGTCGAGAATTGAACCATACCGCATACTGGTTCTCGTTGCAGGTTCCTCTGTATCGACCTTGGTATGTATACTGCAAAGAGCACATTTCATCATAACTACATTGGCCACAATGACCTCATGAATAAAGTTTTTACCGTTAAAGACTGTGGTATTTCTTCCCCGACATAAACATGCCAGTAATAATTTGCATACTCCTTCTTCAGCTGCTTCTTTAAAGAAAGGGCAATTTCCCGCTGCGAGGATGCCGGGTACCGGTTGCAGGCCTGCCTGACCACGTTATCCATGGTTAGTACCATGGACAGCTTCATCACCGTCTTCTCCATATCGGCTACCGGCCGGTGCTGGGTGGTGCTGTCGGTGTCCGGTGCTTCCGTGGCATGCGTAGGCAGGTGTCCCATATCCATGTCGCTGTTGGCTTCCCCATCCGCATCCCATTCACCCACTGCATTTCGTATTGTGCGTATTGCTGAAACACAGCATCAGAGTTTTCGCCTAACAAGTAAAGCAGAAACAAGTAAAGCAGTTTTTACCGGTTGCAGCACTGGGATGCAGAAGTACACTGCAGCACATCAGTGACGATAGCAGAATCAGGAAATTATGGATATACATCGTTAAAGGTTATTTCTTTGAATATGATCATAAAAAAATCACAATAAATTTAGCAGCACGTGTGCTCTTTCAGCGAAACGACATTGTTGTGCAAAAATAGTCGAGCCGGAAACGATACTTATTCTATCGTTCGATCTTGATGTATACTTCTTGTACAGATAATCGTTGTGATCTTTCCCCGAATGCAAACTGTACCGTTGCTGGTTGTGACGAATGAGGCCATGTGCAAGTTAGCTGCTTACAAAGTATTACCGGTAGTTTTACTCCAAAGATACTTACGCGCGGGCTTGACATGGCGCCTAAGTCGGCCTAACACACCCATGTAGTTGTGGTAATATGCGCGGATGGAGTCGAAAAACGAGGCTTCTCCCGTCGGAACCTAAATTTTCCATCCCTTTCACTTTCTTTTGTTATGGCCGATTAGGACGCTAAGGTAGAGAGCTGCGCGAGAGTCCTTCTTTAAGTAAGTAGAGAAGGACTTTCGCGAATAACGTAAAACCTTATGAGAGGCTCACGTATTACGTAAAATCTTATGGGTGGCGTTAGCAGTAGATGGATACAGTACAGTAATACATGGACAAAGGTCACTAAAGAGTGACGGAATGGCCGAAAACGTTGAAAAAGTTGTCGGTAACGTCGAAAACGTTGAAAAAGTCTACAGCTGACCATGAGCTGAATGTCCACCATTCGCCATATGTTTTCCGACAGCTTGCAACGTGTTTATTTACTAACCCGGATTCTGTACTCCTTGCGAATACTGTATGTTTTCAAAAGTGTTTGATTTATTAAAACAAAAAATTGTGAAACGGATATCAGCCAAGATTACATAATTAACATTGTTATTTTGTCGCGTCGCGGTGGTGTTTCAAGAGTGTACGTTGGGCGTGTCACTGTGTATCGCCAGTAGCCAGTGGCTACTGGCGATTATGAAAACAATAATTAATTAATTAAACAACAATGTGATGGTCAATATCCGGTACATTAATGCAGTGTTCACGGTGAAATTGAACCGTACGCACGTATGGCTTTGTTGGTTGTGCAGCAATTACGCACTTTTACAAAAGATCTAAATCCAGCTCCCAAATTTACAATTTCACAATGCACTGGTAAGCTCCAAAATATAATGCAAATGCATGGTTATTATAATATTTCGCTGGAGCGTATCATCACATTTTATAAACTGCAAAGCAAAAGAATGCAAAAGCGATGCCGATACTCGAACTTTCCCATCTTCGAGCACTCGAACGTGGACCCCCGGTGGTGGTTGCGTCTGCAGCACGAACACCGGCAGCAGCGGTGCCGTTGTTCGGTGTACCGATCGCCGGTTTCGCAAGTTTGTCGGATGCTCCAATAATTGGCTTGGTGTCGGAAGTGATGGTTTGTGGTTTCGGCAGAATCACGTAGGGTGCTTTGATACACGTCTCGGGCGCGGGTGGAACTACATCGTAAGGAGCGATAACAGCGTACCGGGTTTCGTCCACCTACGCAACAAGCCGTAAAGTTTTTACAAGCGCATTATGCATATAATTTCGCAAGCTGAATATTGCTTATTTCAGGTGGAGAAAAATTACAAACACACCTATCATATTGCTCAAGCTCTATGAACCATTGAACATACGGTATTCCCGGAACAAACACCGGTCTGCTTTTGGGAGTTGTAAAAATACTGCAGGTTGGCAATGTTTCCAACATTCCAGTCGTACTTTGTCGTGAAGTAAGTTCGAATCAGGGAGCCGTTATTAGCATCTTCCATGAGCGGTTCGTTAACATCCGGGGCCGAGTTAGCATCGGACCTGAACGACCAATTCGATAAAATTAAGTATCAAAACTCAACATTTACATAATATCACATACTACATATATCAGTACGTTGCCTAAATAGAGAAATTTATTTAATTAAGTACTTGCATACGAGTAATTGTTTGATGACTTTAATACGTAGTTTAACTTGTTGTTCATGAGCAGTCTTATGAAAAAAAATTCGAAATAAAAGGAAAGCAAAACTTACAATACAGGAATGTAAGCGGTAGTTTCCAGAAACGATCGTGGATTAATTCGGCTTCCACACGAAGTTAAGTTAATGGCCGGATAATATGACAGATAGGCTAGACAGGATTCGCCGTCCATTCCAATTCCACCCTAAAATTATTAAATAACACCATATAAAGACCACTTTGTGGCCCATACAAACAGCTTCCGCCATTCTGCAAAAGTTCACAAAGATCGCTTACAAAAACCGGAGCTTTCGAATCGCTCGTGGAGTAATGGCATTCCACGATCAGGCGATCACCCTACGAAGTTTTGTTACAAAAAAACAAAATATCTTTTCAAAAATGGATTCCTTTACCGGTAAAACCGTAATTTCTGAATCAGGCTGTCGCGCCTCCGGATAAGTCGGGTCAACATTGTTATCACTGAGAATAACATCGATATCGGTGCTTTTGGTACCGCGCACCACCCGCACCACCGTTTTCCGCCCTATAGTGCAAAATTCGGAAAGTTTACCCTACGTGTACTATATATACTTTGATATTATACGAAAGGTTAATATTCACAATCAGCTCAGTTTTACATAGACGGAATGCAACAAACCCGGTTCTACGGCAAGCAATTTTTTGACGTGCTTTAGACATCATCGGAGCATAAAACGCCGTCTTTAGAACGGCATGTTTCAGTATACTTATGGAGCCCCTTTTTATGTACATTTTCACGTCTAAAATACATGGTCTACGGAACTATATTATGGCTTTCTGAAATTCAAAAAATAACCATCCAAAAGACATCTTTTGGATGAAGAAGACATGGGCGCTTTTTTCTCGAATAGAACCGGGGAAAGGGTAACATATAAGAAGTATTTATTCACCCATAAATTACCTTTCCGGTGTATGTTCATAACAGAACTGAATACTCTAATCCCGCTCGCTGGTATCTGGAGAATACAAAGGTCACGTTCAGGATGATTTAATAATTTGTAGGTTTGTTTGAAAATCATTTGATAAATTTGTAAGTTATTGTAATAATTATCGTCAACACACCGACTGCGTGCAGAAATCCATGCAGGAACTGGTTATAACGAAATCCTCTACTCCCGGTGGAACTGTCAGCGGATCTAGCGAATAAGTAAATTATGAATAATTCAACTGGTAATAACGATTACAGATGTCCTTGCAAACAGTACTCGTACAAATACATACAATCGTACTGCAATAATCCCGCCGTCAGTATACCAGCATTATGAGTCCGGATCTGGTTGGAAAGCAGCAGGAGCAGTCCCGAGTTATCGATAAAATCTACATCGTGATAAATTTAACGATTAAACACTATTTTAATTTGTATGATTTTGGACTAACTTGCCTGTTTTACGGCTGTTATCGTACTGGACTTGCATCAGCACGTACCGTCCACTATTTTCCTTCGTTAATAAAATTCCCGTACCATTTGGATAAAAGTAATCCTAAAACGAATTTATTCATATAAGTTTACGTTTTTTCGGACGTTTTTTGCTCATATTCTCTATGCCATCGCTTTTTTTAAATTGATTTTGCTTTCTTACGTAGTTTCCGCTGAACCATACTGCAATCAGCGTACGGCAGTACTGGTTTTTAACGGCCCGCTCTGGCTCGGTCATGGCGACAGGAGCGCAATCAAAATCTTTGGGACTGAAATCGTCGTGTACGTGTTCATCACATAAATAAATGGAAATCTGACGAACGAATGCTTCGTTTCCAGGTTTAATTTGGGGCCGCACCTATCCAGAAAAATTAGAATTCATCCATATCATTGCAGTTCTGACAATGATCGAATGCGACACGAAATTATCTTTGCAGAAAGAATCAAGGTTCAGTTTGTTTTAAAATTAGAAATTAATAGCTATATAACATAAATTACCATAAACCGGTTATTATTAATTTATTACTGAATCAGTCAGCTAAATTGTGCCGTACAGCGATAATGTGGGAATCCTGTTCGATGATTGGCAATTTGGCCATACTGCACTGACAGGAAGTTGTGGTGGTATTTCCAATGGTGACCTGTATACAACGAAAAGGTTATACAATGCACATCTCCGAAGTAAATTTTGTCTTTAATAAAAAAGCCACATAAACCCGCATTTATGGTTCTAAATATCTCCTATAAAATCGTACGAAGCCATGTAATACGAAATTTATTCGATAACGCCTAAAGCGGAAGCGTAATTATAAAATTAGTACATCGAAACTTTTGCATCACCATTTTGAAATTCCTTAAAATGTCGCCTGGGAACAATACAAAGAAGCTAAAACTTTTTGTTAGCAATAGATATGACGGAAGGTATTAATATCGATCGTGATTATCTTGGCGGCCAGCTATAGGTGATTAATATCGATGTTGATTTTTGAGCAACCGGCACAGTTCATTATCCCACTTTCTTCAGACATTACGATATAAATTATGCACTGCGTATGTGGTATCGTACCGGATCCATGCGGATGCTCATACTCTGCAGCTTATTCCCATCCATCATCGGATCACGCACTTCAAACGCTTGGGAAAACATCAGGAGACTTTTGTAGCCGCGCTGGTTGTGATGGGGAATACGGGTCGGATCAGCCGGGTCTTGTAGGTGATACGACCAGATGACACGCAAGGTATCGCGCTACATGTGAGCAACAGCGCTAGATTAGATGTCGTTTATTTTGCGGCGCAATAATATATTTGCTATTTGGATACCTATTACGATCACTGCAATTACATGAAATTACTTATTCTAGCAATGTATCTTCACCGTAAAATTTCGGTCCATCTTTGTATCACATGTAGATAACGCCCGGATAGCGGTGACGGTTGTCTCGTTATTTATCTGTTTTCCGGCGATTAATATCCAGTCCTGCTGGGGATCCACATCAAAAATTATCTGACGCGCTGTTCGGTTAACAAGCAGAAATCGGTCCTGAAAATACAATGTACCACAAAACATAACGTCAAGTCTCCATTCCCACTCTGTACATAAGTACCGATCACGTACTCTATGTTTTATACTAGGATGGTCAATTATTAGCAGACGTAGCAAAGATTCTATCTTATTTTAAATGCAAATCAACCTACAGATTAATTCGGCGTGCACACATTACTGGAATGCGCTACTGTGCATTCCAGTAATTACTACCGTGCTTTGTAAATGCACTACTGTGCTTTGTACAATAAGTGGCCACATATACTTGTATGTATGGTCTGGATGCATACGCAGAGTAAAAAATTAATTAAAAGAGCTGGTTATGTATTAGTGGGGATCTTTTACAATGCATGTTCGGTTCCGCACTACTGTATCTGTATGCAATTTTACGTTTGTTTTTCCCTACATACATACAGATATGTATAAGGCAGTGGTCACTGGCCCACTACTAAGGGTAGGCTCATAAGTACTACATAGTACCGTAAGAAACGTTTCGCCTGTTGTATCGTTGACCCACGCGACGAAGACGTCAGAATTGGGCATATTACCATCCGGTGAAAGACCCAGCGCAAGCCATCCCGGTGTCTGTACCGTCGCCTGAACTTCGATATGTGTGCTGTTATAACGCCAGCTCAAGCGAAAGGTCTTCTTCGCATCCAGATACGTATCGTGCACGTGATCAAGCGGCATTATTTCCGCCAAGCAAAAAGGTACCAGAAAAATCAGGGTCACACGCATTCCATCACAGGGCTAAAACGTTTTTTTGTTATAAGCATCTTGTAACGCGAGTAGTATATTAGCAGACAGATTAATTAGGAGGCTGTTTCAGAATAAACCCAAATATTGGCGAGGTGGATCAGCTGTCATCTGTTTACTGGAAAACCGATAACCAGACGGAATTGCAGCATAGAACCGTGCAAAAAATGGATGCCCTTGCAAGTGCGCACATACAGGCGCAATTAAAGGTGAGTTTTGTATGTTACCAGAAAAGAAAAATTGACTGGCGGCTTTCCCATTGATACCGTTCCTGGGACTGGAAAGCCAACAGGTTTTGATGTAATGTCAAGTTGATCGGTAAATATGCACTTCATCTGTTTCACCGAATATGTGTCCATAACGGCAGAACTGTACCGAGTGCGATCGAGTCTTTGTTTTCGACCGGTTATCTGAATATGCTATATAGTACCCAAGCACATACATAGGCACGCATGCATGGTATAGTATACGGACAAAATCAAGCGGGAAGAATACTTATAAGAAGCTCTTAATTTAAGCGCACATTAGCAAATAGCCCGGGGGCGTCGCGTTTTTTCGTTCCCTATTCTCACCGTGAGAGAATATTCATCTGACTGATAGCCATGCTAGAATGAATGATAGAGAAAAAGTAAGCCAAAAAATATTCCCATTACGACGTTTCTACGCCTGCGATATATGTGTAAATGTGAGCCAGCACGTATAAATTTGCACGGAGTGATAAATGTGCGCTTAAGATGTAAATACTAAATAGCACTGCAACTTAAGTTGTATATAAAAAGGTTTGAGATGGGTATTAAGTACAAGATTTATACTAGGCGCGGCGCCCCAAAGTTTTCAGATCTCAATAATCAAAACGATTTTTTTAAAAACTGACAACGCCAATAGATCGACCTCGGCCCAGAACTGGCTCATATGATTTTCGTTTGTAAATTCGTTCGACCAGAATCGTGTCGGCACGACGCCGCAAACGAATTCTACGAATTCTCCATTCAAACCGGCCGTGGATCACAAGCAACGCGGAGGCGAAGCCGAAGCTGTTTCTTGCATAATTATATTGTTGCATCTCAGTATGCTAACGGTACGATATATCAAAGCCGACCGCTGCGGCTAGCGCGCTGACGTTGCCGGTAATACGAGTGCACATGTGGACTTTTTTTACAGATAGGATGCAAACGCCTTCAAAATGTCCTACTCAGTAAAATAAGCTTTACGATTTGTAACTGTAAATGGAGCTGAAAGTAACCCCAGAACAGCATATTTCTTGGAAATGCACGTTTTCATGGATTTAATTTGCCGATGGTTACGGTTAAATGCCTTACTCAGTTTGATATTCTGCAACCGTTATGGGAAGATCGAATAACCTGAAATTCCCGATCACCAATCTAGCGGCTTATCATCCCTATCGGGGAGTTGCGCATTAGAAAATTACTGTCCTACGCACAGTAATCTAGATGCACGAAATTTCGGCGGAGGTGTATGACCGAGAGTACCCAGGTGATGACGCGCCTTGTCCGGCCGACGTAATCGTCTCGGTCGTGTCTTTACAATTCCATAGGATTTCATATACCTGCGCAACACCACGCGTTACGTTGACGAAAATTCTCTAGTATATATACTTCATTAAGAAAATTATAGGAACCATACTTCCGGTGCGCTGTTACTGTTTCGCAAATGTATTGCATGCAATGCGATCATTTAGCACCGGCGCTCACATAATATACTCGTACTTCATGAGTTACGCTACACGTATAGATAACAGACATGACTACATTTTTCATGCGAAGCAGGCGCAGCTATCGCATGCATAAGCTCGACTTTAAGTGAATGGGAAAGCGTCCGCCCCCTTTGTACTCTGTGACTCAGCAGTTTCTATAACTCCACCTCCTCCTTCACAACTTAGATCTCAGAACTCATAACTCATGACTCAACTCATAACTCAAGACTCAACTCATCACTCAACTCATAACTCAAGACTCATCTCAAGACTCAGCTCACGACTCAACTCGTGACCCATGGCTATTAGCCCCACCAATACATGTGAACAGCCTGCTTCGCATAGAGCCACCCCTGGGTGGCAGCTCTTTGATTTATATCTATATGCATGACAAGGTCATGCAACTTGAGCTTGACGTTTGGGTATTCCCAGTTGTTTAGTGTAAGACGCATATTGACCGGCAGTTCAAGAAGTATGGCATTCTCTTCCGGTACTCAAATGATCTACGCGTAATATAATTAAAATCCTGGTTATAAGATACGCGACGGATAGCGGCGTCATTCAATCTTACCGGTACAGATACTGACGTGATCTGCGTACAGTATGCGCGCCTGTGATGCTAATCAGATGTTGCACGCATTGGGCCGGCGTGACCTAGCATCAATTTGATCTTGGAAATAATTACGGGAAACAACCGCAGAATCTTCGCACATTGGGGTTTCCCATACAAATACCGCTGCATCTACTGTATCTCAAGAAACCTTGCGTTTGTGATCTGTGCTTTTTGTACTTCAATTATGATCTGTATCCTCAAATGTTTTGGTATAAATACCGTTAACTTCTGTTGTAACCTTCAACTGCAGCGTTGCTAAAAAAATGAACACCAGTTCTGCAAACTCCAGTTTCATTTTCCCGGTGATAAAGCTCCGCGACGATCAGTTCACTATATTCTTCAACGTGTCGCTAACTTTATGCATCTGCATCAGCAGTCTGATTTTGTTCGTCATTATTCTCATCGCCTGGAACCAGCGCTTGCGCACCGGCTCCGGCGTGCTCATTCTCCACCAATTAATCGTGGAATTCCAGCTGGTGGCCATCCACTGGCCCATTTTCCTGTGGATGCTAGCCACCTCCCAGCACAGCGGCACCAGCCAAACCGTGACCTTTTGCCGGCACTATCACTTCTCCTACATGATCACCGTCACCGCCAGTCTGTGGGGGCTGGCGTTCCTGGCACTGAACCGGTTCGTGGCGATCTATCTACCGTTTCACTATAATAAATTTATTTCCCATATGAGCTTGACAATCATGATCGTGCTGATGTGGAGTATTGGTTTCTTCACGCATCTACCGTTTTATTTGGGAGCAGAGGGTGGTTTTGTGCCGGCACCCCCGTCGGGGATTTGCAGCATCTACAATCAGCAGTCGGCGATGATTTACGCGTTAACCAATATTCCGAGGACCTATTTACCGTTGACCTTTTCCGCCTTGTTGTACTTACTGGTCTTTGCCAAAGTCGGTTACGCCAAATGGCAGAAAGTGATGGTCATCACTCCCAATCGTATTAACCATATATTTTTTACTGCCTCGTCAAATAACGCGAATCCCGGGAGAAAGGTCAACCGGGAATTGTATCAGAACCGCGTGACCATGGCACGAATGCTGTTTATAGCGGCTATCATCCACTGCATCTGTTTTTTGACGGTACCCATTGGAGTGACCGTGGCGCCGGGTCTGTATCAGCGCAGTCCACTGTACCGTAATTGGTTGCGGACGCTGTTTTTTGTGGGATATGTCTCGACGCCGGTACTGCTGTTAGGAATGAGCAAATCGCACCGGGACAGTGCGAAACGGATGTTGCGGCATCCCTTGCGGCCTATTGTCAGCGCAGTGGCAGCGAATAGTGCCGTGGCCCAGTTTCAGTAAAACTGTACGGTCTACATGATATCCAGCGATTAATGCTTTGATATGCTTGAGCGTAGTTAATTTTCGTTTAATAAATAATCAGGTTTCATTGTTTCCTCGATCATAGATACAAATGCTTGTGTAAAAACAGATTCGCTTTATCCCGTACGATATTTGCATCGCACCATAATGATTTACGTAATTCGTTGCACGCGTTCGACTACTAACTGCAGTGTCGGGAACCCTGTAGTCCTGTTTGGTTTCTAAGAATGATGATCTTAAACCGGTCTGATGCGCTGAATTCTGGATGAGCAGCGATAAAAAATATGGATTTACGTAATTAGCATAATAACACGTTCTTGTTGTGGTGTGTTTAAACAGCGTACACATTTATTACGCCCTCAAAATCGTTGTACTACGTACGGTGCACTGCCGTAACTACAAACCAAATGGTCGCGTTTCACTAATTCATCTCCGAAATTACGCTCTTTTAATCACAAAATGGAATTTTATTTACCATATTATTCCATTTCACAGAGAGGAAACCGCATTCTAAGCAACGCAGAAAATGCGAATTCTCAAAACGGATATTCTTCCTATTCTGCTAATCGAAAGCAGAATCCACCATCCACTTATCCTTACATAAATGACAAATAATTTATCACGATAATCAAGACTGAAGCGTTACAAAATTACTATAAAAACAGAGTTTCAGAATCTCGCTCCCGTCTTTGTCAGCCCATTTCCGGTTGCAGAGAATGCTGAGAAGAATTGGAGGCAATCAGCGATGACAGCGTGGTAACCACAAGGGACAGTGTGTTGTTTAGCTGCTGGCCGATTTCCGTGGCATTACTTATCAGCGATACCGTTGTTGGCTCTGCAAATAACCAAAAAGCATAAATCACAGCAAAACGTTCACAGCATAAGAGCTTGTGCACAGCGTTCAATACAAATTATATTTTAAAACAATAATTACGATACCAGTAAACTACGAGAATTTCGAGATATTTTCCTGTAAATATCTGTGCTTGCAGACGGACTTTTTTCAACATCATGAAGAATTCAATTCAGGTTAATTTTTAAAAATAAATGAAAAATAGTAACATTTGAAACAGATTTTGCGTTCTATCTTACCCAACAGCAACTCAAAAGGAAAAACAGACTAAGCCAAGTAAACAAAATAAACTATAAACATTCTGCACAAATAAAAAAAGTAAATATATAATGTACGTAATTGAATTAGGTAAGCGCAAGAATGAAAATCGAGCAAAATAAAGTATCGATCAAAACTCACATTCTCATATGTATGCACTTACGAGATGTCGTCAGTGTCAGCGACACCGCCACCGGTTTGTCCGGTGTGCTGGTATTGGAGAAGTGCGTCAAATTCACTTCCAGTCCAGCTGGCGAGATGGTGGTGGTGCCGTTATAAATACTCGCCATTTCCGGATACCGGAAGAACACCTCCATGAAACTGAAGCTGAGCGCCAAGTGACCGGCAAACACTAGCAGTCCCACGATGATGGCCGAGGCACTGTGCGTGTAGTGCAGATGATTCCAGAAGACATAGGCCAGAATAATCCCGGACAGGGTGGCGGCCGTCAGGGCCGACACCCACTGGACGTATACGTTATTGATCAGCCATAAAAACTGCAACAAGAAGGAACCAAATTGAGTATTCTGCTTTAAACGGCGTCTGTTCATCGCTGCGTATTAATTTTAGCCATTTTCTCAGAAGAACTTCTGCTGCATGCGTATTCAATATGCACCGCAACTGCCACTACTGCACTGGAGTAAATCGAGCTAAATAAAATCAAATAAATAATGAAACAAAACCGGAAAATACAGTTATTTATGTCGGGATTGCATCAGAAGCCATTGCGTCCACCACACGTGCAGAAAAAAGCCAGAAAATGCAAAACAGGATCGATGAAGCCATACAGTACCGTGGTGGATAACGCAGAATCTCATCCCTGTCATCTGGATGCAGATATCCGCTTATCCACTACACTACAGTATGTTAAACGCAATCATTACCACAGCACAACACCATAGCTTTCACCGCACAAAACTGAATGCAGCCTGTCAAACACAAGCTGACGCCAACATGCAGAAGTGTCATTTCATCAGGAAATGAAGCAGTAGCACTGTTTTTACGACAAGAACACATTGTAAACCTTACCGAGACTGGAATGTAGATGCACATGGAATATCCATACAGGCACAAAGCGCCGGATAATTTCAGATTCCCATGCATTTTCATCCACCATAACACCGTCCATAAAATCAGCGGCACCACCCAAATGTAAACAAAAACAGTTATCGCAGCGGCGGAAACTGCAAAATACATAACAAAAATAATTTAACATTGATATACAAAATATAGAAAGGCGAAAATTCTCCAAACATGTTAGACGTCTAAAAATAGCAAATGACGAGATCCAACAACAAAACTGCGATTACTTTTAAAGCAAATTCAGGCTCTGTAATCTGCATCACGTAATAATTATTATTAACAATTAACCCGATTTTAAAACACGAATGAACTGATAAATATGTAACACTAGTCAGCTTCGGTATATGGCAGTATTACATAAAAGAATTAATCTTTTCTCGGCTTTGCTTTCAACTTTTCTTTCTAAAAATACTACTACTCGTACGAGTATTTTTAAAAAATAATTTCTATAATAAACAAATGCTTTCACCTGTTTTGAAATCATATTCCCAGCTGAAATTTTCTCCACGATTGTGAAAATAGCTGGCAATATTTCCCAGTACCGCAATTATAAAAACCAAGGTGCTTCCGATCCAAAACGGCCCTGCAAAAAAAGGAAAGCCAAACAAATTACGGAAATACGAAATCGGTAGCCTAAGGAAGATGATGGGCTTCGCAGTTCGTAGTCGTACCGTATAAGTCCGGTTTAGCACCAATAAAAGCCTCGACAGATTCACTTTTTAGGTATTTCGGGTATGGTACAAATGATAGAAACATCCGCCGCAACACCTGCAAACACAAAACATCAAATGTTTCCGCTGACCTAATTCCCAAAACAGTTGACTGGCAATTTTTAATTAATCATTGTTATCATGGTTAAAACTTAAAATCATGTTGTTGTAAACTCAACGCAGCTCCTTCTCCGTTCATTGTGCGACTCCATATGCACTCTGCTACAGCGAACATATGACAACCGCCATAAAGAAAACTAACGTGTTCGAAACTGTGCTACGTCGCCAACATGTCAGCAGTTCGATTTATAAACCCGGGTTAAAACCCAAACAAAATCCATTCCGAAAAACTGTAGAAATTTTATGAATTATAACCTCAATAAAGTGGTTCTTCGTACCTCGGATGTGTCGACATCGAAGAAACTCTGCCAGAATTTCCATGTCCACACAGGATGTGCCATGACGGTTTTGGCTCCTTCGATGGCTTTCTACAAACCCGACATTCAGTATTTCCTTTCACATATTCTTCTCAATTTGGCTTACAATCGCAGCGTCATCCTCCGGCGGCAAGGGCACATTCTGGGTCTCGAAATTCTCCGGGAATCCAAAGTGGGGAATCGGCGGACTTTGAGCGCCACCGAGACTGCCACTGGGTGCTGTGGCCTGATTATACTGCGTGGAGGAAGGATAGAAATCGTAGCTGGTGGCTGCAAAGGGGGAAACGAATTACTATAGAGCTGGTTCAAAACACCCGTGACTCGTGAGCGCCGGGTACCATTCACGTTGCTGGATGGGCCCCGGGATTCGTATTTGGAAGATCGAAATGGATTGCTGTCGTCATCCATCTCTGAAGATGTCTCAAGGAATGTCGCACGCTAGCGGCAAAGCTCAAAGGTTTTTTGGTTTACCCAGAAACAGAAATTCGGTGACCGATTTTAATTTTCAAAGTGTAGTATGAAGAACTGAAAATGGTAAAGTATGAGAATGAACCAGAGTTGAAACATGTAAAGATCAAGACTCAAGAGGAAAAATTCTGGAAACTTAACCGAAAAAATGAAAATCTAAAGACTCTCAACTCTCAAGTGGAAATCTGTGGTCCTATGAAGGCTATGATTCAGGGCAATTCGGGGCAAATCTGCTGCACTTCTGACGGCCAGTGCCATTACGGAATCGCAGTGCAAGCCGCCGCCCGGGGGTAGGATCTCAGAACTCAAATTGTGACTCAAATTCACTCAATCACCATTGTTCTTAACTTTCTTACGATTCTTAACTTTCTTACTTTACACATAAAATTATAATATTACAAGTATCGGTCGCGCTAGCGCGCGACCAGTTGTGTTCGAGGTATGGAAGAATGAAAAAAATACAAAATATATATACTTCGTACAGCAATAAAATTGATTTTGAGAAATATTTCAAATATGAAACCCCAGCGAGGCCAGCTCCGAAAATATTTTAACATGTAGAAATACGGACAGTTTTCAAGCTTTCCGGTTAAATTCGACCAGTATTATAAAAACTGTGAAAGCCTCTGCAATTTTTCTTTTTGTTTGCATTTTCACGGTTTTTGGTCACGTTTTTAATGTAACTTTAAATTGCCGATCTACGAACTGAAAACTTGAATTTTTTTGTACGACCGATAATATTTAAACGGTGATTAAACGAATGGAATGGGATCATTTACACAATGCCACAAAAAACCATTCAGCCGACATTTTAGCGAGAATTAGAACTTGTGAGAAACAATTAACGGTTGCCCAAAGTGACCTGGCAGGCTGCATCTTTAGGAATTTTCAGCTATTCAGTCAAGCTCTTCAGTATTTATAAAAATAAAATAAATACATATTTATCAGATTTTGAGGTTAGTGAATACCCAAGCTATCACCAGCATCACAGAGCCGCTATTTGAATGAATACGGTAAACGGGCTGCAGGCTGGCTTTTAGATATTTTGAAATTACATATAAATTAGACAATTTAGACCGTGAGATATTGAGGTACTCAGATTTCTAGATATTTTTAAATTTCGAAACTTTGGAGGCTCAAAAATTAGAGTAACGGCCCGCTGCGCGAAGCCGAGTCAAATATTTAGAAATTTGAAATGTAAAAGCTTTTGGAGCCGACTTTCGAAAATTTATAGTTATTTTGAGGTATTCAAACAGATTTAAAAACATCTTAAAGGTTTCAAAAATTAACAAAAAATTATAAGTTTGATGGGATTAACAATTTTAAATTACTATAGTTTAGGTTGCTAAGTTGCGAAACTTGTATTTGCTCATTCGAGACGTTTCTAGAATTTACTGGAAATTTCTATGAACTTTAAACGCTAAGTACTGAAAGTTTGAAAGGGTTTTGAAAACGTTCCGGAAACCAAAATTTTTTTCCAAGCGGGTAGGAAGCTTCAGAAGATGCTGGATTTTATAAAATAACCAAAAGCTTCACAAGTGGAATCTCGAATTAGGAGATAATTTTCAAAACTAACAACCTTTAAGTACTAACAACCTTTAAGTACTACAGCTTCTAAAAATTTTTTTAGACCTTCTCCAAAACTTAAGATTTTTTTAAAGATAAAGGTAGGAACGTTTGCGCGATGCTCTATTTTATAAAATTATTAACTTATTGAAAAAATCAATTTTGATTTAGGAGATAATTTCCAAAAGGTAAGGACGTAAGGATATATGAATCTACTACTATTGATACTTCGCTTTTTCTCACATTCCGGTCACTCTAAGTGTATGGTTTCGTATTACCGGTCACCGGTTACCAGTACGACCGCACATGTGGCGCACCACATCAACAGCTGCTTTTAACAACTTGCTTTCGACAAGATGCAGTATTAAGTAAAATCGGCCAAATACTACCCTAATTTTTAATTTCGTCTGTTGAAATTTGTAGACGTAAAAGACCAATTTTTTTGCGTCAATTATTTTTTGTTTGCTGTTTTTTTTATGAAAATTTACTGATATTTACGCTTAAAATTTCTTAAGAGAAGTCGTTTTTAAGAAAACTAATGATCTCTCATCATCTCTGTAAACTTCGATATGTCAGGAAATTTGACTACGTGGTGACCGAAATATGAAGCCATCATACCTTACACTCAAAGTGAATATGAGAAAAAGCGAAGTACGGAAGTATCCATAGACCAAAACCACATAATATATGTACTGTACTTGCAATGGTAAGTCTGAAAAGATATTGTATATAAATGTTCGATGACATAACAAACGGTAGTAACTGATCCATGGAAATAATTATGGAATCCGACATCATATTCTTATGAAAACAGTACTCGGTAGGGTATTGATACACTGCGTGGACAATCTCTCGATTGTGTGGCGGCAGCTTCGGTATAAGAAAGAGGAATACTGGGATTTAAAATAATTTCGGATTTGTGTATATAAAAGGAATAATAATAGTAGGGGAAAGAATTTTGTGAGTGCATGGAAAACATGAGAGGTTGTGGGTGTTTCTTTACTACAGTTGAGAACTTGAAAATTGCGCGTTTAGTCAGTAACTTTCCATAGGTTTACACAGTCATTTTGGTAGTAGTAATTTGTGTAGTCAAGAAAGTTGATTGCTTAATGGAGCGAACTATTATTTTTTGCACTGATAGTCTTGGATGTGTACTTGTGTAGTAACGGGTGGTTTGTATATGGGATGTAGGCTGGGACGTACATTAAAAGGTTGCTCGAGAAAATGTTTGGTTTGATTGGTTTGTTCACTGGATTTTTTGAGTTCGGTGGGTATATTAGAAGTTGAGGAACGTTGTGTTTGAATATTATGGATTTGACAAAGCATATGCAGTAAGGAAAATGTTTTTCTTGTTGGTTATTTTCTGATGGCGGGTTTAGAATTTCGGAAGCTTACTGATTTAGGTTGTTGCGTTTTGTTTGGCTTTGGTATTTTTAGGTTGAGTATAGTTCAGTAAGTTTTCTTTCATTGATAGTTTCTTTTAAGTATTGTTTTTTTTAATAAAATAATGGAAACTGGTTGTATGCGTGCGTAATTATAGAAAAAAAAACCGCAAAATGGAAACTGATGGTAATTAAAGCATTAAATGTAAAGTTAAAAAACAAAAATGTAAACCCAACAGGGTCAGCAAAACACAACAATTCAGGACAAAATCGTAAAGTAATGCTTAGAAAAGATCGGGACAACCATTACACATTACCATACTCCGCAAATGTCTTTAGCACCATTATAATATGCTTGACTACCTCGTGTAACCTTTCCAATTTTTGGATATAAAAACTTAGCAACACTTTTATTACCTAAATCTTTCCCTTTACAAAAATTGTCATTTCTTTTTACAAAAACTGTCATTTTTAAGAACATAATTAATCGTCCGTTCTACCTGATCCCATTGATAAAGGTTTAGAGCTCGAAAACGTATGAGCAATCTTTTTGAAACCTATTTTCTGCACTTAAAAGACGCAATTTAAAATATTTTTCAGGTGAAATATTTTAAGGCCGATCATCAGTTAAACCACCATAACCAAACGGAAATAGATTAGGATACGCTTTTTCTTCTAATCCAGTTTGTGATTTCCAGTCCCAGATTAATTTAGAAATCAAAAAATCCGTTATAAAAAATCAAAAAATCAAGCGCCTTATAGACAATATTAAAATCAACAGAATAAATGACTTTTCTACTACAATTATCAAAATCGTTTTTTTAGCCTGACATACAGCTAATAAACAATCTATAGCCGGACGTGGTAGCAAACATTCGAAATTTTCACTAGAATCACTAGTTACATGAAATAATTGCCCTACACATTTTGTTAAGCTATTTTTCAAATGCATTATTGTCGAAAAAGGCTGTACTAAACGCACTGCCTGGACTTCCATGTAACCAAGATTATTTAACCAATTTTCTCTACCAATATCTAAAATAGAGCCCGCACGAGGATGTCGGCTCGGCTCACACGAGCACTCGAGCGAGCAGGCGTCGTTTTGCGAATTTGCGAACGAGCCGAGCAACAGGAAAAAAAATTATGAGCAAGCTGAGCGAGCGGGATGGTCGGGTGCGAGCGATCGTGAGCCTACTGGCCAACATTGTGCGAACTGGAGAAGTTTCTGGTAAAATTACATTGACCGACCTGAAAACGGTCTTAAACCATCGTCACCTTGTAGCTTCGCGCGAAGTGATTTACTGACTTTACTAGACCGGTTGGAACTCAGGACTAACTTTTGATATTTAACCGTAGCGAACAAAAAAACATTATTTGACGGGTTTGCAGAATCAGTTGAATGCTTCCTAAGAAAGATGCATCTTAATTTTTGAGCATTCTACTGTATGTATTTATTTCAGACTAAATTAAAAAAATTACATCAAGTTGGAAGTTAGAGAAATGTATCAGCGAAAAAATGAAAAATTGTAATGAAACGGATTACCAGTATGGAGATATATACAAGTGATTGTCTCTGAACATCCGAATCATCCGATTGCACTTACAGAGTTTTTGTGTTGGTGAAAAGTTTGGTATAATTAAATCGTGCAAAAAACTGATACGTAAATTTTTGCCGATCTCACGAGCGAGCCGGTTTGCCAAAATCAAATTACGAGCGAGTTGAGCGAGCGGAAGCAAAAAAAAATTGGAAAACGAGCGAGTCGAGCGAGCGACGGTTGGAGCGCGAGCGAGCTGAGCGAGCAGGACGTTTCATAAAGTTAAAACGAGCGAGTTGAGCAGCACTTTTGCTGCTCGTGCAGGGCTCTAATCTAGAACAATTTCGCCGTAAATCGTAAACACAAAAATTAAAATCTTTATGCTTATGTAAAGTCATACATCCTGCACATAGTCTAGCATCAGCTTTTAAATCACTATGTAACATTCCTGAATTATCACCGATCAAATCAGATGCAACTAAAATATTGCAACAATCGCACGGCATATAAGCAACCATGACCTTTCTCCAATAATTTTTTCCAAACATACCAGGAAACGCACCACCTTTAGTATTCCGATTACATTTCTGTTTTTTAACTTTTACATTCTCATATCTACCATCATCACCACTTCCTACATTATCCTCCCTGCTACAATTACCATCAGTTTCTATTTATGTTTCTTTCTATAATCACGCATGTACTACGCATGTATTTCTTACGATCACAACCACCTTCCATTATTTTATTAAAAAAGAATTCTTAAACGAAAATAATGTATGAAAGAAAACTTACTAAACCATACTCAACCAAGAAAGACTTACCAAGCCAAACAAAGACAGCAACCTGAACCAGTAAGTATCCACAAATCCACACCGGCCACCAAAAAAATAACCAACAAGAAAACATTTTGCTCTCACTCCATATGTTTCGTCCACTCCATAATAACTCCAACACAAGATTCCTCAACTTCTTATATACCCACCGAACTAAAAAAATCCAGTCAACAAACAAATTGAACTATACGTTTTCTCGAACAACCTTTTGATGTACCTACCAACCTACTTTCCATATACAAACCACCTGTTCCTACACAACCAAGACTATCAGAGCAAAACGTAATAGTCTGCTCCATTAAGCAATCAAATTTCTCGAAATTTCTTGGATTTTCCATAACAATCCATCACCATCTACAACCCGCAACACACTCCACTTCCTGTAACACTTCATTAACACTCGAATACGAACAACCAGAAAGTCGAATATATTTATACCATACTACAGTAAAACTCCCACTACCTTCACCCTAATTCAATGTAGACCTATTCTTCAATACACTGGATTAGTACACCCTTTCTTCATTATCACTTTTCGTCAGACATATCACCTTTAATATAATTTACTATATTATTGAATTCCTTATTCAGCACTTTATATTCCTACCCCTTATAATCTCCACATACAATATGCTCCTGCAATGTACTCTATATTATGTAGACATATTGCAATGTGCTCCACATATGTAGGAGCACACATATATGTAGGAAACACATAGTGCTCTTACATATGTAGGAGCACATTGCAGGAGCATACTGATTACGTTTGTTTGGATACTACAATTCCGTTTTTCTCCTCCAAGAACCGATGCAATGTGCTCCTACATAATGTAGGAGCACATAATGTAAACTAAAAAAGATGCCGAGCTAACAACGCCATCTACAACTTTCACGCATCGTTACTCGACTCATGTCACATGACTCATGTCACATGACTCGTGTCACATGACTGTTAGGCCCCACCGCTTCCTTCAACCGGCCGGACCCTTCCGTACTCTACGGGCGCCAAAAATTACTTTTGTTTACACACGGATATCGAAGACCAAAAACCGAAACTACAGTTTCATATATGCTACGACTGATTCTAGTCGTATACCGCATATAAGAACCTGTCACGGTTCAAATGAACCTGCCGCAAAAGTAATGGTTCACAATAGCAGACCTCAGGCATATCCAGCTTTATCATTCCCAGCCTGGTATTGCTTTAACAATTTTTTTGGTTCGAAGTCCAAAGAGATAAGCAATAACCAATAACAACACATACCGATGGACTTATGCGAGCGATGTTTGAATGCTACGCTTACTAGTCATGCATCACCGTAAAATGCATTTACTTCTCGTAAGACGATTTGCATGGGCGGCACCGGAGACTCGGAGAGCAGCGAAGGGATAAGGAATAAGAAATAACAGGAAATGATACTTCAAGAATTTTGACTAAAAGAACCTCATAATTTCCTTACAAAATAATTGTCGCTTTAAATTTTCTACCGAGAAGCTTCGTAGTACGTTGCTAATTGCGCGTATAAGAGGGATACAATTAGCGCGATGGATCAAAATGTTTTGCACCGCTCTTCTACAGAATGTGCAGCTGGGATATTTTTTCGCAAAGAAGACTTCGCCTTTGTCAAAAATTAATTAATTAAGCAGATCAATTAACTAATGCAGATCAGTTGCTAATTAAGTGTCAGTTCATTTTGTGCCGCTGAATGAAACTGGAAACGTTTACCGCTGTTAGCCGACATGGCACAGTACATTTATGAATTAACGCAGTGTAAACTGTAATTGTAATTAACGTAAGTAGATAAATTACCTAATGGTCTGAAAACAGGTGAATTTTAATTGCTGATGTACACGCTTATATAGATATATTACATGTATGTGTATCAGTGTATGTGCGTAGTAGACTGTTGTTTTCATGCTTGCTGCCTGATGCCGTGATGCGTATTTGCAAAACGGAGCTGTTCACGCGGGTATTTCTAAAACGTGCCGTATCTTTCCTTCGACCAGTTAAAAAGCAGATCGGTTCGGATTGTTATGAATCATAATCCTGGTCAAAACAAAACCAGACCGGAGATAAGAAAGCCAAAAGTGTTTGAGGACGCGTAATATTGTCATAACAAAAGCCAGTGACCAGAGACAGAGCAGCCCAGCGAAGCTGGCATATGTTGCTTGAAAGTGACTGATCTACAGTATCTGTACATTGAAAGTGAGTCCATCTACACTCTACTTGTAAAAAAATCTGTACTGAGTCGGCAGTCTTCGCATTATTGTGGATCTGTGAGCCCAACTCAGCCCATATCTTCTCATTGTATGTAATCGTTTCTAACGACTCCCCAAAAATAAGCGCACAAAAAAATTAGACAAATCTTCATGGATATTTTAGATAAATTATCGAATCTGTGGTAGAAAAAATCGATCGCAGAAGTATCCAAAAAAATAAAGAATTATTCATAACAAAAATCGTGCCCCTGATCAGTGAAAACTAACTTCAAGGACAGGCAAACAATTTACAACGTTGCATTAAATATTCACGTATTGTTATGATCCGTCTTAATCGCCTTCATGTAAACTCATCGAAAAGCCTTCATTCGGTTCCAGTCGGAACGGCCACCGTTAAATGAACTTGCAATTTCAACGAGAAATCACCAGGATTGACGTAACCGTTGGCCGGGTCCAGTAAATCCTCGAGCATAGAATTATGTAAAGAACAGTAAAATTCAAAATATTAAATATTCCACCCAGCACGCACAAAAATCTCACCTCCATGGAGATGTATTTAACAATTCCCCAGCCATCAGCCGCCTCCTTTTTGGAGAACGCATGGGACACCACTGCAGCAACAAAGCACACATTTATCAAGATTATCAGTTCCATACCAAGTGTATTAATCTTGTATTAGCAATAAGTTATACGTATTTCTTGTTAGAAGATTGTACCCTATAAACCGTACTGTATAACGAATTAACAAACATCTACTAATAAAAAAAAAGTTGAAATATGTAAATACCTTTTTTAATCGGTACAGTTTCCGCTTCCATGGGAGCAGACGCAGTTCTGCTGCAACCTGACACCTCCAGGAAGCCGATTTCACATAGGCGCCACATTTCAGATAATAAACCAACCAAGAGAATCCGCTCATTGAGCTGACTCTAACCATTATTCTCCTACAAAAACACTGCAAAATATGCACACCATAAATAAATGCCGTAATTAACACCATAATTAAATTGCCGCTGAGAAAGCGAGGAATTCGAAACCAACTGGCTTTTTCTACTTTAAAAGATTCCTTAACTTGGCGGGCCCATCCAGCAGCTGGGCATCAGTGAAGAGTGGAAAGCGAACAAGATGCAGTGCGCTCCCAAGATTTCACGTCGATTAGCGGCAGACGCTTCAATCTGCCTTTGCATGCACGTGTGCGTAGCCCACCTGTCAAATATGTACCTCGTGGTAAAAAACAGCACTTTATCAGAGCTTCTCCTATCGGTAGTAAGAAACAAGAACGTCTACAGCCCATACGGATGGTTATTAAAAAAGGGCTCTCATATGATTTATTGTACGTACTTCTCAACGGCTGAATAGATGGTCGCTTCATCAGCGGCTAAACTCCTCTAAAGTATCCCGTTGGAGAATGATGCTGAGTGTCTCTCGGCTGATGCCACAAAACTGATCCGACTGCCACACAGCCTCGGCTGATTGGTCGATCAGAAGCAGGCATTTTATCATAATTTCCATAATGCTCGGCTCTGCATCTGGGTACTGAACGGCCTAAAAGAGGTCAACAAGTGCAGACGATTTTAGGCAGACGATTTTAGCTAAAAGCTGGTAAGTCATATGCTGCAAGCAGGCAGAAGCAGCAGCGCAAACCAACCTTCTCCAGAATATCCAGGCAGCTGTCTGTATTAAGCCTGCTGACGATAAAGCGGCAGCACTTATCAATCAAGAACGGTACACCGTATTTGTCGGCGCAGCTCAGCGTTTGAAAAGCGTTGTCGTCGCGGAGATTCTCCACCGTATCGGTGTCATGTAGCTACAATGAGGACTCTCGAGGCAACAAGATGAATAAAGAAGATGTCAAGAAGATGAATAACGAAAGCATACCCGAATATGTTAGCGAAGGCATCGGGGTGAATATCGGGGATGTCGATAGGAACTGTGCAGTCTCTGGAACACTTCCATAGAACATCGTGCGAAACACATCGCTGCGGACACTGATTATGGGCCTGTAAACAGTTACGCATAGATCAACGCCCTCGATAGCACAAATTGCTGAGCAGCGAACACTGCGCAATAACCTGTGAGCTGGAAATATCTTGGCTGTGCCATAATCGCGTCCGACCGCGAACTGAACATCGCTCATTTCTCCACAGATCAACAGGTGCTTGACATAGTCCCCAATCTTCCTCACGACTTTGTCTCGGTTTCGCGGTTTCACGATGCCGCTGCGTTTTACGGAGTTAGGAGTCTGAGTAAGCTTCTGAGACATTATTACGTAGGATTACAGTCCTGGAAAGTCGAGACAGTTCAGTCACAAATACAATCAAATTCAGAAAAATTCTGGAGAATCCGAGGATCGCCAAATAACTAGTGCAAAAAGTAACGTATGAGCACGTTCTCGATGCAGCATAGATAATGCCATCTTCGCCAGGGAGGATTCAAAGATTTAAATTTTCGTACTCGTAACTTGTAGCAATAAGTTGTTACTAAAATGGAAGAAAAAATCAGAAAAATTGGAAACGAACCGACAAAACCAAACACATCCCTAAAAAAAATCTGTTATCGAAACTATCATACGCTATTTAAGCCCATACCGCAAGTACAGTACTTCTACAGGTGCAGCTCAATGGCAGATTTTTTCAGGCAGTCGTATGTCTGCGGTGTACAGTTTGAGCCTTCGTACGAGTAAGTAATTACATTAAAAAACACATCAGCAAAAAGTGTCAGTTTAGGGCAATTTTCCAAAATTAACAATCCAAAAATTATGAAGCATCACAGCCTTATTAATGATCACTGATTAGTACGACCTACTACTAATGGTAAGCACGCATTAGTTCAGAAAAACCGGTAACACTATTCAAGCCGTCCTGGGCATTCAGCCGTCCTTGCGATGCTTTGCTGGCTTCGCAATGTCACCGGAAGAGTAAACTTGCGTGCGATGAGTCTAATCTTTATATGGCCTGTGGGAATCTGGGGTTCCAGAGGAGTCATGTAGTACGATCCGCACTGGGAACAAATACAAGTTAAGGTCATCAGGTTTATTTTTATTCCTCCTAGCCACTGGGGACTTAGTCGGTTTAAGTCCATAATCCTAAGTGTATTATCTGACACATGAAATTTTGTATTTCGTATTATTACATTATTGCAGTTTACGTATTCGGCGTAGATTAAAGTTTTTGGATGGTGCACAGTAACCAAAATCATGCATAAAAAATTGAATCCAACCTTTGCAGCCCGAGTTTATCGTTTTTTCCATATTGTAATGCAGGCGGCAGGGATATCACCCTGGTCATACGACGTCACCCAACGCAAAATTAATTACGCTGATCCAGCTCGCTTTACTTGGTCCCTTGTAATTTTTGCGCTAATAAACATCATGACCGTACGAGAACTTATGATGCTCCTTGATTTTTACCGTCCAGAACTGGAAGATCTGCAGTTCTATGCATTGCTGTTAATAGTGTACCGCATTATACGAGCCATCCGGTACGCTTGGGTCTACTGCACTTTCCTGGTCAGCAGCAAACGACTTTCGCATCTTATACACGCAATAATAATGGTTTACAACGGTGATCAAAAAGCACCGTATGTCTTGTTGGTGGCCTGGACGCTGATTTCTGCCGGCTTTATTGCATGGAGTGGCTATCTCCGGGAAATCATTTTCATCTTGACCTTACCCGATTCTTTGAACACACCAGTTTCCTTGTTCAGAAATTTAAAATCTCCCGTATATGTACCATCTGGTTTGGTAGCTTTCTTGAATATTTTCAGTAATGTCACCCAGTACAGCGCCTACATGGTACCGCAGATGGTTATGATGGCGTTGATTATACCGCTGCATTACGAATTCCGGGGTATCAATACCAGACTGAAAGAATTAGCGGAGAATGAGTGTCGCACTATAGCAGAGATAACTGGGCGTACGGCTACGGAAATGGCGCATTTTCGTCGATTGAGCTGCCTTTTATCCGAAATCAGCAATATTTTCTCCACATCTAACCTAATGAACAGCATTTTGGAGATTATGTCATGGATAGCCACGGTAGCCGCCATCATTCATCGCACTGAACTGGTGGAAGGAGATGACCCCGTTTTGTTTGGTAAGCGGGAGCTGGAAAATCAGGGGATCAGGAGAACGTTGTATTTCGTTGCATCGCTAATGATCGGACAGTTTGCTGCGCGAATGACAGCATGCATTCTCTGCCACGAAGAAGTATGTACAGCGTGACCTTTGGTATGACAATACACTGGTTTTCTGAAATTTCGAATTATTTCGAATTCACTATTGCAGGCACAAGCAGTCACGAAACAACTGGATCGCGTAGCAGCCAACACCACGAAGAGCTCCTCAGAATTACACCGAGGAATAACTGAATTCCAGCAGGAAGTGCTGGTTACGGATACTGCCATTACGGCAGGAGGTTATTTCTCCTTTAACAAGGAATACCTGACTACGGTATGATTTCGATATACGTGATATTTCGAATATACATGATATTTCGAATATACGAGTACATGATATTTCGAATGATATTCATATTTATCTTCTGCTTTTTTGTCTGTTTTGTTCACATGTATTTGGGATTCTCCATTGCACTGACCAGTGACATCGATATCAGACATGTAAGTATTCAACATTGCATGCACCATGTTCGTTTTATGTTACAGATTGTTGGCGCGTTGTTAACGTATATCCTTCTGGTTTGGGAAATGGCTGACGCTCAGGACGACAAACGAGTGCTACACGATTCTGTGACAGTTTTGGCTAACATTTTGAGCGAAAAGCACCCAGTTAAACTGCCATACTCGTAACAATAATTGCAACTTGTAAGTTTACCGATTAGTTTCCATTCAACAGGAGGTTTTTATGCAGTACATTATCGCCAACCGAAGTTGTGTGCCATGATTCAGTAGCAGATACAGATATTCAGTTCCATATTTACCTTCTGCTGCTTTAACACTTCGTTGTTAAGTTAACCGGTAATTCTGTCACAATTGTCGCAGATGCATCATAAAGAAGTGGGATCAAATTTCAGTTTGCGGAAAACATTGCCCGTGGGAAACTAATGAGCAACAGCACAAATTTAGCATAGCGATCGGTAAATAAAGACCTAAAACTGCAGTGGCGTATAACCATTGCCCTGATGCACCCGAATGCTACCGAAGTCTTTTTCCTGGGAATTTTCTAGTCTTTGCTCCTCTGCAAACAGTAGTGCTCCATTTAAAGTGCCTCGCGTTCGAGGTTTGCGAACATCATGATACCAGTTTACTCTACTTTTACTGTTCAGCATAGATTCATATTCAGCTACAACTTTGAAATTTGTGCACTTTTTCTTTCGCAGTTTAGCAATGTATGAGTTCAACGCTCATTTAAGATATTTGATTTTCACAAAGTTTATAAAACAGTAATAACCGATTAACCTGGTTTTGACTTTTTTGAGTGATACGGCTACAACTTGTAATATATGTTGTCAATGGATCACGCCAGTTTATCGGACATTTGGTGTCACCGAATTCGCTGTACTATCTTTCACTGCTTGCAGTTATTAGGCTTAGCTCCAGTTTCTATAAGACGGAAGCCACAAATCACCGGATCCCATTTTTTATTGAACCGGCTCATACCTGTAGTATGGTCGTTGTTGGCCTTTGCGCTTTTCCTGCTAAGTAGTGTCAAGGATATCTCCGAAGTGTACAGCTTCTACAAACTAGAGCTGGAAAGTCTGGACTTTTACGCTCTTCTATTCTTTATATCACGTATCGTTCAGGTCAATACCCATATTCTAATTTTTTTCGATCTTTTGATCCAAAGCAGAAACCTTCCGGGTCTAATGCACGCTGTGGGCACCATTTTCCTTTTAAACAGAAAATCACAGCGGGCTGCTAATGTAATACTAATAACTTGGCTGCTACTTTGTTTAACGCTGTTTTTATGGGCTGGATACAAAAGAGAATTCGTCTTCTTTGCACAAGTGGGAACAACCGGCAGAAATCAGTTGAAAGCCGCTAATTGGGTTGTCTACTTAAGAGTCTTTGGAGTGATTCGAATTCCCGGCGGACTTGTTACGACGTTGAACATCCTAAGCGGTTTTGTCAACCATGCCACTTATCTTGTGCCACAAATAATGATGCTTAGTCTTCTGTTGCCGCTAATTTCTTCCATGATGCTAATCAACAAAAACTTGAAAAACTTATCACGCAAGGCAGCAGGTGAAAAAGGTCACGCTGGGTTGACGGTGCAGGAAGAAATGCGAAAATTTCGCGCCCTTAATCGTGTGATAAACGAGATAAATCGTGCGTTTTCTTTATCCAATTTGGGGAACAGTGTATTAGAAATTTTCACTTGGATCGCGTGCACCGCGGCAGTTTTACATAATTCCTCGTTTGAACAAGGCCAGAATGCTGACCGGAGAAAACAAGAGAACTTAGCCACGTGTCAGATGCTGCATTTTGTTTCAACACTGTTTGCCATTCAGTTCGCTGTCAAAATCTGTATCTGCATATTTTACTATGAACAGGTATGACGCTTAAAAGCTGCCGTTCCTGCTTAACAAAATTACTTGCAGATAGTACTGCCTCTTGTAGGCACAAAATGTTTCTATTGAGCTGGATCGCGTTGGCGCATCCTGCATAACGGATCCAAATCACGCTGTATTTCAGCATACAATAACGCTTTTGCAACGGGAAGTTATGACAACGAAAACCGCTGTCGATGGCGGCGGCTATTTCCAGTTCACTAAGGATTATGTCACAACGGTAGCGTCTACAGTTACAGTATCTGGTGATTTATAACTGTGCTTTCAGCCACAAATATGAGCAGTTAAAATGTCGTTTAATTTTCAAAGAGACTCATATGAACCGGCTTCTGATTTTTGCAGATTGGCGGTGCTTTAGTGACATACATTCTCTTTGTGACCGACATGACAGACTGCCAAAATGACCAACGGGAGCTCCACGGTTCCATTACAGACTTAGTAGCTGCTTTGTACCAGTGCCACAACGCTTCGTCATTTAACCAGTCATCAACGTCCTGTGCAAACTTCGGAAGATAAGTTTCCTAATGTGTAATTCAGTCTGAGTTTTAAATTGCTTAACATAGGCTGCGAACTTTTGCGTGCTGTCCAGGTGTGTGCTTGTTCAAACATTAAGAGCTTGTTCCTTAATTGTTCGCCAGATATTTTGACTTTTGGATCTCGTGAAAAATAACGAAAAAATAAATTATCTAATAGTTATATTACAAGTTGTATATACTGTACATAAAATGTAGTGACCACAGAGTAACGAAACCGCCCTGCAGTAGCGTGCAATAGTTTAACCAATGACTTGTGGTTAGTTTGATAGCTTCTTTAGATTACCCATCTAAAGTAAATACCGGTGTCTCGTGTCGGTGTGATCTTCAGTTTTTGGAGCAGGCGTGTGTGCTTGTTCAAACATTACAGACAAAATCTCTTCTTAATTAGTATCATCCCACAGCAAGTAATTCATTGAGCTACGCTCGGTTTAATAACAATTTGAATAAAAGTTGCATACTTCGTACTTGTAATCTAACATATATATATATATATATATATATATACTCGTTCTGATCGTGAACTTCAGTGTATTTACTACTACCTAGTGTCGAATAATAAATTTATAGTACGAGTATACGTTTAACGGTCAAATAGACTGACAGTATTTTTATCACCTTCCAAAACTGGAAAAGAAGTTAAAGAATATAAAGTCAGAGAAAGTGCCGGTGCTCCCCGTTTTGCTAGCTGTGCATTACGACGTTTACACTATGCCAATAACCATAACAGTTTACGGAAAATATACAATATATTGATAGAAGTTACAGATTGCGCTATCTGATCATGACTAACAATAAATAACCAAGGTTGACATGAGAAATCACTGTCTTCTGCTAAAGGGCTGGTAATACAGCTGACGTACTTTGCGTCTTTTCTTGGAATAGGGCAAAGGTAGTTGTGGAACATGATCTTGCAAAACGTTGTCACTGCCCATTTGCTACATTACCCGTTCGACATATCCTGGTCGTTGTATTCCTTAACGCTCCCCTGCGGTACGCATACCAAGTAAAAATATTGGTTTCCTTGCAGTTATATATGGGCAGACACGTGTACTTAGTACAGCAACGATCTTTCCGTTAACAGCCGAGCCTTCTCTCACGTTTCGGACGTTTTTCTAGCAAAGTACATCCCCTCCGGGCTTTGGCTAAATGGACGGTAATACTGGCTCTCGCACAATTAAGAAGCTTATATAAGTAAAGCAGCTTGAGCATTATGCATTATTGGCTCATAATTCACCGGTATAATTACATTGTCAAGCCGCTCCTTATTTTCCCTTGTAATCGTGCTGATATAAGACTTCAGCATCATTGTTACTGATTGCACAATTTTTTTTAAATCGAGCAAGTGCACGATGCTTCTGAAAGTTCTGTCCGTATTGACGATTGTCGCCGGCTGCGTAATTGCCGACGACTGGATGAATTATCTTATTATTGGACCCAAAACCGTACACTCCAATAGTACATTTCCGATTTCCATATTATGCCGGAATGCCAAGTCAGACATCCATGTGGATGTCAGTCTGCGACCCCGGAAATTGTACGAATGGGAAAGTCTGCAACCAGATCAATATGCATCAACAAATTCTTTTGTGATCAAATCGGATACGTTGAGCAAACTGGAAATCAGCGTAAGTAAATTTAATTCAAGAAAAATAACAAAGGATGATATCTATTGTGTCACCTGTCCGTGGACTTCGAACTGGAAAAACAAGTTAACCATATTTCTGTATGGTACCAACTTTGCTTACAGATCCCCGATTTATCAAAATACCCCGGAACAGGAGAGGGTTTTAAACTGTCGATTAATGGAAATAGTTTAAGCGGCAGATTTTACACAACTTACTCATGGCCACTGTACATTCGTGAACTAACTGTAGCTGAAACAACCAACAAACAGTTGGCCTTTGTCCAAACTGACCAGCCGTTGTATAAAGCCACAGACACCGTACGCTTCCGCATTGTCACCGTGAACGAACAGGTTTTGCCTGTTCACATTCCACTCACCGTGCGAATACTGGTAACGAAATTTTGGCACTTTTTACGATTAATGGAAATTAGCCTCGATAATAGCAATGTGATAACGATTAATTCTGGCGCAGGATCCCCAGAACAACATTGTCAAACAGTACACTAACGCCACGGATCCTAATGGTAACCGTCCTGTCGATCTCTTCTGTTGCTACTTTACTCAGATATTCTGAACGCATCACCATCGTGTGACATTTTAGTCAATGGATACTTTGCCGGAGATTTCTTACTATCAACTGAACCGCTGTTGGGCGCCTGGACCATCGAGGTGAGCACATCGGACTCGCACGATATCCTTGGAACAAAACAGTTTTCGGTTGACGAGTATGGTAAGCGCCTGGGTTAATTTGCCTAAATTTTGTTTATCACGTTGTTTCATGCAAGGTGTGCATATTTTCAGTTCTGCCAAGATTTGATGTGAAAATACTGTCACTGGCAAATTTTGTCACGCCTGCTGATTCTTCGTTGACATTCTTCGTTGAAGCAAAGTATGGTTAAATATATCTCGAGCATGAGTTAAACATGGTTTGTGAGCATTGTTTTACCACCGTTTTCAGTTATACATTCGGTGAACCTGTAAAAGGCAAACTGGAAATAACTTGGAGAAAAGGTTACGCGGGAAATGACTTAAATCAAAACCTATCGATCGCGGTATGTATTCCTGATTTCAGAGATATTCTTGCTTTTGAAATACGAGGGACAAAACTGTAGTAGTCGGCGACAGTAATAATAAAAACTTTAAAGTCTGACAGACTATTTGATAAGCATGCTTACTTTTCCAGTTGTATTTGCGATGATGTCTTTTTATCTCATTTTGCACGTTTTAATCAGGATTTCAACGGACGATCTCTTGTTACTCTACCAGTTTCTTCGCCCGTTAGCTCTCTGTACAACGGAGACAGTGAGGATGACAAACTGGAAGTCAAGGTCAACTTCACAGAAGCACTAACCGGCCAATCAAAAATTGCCGCGGGCTCTGTTACCTTCAGCAAAAAAAATTATAAAGTAGAGCTGCTGGATAACGCCGACTACTTTTTGCCTGGACAAAATTATCAATTTCGCGTCCGGGTTAGCGATCTGGATGGACGACCACTTCCTCCCAGCACAAAGCAGATCAGTATTCAGTACTCGCTTTACGACAAACGAGGCTATTCAGGAAAAAAGATTATTATCAACAAAAACGCCAGTCTTGTTGATACCAGCTCGGATAGCGACGGAGGTCAGACTGGGTCGCAATTCAACCAAGTTCTCACTCTTAAAGTTCCAGTAAACGGTCTTCTGGATGTTGACATCCCAACCACAAAAGATGCCCGCAGAATTAGCCTTAATATCAAATATATTGACGAAGAAAAACAGGTCTCGATTAAAGGAAGAGAATCACCAAGCGCGAGCTTTTTGAACATCAAACAACTTTCTAAAGAACTTAAGAGTGGAGAAACGGCAAATTTTGGGATCAATATGACAACCAGGACCAATGAGACAATCCAGTATTTGGTACGGCTTGCCAGGGTGCAACGTTTACTTTACACAGTGTTATGTTGTTTAGCCACAAGACATTCAAAATCGAAACCAGCACAAAGCAATAGCAGTATTGCATCTGTTCTAGGTCCAATCAATTTCGAACGACAGTTATCTCTGGAGCAACTCCACCTCCGACCGCGGTTCTTACATCGTCATTTCCGTACCATTAGTGGAAGCGTTGGGTCCTGAAGGCCGTCTAACGGTTTATTATATCCGCGATGATGCTGAAGTGGTTGGAAACATTCAGCTGTTTTCACTCGCGTCGCCGGCGAAAAGAACTGAGGTACGATTGTTTGCGTAATATTCTGCAAACACATCTCACCTGCATAACCGCAAGTTGTACAGGTCACAGTTTCGGCCGAAGCGAAAAGCGGATTAGGATATGCTCAACCCGGTGAAGAAGCGCTGTTCAAAGCCAAAACCAGCCCGTTGTCATTCGTTGCCTTTCTGGCTATGGATGAAAGTCTGCTCTTGCTGAAAGCCGGAAATGACCTTTCTTCAAGCGAAGTATGTGCCAGTGTTACGTATCCAAATAACGATTACGACTTAAGAGTAAATTAAATGCCTATGTAAACGCAAAGCGAGTGATGTGGTTTGTTTTCTATTGTTTCCGTGGTTCATCGTAGGTGAATGCGGCTATTGGCAAAGCAAAACCAGCATCGTCCCCATCTGATATGTATTCCGTGAAGGACTACTTTCAGGACTATTTTGAGGTTATTTTGAAAGCTTCATTCAGGATTTTTACTACTAACTATCGCTTGCAAATTTGCAGAACAAGAACCCTGGACAGTTCATAATGACCAGTGAACACCTTCCTTCGTCACAAGAGGAACCCATTTACTACGATAGCGAAGAAGACGAGGTGGCAATTGCAAGTCCGGAAATTCTTGGTGGCCCTCATACAGGCCGAGTTATTGCGTTTAGCGGAACGGGAGCAGTTGCTGGTGGTGACGAAGATAATCAAGCGCAAGAATCGGAACCAGTCACATCAACGGAAGCAGTTGAGCTGACGTCGGTTGCTGGTGAAGCCAGTGAAGAAAAGAGCGCCGATAATTTGCAGTCTCCTACCCAAAACCGAAAAGACTTTCGACAGAGTTTCCTTTTTGAAACAGCAACATCGAAGTAAGTTTTTCGAGTCGCTCCAAGCAAAGTACGGCAACCTTAAAATTATTTATTTGTAAACCGAAGCGTTGAATCTATCATTTGTCCTGTTGCTCATCAACTGCGTAAAGTCCCTTTTAACTAAACTTTCTCCTTTCAGTTCCGATGGTTTGGCGGAAATACAATCCAAAGTTCCGGATTCAGTAACTACCTGGAAAATAACCGCTTTCAGTTTGAACAATTCCACTGGTTTGGGATTGACATCCGTTCCGGCTAAAGTATGAGTACTCAAGGCGCACAGTCTGGCAAAGCAATAAATAAACCATTCATTAATGATTTACTTTTATTGTAGCTTAAGGTTTTCCAACCTTTCTTTGCTGTCCTCAATTTGCCCTTCAGCATAGTGCGGTACGAAAACTTGACTGCTGAAGTCCTTGTCTTCAACTACATGTCCCAACAACAAGATGTCCGAGTGCAGTTGGAAATCCGCAATCCTGACAACACAACTGTGCGCCTGAATAAGAACATTGTTGCCAAACGTAGCGAAGGAGTGACCGCTGCCTTCTCCATAATTCCACAACAAATTGGAGACTTGGTTCTGAAGGTGACTGTACAATCTACGTTTGCCGCTGATCAGCTGGAGAAAACGCTGCCGGTTAAACCGGAAGGCGTGAAGCAATATTATAGTCGACCAGTTTTTATTGACCTCCGCCAGTCATCGAATCTTAATCTCCCGCTAACATTGCCCTCCGACCCGGTTGGAATAGTTGCCGGATCAGACAAAGTGGAGGTTCGCGTTGTCGGAGATATCTTAGGTGCAGCTATGAATAATCTGCATAAACTGATCCGACTTCCAACCGGATGCGGCGAACAGAACATGGCCACAACGACACCGAATCTCGTTGTTGCAAAATATTTGAAACAGCTCAATCAACTTGCCGAGCCCCAGAAGTCAAAGCTGCTATCCAACATGGAACTGGGATATCAACGAGAATTAACTTACCGGCACACCGACGATTCGTATAGTGCTTGGGGGAATTCTGATCCAATTGGCTCAACATGGCTCACCGCCTACGTTGCCCGAGTGTTTTCGGAAGCAACGGAATTTGTCCCGATTATCGAAGATAATGTTATTGAATCTGCTATGCGTTTCCTAATAAGCCAACAAAAAGAGGATGGTTCTTTTGAGGAAAACGGAAAGGTCATAGACAAGCAGCACCAAGGAGGAGCTTCCTCCGGTGTTGCTTTAACAGCATTTACTCTCCTGTCACTCTTTCAGTATCAAGAGTCCCACGATAAGTTGTGGGGTCAGCTGGTTTCTTCAAAAGATAAAGCCGTCGTGTTTCTGGAATCCCAGCTCTCCACAATAACCAACGATTCGTACACCTTGGCCATCACGGCGTACGCACTGGCGAAGTCCAAGAGCGCAAAGAGCGCGACTGCTCTAGACTTGCTGGAGCAGAAAATGATTAAGAATACTTCGGCCGCTTACTGGACTACTGTCGCCTCGCTCTCCGATAAAGGCGCTGACGCTGAACACTCGTATCCAACCAATGCCAAAGACGTGGAAGCTACCGCCTATGCTCTGCTGGCATTCTTGGCTAATAATAAGTTCTCATCTTGTCTTCCCATTGTTTCCTGGTTGATCTCCAAACAAAACGCTGAAGGTGGATTTGTTTCGACGCAGGTATAGCTATGAATAAATTACTTCGCTGCATAAATCAAATGCCCAACAAACTGAGAAATAGTGCAAAATACTTTGTTGAAGCAGCACACCGCGAGTATAGTGCATACATAGACATACAAGCCCGGCCCGAAATTTTTAAACCGCTGTAAGCGCGACGCAGTGAATAGCGCACAGTAAGGCTGGATTTTATCTACTCTTCACTGGATGCACTGGCGTAGAGCACCTTGTATGGCTCAAGCCCACCTGCCCACGTTTCTCAAATATCCCGCTTACAGCGGTTTAAAAATTTCGGGCCGGGCTTGTACATAGTATTGTATTTGGGCAATTGTTATGTACATTGTACAGTACAATAACATTAATTTGTGTTACAGGATACTGTGGTCGGACTGACCGCTCTTGCTGAATTTGCCAAAGCTTTCATTAATCCGCCGTCCATGCAAATCGACATTAACTACGACCGAATTAAACAAAGCATGTCGCTCACTCCAGAAACGTCAGTTGTCCTACAGACGATGGAGCTGCAGAACAAGCCAAAAGCGCTCAATATGAAAGCGCAAGGCAAAGGTGTTGCGATAGCTTACTTGAGCTGGACATACAACGTGGCCAAGCCGGCTGAAGATGTCGCATTCGACCTTAACGTTACAAAGACGACTTCCACCACCGATTTGCGAATGGGCATTTGCAGCAGGTAAACAGCATTACACAAACTCTTTTCACGTCTTGCACATGCGTTTATCAAACAACCATCTTGCAGATATATTCGAGAAGGCAAAAGTAGCATGGCGGTCATTGAAGTGAACTCGCTTTCCGGTTACCAGTTTGATGAGGATGAGGTTCATAGACTAGTTAAAACCGTTTCCACTCTTCGAAAAACCGAAATCGAAAACAAGGAGACAAAGTTGAATCTGTATTTTGACCAGGTAAGTCGAAGATTTATTATTCGCTCTTATGGTTGGAACTACTGCTATGATTAGTAATTTTGTACTCTGATGTTTGGCAAGGTCTGGTTATAAATTTGCTTTACAGTTGGAACAAACGCCAACCTGCTTTAAGCTGACAATGTACCGAATCTACAAAGTGAAGGACCTTAAAGATCAAAGCATTGTTGTTTATGACTACTACAATCCTAAAGAAAGGCGGACAGTATCATATAACCTTTAAGAGCTTTCATCTGACTGTGTTACTCCAGACCTTAAGTTTGACCTTGTCTAAGTATGCGTTTGTGGAGAATTGTGTAGTACTGAGTAGCTGAAACACTGACATGAAAATATGACATGACCGACACTTTTCTACCAGTTTTAACAAAGCTTCCAACGAAGCTCATAAGTCGTTCTTTAAAGTAATACTACGCTGGAACTAGTTCAGGTGTGCTAGCTAGCCCACATGGTACCACAAACATTATTCCGGTGAAATGAGCAGTGCTTGCAGATTCCACGATCACCGGTTGATCATTGCCAATGATTCATTGGCAACATGTTATCAAAGTTAGAATACGTAGACCACTGCGAACTCATGCAAGTTTAGAGAAACCCTTCCGTAGGCCATAGCTTTCTCCAAACCATTCGATATTACTTTTTATCCATCTCCCACAGTAACGTCGTATACGTCAGCATTACTCCGATAACCTGTAGATAATTGTCGGCATATTTAGCTTCTCGAATACAGTACGTTAGTACTAAAATCACACCAGTTTTAAGAGAAATTTTATTACCGTTGCAACAAATTCTTTATTGAGATCACACATTTGATTGAGGGTAAAGGTGCTCTTTAGTACTGCCAAGCGATTAATAACAGTGTGCAGATGGTTCATCGTAACCTGATCGCAGTGGTCCGCAAAATTCTTCTCTTCCATCGAAACCGCTACCAGAGCGCTAAACTGGCTTGCCTTTCAAACAAACAATTTTTTGATAAGTCTGTTTTTAGTAATTTCAACGCTTTCTACCTGATCGTGAACACGGACTGCACAAAACATCCGCAGAGCGAGGAGGATTATTCCTAGACAAACGCTCCGAAAGAAATTTTCCGGAGTGTATAGTACCGCCATAAAACTTTCGTGCTCAAAACTGACATTTCCTTTCATAATGCTGATGCCCGTTATGACAACGTATAAATCCGAGATGAAAAGCCATAACAAAATCGGGGAAAATATTTTATCCAGTTCTCGCACGCGCAGAACTAAACTTAAATGCTGTGAGCAGAGATTTCGCACTTCTTGAAAAAAGTCACAATCAAGTGTTCTAGTATTTACTGAACTGTTGTGCAACTGTTCGATCTGTTGGTAAACATGCGCTAACGCCGCGTGCAACGGTATGGTGATTAACATGAACAAAATCTGCGGTCCGAAAAGTCCGGCGCTAAATAAAGGAGCTGAGAATGTGCTAAAGAGAAAAGAAAAATCAAGAATGCGAAAAACTGCAACACTACTCTGATCGATGGTTTGACTTTTAGTACTGTTCACCACATCCATCATCGAAGCGCTACCATTCAATAAAGCTTCGAATGCGGCCGGCGGTATCATGGTGCCAAGAGCATCATGCAATAATTTCGCCGCTATAGGCGTGGCAACAACTAGCAGAAATGCGGCAGATATTGCGATCAACACCGCGCCAGCAGCTTGACAGAAACCGGCATATAAAATTCCGCTATATTTGCGTATCCATGAATTCGGTTTAATAGCATCCAGATCCGCCTCCAGCTTTACGATGACCTTTTTGAGATTTCGTCCTTGAGGAACGAAATATACAACGACAACAAAAGCGACGATGATCCATTGCTCCATGAAGCACTTGAGCAGTAGTTCGCTCATCTGGTCTTCGCGGTTAAAAATTCGCCAAATAAGGTACGCCAAAACGCAAATTTGAAACAACAGACACAAGCTTACAAAAACGGACCATAGAATAAGTGCGGTAGAAGCTAAGCGGAGAAAATAATGTTTAAATCCTTGTTGTTGACTTATGTTTTGGCCGAAAAACACAGTCAAATACTGTGGAATTATTCCACCCAAAGCCAGTAAAGCTAAAAAAGGGTTAAGTGCAGATGAGAGCCGCATTGTAGTGTTTTCCAGCAACTGCAGCCTGTAAGTCACTGTTGCTGATAATAAGGGTAAAAACAAGAACGGCTAATTTAAAGGAGCCTTTTTTTACAAAGCAGTATATTCTTTCCAACAGAATGCACGATAGGTGCATTAGTAGTCAACGCAATGGTTCGCTCTTTAGAGTATACACTCTCTTGTAACCCGTTTGAAATTTGTTCTCTTGAGGTTTCCCATGGAACCTGAGTAAGTATTATTGATTTATGGATTGTTCCGATCTAAAACTGTTAATTGGTTTGGGATCTAACGTTGCGTTCGGTGTAACTATCGACTTCAGTCCATAGTATATGTACTCGTACAACATTTTAACTTCCTTTCAGGGTTTGTGATAGCACTAAAGCTTATTAACAATAAGGGAAAAACATTGACATAGTAAGAAATGGATGAACATTAAAAAACATCAATGGAGCCGACGCCTAGTGCCAGCGGTACAGGGGATTTTGCTGTCTCTTAATTCGTGATTCTCACCTGGACTGAAGACTGGCAGTGTGTCATTTTGACGTCACTAACAAACAGGGATTTTAGAGTGCGCCAACAGGAGAACTACGCATGCGCTGTGTTTCTGGTCGCGTTCTAAAATTTAAGGCGGTAGAGTAATACCGTGGCCATAGAGCTACCGCTTAATTTAACAGCAGTGTAAGCATTTTTATCACAAAGTTTCTCCTCTTTTGCAGAGGATGGTTTTCTGTAAGTTTTCATGTATATGTCCAGTTAACAAACAGTACAGTTTGCGAACGCGCGCTGTTTAAAAAGTGCCGGGATAAGCACTAGTTTCTATGGGCCTACGACAACTTCGCGTCGCACCTGAGTCGCACGGCTCCCAACCGCCACAGGGCGCCATCCTGGCAAGAATCATCAATATCGTGTAAATACAGTACATTTATCGTTATTATTGAATGTTGGTCACGCTGGACCAGGTACAGCACAAAGGTCACAATGATTCTCCCAAAAGTCAGAACGCACCTTCAGTTACAGAAAAGTAAAGAAGTCATGCTCGTGATTCGTTCGGTGGCCAGCGTTCTATCCACAACCATTTAGTGCTCACTGTTTGTCCATTTCCCATATTAAAGTTACATAAGTCAGCAGTACTCCAATGACCTGCGAAATGACAAATAGTGTAACTTCTTTAATATCTTTCTGAAAACAGTGACTGCAAAGCAACATTTGAGAAAATTAGAATATACATTTAGCCAAACTTTTTCAGTAGAAATAAGTGTTGTTGTTACCGTTGCAATGAACTCTTTATTTAGCGGACACATTTGGTAAAGAGTGAAGGCGTTCTTCAGTACTCCGAGTCGGTTGATGATGAGCTGCAAGTGGTGGATCATCTTTTGGCTGCAGTTGTCCGCTACTCCTTTTTGTTCCATTAACACCGCAGCTCGAACGCCAAAAATGTTCGCCTATTACAAACGAATATAAAATAGAGGTCTACAGCAAACTATTCCCAATTTTCGGGAAATATTTTACAGTGCTTTCGGTATTTCATTCAAATCAGATCATCTGCAGCCGGTACAGTGTGACTCACTGACCAAACAGCATACCTCTTCATGGACACGAACAGCACACCATACCCGTACAGCTAGAAAACAACATCCCAAACAGACAATGCGGAAAAAATTTCCCGGGGTATAGAACTCGGCGGTAAAGGGTCCGAGACCATTCGTATTCCCTTTCATAACACCAATGCCGGACACAATAACGTACATATCGGAAACGAACAGCCACAAAAGAGCAGGCCCAAAAATATCGTCCAATTCTTGAACACGAAGAATCATGTTTAAGTGCTGCGACGATAGCCTACGGAAATCGACAAAGAACTTTTCATTAAACCCTTCCGTCGTACTATTAAAACTCCGAAAAAGCTGCTCCAGTTTTAGGTTGATAGTAGATAAGCCGGTGTGAATGGGTAGTGCGATCAAAATAAACAACATCTGCACCCCAAACAGCGAAGCAACCATTGGAGGGAAGGAAAATTCAGAAAACACTATCGAAGCCAGTATATTCGGACTATCAGGGATCTCGAGCTTCGTCAGTGTCTCAGTAATATTGCGCGTTAAATCCACCGTATTATTAATATTCACGGGAAATTGCAGCTGGGAAACCAAGTCTGACACTAATTTGCGGACCGTGTCGTAGGTTATTTTTTGGGAAATCGGGTCAACAAACACGGTGATCCACACGCCTGACACTACAATGAACAACAAGGTAGCAGCCACAACCAACAGCTTGTAAAATATGCCGTCATTTTTTCTCATCCAAGTTGCCGGCTGAATACTATCCAAGTCCGTTTCCAGGCCTAGAATGACCGCGGATAGTTTTCGACCTTTGAAACCGAAAAACAAACTGATCAACAGCCCGACGACAGCCCATTGCTCCATAAACCATTTGATCAGTATTTCGGTTGTTTTATCTTTTCCGTTGTAAGTTAACCAAATGAGATAACCATAGACGACGATGCTGTATATCAGGCAGATGTTCAGAAAGGCTGACCAAAAATGGAGTATGATGGAACACAACTGATGAACGTAGCGCCTCGACCTTGTAGCTGCACGATATTGTTGGCTGTCTTTCGAATTACGGAGAAATTTTGCGTAATGCGGAAATATGCCGCCCACGGCCAGCAAACCCAAAAGTATTTTTAACGCAGCTAACATCGGCATCTTAAAATAGATGTGAATGTAGCATGTCGCAATTGTTGCAAATAATAAACCAGCCAACGCACAAGCAAGTTTTAAATTTTCTTGTGCGTATTCCGATAAGAATATCTCATAACGTTTGGGAAAGCGTGCATTGTACCCATAACGAAAAGCATGGCAGTGATGGCACCATGTATAATTTTGCAGTCACATCACTTTTAAGCTGTTCTCACAGGATGCAATGGTTTCAATCCAGATCGTTATGTAGATAATGCAAGCATCCAACGCATTTGAAATTACCCGAACCAAAATGTTATGAACGCTTGTAGCGTATGTATTAATACCAGTATAAGAACATTTGTCAAGCGGCTCTCCCAGTGAGGTGTAATTTTAATATGATTACATAAAGGCGATGAGCATGATCATATTTAACTAATAAGTCCAAAACTGCTGAAAATGCCGAAACGGAATGCGAAAACAATACCACTGAGACTTTATTACAATGGTTCGTAAGAGCGCTAGCAAATACATCAAGTTGTCCGGTAAAAAGAAAATCACAAAGTCACAGAGGTCATCTCACATAATAAAAGTTAAAAAAATTACATTTATCTAGCATGGTGGTTCATACATGACTGTTTTTTTTTCAAATAATCAATTTTTGATTTGCAGTCACAGTGTTTTGGTGTGATTATGGATGCAGCATATATACTCACTTATATATAGTATGCGGAGACACTGGCTCAGCAACTATTACCAGTGCCAGTTAAATTCGAATCCCACTTGCAGATCACAGCGTAACATTTCTTTCGATTAAATTGCGGTAGCCAGTCAGTGAGGGGAACTGCGTCACGTTACGCATGAATTCCATAGTGCCCTGAACATCCACCTGCGATGCCCATGTCACATAGAGCAGGACAGTGTAGGAAAGCAGAACGCTGATCAGCTGAAAAGTCCAAAATAATTTTTATCTCCATGCGACAATGCAAGTATCTGTATCTGTACATTCTGCTTTTGTGACAAGTTGCGAACGGAAAGTCAAAAGTTACCGTAAGAATGTACTGCTTGTTTATGGTGAAATAGCCAGCGCCACTAATTGCGGTCGTTTTCACGTCAATAAGGTCGCGAAAAGAATCACAGGAGCGTGCCAGCTTCGAGTCAGTCGGATTGGTCCGGAGCAAGCGTACTGATTCTTTTACCGAAAGAGACTAAAGAAACAATATCAGTACTAGCACAAAAAAGCGGTATTACATATTAAGTACAAGATCTGTACTACGCGCGGCGCCCCATAGGGTAGTTTTCAGATCTCGCTAACCACAAAACTACTGAAAAAACGGACAACGCCATTAGATCGGGTATAGTCCAGAAGTGGCTCACATGATATTTTTTTGAAAAACGTTCGATCAGAATCGTGCCGGCACGATGCCGCAAACGATCCAACCCTGTTTCAAGGTGGTTTCATGGTGAAACTTAGAAAAATTTTGCCTGGACACAATACTTCCACTACCCAGTGAGCAAAATCGAACCGCGAGTGAGTGACCAAGCTACCCCAGTGAGCAAAATCGCTGGGTGAGTGAGTGACCAAACTACCACCACAGTCCAGTGAGCAAAATCGCTACGTTAGTTAGTGACCGAACTACTACTCGGGTACTATCCGGTGCCGTTTAATTGAGTTAGTGACAGGATTAGCACCAGTACCACTGAATAGAGCTTGTTGGATGAGTGAATGACAAATTTACCGCTACCGTCCAGTTCATGCGTACTGTTATTTGAAATCTGGTACCTGATAGACAATAAAATTTCGTCCTGTCTCTTCGAGATATAATAAACAAAGGATTTGTAGAAACAAATGGAATGCGTCGGAGTGAAAATGATAAATGATTTTTAATAAAAATTCCGTTTTTACGCTTTCACAATTTACCTATTAGCTTTGCCGAATGTAAGGTGCTGAGTGCTAACTACTTGATGCTAATCGAATTCATGCGAATGAAGTTATGAACCAACCGTAGACCACAAGAAACGCGGAGGCGAAGCCGAAGCTGTTTTTTGTAGGTGTTAATACTATGCCCACCTGCTCTTCACACATAACGCCAACGACCACTCTTAGCACGACACCAACAATGTTGAATACCGAAGTATATCGGATATTGGCTACGATCAACTCCTTGTATACGCGCAATTGTTCAAAATCCTTGGAATGGTTGACATTGACAAATACCGGCGTCAAAAGGGAAGCCAGATAGGCGAGCCAAATAATAATTTCTTGCAGGGAAAGAACAAAGTTGATCACCGAAAAGTTATCGTTCACTTGGTCCACTAAGCACCGTAGCCTGCGGAATGTCACGTGGCCTTTGCGGAGACGTTCCACTGATTTGTCGTAATCAGTTTCGAAGGAAATGCTTTTTAAACTGCGCGCTAGCTGTCGAAATCCTAGTATTATGGGGACTACGAACGTTGCAAATATTGCCTGGGGTAGAGTTCGGATAGCCGCTCTGAGAAGTTTTAAAACAATTAAGTAAATGCGAGCTGATTGTTCAGGAACCAATAACGTGCCAAAGAAAATCAAAGTCTGGTTGCTGCTGCCAGTTTTCCATGTGGTAAAATGTGCGACAAACACCTTAAGAGTATTGGACACTGTAACAGCAAGGATCATAACACCAGCAATTTTCATCCAGCGTTTGTATTGTATTGTTGACAACGGCATTGTTAATTTCTGGATCGTGGGATAGAGTCGCAGGATGTTTGAACATTTCTTTATCATGACACCGGATACCATCGCCGTCTGAAAGTTGTTCGTTATCTGGGATAGCAAAAACAGCGCGGTAAACATATCAATTTGATTGGACTGATGTTGTTGAGAAAACGAAAGGTGTATATCAAAAGTGTCGTCGGCTAGCAATACGCAGAGAAAAATACACATCAGGAATGTCCACAGAGTGCCCCACTGAAACTCGCGACATTGGCTAGCGTTGGAAATATGACGCTGGTCATATGGCGCTAAGCCGATTAATTTCGGGACGCGCAGGTAGAATGCTACATCGAAAGGGATATCGGCACTGCACGCTATCATCTCAAGCAATTTCAAAAGACAAATCTCGAAAACATAACTGAATAGCAAAGATAGCGGGGAACTTTGTTAATCATGGGAGTTTTCCGTGCTTTTAACGTCAGCACAGCGGCTAAAGACTGGAATATTAAAAGTATCGGTTTGCTTGATCAAAAAGGTTATGTTGCAGTTCCCTAAGGGCGTCTAAATCCCATTCGCTGGCCTAGAATCAGCTTGTTTTTCTACAGGGACAGCACTTGTTTATCATTGATACGGCGAGGTGATACGAATTTACAGAAGACCTCGCCTTTACGAATTTACGCACAAGTATGCGTATATCAATCAAGTCTCGCCGGTACTTATCGCATTTACTGTATATGTTTTACGGCATCATAACGGGCGAAAATGAAGTTCGAGGACGAATGTATGATATGGTACCTTTGAGGTATCGCACGGTTTGGGCAAAAATCAACGTTGAAACTCTGAAGAACTCGCCAAGGAGTTGCCGCTAACATTAGCCTTAGCAAACATCTTTTAATTGATGGTGAGCTACAAATGTGGCACATATCGTCTTCACCTCTCAAAGAAACAAAATTGTGGACGGGTAATGAATACAAGTAATACAGTACTTGTGCGCATTCACATCGAAATATTTCTATGGTTCTTTTCTACAGAAAGGTCAGGGACGAGGGTCTGCGCAAACATTTCCCGGCAACATTTCCCACACTGCGTCATAGGATGTTTCCACAAAATCGACCGTTTGAAACGACTGGTGCAAAAATTGCGCAGATCATCCATGGCGACCGCAGACAATCGGGTAAAGCGCAGAATAGAATATCAGAATATTGGCCGTGCGACACAGTTGTTTGTTGACCTGATTGGACAACAGAAAATAGACCAACAGAGAAATACACTCACCGTCAGCACAATGAGAATCCGAATACTGTGCTGCGCACACCGAGTGGATCGAGCGCTTCTGCAGCGCACTGCCGCTGGTCTACGGTGAGAACACTGACATCTGACAGGAAACATGACCTTCTGGACAAAAGCTTTGACGTTTTTTCCTGTCTCGTCAACACCGTATTAAAAAAACTGAATCAAAAGCGTTGTTTTCAGCACCGGGAATACTACGCTGAACGTAGTTCAGGTGTTTACGGTACACACTCGTAGCACTACAAACATGATTTCGGTTGGAATAAAATTATCACTGCTTGCATACTGTAACGATCGCCGGTAGTTGTTTTCATTTCGCTGACAAAATTTTACCAACTAAACCTCAAAATACGTAGTCCATTGCAACTCCTACGCTTATAGAAAGCTTCTAACGAGGACATGACCTTCTTTCAAACCACTGGACCAGTTGACCTTATTTCTTATCCATCTCCCACAGCAGTGTTGTATAAGTCAGCATAACTCCGATAACCTGTAGTCAGAAGAATCAAATATGCGAACAAAAATCGCAACATATTTAATCACACTTAATTACCCTTGCAACAAATTCTTTATTGAGATCGCACATCTGGTTGAGGGTAAATGTGCCCTTGAGTACTGCCGAGCGATTGATAACAGTTTGCAGATGGTTAATCGTGACCTGATCGCACTGGTCCGCAAAATTCTTCTCTTCCATCGAAACCGCAACAAGAACGCCAAACTGGCTCGCCTGACGAACAGAGCAAAGTTATGATTATTAATTAGATTGTTATTAGCTAAGTCAGGTATTAAAAAGTTTGGAACATTACTACCTGATCGTGTACACGGACCGCGCAAAGCATTCGCAAAGCAAGCAGAACTATTCCTAGACAAACGCTCCGAAAGAAATTTTCCGGGGTGTACAAAGCCGCCATAAAATTTGTTCTCGTATCTTCAGAATTGATTACGTTACATTGCCTTTCATAATTCCAATGCCGGTTATGACAACATACACATCTGAGACGAACAGCCATAGTAAAATTGGGGAGAATATTTTGTCCAACTCGCGAATGCGCATGACTAAACGTAAATGCTGGGAGCAGAGATTTCGCAGTTCTTGGAAAAAGGCAGGATCCATCGTTTTGATGGCAACCGAACTGTGATTCAACTGTTCGATCTTCTGATAAACACACGCCAACCCCACATGCAACGGTATGGTTATTAACATGAATAAAATCTGCACTCCGAATAGTCCGGCGCTGAGTAATGGAGCGGAGAATGTGCTATAGATAAAAGAGAAATCGAAAATGCGGAGAAATAGGATGTTACTCTGGTCGATTGTACCGGGAAAACTTTTGGTGCTGTTCATTACAGACGCCATCGAAATGATACCGTCGGCCGTATTCAAAGCAATACTGAACGGTAGGTTCAGTATTGCTTTGAATACGGCCGACGGTATCATGATGCTAAGAGTATCATGCATGAATTTCAATGCTATGGGAGTTGCAACAAAGAACAGAAATGCGGCTGATATTGCGATCAACACCGCACCAGCAGCTAGACAAAACCCGGCAAATAATATTCCGTTATACTGACGTATCCACGAGTTCGGTTCGATACTATTCAGATCCGCGTCCAGCTTTACGATGACCTGTGCGAGGTTTCGTCCTTGAGGAGCAAAATATACAACGATAATAAAAGCAACGACCATCCATTGCTCCATGAAACACTTCAGCAGCAGTTCGCTCATCTGGTCTTCGCGTTTGAAACTTCGCCAAATGATATGCGCAATGACGCCGATTTGAAACAAGAGACACAGGCTGACGAAAGCGGACCACAGATAAAGTACGGTAGATGCTAATCGGAGATAATAACGTTTAAATCCTTTTTGTTTATTGCTATTTTGGCTGGAAAATAAAGTTATATACTGTGGCAATATCCCACCGAAAGCCATTAAAGCTAAAAAAGGGTTAAGTGCAGATGGGAGCCGCATTGCGATTTTAAAAAGCAACCATTAGTCCTAAGTTTCGTTGTTGAGAATACTGATAAATCCGTATAAAAAGGCTTTTTTGTGCAACCAATTCATAACGCAAAGTTTATTCTAGTTTCCAGGCGTATATATGACAGAAGGTTCTGAGTCCTTCTAATTATCTATCTAATGGTTTCATTTTGGGCTGGGGCCTCAGGCTGGCCCATATAGTGGAACCCTCGGGGCTGCATTAAAACATTTGTCTTGGAGCATGAGGCCAGTAGTGTGCAGTGAGATGAAGGCTGGGCATTGGGCTCTTTGCACTATTTGTCCATTTCCGTGGTGGGATCAGTGGCTGCTCAAGTCAGGCTGGCGTTCGGTATTATGTTACATGACAGGCTAAGCTAACATCACATTTGACTTCCGATATCTGTAAATCACCACGCTGTGACTGTTTGCCTTTGTTGCAGAACTCTTTTTTGCGACGAGTCATTCTTCATCTGGTATGCACTGTCTTCTGTTCTGTGCTTCTCCTTTCTGTTCCATTAATATCGAACAAAAAATAAGAAATCGGAAATTGCCTTGCTCACCAAATTGTCTGTCCTGTATTGTGTTGGACCAAACATCATACCTCTTCGTGGACACGAACTGCACACCACACCCGCACTGCAAGAAGACAACTTCCTAGACAGGCGATTCGGAAAAAATTTTCCGGTGTGTAGAATTCGGCGGTAAACGGTCCCAGACCATTGGTGTTTCCTTTCATAACACCAATCCCAGACACAATCACGTACATATCAGAAACAAACAACCACAAAAGGGCAGGTCCAAAAATATCATCCAGTTCCTGAATACGTACAGCCAGGTTCAAGTGTTCCGATGACAGCCTGCGAAACTCTTGAAAGAATTTTTCATTGAGCCCTTCCGAGGTACTGACAAAATCCTGAAAAATGTGCTCAAGTTTTTGGTTGATAGTAGATAAACCGGCATGGACCGGCAATGTGATCAAAATGAACACCATCTGCACTCCAAACAGACCAGATACGAGAGGAAAAAAGGAAAATAAACCCAACACCACCGAAGCCTGGTTGCTTGCCAAACTGGGACTGTCGGATAAATCAAGTTTCCTTAGTTTCAGAGTAATATTTCGCATCAAATCCAGCGTATTGTTAATATTCACCGGAATGTCAGCAAGCTCTAACAATGATCTGCGTACAATGTCGTACGTAATTTTATGAGCGATCGGGTCGAGAATTACGGTGGTCCAGATTGCGGACAATACAATGAACAATAAGGCGAAAACTACAACCAGCAGTTTATAAAAGACACTGTTGTTTTTCCTCATCCAGGTTTCCGGCTGAACACCGTTGAGGTCGGTTTCCAAGCAAACAATGACTGCGGATAGCTTGTGACTTTTGAAACTAAAAAGCAAACTCGTCAACAGCGCGACGACAGTCCATTGCTCCAAAAACCATTTAATCAGTATTTCGGTTGTTTTATCTTTTCCATTGTAAGTCAACCAAATGAGATAACCATAACCGCCGGTGCTGTATATCAGGCAGATATTCAGAAATGCAGACCAAATACAGAGTATGACGGAACCTAGTTGGTGTACGTAGTGCCTCCAACCTCGTCGATCATGATGCTGTTGGCTCTTGTTGGCGTTATGCAGCAACTTCGCATAATGCGGAAATATCCCGCCTAACGCCAGCAAACCAAAAAGAACATTTAACGCCGCTAACATCTGCATCGAAACTTAGATACAGATCCGAAGCCTAATGGTAGAGCACCCAAGGCGCGAGGCAAAGTTTAAGTTTTCTTGTGCTTGAAATGATTAAAAATATCTTGTAAGCTTCGAAGAAAAGTGCATAATACCGATTACGGAAAGCACGGCATCGCGTATAATTTTGCAGTTACATCAATATTAGGTCTCTTGTTCGAGTACGCATTGGTCTCAAACAAACTCATTGCTGTACAATATGTAGACAATGCAAATATTCATTACATTTCCCAAATGAGCCGAACCAGAATGCTATGGAATCTTGTAACTATGTACATATAAGTATTTGAAGAAGGGCGTAGCAATGTGTATTCGCTATTTCATACAATTTCAATATGATTACCTATGGGCGACGCGAGCAACTAAATATGTTCACATTGTGTGACACCATTTACTAAAATTAATACGAAACTGCTGATGCCGAAATGGAATTAGAAGTACCACTGAGGACTTCTAAATATAAAGCTCAGTACGAGCGATGAAGAAGGTCAACGCTTTCAAATATTGAACTTTTTATTTGTACAGTTGGTATGTGATGTGTGTTTACGAGTACAACACTAAAGCACTGCATTAGCGAAATCAATTAGGAAAGTACGAACTATGCCAGTGGCAGTCTAGTTTAATTTTGTCATTCAACTGAAGAATCATAGCGTAACATTTCTAGATCTTCCGGTTAGATTGCCGTAGACAGTCACTGACGAAGACTTCGTCACGTTGCGCATGAATTCCATTGTACCCTGAACGTCGGACTGCGATGCCCACGTCACGTACAGCAAAACGGTGTAGGAAAGCAGCACGCTGACAAGCTGAAAAGCCCAGTAATAATATCAAAGTAGCCCATATGACATTCAGCTTTTAGACAATTACAAATGGAAGCCAACCGTTACCGTCACTGTGTACTGCTTATTTATGGTGAAATAGCCAGCGCCACTAATAGCGGTTGTTTTGACGTCAATAAGGTCACGAAACGAATCACAATCGCGTGCTAACTTTGGATTAATCGGATTGGTCCGGAGTTGGTTCACCGCTTCTTTTACCGAAAGAGACTAAGGAGACATTAATAATAATCAGTACTAGCATAAAAAAGCGGTATTACATATAGTTGTTAAACTATGCCCACCTGTTCTTCACACATCACACCAACGACCACTCTTAGTATGACACCGCCAATGTTGAATACCGAAGTGTATTGGATATTTGCTACAATTAGCTCTTTGTAGACGCGCAGATGTTCAAAGTCTTGGGAAGAACGATTGGCATTGACAAATACCGGCGTCAAAAGGGAAGCCAGATAAGCGAGCCAAATAAATATTTCTTGCAGGCAAAGAACAAAGTTGATTACTGAAAAGTTTTTGTTCACTTGATCCACCAAACACCGTAGCCTGCGGAACGTCACGTGACCTTTGCGGAGAGCTTCCACCGATTTGTCGAAATCAGCTTCAGAGGAAATACTTTTTAAATTACGCGCTAGCTGTCGAAATCCTAGTATTACTGGAAATACAAGGGTCGCAAATATTGCCTGAGGTAATGTGCGAATAACCGCTCTGAGAAGTCGCAAGATAAAGGCGTAAATGCGAGCCGATTGTTCAGGAACCAATAAAATGCCAAAGAAAATCAAAGTCTGGTTGCTGCTACCACCTTTCCATGATGTGAAATTCACGATAAGCGCTTTGAAAAAATTCGAGATTGCAGCCACAAAGATCACAACAGCAGCAATTTTTATCCAGCGCTGGTGCTGGGTGGTTGACAATGGGGTCGTTATTTGGTGAATTGTACGGTAAAGTCTCGGGATGCTTAAGCACTTTTTCATCATTACACCAGATACCAGCATTGTCTGAATGTTGTTCGTTATTTGGGACAGCAGAAACAGCGCGGTAAACATGTCGATTTGATTAGATAGAAGCCGCTGGGAAAAAGTGAGGTAAATGTCGAAAGTATCGTCGGCTAGCAGTAGACACAGGAGAATGATCATGAGAGCTGTATACAGAATTCCCAATCGAAACTTCTGACATTGTTTAACGCTGGTTACATGCCGCCAGTCATAAGGCGCTAAGCCGATTAATTTCACGATGCGCAGGTAGAATGATAGGTCAAAGGGAATACCATCGCTACAGGCTATCATCTCAATCAATTCTAAAAAGTATATGCTGGAAGCTTCGTGAACTAACTCCTACAGCAGGGGAAATTAAGAATCATGGGAGTTTTCCTCGTGTTTAACTTCAGCACAGCGGCTAAAGGTATGGATATTAAAAGTATTGATTTGAATGTTATACTCCAGTTCCCTATGGACTTTTGATTCCATTCGCTAGCTTAGAATCAATTTGTTTTTCTACATGTACATATTTATCGATGCCATACAAGCTTTTAATTAATTTCGGTGCTATATGTCAGATGATGTAATGCAGGTACGAAGTACTACAGGATTAGTTTGCGTAAATACTACAAATACAATACTTAATCAAGTCGAGCCAGTAACTTCAGTGCGTTTGTGCAGATACGTATTTTATGGCGTGGTAGCGGGCAAAACTAAAGGTCAAGGGCAAATAAACGACATGGTAGTTTTACAATATCAAAGGGCGTGGGCAACAATCCGTTGAAATCCAGAAAAATTTATTTGTATGGCCAAAGAGTTGCCGCTAATATTAGCCTTGGCAAACATCTTTTAATTGTGATAAAAATATGGCGCGTACCTTCCTCAAAGAAACAAAATTGTTGATGTATTAATTATTACCCAAATAATTGTTCAGTACTTGTGCGCATTCACACATTGATCATGAAATAATTCTATGGCTCTTTTCTACGGAAAGGTGAGAATCGAGGGTCTTGCGCAAACATTTCCAGGCAACGTTTCCCACTCGCCATTAATCAATGTTTCCACAAAATCGAGCGCTTTAAGCGACTGATGCAAAAATTGCGCAGATCGTCCATGGCGGCCGCAAACAACACCGGATCCAGAGCTGAATGGAACATCTTCAGAATATTGGACGTGCGATACAGCTCCTGGTTATTCATCTGATTGGTCAGCAGAAAATAAACGTTTAAGGGCGTCCAGCAAAGAAACACACTCACCGTCAGCACAATGAGAATGCGAATACTGTGCTGTGCACGCCGAGTCGAGCTTTTCTGCAGCGCACTGCCACCGGTAATCGGTCCACGTCGTGGACCATCTGAATTGGATCCAGAATTCGTATTGCGGGCATTGGCGCTCAATGTGGCCCGCACTTGCATGCGCTGGACACGGCGGACCAGGATCAACGGACACGTGCCGAGAATGAAGATTTCTGGTATCACCATGAACAGGATGTTAAACGCCATGTTCCACTGCTTAATTCCGGCGACACCGTGATTGGGATTACACCAAAAGTTGAGCATCGATGTACGGGGATACGAAAAATCCACCGCGACACCCGGCAGTACATACAGCATTACGACGCTGTATGTCACCGCGCAGACGATAATCGCCACTCTCCGGCTGTGTTTGTCCCGGTAGGAATGTGGTTGTAAAAGAGCCCATAATCGGTTAAAGCACATGAGGGTGTGACATAGCGACATAAAACCCATGATATTGTTGCGCAGCAGTAGTTGACAAAAGCAGAAGACCGTCGTCTGCTGAGTGGTCAGAATGTCTTTGATGGCCATGAACAAGGGATTTTGAATGCTGGCATTGATGATGTTTGCAATGGCCAGGGAGATGATGTACATACTAAAACCGGTACGCAGCATACTGTCCACGGCGTACGCAGCCAAGAGTAAACCGTTTAACACTACGGATAATAAGCACACGGTGATGGTCAAGATCTGTCCGGGATTGAGGTGTGCCAGGCTGTTCTGTGGCAGAGACCAATTGCTAGCCACCTGCCAATTAGTGCAATTTGCATCCATTGCGGGATGCTCAGGATTTTGGCAGGTTTAGGAGGTTTTAGCAAGTTCGGCAGGTTCTGGCAGGTTTTGACAGGTTTTGGTTAGGTTTGGCAGATTCTGGCAGGACTGATAACTGGCACCTGCAGAAACTGGCTTAATAGGCAAAATGTCACTAGGAGATCTTGCATTGAACTGATTGCATCACGCGGCTAACTGGTTTAATCAGCCGTGTGCGGTAGACGAGTAGGATCTAATTTTGTTGCAACGTGCTGATTGGCTAAAATTATAATCCTCAATAATTCCCAAGATGCTGACGGTGATTCTTCCTTGCCGCTAAGCCGAGACGATTTAGGCTGACATTGTGCAGTTCATTAAACCATTTAATCGGTGGTCCTGCAAGTCTAAAATATGGCTCGTGTAGGAAGAAGATGTCGTTGGTGTTGACGTGTAAAACCCACGCTTAGACTGGCTTAGTGCAAGAAGTGCGTAACAACAAGAATACGTCTGCCATACTTTCTGCGGCCAGGAGTGAAAGCCTACAATGCCGGCAAGCAGTAAATATTCCCTGCTTTCTTCGGTCAACATGCGTGTCTATTGTCGGCACATATGATCAAAAGGGAGTGCATAATGAAATGTAGCTGCTGCTCTTAAGAAGTAACATTGACAGACGACAATTTGATTCTATTGGGAATATCTTAGTGTAGTCTCTCTTCGTTCAGGCGTTGACAAAGGTTATTATTTCCTTTTGTTCCTGATTAGGGGTACAAAAACCAAAGAGGGTAGTTATTTATGAGGCTGTTGAATGGATTGTAAATGTTTAAATGGTTCGGCAAACATCTTTGTTCATTGCAAATTCCACGAATAGCAACACGTACGCGTATGTTGATCGCTTTGTACACAGCCTACAGAATTTTTTAGGTTTATTCCTCCTGGTTTTCCATTGAGCATTTGGCTAAATGTTTGCAAAAAGCTATACTCATCATGTTATTGCTTTTCTCTGGGTGACGAAAGGACAGAAAGGGTATACATAAACTGTTTTTGCATCCTTGAAAAATTGACA